ATTGCTTTAAAATTTAAAATACGTACGAATTAAGACACAAATGTCACTTTTAATGCAATTTGAGGCGAGATGTTGATGGTTCCGCGTTGTGATATGTGTGTTTTAAGAGTAAGAGTTTTGTGTAAAGTTTGTTTTAAGCAGTCCACTGCTCCTGTGATACCACCATGGACTGTATATATTAACGGACGTAGTCACGCCTATCTCCGCCGTTCAAACAAATGGGCCAAAAAATATGCTCCACTGGAGCTATCCAAAATGGCCGCGAGTGGTCCCGCCCACAAGAAAATTGTGAAAAAACTAGGGCTGTCAAAATTATCGCGTTAACTCACGTTAATTACATTTTTTATTAACGCGTTATTTATTTTTAAACGCATTAACGCATGTCCGAATGACCCGCCCATTTATCCATAAGAATATCACTCAGAATGCTGCGTGTGAGATGGCCTCCTCCGTGGCCGCTCTGGTTGTTGTTAGCGGCTGTGAGTGAGTGCAAGCTTTGCACGGGCTGCAAGCATGGATCTAGCTATTATAATAACAGCAGCAAGCGATTGCTCCGTTCACATACTCAGTGCTCTGCGTAGTGTATTTTCCCTGGTTCTTGTCTGTCAGGCACGCTCTGCGTACTGTATTCTCCCTGGTTCTTGTCTGTCAGGCGCGAGTGTTGCTCGTGTGTGTTTTTGGGAACTAATTATTTTAAAATAGTCTCTTTCAATTGCAAGTTTTGTAATCTGTTTGATCAATAGATAAAAATAAATGCAATTTAATTAAATGGCACCTTGGCCTGTCTTATACCTGTTTGCCTGCAGGACAGTTCCCTAAACTAACATATCATACTAAAATAGGGTGGGGTTGTTGCAACAATTAATCTACTTAGAAGTTATCCTAAATTACAGCCAGCTAAAGCTCGGTACCACGCAATAGTTACTTTTACTGGTAACTAGTTACTTTTATAGTGGAGTAACTCAGTTAGTAAGTCAATTACTTTTTGGAAGAAGTACCTAGTAACTATAACTAATTGCTTTTTCAAAGTAACTTACCCAATACTGGTAATTATATTTGATAATCTCCTTTAACTTCAATTGGAGTGGATTTGAAATAGAATGTTAAACATGCGATTAATCGTGAGTTAACTCACCATTACTATGCGATTAATCAACTAAAAAAATGCAATCGTTTGACAGCCCTAGAAAAAACGCATCTGCGCATGCGTCAGCCGGCGAGAGTCCCATTTATTTGAACAAGAAACTGGTCCAAAAAAATTCACCCCCCTCAGCATTGACACACATGTGGAACGGAGCTTTGGGCCAAGAGCCAACTTTTGGACCATCCTGTCTTCGAGAGGTGTGCCAATGCTATATGTTAGCATTGGCTAATTCTTAGTCCGGGTCCACCCCCATCGGCCCGGAATGGTATTGCAAGCATGTCAGCGCACATCATTTTGGCCACTTTTGAGCCGAGACCCGCCCCCATTGGATACCACACTGCTACTGTTATGATAGCAGTCCCTGAGTTGACTGCTGCATGCGTCATTTTACTGACATAGGCCGATGACGTGTCCTGTGACTGGTCTGTCGGGTTGATAATGGAAATAATGAATTAAATTTAATGCATGTATCATACTGTATTCAAAATGATTAGCAATAGTCTGTTCAAACAAAATTAGATCTGTCGGGTTTCTGCGCATGAGCAAATCAGATTTGGGTTACACTAGCAGTGCAGTTTCACAGGACCAGTGGACTGCTTAAAACAAACTTTACACAAAACTCTAATGGCGCATTCAGACCGGACTTAACTTTGGCATCAAAAGCGTCAGGTTTGCATTGAAAGTGAATGGTGTAGCGTCAAAAGCTTCAAAAGTCGCGAGTAATACGCGCAACACTTGAAGCTTTTGACGCGCAAATCGCTCGCGTCTCTTTCCGCGTCAAAAAATCCCTTGACGCCGAAGCTGAGCAAAGTTGAGCTTTTGGAGCTTTGACGCGGGCTTCAACCAATCAGGAGACAAGCAGCAGCAGCTAACTACTACAGCTGCTGCTGTTTTATTGTCATTAATGTTGTTAGTAATATTATTCACTTACTTAATAAGTGAGTAACAAAACCATTGTACACATGCTGTGTAGTAAACGTAAATTATTTAATATAAGAAGAAGCAGGCGATGAGTCTGCTCCGGGCAGGCAGAGGGGAGCGAGAGGTGGGGAGAGGTGGCGAGAGCGAGGCAGCTCCAGGCGGGCAGGGGAGCGAGAGATAGGGAGAGGCGAGAGCAAGGTGGGGAGAGGCGAGCTCCGCGGTTTGCAAACTCGAACTGGGCGAGTGACATGCGGAAGTACAGCTGAAAGCGAAACTTCTTCGTACGCAGCCCCTGGAGTAAATGACGAAACTCAGCAAACACTGCAGCCTCTCAAGTCTGTGGTGAACCCAGAACATGTTTTGTAGAAACCCCACGACAATCCTTATTTGGCTTTATATAACAAATAAAAGCTTGCTGCTCTCTGGAAAATCCACTGTTGACTAGAGGCAACAGAGAAGCTCCTCCCACGGCGTCAGGCGCGTCACTCGCGTCAAAAGCTTCAAGCACCAACGGTAAAAAGTTCTAAATACGCTTTAATTAGGACATAAAAGTTAATTCTAATATCATTTGAGCCTTTATTGTCATATCAGGAGTCTGTTTGGAGATAAATTCGAAAATTTTGGGACTTTACCTCCAGCCTGAAGCTCCGGTGCTATAAGCTAACAGCCCAGTTAGCTGCAGTGCTGAAGCCCAGAACAGGCTGTCTAAACACGGGTTCAGGTAATGAGAGCCCCCTGGATGTTTACAATCGTATTCTGAAAAAACAGAGGATGCTTTTGTTGTTACACTTTCTCTGTTATAACAATTGTATTGGCAGTAATCATTAGTTTTTACAAAGTTATATCTTATGTAAACAATGCACATATATGCAATAAATGATTATTAGATATGGATTATTATATATTTGCTATGGCCCTCGTTTGTGCATCACTTAAAAGTAATTTTATCAGAACTAAATGTATTAACGTGTGTTTGCTGATGAGAGAGAAACATCCATTTATCTATAATAATAACTGACACATTCATTTATCTATAATAATAACTGACACATCCATTTATCTATAATAATAACTGGAACATCCATTTATCTATAATAATAACTGGAACATCCATTTATCTATAATAATAACTGGAACATCCATTTATCTATAATAATAACTGGAACATCCATTTATCTATAATAATAACTGGAACATCCATGGATCTATAATAATAACTGACACATCCATGGATCTATAATAATAACTGACACATCCATGGATCTATAATAATAACTGACACATCCATGGATCTATAATAATAACTGACACATCCATGTATCTATAATAATAACTGACACATCCATGGATCTATAATAATAACTGACACATCCATGGATCTATAATAATAACTGACACATCCATGGATCTATAATAATAACTGGAACATCCATTTATCTATAATAATAACTGGAACATCCATTTATCTATAATAATAACTGGAACATCCATTTATCTATAATAATAACTGGAACATCCATTTATCTATAATAATAACTGGAACATCCATTTATCTATAATAATAACTGGAACATCCATTTATCTATAATAATAACTGGAACATCCATTTATCTATAATAATAACTGGAACATCCATGGATCTATAATAATAACTGACACATCCATGGATCTATAATAATAACTGACACATCCATTTATCTATAATAATAACTGACACATCCATGGATCTATAATAATAACTGACACATCCATTTATCTGACACATCCATGGATCTATAATAATAACTGACACATCCATGGATCTATAATAATAACTGACACATCCATCATATCTATAATAATAACTGACACATCCATGGATCTATAATAATAACTGACACATCCATATCTATAATAATAACTGACACATCCATGGATCTATAATAATAACTGACACATCCATGGATCTATAATAATAACTGACACATCCATGGATCTATAATAATAACTGACACATCCATGGATCTATAATAATAACTGACACATCCATGGAAACATTAACAGACATCTGTAAAATGGAGTTGAACACAGATGTTTGACACTGCTCTTATTCACTTTTATATCTCTTGAAAAGCAAACAGACCGTTACTAATCACATTTGAGTTTAATGTATTCAATTATAAGTATAAGTATAAGTACTGCTGACAAATATGTAGCTGTGTAAATAATACCTCACTTTGATGACTCTTTACATTTCACACAAACAACAAAATCATAATAAAACCAACAATATTAGTTTTCTTTATTTCCAGGTTCTCTGTGAAGTGCTGTCGATGAGACCTGTGTCAGAGGCAGACGCCCAGGACTCTGCTGCTGCTCCTTCTGCTGCTGCTGCTCCTGCTGCTGTTGCTCCTGCTGCTGTTGCTCCTGCTGCTGCTGTTGCTCCTGCTGCTGCTGCTCCTGCTGCTGCTGCTGCTCCTGCTGCTGCTGCTCCTGCTGCTGTTGCTCCTGCTGCTGTTGCTCCTGCTGCTGTTGCTCCTGCTGCTGTTGCTCCTGCTGCTGTTGCTCCTGCTGCTGTTGCTCCTGCTGCTGTTGCTCCTGCTGCTGCTGCTCCTGCTGCTGTTGCTCCTGCTGCTGTTGCTCCTGCTGCTGTTGCTCCTGCTGCTGCTGCTCCTGCTGCTGTTGCTCCTGCTGCTGTTGCCCCTTCTGCTGCTGCTGTTACTCCTCCTGTTGCTCCTTCTGCTGCTGCTGTTATTCCTCCTGTTACTCCTCCTGTTGCTCCTTCTGCTGCTGCTGTTATTCCTCCTGTTGCTCCTTCTGCTGCTGCTCCTTCTGCTACATGTCTTCAGAGATGCAGAGCCCACTGTTCTAACTATTCATGACTGGTGATTAAAGGAAAATATTATATACAAGTTTGTTGTAGTTCATAATGTTTTCAGCAGTGAAGCAGGAGGTGATGGAGGTGAAGCAGGAGGTGATGGAGGTGAAGCAGGAGGTGAAGCAGGAGGTGATGGAGATGAAGCAGAAGGTGAAGGAGGTGAAGCAGGAGGTGATGGAGGTGAAGCAGGAGGTGATGGAGGTGAAGCAGTGGCGGAGCCAGAGGGGTAGCCAGGGTGGCCACTGCCACCTCTAAAAATATCCTTGCCACCCCCAGTGCCCCCCTAAGAAGACGGCTATGTAATAATGTTAATCTTGAGAATCTTCCGCACTTTTTCCGTCAAAAGCTAAAAATTCCCACGGTTTCCCCCGTCTGTGAACGCACCCTGACTCCGTGTGGAGCCAGTGCAGTATGCTAATGCTTTGGGTTGTTGGACTCACATGTGCCCAAGTCGTGATGAAAACAAAGAGGTAAGTTAGCGATGCAGAGCCGTTTACATTTGACACAAAGTATTGACACACGTACTGCAGCGCATTACTTGTTCAGTTTGTAGAACTTTTAGTGTGTGTATCTGTGTGTGCGTATGCGTGCCTGTATGCGCGCTTGTGTGCGTGTGTCAGCGTGCCAGTGTGTCTGCGTGTGTGTGCGTGCCTGTGTGTGCCAGTGTGGGTCTGCGTACCTGTGTACGTGTGTGCGCGTGCAGGTGTGCGTGTGTGTGCGTGCGGGTGTGCATGCGTGTGTATCTTCCATTATTAATTGCCCATCGTATCATCGCCCTCTTCCCTTTAGTGTAAACATGAAAAGAAAAGGAGGAAACATTGCGTCTTTTTTTGTCAAGAAAAGGCCTGTAGATCAGGATGATGAAACCTGAAGGTCAGACTCAGAGGCAGTATGTTTTGAGATGATGAGGAATTTGTTGTGTTGTATTAAAATATAGCTTATATAATTGAGTTTCAGAGAATGAGAGGGTGTCGCAGACAGGTGCAGGATTGTCTATTGGCAGAAGGCGTTTTTTCACACACAAAAAAAGATAAAAAATAGCTAAGATTATGGATGGAGTGCAGTCGCTTAACCCCAAAATATTTTTGAAAGAAGAGCCCCTGTTTTCATTTGGCAGAACCTTTGAGTCAGATATAGAGGACCTTAAGCATGAGGTACGTCAAACTAGGCGGCTTCTTGGGAGGAAAAAATGGATTAGACAGTCCCTATTGGACTTCCTTGTCCTTTTGGAACGTTTGGAAAGTGTTTCATGAGCTTTTGAGGCTTGCAAAGATCTTTTAAATACCTGTCAGTACTGCGTCTTGTGAAATAAGTTTCTCTGCCCTAAAACTTATTAAAAACCATCTCAGAACTACCATGGCAGATGATTGAGTCATCTTGGTATCCTCAGTGTATCCTCAGTGTAGAGTCAAGGAGGGCTCAGGGCTGAATATGGATGAGTTTGTCAACATCTTTGCTGCTTTACACCAGAACCGTAGGAATTTTCTAAATTTGTTAAAAGAAAAATGTAATGCAATGTTTGAATGTTATTTTGCACTTTTTTGTTCAGACTACTATTTAAATACACTTTTTTGCTTTGTAGTTTCCAAGTGTGCTCTCAGTTCACTTTATATTAAAAATAATGACAAGATTAATATTAAAATGTATCGTTTAGCCAGTTTTTGTATGAAATAAAATTTCGGAATAGTATAAATGTGGACCCCTTGAAAAAAACCTTGCCACCCCCTGGCCACCCTCTGTTTAAAAGTCTGGCTCCGCCACTGAGGTGAAGCAGGAGGTGATGGAGGTGAAGCAGGAGGTGATGGAGGTGAAGCAGGAGGTGAAGCTGGAGAAATTATGACCTTAATTTCACCACAAGTCTCTGAAAAAGAAGAACACAAACATCATGCATTAAAACACAGCCCACATTTAGGATTCTTTTTAGACTTCATATTCAATTAATACTATTTATTTGGGGCTTTGCAAAAAACTGGTTAAAAATAAAATACAGAAATCCTTACAGTATTTAATATTAGAGATGCAAGCTTCACAGCAGGGGAAACAGAAGAATGATATGATAGAAATATACACAAATAATCAAGTTATGAGCATGGCTAACCACTTTAAACCTGTGTTTGTGGAAGTGGGACTTTGTCCTCTGCAAATGTCTTAATGACAAACGAAACCTCTGTATAATGTGTGTTTACTATTCATTAGACTATTGTATGAAAAGGGCTTTATAATTATTCTTGGCCTATTCTATAATTTCATATGTCTAATAGATACAGTTTTCCCAGTCTCAGTATGGGATTAAAAACGATATGCACAATCTATTTTATATGAATACAGAAAACATGTGTTAGCATACTATAGCTGCTGTGCTGCAGAGTGATTTTTCCATGAAAACGTGACTATTTCCTCAGTGTAGCTTTAATATTTAATCAGTGGGTTTGTTTCTCCCTAAAAGATAAAACACAACATGATTTTTCTTGTTCAAAAACCGAATCTGAATGAACTAGCCTCGTAGCATTAGCTTTTCGGGACTGAGCTTATTTACAGCAGATAACAAGGTTAAATACACACATCTGTGGCAGATCTAATTTATGTCTGTGTTTTATCATAACAGTCGTGTTCATAACTCAACAGTAAAGTATAGCAGTACTTACTATAGACATAACTTCACAGTAAAGTATAGCAGTACTTACCATTGTAATCCGGTGGACTGGGATGGCATGTGTTTTGTTTGCATGTTTTTTTTTTGGTTTGCTGTGGTTTTCTTTCATGCCTCCCAGTAGCCATGGTTACCCGGCACACCTGCCTGCACCTGAGTGCAAATCAAGACACCTGTGTCTGGGGTGACTGTATAAAGAGGCCATGCAGGAGATCAGAGGCAGACGCGACACCGGGGAGCGGACGCGCAGCGAGGAGAGGCGAGCCCGGAAGGAGAGACCAGCACGCACCGGGCCAGCACCATGGCACCCACGCTCTGGACCCCCGCACCACGACGAGAACTACACAGAGGCAGGGCATTTGGACCCTGCCCTGCCGGTGAGTTTTGCTCTTGTGTAGACGTGGTGTATGGAAGCCTTGGGCTGAAGGGGGGATCCTGGGTGCTGTGTGTGGCTGGCCCGTGTGTGTGCTGTGCGACAGGGCTGGAGCTCGCCGCTGGACCCGGGCGCCCCGTAGGAGGGGAGTGAGGCGGCGCAGCGTTCGGACACAGACAGAGAGAGAGGCAGAGAGACAACAAGCACGCAGGCGCAGGAGCAGGAAAGCCGCGGCACCCCACCACAAGCAGGACGAGCAGGACGGCACATGCATCGGGACTACAGCACGCTGAGACCGCAAGTGTTGCGAGGCGATATACACGCAGAGGCAGAGGGGAACTCTGCCTTCCGTGTGAGTACCTTTTGGGGACATAGTAACACTTGTCGGATAAAGTTAGATCGAGCACATCACTGTTTAGAACGTTTGACTGCCGCTAGTGATTTCCGCGTAGGTGTCTCAGCGTGCGGAGGACGAGAGCCAGACGGGAGGAGTCGAGACTAAGTGAAGGAGTGTTGTGACGCTGAACACACGCAGGGGCAGAGGATAACTCTGCCTTGTGTGTAAGTATTGTAGCGACACTCCACCATCGTAGCCTAAGGCCTTATAGTTTCGGACCCCCGTACTGGCGTATGTTTTGCATTCTAGGTGGTCCGGTGCGTGTGACCCAGGTTGGAGTGCTGCCCTGGACCAGGAGGGAGTGGGACCTGCCTGCACCTGACTGTGGACCGTGCCTTTTAGTAGTTTTAACCTTTTTTTTAGCCCACCTTGTTTTTAATGGACTTTTAACAGTGTTTTTATTTGTGGGCATTTTTTTTTACTGTTTTAATTATTCCTTGTATTAAATTTTAATAACTTGCCACGACCTTTTTGTCCTCCTTGGTAGACAAGTGTGCTCTCACCCGGTCACTCAATCTCTTTTTTTTGCAATAGTTATTTTTCCGGTCAAATTTCATTCCGCTTCCAAACACCTCCATAGCCCCCCCCTCGTTACACCATAATGTTAGCTCCAGCAGGTCGAAGCTGAGTCTGTTGTTTACATGTTAATGCCAAACGGAGTTCTGCGCATGCGCGGCCGTGACTTGGCAAAAAGAAGGCAACGAAGCATACATCAGATGCATCCTTCATATCTGCTCCAAAAGTGGCCGTTTCCATGGAGACGAAGTCATGATGCCTACGCTTGGCGGGCTCGCCAAGTGGTTTTGGACACCCCTGCAATAGCCGTCGCTTGAGGAAGTGACGTCACGATGCCTACATATCCACCCTACGCGGCCCGATGCCTAGCGTTTTGGACACAGCCTCTGTGTCTCTCTGTGTCTCTCTTCTAACGTAAAAATAAACTGAGTTTATTATTCTCAAAAGCGTTACCTTCGTGAACAATAAACTAAAACAAATTTAGAAATTTAAATCCTTCCAACACTATACTGTGATTCCGGAGCAAACCAACAATACAGCACAAAGAAGAAAAGATTTTAGTGAAATCTCACCCTTTTAGAAAGTCGGCCTCTCTTTTCTCCAGTCTGCTGTACGCTGCTCTGCTTCCGCCTCAGGTCGAGTCGCCAAAATGTGGCCCAAAGCCACCTAAAAGTGTGTCGTCTTTAAAAACTGTTCTGACAGCCCAAAACTGCCGTCGTGACGCCAAAATGTTGCGTCATTGAACATGCTAAGAATTGAAAAAAATGTACTGTTACGTGACGCCAAAATGTTGTATCTTCTTATCAGCAGAAGATGGGGTTTCCCGCACAAACCAGTATAGTTGTTGGAGAAGGAATGCACTCTGAGTTATGTATTAAAGAAAGAGTTTAATGACATAATCAGAATACATCAAATCCAATTCAGGCTTAGCGCTCTCAGCCTGGGTCAGCTCAGAGAATGAAGATGGCATGACTGACCCCGCACAAACTGCGGACTCGTATCTTATAGATTGTTGAAGTCATAAGACACAGTCACAAGATCCAGAAAAAGCAAACCATACATCTAAGGACAGCCATGCACATTGTCCTAACATTAGTGTTGCTCACACGTCAGCCTCATGACTGAGTAAAGGATCATTAGAGTCAGCTGCTTCTACCATTTTGGCCCAGATGTTCCCAACACATTTTGAAGATACATGCTGTATATGTAGAATTTATAATAGCAGACAGTACACCTGGATTCCAAAGCTACTACAATACTACACTTAACACATCTATCACTGCCCTCAGAGGAGGATCCGGGGTTTAAACTCGTCATATGGCAACTCGAGCAGTAAAGGACCAAGGGAGAGACAGCGGCAGCCATAGGGGTAGCGAGTTAGCGGCTAGGCTAGGCTAGTCCGGACTCGGGTCCGGACTACAGCAGACTCCGAGACCAGACAAACAATCGATACCCAAACCTCAGCTACAATAATAATAAATGAATGAAACACAGTCTTGGGATACAATCACAGATTTATTGAAAACAAAAGTAAAGTGCAAAACCAACAGTTTACAAAGTCAAAAGTACGTATGTCAGAGACCAGGTCCAGACCAGGTCCAGATGAGGAGAATACTCCGGTCACTCATTACTCGTTGGTAATCTCCACACTAATGGGAAGAGATTCTCATACAAATATACACACAACAACTTAAATACAAGCACAAAACAGAATGACAACACGTGAATACTGCAGATAATACGAGATAAAGCACAGTAGCACAGGGAGGACGTTAGCTTAGCTGCTATAAATAGCTAAATGAAGCTTAATGTAGCTAGCTCACTGTGTACAACAGACACCGCCAAGTGCGTTTTATACATAGATGATGTGAATGTTTTATGCACCGACCTTTTATCAGTTAACAGGACTCTGGACTTGACTGACTGGTTTGGACTGGCCTCTGGGTCTAAGCTCAACAGAGCGAAGACCCAAGCCCAATTTTATGGACCCTGGACCCCTGACGAGACTGCTGGACTCCCCCTGACCGTGACCCAAGGACAGAAAATACTGGGAATCAGGTTTGACCGGGAGGGGGGAGGGAGTCAAAACTGGGGCGACGTCATAGGGAAAGTTAGGCAAAGACTGGGGTTCTGGACTCTTAGAGGACTGACTATAGAAGGGAAGGTTTTAATCATTAAAGCTGTGATTTTACCTTTGTTTTTACTAATTTGTTCTTTTTTTATGCCTCCTAGGAGAGTGATTTTAAACCTGGAGCGGGCAATCTTTTATTTTATCTGGGGCTCCAAGTGGGAACGGGTGAGGAGGGAGGTCCTAAAGAAGTCAAAGGAGAAAGGAGGCAAAGGCGTGCCGGACCTCCCTCTGTTCCTTGGAGCCCGCTTCACCGCCCTTCACCTCGCTCTGGCGACGAGCCCATCCAGAAACCCCAAAACTACGGCTTTTACAAGATTCTGGATGGGCTCCTTTTTAAGAATGAAAAAGTTTTTACCCATTGACCTGAGAGTCCCTGTGTCTTTTAACCTGCCCTTGTTTTACGCTTTTATTCCCACCTTTTTAAAGCGTTTTAACCTGGAGCAGGAGGAGTTGCAAGTTTTAACTAAACATCGTCTTTTAATCTCCTGTGTGCAGGAGCGGGAACCAGTGAGTCCGGTGCGCGGGCTCGCAATTGGTGAGCCCTCCGAGGTTTGGCGCAATGTGGACCATCCTGCTCTGCCAAACAGACTCCGGGACCTGTCCTGGATGGTGGCTCATGAGGTCCTCCCAGTCAGGTCCGTCATGCACTCCCGGGGCCTCCTACAGTCCGCAACCTGTCCCCGGCCGGGTTGTGGCGCGCCCGAGTCGGTGAGACACTTGCTCTGGGAGTGCAGCGCCGCCGTCGACCAGTGGGCAACAGCCGGCTCCTTACAATTCCCGTACCTACCAGCAGGGGAGGTCCTCACAGCACAGCTGATGCTGTACGGGGTGGGCCTAAGTCCAAATTCAAAAAAGGACTTCACAAGAATCTGGCTCACCCTCGTCGCCACCAAAGACGCCATATGGACCTCCAGAAACCTGCTGGTAGGAAGGCACATGCAGATCCCCCCCGTGGCTGTGATCCGGATGGCAGCGGCCACAGTCCGAGAGGCTGTGGCCCTCCCTGTAACAACCCTCCCTGTAACAAACAACAGTGTTGTCTGTGCCCACCTCCCTCACTCTGAGACATGTTTATTACTCTCTTGTAATGTAGACTATTGCACTTTATTTTTTTGTTGAAACTGTAGACATCCTGATCCTCTACAGTATGCTTCCACATACTGTATAAACCAGGGGTCGGCAACCTTTAGTGCTCCTCCAGTGGCTCCTGGAGCCTTTTCAAAAATGTCTGAAAATGGAGTGGGAGGGCTATATTTTATTCCTAGTTTGAATGTGGTTTCTGTAGGAGGAAAAACATTCCTAACGTATTTCAATGCTGTAAAAATGTGTATAAGTAATATTCAATTTCAACATTTCTGTCAACGTAGTGAGTCATATCCTGTGGCGCGGCCCCGCGCCAGGCGGCCGCTGCTGTAAACAAACCGGCGTGTGCGCACGGATCCCAAAGATAAAAAGAGAACGAGTCGATAATAAGACTGGACTAAGAACAAGACTGAACATTTGCTTTCAGTCAATGAGGAAGGACTGCTTCATGTTTGCGATGTAATAGGAAGTTTTGTTGCAACACGAGGAACAATGAAGCACTAAATACCGTTCACAGGGATTATGTGAAGGATTCTTTCATACAAAATCCGGAGCACCTTTTTCAGACTTCAAAAACCTCCGCAAAGACTGAAAGACAAGGCCATTAAGGACATTCAGCTCCAGCAAACTTCAGCCTGTGACGTAATCGATATGAGTGGACAGTGCAGGTGTGTGACCTTTGAGCCAAAAAGCAGATTTATTTACTGTATTTCTACAGTTGCATGAAGGCAAAAAAATGGAAGTCAAAGTTAAAGCAGAGTCATCACGTGGTGCGTCATTCTCTCCAGGACACGCTGCAGTGAAAACACACATTTGACAATCATGAATGCTAATCATGTATTTGTAGCCTTTACTTGGTCATTTAGATAATAGGCTAATGTAGCTACATTGTGTAACCTTCATATAAGCTTTATACAAGGCTGTTATTTTTTTGCGGCTCCAGACAGATGTTTTTAGTATTTTTTGTCAAATATGGCTCTTTGAACCTTTTGAGTTGCCGATCCCTGGTATATACAAACTGTAAAAAACGTGACAAAAACATGCCTGGGCCGGTAAGAAGGAAAAAAATGCCAGGGCCTTTTTTTTGTCCCAGTCCAGCCCTGCTCCAGAATGTCGGCCTCCAATGCCGGCAGGAGGAGGCACCACAGCGTGCGCTTCACCCTCAGAGAAGTAGATGGAAAAGTACTGGCCTTTTCCCGCCTGGACTTTTCCATGCGCTCTGAAGAGAAACAAGAGTGCCCAAATGTCGGGCCCCGGGAGAACAAAAACATTAGGCCTGGCAGTTCTATCGTGGTTGATCAGCTGCTAAAGTCCACCTAATTTGCACAAAGATGGGTGTGTGTGGTCCCCACTGACAACCATGTGACAACCTTTGCCACATGGTTGACAGCATCCTGTCATCAGCAAAAAGAAAAGAAAAGAGAAGAGAGGGGAAGAGAAGAGAACAGAAAACCTTTCCTTGTACGTGAGATCAGGGGAGAGCGCGTACGCAGTCCCCCACTATCAGAAATTATGCAGTTGAGATTCCCACATTTGGGGAATTCACAAAGGTCAGCACACCCGGTCAGTGCAATGGATGAGCCTCGCCTTGGGTGAACCACCTTCATGATCATGGTCTCGCCCCTGCCAGGTAAGTATGAATTGCTTGGATCAGAGCCAAGCCCCTGCTCCTGGGACGGTGAGCTGGCCAGCATGGTTCCCAGCAAAAGACCTCATTGGTCCCACCTTTGACAACAACAACGCACTGAAGAGAAACCAGAGTGCCTGAATGATGGGCCACGGGTTTCCAAGATAGTTCCAATAGTGATTTCAATAGCAACGGATGCAATGGTAACAGTAGCAAAGGTCACTAAGGCAACCATTGATATGTAATAGTCACTATGACAACCATAGTCACCATGGGAATTTTTATGTCAATGGTCACCTTGGCAACAATAGTTATGCAATAGTCAATCGGGTCATGTTCTTCGACTTCTCCAGCGCTGTTCAAATACCAGTCAGGAAAGGCACGCTGCAGAGGGTAAGATGGAGGACGCGAGGAGATGGGAAATCTAGCTTCTCTGCATGGACCATCAACTACCTCACTGCATGGACCATCAACTACCTCTCAGACCGACCACAGTACGTGCGGCTGCGCAGCTGTGAGTCTGAGGTGGTCGTCTGCAGCACTGGGGCCCCTCAGGGCACTGTCCTCTCACCGTTTCTCTTCACCATCTACACCTCAGACTTCACACACGACACACACAGCTGTCACCTGCAGAAGTTCTCCGACGACTCCGCCATCGTGGGCTGTGTGTCTGAGGGGAACGAACTGGAATATCGGTCGGTTATCACAGAGTTTGTTGCCTGGTGTGAGTGCAACCACTTGTGCTTGAACACCAGTAAGACCAAGGAGATGGTCATCGATTTCAGGAGGAAACCACTTTCCCACACGCTGCTGAACATCCAGGGGGAGGACATTGAGCTGGTGGACAGCTTCAAGTACCTGGGTGTTCACATTAACAATAAACTGGACTGGTCCATAATACAAACGCCCTGCACAAGAAGGGCCAAAGTCGCCTCTTCCTCCTGAGAAAGCTGAGGTCCTTCTGAGGAGGCTGAGGTCCTTCGGAGGAGGCTGAGGTCCTTCTGAGGAGGCTGAGGTCCTTCTGAGGAGGCTGAGGTCCTTCGGAGGAGGCTGAGGTCCTTCTGAGGAGGCTGAGGTCCTTCGGAGTGAGCAGGCCTCTGCTCAGGACTTTTTATGACTCTGTGGTAGCTTCTCCAGGCCGTGTGCTGGGCCCGGGATGCACAGAGCGGGAAGGATCAGGCCCCTGGACTCTGTGGAGGAGGTGAGGGACAGGGGCCCCTGGACAGGAGGCCCTGGACTCTGTGGAGGAGGTGAGGGACCCCTGGACTCTGTGGAGGAGGTGAGGGACAGGAGGCCCCTGGACTCTGTGGAGGAGGTGAGGGACAGGAGGCCCCTGGACTCTGTGGAGGAGGTGAGGGACAGGAGGCCCCTGGACTCTGTGGAGGAGGTGAGGGACAGGAGGGTGCTAGCCAAAGCCACCTCCATCATGAACAACACCTCCCACTGCACAGGACTGTAGAGGAGCTGAGGAGCTCCTTCAGTGGAAGACTGAGGCACCCTCAGTGTAGGAAGGAGCGCTACCGCAGGGCCTTTATCCCCACCGCTGTCAGACTGTACAATAAGTCACTTTAAATGATCACTGTGTGAAAACCTGCACTACTATTGACACTGTTTCCAATTGTCACTTGTCACTTTTATTGTACATATATATCCTGCATGTAACATGTTTGCACATTTCCTCCTTTTGCACAATCTGAGTGTTCTATCCATGCCAAATGTGACATGTACATTTCTCTTCTGTGAGATAAAAAAGCATATCTTATCTTAACAAGGTTAGGTAAATCAGAGTTAATATTAGAGCCCATTTGTCCGCCCACTGACAGGGTCTTCAGGGCGACAGTAGCTCAGCTGGTAGAGCATCAGCCTTTGAGCCAGAAGGTCGCGGGTTCGAGCCCGACTTTCATCATCGACTCCCACTGTCTGCTGACGCTGTGTCCTAAGCAAGACACTTCACCCCCATTGCCTAGAATGAGTCTGGTGTGTGTGAATGGTTGGTGGTGGTCGGAGGGGCTGATGGCACAGACTGGTTGCCTCGCTTCTGTCAGTGTGCCCCAGGGCAGCTGTGGCTACAGTAGTAGTTTATCACCACCGTGTTTGGAGAGAGACAATAATAAGACTTACTTATTGCTGGTTCGTGCAATGCACAGGACGGGAACAGGTTTGAGAGAAATGGAGTGTCTTCAATCAAATGAAAAAACATCTGGTCTTATACTGAACATGTGTCTGTGGTTCTGAAGGGCTATACTGAACATGTGTCTGTGGTTCTGAAGGGCTATACTGAACATGTGTCTGTGGTTCTGAAGGGCTATACTGAACATGTGTCTGTGGTTCTGAAGGGCTATACTGAACATGTGTCTGTGGTTCTGAACAATGTGTCTGTGGTTCTGAAGGGCTATACTGAACATGTGTCTGTGGTTCTGAAGGGCTATACTGAACATGTGTCTGTGGTTCTGAAGGGCTATACTGAACATGTGTCTGTGGTTCTGAAGGGCTATACTGAACATGTGTCTGTGGTTCTGAAGGGCTATACTGAACATGTGTCTGTGGTTCTGAAGCAGACCCAACCTGGTCACGTGCTCTATCACAGCCTGCGTATCCCGCAGAGACTGCTCGCGAGTGGGGGCACAGATCAGCCAATCGTCCAGATAGGGCAGGATCCTCAACCCCCTGGCCTGCAACGGGGAAAGAGCCGCCGCCACGCATCTCGTAAAGACCCGAGGAGAGAGCGAGAGGCCGAAGGGAAGCACCCTGAACTGGAAGTGCCTCCCCTGAAAGGCAAAACGCAGGAACCGGCAATGCTGAGGAGCAATCGGGACGTGAAAGTAGGCGTCCTTCAGGTCTATCGACGTGAACCAGTCCCCAGGGGACACCGCCTGGAGGACCTGCCGGACACGCAACATCTTGAAAGGGAGGACCTTCAAGAAAACATTCAGACGCCTCAGGTCCAAGACCGGTCGCAAGTCGCCGGTCTTTTTCGGTACAAGAAAATAACGGGAATAAAAGCCCCCTGGATCCAGCAGGGGGTCGACAGGCACGATGGCATCCTTGTCCAGTAGAGTACGAATCTCCCGGACAAGTGCCTGCGCCCTGACCGGGTCCTGGATGACAGTCACAAGGACCCGGCCGGGAACAGGAGGCCGGCGGCGGAACTGGAGACGATACCCCACGGACAAAGTGGCCACAACCCATGCATCGGGGGATTGGGCCCTCCACCCGCCCCGGCGCACAGGGGCAGCAGAAGCGTGACGCACGCGGGGGATGCCTGTGCAGTCCCCACCAACTGCTGCCGGGTCTGAGTGGGCCTGGACCGTCGCGCTCCAGAGCCGCAATGGCAGCCGAGCCAAACAGCTCTCCAGGGAGCACAGGAACGCTCCTCAACACTCTGCGGCTGGCCTCGGAGAGAGGGGACTGCGCCAACCACACCTGGCGGCGAGTCTGAACCAGCGTAGAGAGGAGACGCCCCAGTTCCCCTAGACATGAAAGGCAAAAGCCTGCAAGGAAGCATCCACCATCCCCTGCGTGGACTGGTCCAATGTGGACAGCCTCCAGAGAAGCGGACAGCCCCAACAGCAGATGAGACAGGGAGATTCCCAATGCGGCCCATGCGGGCCCCCATGTCATAGGCCTTGCAGAGCAGGTCATCTGTGGCCCGGACACATGCGGCCGAGGGCACCGGGCATTAGTGCGCAGAGCCTCTTCAGGGTGTACAATCAAGGAGGCAATGGCAGGCTCCACCGCCGGCATATGCCCCAGGCCAACTTTGTCAGGCGCCTGCATAGAAGCCAGGGCCCGACCGTCCGAATTGGGCCTAGAAAAAAACCCTCGTGTCAGTCCAACAGGCATGTAGCTCCTTGACATATTCCGCCGAAGGAGGAACAGAGAACCCCGAGGACGCAGACTGGCGGCGAAAGAAGGCACTCGAGGGCCCCGCATCGCACTGAGGCACATCCACTTCAAATGCGCCAGAGCGCCGTTCGGATCGCCGCAGTCACGGGCTCATCGGAAACCGACAGAGACCCGACAGAACCCACCGAACCAGACTCCGAGACCCTGGAGCTCAGAACATCAGAGCCGCCGAAAATGTGTGTCAGATGCCGCCACCGAGAGAGCATCATCCTCATCGCACACCGACAAAGGGACCGAGACCGGTCGGGCCACCGACTGGCCAGTACCAGCCTGAAGGTCATGAAGGTGGGTCCGCAACTGAGCCAACTCCACAGAAAGCGAATCGACCTTCGAAGTCAGAACCCCGCGGACCAGAGGACTTTGACTTCTTCCGCGGAAGGGTCATCACCCCGGGCGGCCCTCACGTTTGCGACCAGGGGGTCGGTCAACCAACAGGGCAGACTCACAGTCCCCAGAATCGCCACTGAAATGTCCGTCCAGGGCCGACTGGCGGGGCCACGCGCACCGGCCAGGGCATTACCGCACAATCGGGACATGCACGCTCGGTTAGCGCCTCCCTGCAGGTGGCCCACACCCAGACAGGAGGGACACAGCACATGGCCATTAGTCCTGCTGCATCGGGGCCAGACAGGACTGGCAGGCCAACGGCTCAAGCATCCCAGCGAGCTAACGCGCAGGAGCAGTCCGCCGCCAAGTACAGGGGCACTCCGGCTAGGGTCAGGTCGAGCAGAGACGCCACTAGTGACCCACCGAACGCCTCACAGGTTCAGGGAACAACCAATACAGCAGGGTCAGGTCGAGCAGAGACGCCACTAGTGACCCACCGAACGCCGTACACGTGCCGGGAACAACCAATACAGCAAGGTCAGGTCGAGCAGAGACGCCACTAGTGACCCACCGAACGCCCGTACACGTGCAGGGAACAACCACAATATAGTAGGGTAGTGCGAGCAGAGACGCCACTTACAACCCGCATGAAACACGTGGAACACGCGCAGGCAACAGCCAATTCAACAGGGTCAGGTCGAGCAGACACGCCACCAGTGACCGACAGAATAATTAACAAATAATTAGCAAGGTAATTAACAAGACACAGGGTCAGGTCGAGCAGAACGCCACTGGTAACCCGACAAACACACTCTGAATACGCGCAGGTAAACAGCCAGATAAACAGGGTCGGGTCGAGCAGAAACGCCACTAGTAACCCCTCAATTATAAGAAGTAAACGAAAAACACCGAGCACAAAGTCACGGCGAATAAGCAAAACAAACACTCACCAGAGGGCAAGCGGCGCGGCTTGCGCAGCCCCGGAGGGCGAGAAACTCGCAGCACCGACCGACGAGCAGTCACGGGGCTACAGGCAGCAAGCGGCGCGAACAACAGGCACAAACAGCTATCGATTAGCTTCAGCCAGACTCATACAACCTGCATGCGAGAAAGTGAAAAGGGACTGTGCTTCCGGTGTCACGTGGCTTTATAGACTCTCGCGTGAACGACCGGAGGTCACGGGTGACTTTGTTGTTATTTGACTCTCGATCTGTGCATGCGCGAGGATGATCATCCAGTGCTTAAGCACCGCCTCTGGCGGTCAGGAAGGATGAAATAGAAATGGCCACCTTCACTATTGAATTGTTATGGCAATGGTCACCTTGGAAACCGATGATATCCATCACTATAGCACTGGTCACTATGGGAAACCACAGCTATGCAATCATCCCTGATTTCCATAGCAACCGTTTTCATGCCATAGAACGCAATAGACTGAATGGAAAAACTTGTTACATACTTATTTATCTTGAATAAAAATATGTAAAGCACCCCAAATGACATTTTGCTCACTTTATTCTTCACATAAAAGGCCAAAAAAATACCACAGAAAATGCAGTCAAGTGTACAAAACATGTATGTAAAGGTCATAGAATTATTGAGTTGGATTTATAAGATCCACCAAGCGCCGGTTTAGGAGCAGCAAAAGCGACACTGTTGCTAGCCACAGTATGAGTAGAGTTTGCTGGATGTGCCGAAATGGTACGTGTGGTTTTCATGACCCACCACTACTGAACACATATTTCTTTGAACATCATGAAGGAAGCCCCGCAGTGAAGCGGGCATCTAAAAATGGCAATATTCTCTTATTGTTCCTCACCACGGGAAATCTTTAGTAAAAGGCGAATGATTTATACGCTCTGAAGAGAAACAAGAGTGTCCAAATGTCGGGCCCCGGGAGAAACACAAACATTAGGCCTCACGTTTCTATCGTGTGTTGATCAGCTGCTAAAGTCCACCTAATTTGCACAAAGATGGGTGTGTGGTCCCCACTGACACGGGGTGACCAGTTTACACGTGCAAATGCTCTGTCTGATTGACTGCACTTGGTTGATTTAAAACACAACCAACACATTCCACATGTATATATGGCATTAAAAAGAAGCAAGAAAACGGAAATTAAACAGCAGCACTAAGAACTTGCCACAATGACTTTTACAGTAAAGAGGAGTTGCACCGTTCCTGGAGGTACTATAATTGCAATACCAGGTCCAATGCATGGAGAGGACAGAGCAAGCTCCTAATTCCATCTCCCAGTTCAAAAATCAATTTAATATATGGTCCCCCCATGTAGGGGACGTATCAGATATTAAACTGATAAGAACAGATTTTTTCATTCGAAAAAGTTTATTGACACAAAGTCATCATTATGGCATTTAAAACAACACATACATTTTTCAACACAACATACAAGGTTAAAAATAAGTAATTTCCATAAAACCAGGGTTGTGTTTAAAATGTGTCAAAAAATGTCCATAAAAAACAGGTGTCATAAAAAAACCCATAAAAAGTGTCAATTAAAACGGAGTGCAGTGAATAAAAGCCCTCCTTGTGCAGAAGCGGGGTGAGTCCCTATCAAGTCGGACTCATCCTGCTCTACCAAACATTTGGTCTCTCGGGCCTGTCTGCTCAGAGGTCCTCGCCCTTGCTCCTTCCCACCGTCCGCTCCCGAGAGTCAGGCCGTTGCGGCTTTGACCTTCAGTGCGGCTTCGGTCTCCTTCGTCCGAATGAGCACAGAGGCGATGCTTCTGTGTGGCTGTGTCCTAGGGCCCGCCGCCTGCAGCCACAGCCTCTCGGACTGTGGCTGCTGCCATCCGGATCACAGCCACGGGGGGGATCTGCATGTGCCTTCCTACCAGCAGGTTTCTGGAGGTCCATATGGCGTCTTTGGTGGCGGCGAGGGTGAGCCAGATTCTTGTGAAGTCCTTCTTTGCACTCGGACTTAGGCCCACCCCGTACAGCATCAGCTGTGCTGTGAGGACCTCCCCTGCTGGAGGTACGGACCTGCAAGGAGCCGGCTATTGCCCACTGGACGGACTCCCCAGAGCAAGTGTATCATGGGCGCGCACAACCCGGCCGGGGACAGGTCCAGGACTGCAAGAGGCCCCGGGAGTGCCGGACCTGACTGGGAGGACCTCTGAGCCACCATCCAGGACAGGTCCCGGAGTCTGTTTGGCAGCAGGATGGTTCACGTTGCGCCACACCTGTGAGGGCTCGCCGATTGCGAGCCCGCGCACCGGGCTCACTGGTTCCCGCTCCTGCACACAGGAGATTAAAAGACGGTGTTTGGTTAAAACCTGCAACTCCTCCTGCTCCAAGTTAAAACGCTTTAAAAAGGTCGGGATAAAAGCATAAAAACAAGGGCAGGTTAAAAGACACAGGGACTCTTAGGTCAATGGGTAAAAACTTTTTCCTTCTTAAAAAGGAGCCCATCCAGAATCTTGTAAAAGCAGTTGTTTTGGGGTTTCTGGATGGGCTCGTCGCCAGAGCGAGGTGAAGGGCGGTGAAGCGGGCTCCAAGGAACAGAGGGAGGTCCGGCACGCCTTTGCCTCCTTTCTCCTTTGGCTTCTTCAGGACCTCCCTCCTCACCCGCTCCCACTTGGAGCCCCAGATGAAATAAAACACCGCCCTCTCCAGGTTTAAAATCGCTCTCCTAGGAGGCATAAAAACTGAACAAATGAGTAAAAACAAAGGTAAAATCACGGCTTTGATGATTAAAACCTTCCCTTCCATGGTCAGTCCTCTAAGAGTCCAGAACCCCAGTCGTTGCCTAACTTTCCCTATGACGTCGCCCCAGTTTTGACTCCCTCCCCCCTCCCGGTCAAACCTGATTCCCAGTATTTTTTGTCCTTGGGTCACGGTCAGGGGGAGTCCAGCAGTCTCGTCGGGGGTCCAGGGTCCATAAAATTGGGCTTGTGTCTTCGCTCTGTTGAGCTTAGACCCAGAGGCCAGTCCAAACCAGTCAGTCAAGTCCAGAGTCCTGTTGACGGATAAAAGGTCGGTGCATAAAACATTCACGTCGTCCATATATAAAACACATTTGGCGGTGAGCCCCCCCCCACCCGGGATGCCCACCCCCCTGATTCTTTGGTCCCTTCTCAAGACCTGTGCCAGCGGCTCGATGCAGAGTATGTACAGGAGGGCAGATAACGGACAGCCCTGACGGACACCGCAGTTGATTTGCACTGCCTTTGTCAAATGCCCGTTAACAATGAATCTGCTGCTGATCCCACGGTATAGCAGCCCCACCCACTCTATAAACCTGTCAGGTAAACCCACTTTTCGCAGCACCTCAAAGAGGTACTGGTGCGAGACCCGATCGAAGGCTTTCTCAAAGTCTAGATTTAGGACTACTAGCCGAATGTTTCTGTCTCTCGCATAACAGATGGTGTCTCGGATCAGTACGAGGCTGTCGGTGATCCTCCTCCCGGGTACGGCACAGGCTTGATCCGGGTGAATCAATCCCTCTAAAAACACAGACAGACGTGAAGCTAAAATCTTGCTAAAAAGTTTGCAATCGACATTTAAAAGGGTGATAGGTCTCCAGTTGGTCAAGTCAGTCTTGTCTTTGTCTTTGGGAAGTAGAGTCACTATCCCTTCTCTAAAACTGTCAGGTAGTCGGCCTAGTCGTTCAAACTCCATAAAAACATTTAAAAGGTCATCTGCTAAAATATCCCAGAAAGTTAAATAAAATTCCACCGGGAGCCCATCGGCCCCCGGGGATTTCCCCCTTTTAAAAGTCCGGATTGATAAGAACAGATACTACACTTGATCTTAGCCAAAAGGCCGAGAAGCGATGCCACAAATATGTGGCAGTAATTCTGTGGATTTCTGCTGACAAACCTTTGCCACGTGGTTGACAACATCCTGTCGTCAGAGAAAAGAAAAGAAAAGAAAAGAAAAGAGAAGAGAAGAGAAGAGAAGAGAAGAGAAGAGAAGAGAAGAGAAGAGAAGAGAAGAGAAGAGAAGAGAAGAGAAAAGAAAAGAAAAGAAAAGAAAAGCAAAGAAAAGACATCCACATCCAACAAACTCTACTCATACTGTGCTGCAACAGTGTCGCTTTTGCTGCTCTAAACCCGCGCTTGGTGGATCTTATAAATCCAACTCAATAATTCTATGATCTTTACATACAGAAAGGAATTGATTGATTTAAGAAAAGTGTCTACTGTAAAATGTTATCCTTTCATGAAGAAATCAACACCACTTAAATCTAAAAAATTGAATTTACTTGAAACAAAGGGTCAAACTTTCCCCATCGGAGGATTTCTTGAAATGAGCTACTTAACTCAATCATTTACTTAAAACATTGCAATACTGAACAGAATCGTTTTCCCCCCATCAGTATACAAATAAAGTTGATAGAATTGCTATCGCATGTTTTTATTGGTGGCGGTGAAGTTGGCTGGATGACACAGAGGCCGTGGTTTGGACATTTCTGGTTTATATGGAGTTTGCGGTTTATGTATGATGTGAAAGGATTCTATTTAAGAAAGATGGGAATAAAAACAGAAATATCTTTAATTCAGAACATTGATCAAATCTAAGGTCCAAAGAAACCAATGTTTTCATAGAGACGTGCAGAGAAATATATTTTAATCTCATTGGCAAATAATGTGATTCGACGCTAAAATGTTCAACCTTGTATTTTATTTATATTATTTATACATTTTACAACATAAAAAAACAAAAACAATCATTTTTTCATGTCTGCTTGACTTTGCTGCTGATCCACAGTAAACAAACACGTTTCTGATAAATAACATCTGTATAAGTGACGCCACTGAGCTTCAACAGATTTAAAACTATATAGAGTTTATTTGACACTTTTAAAATCCCTCGAAAGCAAAAGGCGTCTCTGGAGAAGTCTCTTTCTCTCATACAGTCACACCAGCTATCTCCAACCTTTTTCACCCAGAGAGCTACTTTCCCGCTACTCAAAACAACATTGCTGATACTGTATATTGGGAGTGAGCAAGCCTGATATTGGGTACTGTCATTATTTATCATTGCATATTTGTTACTCGTGCACAAAGTGAGAGCATTTACAATAATAACATAATGAAAAATACAATTTGAAATATTAAGTATATTATTTGATTTGTTTATTTCTAAATCCTCTGGTGAGCTACCTGGAAGGGGGTGGCGAGCTACTGGTTGAAGACCCCTGAGTCACACACATGGTCCACTGTGCCAGCTGGTTTTCTCTGTGGACCCCTCTGTATCACACTCTGAGCAGCACTGACTGATTACGGCCACTAGGGGCAGTGCGTTCAGAAATATAATCAAGTTCACGTGGGGCTTTGAAATGAGACAGGTGGGTCTGCTGTTCTGGAGGATCAGGCTCTGAGATGGCAACGCTCACACTGGCAACCCTGAGACTGGCAACCCTAAGGATCCCAGAGCTCAATGGAACCTGCACTAACCTCGTTTACAGCAGGAGTCCCAACCTCTTTTGTCTCTGTTGATTCTCTGATCTGTGTCGGCAAATTGACAGCTTTGTAAAGTCCTCCAAGATAACTACTGTTGTAATATAGGGTAATTTAGTCTGGGACGAAATGCCAAGATCTGAGGGCTGCAGGTTGGAGGCCCCCGGTTTCAGTCAGAGGTTTGTGATCAGAGATTGTCTCTGTTACAGACGCACCACTCCTCCAGAGAGACGCTCAAGTCTGAAGTTTAGGAACGATACAAAAATAAGTGATTTACTTTATTGCACTTTTCAAAACCAGTTCCTCTGCATTCACAGTGAGACTCTTGGAATCCCAGAGTTTAGAGTTTGTGGAAACAGCGTCATTTTGGCGTTTGGACCACTTCGTACTGACCGCCTCAGACTGGATACACACACACACAAACACACATGTACGGTCACACACAGACAAACACGCATACTGTCACATACACACTGTCACTCACACACACGTATCGTCACACACAGACACACACACAGACATATACTGACAGACGCACACACACCCATACATATTGTCACACACAGACAGTCAGTGGTTCCAGTCCCAGGGCACACAGACACACACACACAGACACACACACAGAGTCAGTTGTTCCAGTCCCAGGGCACACACACCTCCCCGTCCTGCAGCACAGAGTAGTAGCTGCAGACCTGCAGCTCCAGACCCTGCAACAGAGGAGGCCTCAGCTCCAGCAGCCGCTCGCAGCAGGACCACATCTGGACACTGGACACACTGGGGTCTTTGGACAGAGAGGACAGGGACAGGGACACCAGGCACCGCTGGAGAGACAGGTCCTCCTCACGCTTCTGCCTGTGAGGACAGAGAGAAGACAGTGGAAAAGGTTAGCGTGATGTTTGGACCTGTGTCGACTTTGCACCACAGGAAAGACAGGAACAGGGCAAAGTAAAAGGGGTCAAGAGATAAGACAAAGAGAGACCAGAGAGAGAGACCAGAGAGAGAAACCAGAGAGAGAAACCAGAGAGAGACCAGGGAGAGATCAGAGAGAGACTAGAGAGATGGACCACAGAGAGAGACCAGAGAGTCATCAAAGAGACCAGAGATGAGACAAAGAGAGAGACCAGATGGAGAGACAAGTGAGAGACCAGAGAGAGACCAGTGAAACCATAGACATAGAGAGACCAGAGAGAGACCAGTGAAACCATAGGCATAGAGAGACCAGTGAAACCATAGACATAGAGAGACCAGAGAGAGACAAGAGAGAGCGATCAGAGAATGAGAAGAGAGAGAACAGAGAGAAACCCAAGAGAGAATTGACAGACTGGGTGTGGTGCAGGGTGGTGTTACTAACTGCAGGTGGCGCTGTGTCCTGCGCCGGGCTTCGGGGGCGTGGCCCTGGAGGAAGGCCTGCAGCGTGAAGAGGTCAGAGGTCACGGGGATCAGGAAGTGCCCTCTGTCATGCAGCGCGGGCGAGGAGCGCTGACTGAGGAACAAGAGAAAACAGACTCAGGTGTTTCCTTTATTCACTCAGAGAGCAGCAGGTACAGCAGGCTCGGGACTAGAAGCAGCAGTCTCCTCAGCAGCAGCAGTAACAGTAGTATACAGTAGCAGCAGAAGTAATCAGCAGCAGTAACAGTAGTAAACAGAAGCAGCAGTTGTAGTAGTACACAGCAGCAGCATTAGAAGTCTACATCAGTGCCCTCACTTGTCCAGCATCAGTAACAGTAGTACACAACAGCAGCAGTAGTCTACGTCAGTCTCCTCACTTGTCCAGCATCAGAGCGAGCCCCTCCAGACTCCTAGGGTGCACTCTGAGCCCCTCCTGCAGCAGGCTCTTGTGGAGGCGGCTCAGCTCGCTGTAGTGCTCCGACACACGCTGTTCACTCTGCTCCGGCAGCAGCACCACAGCGCCTCCTAGCAGCAGACTGATGCGCTCCTTCAGCCACAGGCACTGCTGCAGCAGGCTGCGCAGAGAGGACAGGCCCGACAGCAGCTGGGGACACACAGGACCATTAGAGGTGACTCAGACCATGAGGATTAGAGCTGACTCAGACCAAGAGGATGATTCAAGAATTTGAAAGTGAACATTTTGTGACAGTCTTAAAACAAGATACAAATAACGATTCTTCCAATCATTCTTTCTCCTTGTTAGTCATTTATTAGTGTTCAAAATGTAAATATATATATAAAACTTTGTTTCTGGTTTAGGTCTGTCTGAGTCTTTGTTTATACCTAGTTTACACCTGGTTTTATACCTTATACCTGGTTTATAGTAAGTAAGTAGTAGGGGTGGGAACCTCAGGGTACGATACGATACACGATACAAAGCTCACGATAACGATTATATCACAGTATGACGATTATCGATATATTGGTCGGAAATATACCATATGCCAATTTATGGCATAAATAAAAGACAAATTTTAAGTGAAAAAATACACTTTATTTCATGATAAATGGAATGGAGACGCGTAATGTAGTCATATATTGAGTATTGATACTAATTTGAAAAATATATATATATATTTTTTTTCAAAATCAATACTTGGCAAATGCATATCGATAATCGATCGCAGGAGAAAGTATCACGATATATCGTTATATTGATATATTGTCACACTCCTAGTAAGTAGTAGTAGTAATGTTTATTTATATAGCGCACTTTACAGACCAATCTCACCCAAAGCGTTTTACAATGAAAAACCTACACAGACACAAGGAGAACATGCAAACTCCACTCAGAGAGGCCATGTTCCAACCGGGATTCAAACCCAGGACCTTCTTGCTGAGAAGCGAGAATGCTATCCACTCCGCCACCGAGCCGCCCCTGCTTTACACCTGGTTTACACCTGGTTAGGAGCAGCTCAGTAAATAAATATACTGGTTTGGCATGTATCTTATTGCTGGTCCTTGGGAAAATTAAGAGGAACAGACATGTATTAAACTGGGACTTTACCGTGAGCCACTGATGGTGGACGTCCATGGTCCCGAGCGTCACATGACCCCCTGCGTCCATCTCTGTCTGGTCCGCGAAGACCACTGTGTGACCTGAGCACAGAGAGACAGCTCCTTTAGAGACCACCCTGACCTGAGCACAGAGAGACAGCTCCTTTAGAGACCACCCTGACCTGAGCACAGAGAGACAGCTCCTTTAGAGACCACCCGGACCTGAGAGACAGCTCCTTTATAGCGCTTTTCCACAGCACCGGCACTACACCACTCTACACGACACGTCACGACCCGGTCGAGTATGCGTGCTTTTCCACATATCTCCATCGGACATCTTCAAGTGGGTGGGCTTTTCATACCACCGCTACCGTTACGTCATTTCCGCTACCGTTACGCCATTTCCGCGCGACTCACGAGCATGAAACCAGGAAAAACATTACATCCTCAAACAATGGAGGACTCCGACACGATCGTGGTGTTGCTGCTCTCTCTGTGGCTACTAGTCACAAATAGACTGAAAAGCCTGAGAAGAATCCAGGCGGCGAGACACCAAAGAATGACAAAGTTATTGAAAACCTTGCAGGAGTCCGCAACATTTACTTTATGGCCAAAAACTCAAAGTCCTCCATAGATACCACTACAGAGACCACTAACTTTTAAAAATGGGTTTCAGCACTTGCTCGCATTGCACAAAAATAGTGCTGATAACATTAATATAGATATGGATGTTAATAGCAAGAAACTCAAGAGGGCAAGTGGAGAGGTCCAACGCACCACTAGAACAGGACACAATGTAGCGCAAGTATTGACAGTCATAATGGATTCATTTTTTGTGCTGTTACTCGTTTTGTCATTGTAACCTTTTGGTGGGATATGCATGTATGTGTTCATGTATATGCAGAGAGCCAATATTATGAATTCATAAAAATATGAATTCATACATTTTCAATCATACACCCATTAACCATTCCCACCATTACCACAACCTTTATTCCCTTTCAGATTTGGATCAGCCACTCGCACGTGCACACACACAACTCTTTATCGTGCCTTTCTTACCCACTTTCCTAGCTTATTGTATTGTAACCAACACTGTACATTATCAGTAGTCTGTATTGTTCCCTGTAGGCTCCTCACTTCATGACTGGGAATAAATAAACCTTCTATTCCTAAATTTACCACAATTAAGGATTTACTGACAACAAATAATGTAAAAACTTTGGTTTACATGTTAACTGTCATGTGTACCGAGAAATGAAACCTGTCTTGGAAAAAATCACACATTTATTTAAAAAAAACAAAATTTTAAAGTGCACCAATAAAATTATGTACAAAGTGTCTTGGTGAAGAGTGTCTTGGTGAAGAGTGTCAGTTTCGGCGGCCACTCATGGCTTCCACCAGCTGGCCCAGGAGACCAAGAAATGATTGGTTAAATGCAGCCGCCTGTGCATTTTCCTCCCTCCTCAATGTCGCTTCCAACTCTTGCGACTCTCTGACGAGCTGGAGTTGCTGTGTCCGGTTCAGCTCCTGCTGCACCACATCTTCAGCTTGGATCTGCCTCATCATTTCTACTGTCTCCGTCTGGAAGAGCCCCCTTTTTCTCTTCCCTGTACAACAATAAAAAAAGTATTAACAGTTGGTAATTATCCAAAGCAGTGACATTTCTGGAGACATACTTTTATGTAGGCAAAAAGATTATTACGTTTCAGACCAGTATATATCACACTACCCGAGATGTTGCAACAACTACCCTTTCAAAGAGGAAAAACCTCCACTAAAAGAAAGTGTTACGTGTGGGATCATTTGACTTAATTGCAAATCGGGTAATGTTTGTATGTCATGTTTCACGCTTTGTCAATAAACAATATTTAATGGTCAATGTTTAGGCATTTTAGGACAAAGCATGAGCATGACTTAAATACACCCAGATTAATCAAATCAGTCAGTGCAGCTAAAATTACATTTCGCTGCATTTCTTTTTCACACCAAAGTGAAGTGGTATTGTATCACAAATTAGATTTTTTATTTGGAAAAAGATCACTGACAGGTGGTCCGATTCCTTTTTTATTGACATTCTCTAAAGCTAGGGTGATAGTGTCCAAAATATGCATTAATTGGACATACTTCACCGAGTTGAATGCTATTACTTCTGAGATCCACCAGGTGTCGGTATAGAGCTGCACTGTTGCGGCACAGTATCAATGTAGTTGTATTTTTTTTTTTTGCTGCTATAGGACATGAATTTCTCCCAGGGTGATGAATAAAATATCTATCGATCATGTATTATGTCTGCCCTGCGCCTTACCCGTGACCACACGCTGTCGTGCGCTGGTTCTGGAGGGATTGGGGACGGGGACCCTTGGGGGGTCGTTCGACGCTTCACTTGCGACAAGGGATTCTATAATAAGACAAACACACACAACGACTTAAGTAAAAGCACAAAACTGAATGGCAACACGTGAAATGGCAAGATGTAGCACGTGTTAGCAGCTTGCTATCGATAGCTTAAAGTAGCTAGCTCACTTTGTACAGCAGACAACAATCAAACGTTTACATGAATAAATACATTCCAGTGGGCATTGAGCCACAGGTTACGTGATAATGCATTTTCACAATAACTACAGATTAAAAGTTACAAAGCACTTACCATTATCGCCCATTCTCGACGTGGTAGAAGAGTCCAGAGCACACTCCTGTCCATTGTTTGCAGGCCTGTGGCCATAAATGGCATCCATCTCGGCATACCACCTCCAGGTCTTCCGATTGACCCCACTTCGGCCGTTGTGGTCCTTTATGGCCCGGTAATCACACTTCATCTTTTTAATCTTGTCCCTGCACTGCTGGTGCGTGCGGTGGTAACCGTGTGTGAGCAAGAGCTGGGCGATCTCTTTATAGACCTTCTCATTTCGCGTACTGCCATCGAGCTCCTTCTGTATTCTGTCTTCGGCCAGTAAAGATAGAAATGTTTGGACCTCATCAACAGACCACGGTGTGGACTTTTGCGGCTTGCTGGATTCCATTTCTCGAAGCGGAGTGCAGTGTGTATGCTCACAGGGCAGTTTTAAAAATGGCGGGGTTGAATCTTGTCTCTCAATACGGTCAGACGTGGCACTTATGACGCTACCAGTGACGACAGTCGTTGGCCAATAGTGTGAGAGAGCCGTTGGCCAATAGCGTAGGCAGTCCGCTTACGTCACGAGAGTGTAGCTTTTTGGAACCGCTCCCGAGGCGGTCCGAAAATAGAACACAATACCTAGCTCCAACGCTAGTGGAAATGCAAAAGTAACGCGCCGTGTCGTGTAGAGTGGTGTAGTGCCGGTGCTGTGGAAAAGCGCTATTAGAGACCATCCTGACCTGAGCAGACACAGCCCCTTTAGAGACCACCCTGACCTGAGCACTTTCTCTCCAGAAGCCCATTGGTCAGGTTGATGTGTATTTAGTGGGTTAGTTAGTGAGTGTATTAATAGGACACATGTTTAGTTGGACACATGTTTAGTTGGACACATGTTTAGTTGGACACATGTTTAGTTGGACACATGTTTAGTTGGACACATGGTTAGTAGGACACATGTTTAGTTGGACACATGTTTAATTGGCCACATGTTTAATTGGCCACATGTTTAGTTGGACACATGTTTAGTTGGACACATGGTTAGTTGGACACATGGTTAGAGTGAGTGGGTTAGTGAGTTGTATAGATAGTCAGTATAATCTTACCCTGCAGTGGGACCAGAGCCTCCGGTTGCTGCAGCGACAGACGCTTCAGACTCTGGAGCTGACAGCATCTGTGAGATACACCCCACCTGCGCTGCCACCTGCAGGACCACAACAGAATGACAACCAGGACCTAACACACAACACACAGTACGACAACCAGGACCAAACGCGCTACACATGTACCACAATATGACAATCAGAACCAAACACACTTTCTCAAATAAGTTTCAGAACTGCAGGTCCAAAAGCAGAAGCAGGTTATGTCTTTTTCAACATCTCTGTTTAGTACCCGATTTATCTGAGGTCTGGTACCTGATGTATCTGATGCCTGGTACCTGATGTCCGTGAGGTGGAACTGGTGGCAGAGCTCGGCCTTCAGTCTCTGCAGCTCGTCTCTCCGCGGGACACTGGCCTTGTGCTTCTTTGTCGCCTCTGGTTCATTTTTCCTCAGCCACAAACTGAAAACAACACATTTGTCATCACTTTTTGCAGTGAGGGGGGTTCTTTCTGGTACCTGAGTGCTCCCCCAATCGCAGCTTAGTTTCAGATCCCCTTTATTAGCAGTAAAACTACATTGGAATACATGTGCAAAAATCCCCAGTGTGAACCAGACAAATAAAGCAAGACAAATTAAAGCAAGCTAAAAATGTACAGGAAACAATTGTCACAGTGAAACCAAACAACAAGAAACAAGTTGCTTTTACTCACACACACACTGAAGGGGGGTGGTCTTTCTGGTACCTGAGAGTGGGTTGCACGCGCTGGGCCTGCCGCAGCTCCTGCTCTGGGTCTCTGAAGCCGGTGAAGCTGTAGTAGGACTTGTCCCACTTGATGGGTCTGTAGAAAGGCTGCGGTGCTGGTGTGGAAGGTGCACGTGCTGTGCTCTGCGGCGCCCCCTGCAGGTGTTCCAGAGGGAGGCCGCAGGAGCTCAACACGTTCTGCACCGCGCTCAGGACGTCGCCGCTGTGGAGCGTGAAGGTCACAGGGCGAAAACCTGCGGAACACACAGGGTTCTGGTTCAGGTCATTTCACTCGCTTTACAGTTAGTCCAGAACTGTGAGATTTTATGTTGAAATCATCTACTATAATTTTAGATAATAATAATCAATAATCAAACATATGATTGTGTTTGATGTGATATCTGAAGGCTATTATTATTTCTCCTTACTATGACATTGAAAATTCCCCACAGATGGACGAATAAATCTTTATCTAATCTCATTTATTTCCCTTTATTTAACCAGGAAATTGAGATATGAGCCCAAACAACTGACCAATCAGGAACCTTCTGTCCTCAAATTCAGCTTTAGCAGCTCCGCTCCTGATTGGCTCTTGGTTGCTCAAGTTGCAGCTGCCCACAAATCTGCGTAAATTTGGCTGCAGATTGCCGCTCAAATAACCTGTTTGAGTCCGCTCTAATCCTCACAGAGCCAGTTTAGCTATTAGAGCAGAGGCGTCAAACTCATTTTGGACGGGGGCCAAATTTAAAAACTTAGGAGCAAGTGGGGGTCAGAAGCATAAAAGTGGTATAAATAGTTTTTTTTTCTTTTTTTTTATGTCAATTGTATTTGTCACAAGTTTGAATGTCATTTTCTAATAGGGTTGGATTCAACTTTGCCTGGCCATAGCCACCCGTAAACTATCATTTCCCTACATGTCTGCAGTTACCTCGGTTGAATCCCATCCGACCAATCAGCGAGCGCGGAAAGAGAGTATTGTAGGTAGATGTCGGGAGTTTGCGGTAAGTAAGTAGTAAGTAGTAGTAAGTAATCTTTATTTATATACCGCCTTTTCACTGCACATCGGAGTCTCAAAGCGGTTTACAATTGTGATTTTTGTGTGGGGGGGCCAGTACAGGAGGCAAATCCCAGACCTATTGTACATATTTTTAGTGGTAGGGGAAACCGGAGCACCCGGAGGAAACCTACGCAGACACGGGGAGAACATGCAAACTCCACTCAGAAAGGCCCTGGTCCAACTGGGATTCGAACCCAGGACCTTCTTGCTGAGAGGCGAGAGTGCTATCCACTCAGCCAACGTGCCGCCCAATTTACTTGCGGTAAATTTGCAAGTTGTGGTTTGGCAATGGTGGAGAATGCAATAGTAAATGAATCTGTTCTGGTTCTATCAAGAAATTGAAGCCGGAGCAAGAGGAATGTTTAGCAAAAGTCATTTCTGGCAAAGATTGTGGCGCTACTCCCCACGGGCTCCGTTAGTGGTAGAAGGTTAGATGGCTAGGCTAAATGCTAACGACTCACTCGGGCGCATTTCAAACGTGACGGTAAACTCAGATCCAATCGTTTGGATTTGCAAAAGGAGTTAACCCCTCCCACCTGTCAACGGAGCTCAATGAAGCAAATCCAGACCTTTGTATGAAATGGAATTTGTACGATGGTATGGTAAGACCATACCATCCCACCTCTGCACCTTCTCCATCGACTCCCACTGATGACTGCTGTCGTTGTGTCCTTGGGCAAGACACTTAACCCCACTTTGCCCAAAGCCCCCACTGAAAGATCAAGGCTATGCTCTCACTCAGAGAGCAGCCGTCCTCCTGTGGACTCACCACCTGCAGAGGGTCAGTGAGGGGCTGGTGCTATGAGACTTGGGTGGCATCTCTGACTGCCACCCCCCTGACCCAGAAATGGATTAAAGGGTAGAAAATGGATGGATGGATGGATGGTATGGTAAGACCAGGCTAGATTCAACCACAACTGGGGCAAATATCAAGGGATGTATTTGAAGGCTGACAAAATAATGATAATTAAGTAACTATAACTTCTAATTAAATTCTAGTTAACCGTCAGAACCGATACAATTATATGGTTGTTTTCCTAAGACAATAGACTTTAAAATTAAGTACAACATGTCATAGTATTCCTTACCATCAATGCTGCAAGCTACTGTGATAATAGGGCTGGAAAGTCTCGTCCCAGAAGCACTTCCGGTTCATGGCTCGGATACAAACAAACCGTCAGCTGTTCGAAGAGGCTGTTTAAATGAATGGTGCAAAATGCTCTGCTTTGTTTTCGGCTGTTATCATCAAAGTTTACATGAAGCATGCTCATTTTTTGGGTTTCCCAAAGACCAACTGAAGCTGTGTAAAAAGCTATGCAGTTGTGATAAAACATTTTGTCTGATTTACAGATGGTTAACTTGAATATGTATTCAAGCTAACTTGTAGCTAATGCTAACCTGTAGTGCGCTGCCGAGCCTTTCATTGTGGCTTGTATTTTAAGATAAGATTAACTTTATTGTTGTCACACAGGATACATTTATTTATTTATTTGAGAGATAAAGGAGAAACATATTAGCACATATTAAATAACATTTAACAAATGTTCAAATATAAACAGAAAACGGACAATCATAATATTAGTAGTAAATGAATAGGTAACCCAACTACATCATGTTATTTTTGGCAGCACAGCAAAAAGAAAAGGTCCAATGTGAAGCTGCAGTGAGTGTGAAGTGGAGATGGAGCTGATGAACAGATAGAAAACTGATCATTCATAAACATTGGCTCATAACCAACGCAGCAAAGATAGCTGTGAGGGACATCAATGTATTTGCATAGGAATAGTGTTTCTATATTGACTTTCTGATGCATAATAGTGGATTAAAAAACAATAAGTTTGAACACGGCCCTGCACCTTTCTCATCTCCGTCATATAAACGTCAGGACATGGTCAGTTCACCGCTAATTCCGACCGCTCACTCAGTTTTTCTGTCCCAGAGACGAAATGTGTCCAAAATAACACAGGAAAGTCCTTTAAGGAGGAAGAAGTCGGCGATCTCAGCACCGTACAAGTGGCACGTGTGGTTTGTTTGTATCCGCGGGTGGAAATCTCGCAAAATCTCGCACTTCCGCTTTCCAGCCCTATTGAAAATAATTTCAGCTTATATTGTCTCGCTGGCTGGATTTGTTTGTATTAGAGCTATTAGAGCTAAGTGTAACTATTAGCTCCAATCAACTTCTTCTTCGGCTTCTTTCACAGTGTGGCTAACACTTAGGTGAGGTGTAGAGCTGCACCTGCCGAGTCGGGCTCCTCTCCGTCGCTCGTGTCGCGGACGTAGAAGGTTAGCTTCATGGGCTGCACTGAGCGCGCTCCGTGACGCTGCAGAGACTCAAGGTATCCGTTCAGACGCTTCAGGGAGTTCTCGTTCACCTCCTGGAAACACACGCACATCACAGACCAGAGAGAGAGAACAGAGAGGGAGGGAGAGAGAGACCAGAGAGAGAGACCAGAGAGGGAGGGAGAGAGAGACCAGAGAGAGAGACCAGAGAGGGAGGGAGAGAGAGAGAGACCAGAGAGAGAGACCAGAGAGGGAGGGAGAGAGAGACCAGAGAGAGAGACCAGAGAGGGAGGGAGTGAAAGAGAGACCAGAGAGAGAGACCAGAGAGGGAGGGAGAGAGAGACCAGAGAGAGAGACCAGAGAGGGAGGGAGAGAGAGACCAGAGAGAGAGACCAGAGAGGGAGGGAGAGAAAGAGAGACCAGAGAGAGAGACCAGAGAGGGAGGGAGAGAAAGAGAGACCAGAGAGAGAGACCAGAGAGGTAGGGAGAGAGAGACCAGAGCGAGAGACCAGAGAGGGAGGGAGAGAGAGACCAGAGACAGAAATAGACCAAGAGAGGAGAAAGCGAGAGAGGGAAGAGAGAGGAGAGAGAGGAGAGGGAGAAGAGAAAGGAGAGAGAGAGACCGACTAGTAGTTCAGCTATTTGAATTTCAAAATTAGTTTTATAGCCCCTAAATCTTGTTATTGTTTTCATTTCAATGTCCCGCCCTCCACCTTTTGACCTATAAAGTCCGTGATCCGGGTTGCCTGAACTCATTGCGTCGAGCTAATCTCACTGGTAAAGTAACATGTGGCCGCAGTTCTAAAAAGGTCTTGTCATGATTCTCAAATTATTCATGACAAAAACAAGGAATAAAACGAAGGATTTCTATTTGCTTTTGTGAAAAAAGTGTTGGTTATAGATTTGTTGTTGACAAAACTCTTGTCTATTCAGCTTTTATGGTCTGAGCTGGATTCGTCTGCATATAGGGCTGCAACAACGAATCGGAAAAAACAATAAAAATCGATAATTGTTGGCAACATTATCGATTCGTTGTGTCGCATGATTAATACGTCACCCACTACGTCGCGGAGCTCATGTACAGCTGTGTTCAGACGATGCACGTGGTTAGGGATGAGGGTTAACAGCTCTGGGTTCGTATTTCATTTACTGTTAATACCGTCTTGATAGAATTCAAACATAGTGAAAAGTAGAAAATATATTGCTACAAATGTTTACAATATGTTTTAAAGGCTCCTTATGCTACCAGAGGTAATTTCTCAGGAAGAAATGACTAAAACTAATTTAGGAGCAATACTTTTGTTTTAAAGAGGGTGTTAGTGTTAGCTCCATCTCAAACTGGTAACTGAGAGTGAAATTTTAGATCCGCCCATTCCTACTTTCTGATTGGCCGAAATTAATTCAAATCCTTAAGGCAGGACCAATGTTGTGGAAGCAGACTGACCCGTTCTTTGGGATGTTGTCCGAAGAAATCTGGGTGCACGGCGAAGTAAAACGGCCTCAGTGCATTCACAGCCTCTGCTCCTGACAGCGCCCTCTGCTGGAACAAGCTGGAAACGACATGCCTCCGCTTCAGTCTGCCGCAAAAACAGAAATGATCAATGTCTTTGTTTTAGTTTGTTTTAGTAAAAGGGTCATTTTAGTTCACTTCACTGGACTGGACTGGACAGGACTGGATTGGATTCAGGCTGAGCTTTCACATAAGGAATGACATCAGGTCCTTATTCATTCACATGCGACGGCGCTGTCTTCATCTGATTAGATTTTTTTTTTCTTTTCGCTAGCATCATATACGTATTTGAATGAAAATAAACTGTGATTAGAATTGTTGTCGAGAAGTGAGACAGAGGCAGCAGCGATCTCAGGAACTTTTAACCTGGAAGGATAATAATAATAATAATAATAATGCATCGGTTTTATATAGCGCTTTTTTGGACACTCAAAGACGCTTCACATGTGTCATTATTCATTCACTCCATACACACTGGTGATAAACTACTACTGTAGCCACAGCTGCCCTGGGGCACACTGACAGAAGCGAGGCAACCAGTATGTGCCATCGGCCCCTCCGACCACCACCAACCATTCACACACACACCAGACTCATTCTAGGCAATGGGGGTGAAGTGTCTTGCCAAGGACACAACGACAGTAGTCAGTGGGAGTCGATGGTGAAAGTCTTGAGCGGGGCTTGAACCCACGACCTTCTGGCTCAAAGGCCAACGCTCTACTAACTGAGCTATGTGTAGCAATGTGCATAAGAACAGAGACGTCATTCCTTGAGATATTAATGAAACTGATCCTTGACATATTGATACTATAGTATAGTAAATGGTCTATACTAAAAAAGTGTGAAGTGTGCCGTTTACCTGGTGACACAGCGCAGGGCGGAGCAGACGGACATCACTGCACCGTTAGACCTCCATCTGAGCACAAACACTAAAACTGTTCAATACCATAAAAACAAGACACATTTATTTGGATAATAGCGATAATCTCCAACAGAAATACATGTATTCCAACAGATTTAGCAGCAACAGACTAGTACTTAATTTTCAATTCCATTCAATGTTTTCACCAGCTTGACTTGGCCCGACAATACTCTAGCTTGAATTTAAAGCTGAGAGACCTCCTTCTGTGTTTCACAAATAATGTAGTTTGTCCAACAGAAAATGACAAAGTAACATGTTGTCTTTGAGTCATTAGGAAAACATATTTTGTGTAAGAAAGGGTGTGGCCCTTAGTCATTATTTGACTCTTTGGGCTGAGAGCTGATTGGCTGACTCACTTTTCTATCTGAAAAAACTGATCTAGAGATGAGGCAGAGGCCAAAAATACTTACACGTGAAAACAATAAATAGAACCATATGTTTTACAGTCAAGAACGAGTACTACATAGTGCTACTGTTATGGGGCCCAGCTTTTAAATTGTTTATTTGTTATGTGGCTTTGAATCAAAATGTTTCAATAACGTCAGCTCCACATATCTAACTGGGGACATGGAATTTTTTTTTTTTTTTTTTTTTATTCAAAGTGTGCAAGAAACAAGTACATTTCTCAAAAACGTAGACACATTGATGCACTAATATTGATCAAATAAAATAAAATACATACATACATACATTACATACAGGGGTCTGGGGACATGGAGATCAGGCCAACTCAAACTAAGGGGATGTTCATAATCAGTCATGGTATAAAAAAAAAAAACACAAAAAACACATACAAAATATACATTTACTTGGAATGCAAGTATTTCCTTTGCATTCAAAAAGGATAGCTTCCATCACTGTAGAAGCTCACATTTATTCTAGTTTTGACAATGTATATGCTTTAAATATAAATTCTAACAGTTCGCATTTGACCCAGATCTCTCCTCTGTCGCTCGAGGACACCTCCACGGGACACTCTCATGTTAGCATCACAGCTAACGCCTTTTCGGACAGAATCAGAATAAAATGTAAATATTCATAGTTGTCAGTGAACGAAACGCTGCGAGGCTCATCTCTGGGAGAGGACGGAAGCAAACACACGCAGAACGAGAGGAAAAGTCTGATGTTTTAAGACAGAGACATGAGTGAAGTTTGTGCTCACCGTTAGCCGCGTTAGCATTAGCTCCTCGCGCTGGTTGAGGGCTGTGAAGAGGCTAGAGAGCGCGTTCTCTGGTGTCGTGGCGGCCATTTTGTGTTTCCAAATAAACTGGAATCCTGAACATTCCAAATATTTAGAGGTGAAGCTGTAAAGTGAGTGAATACATGTATGTATTCCCAATTCACCCCAATACATACAATATATAATACATTTATATACCGCCTTTTCACTGCAGATCAGAGTCTCAAAGCGGTTTACAATTGTTAATTTTTGGGCATTTGTCTCTCACTCCACACAGAGATGGGAGCGGGGTTGCCAGTACAGGAGGCGCATGCCAGAACTATTGGACATATTTTTAGTGGTAGGGGAAACCGGAGTACCCAGAGTACCCGGAGGAAACCTACGCAGACACGGGGAGAACATGCAAACTCCACTCAGAAGGGCCCTGGTCCGACCGGGGTTCGAACCCAGGACCTTCTTCCTGAGAGGCGAGAGTGCTATCCACTCAGCCAAGACAAGACACTCAAGTACAAAACTATCATAGAAATATATATAAAAATCTTGTTTTGTACCTATGTAACTCTATTTTGAATTTAAATGTATTCCTTAGAAGTGTTTATTCTTTATTTTTTATTATCTCTTTCTGACTGTTGCACTGAGCCAAAGCAATTTCCAAGTCTGTGACGTCCTGTAACTTACGTGGCAATAAAAATGATTCTGATAAGATAAACCTTTATTCGTCTCGCAGTGGAGAAATTTCAGTCTCATCGTTGTGCACATTACAGCAGAGAAAGAAGGAAATAAGAGCACTCAGATTGCACACATCAAATAAGTCTATTATTTAAGATAAGACAATAAAATAAAGATAAAGAATAAAATAAAATAAACTCTGAGACTATAATTGCACTTGGTTTAGAAGTATTTAAGATAAGAATTCCTTTATTCGTCCCACAGTGGGGAAATGTGTATAATGTATATTAGCAGCGTAGAATATGAGAATATGACCAGAATAAACATCAGAAATAATATCAACAGGTAAAGTGACTAGTGAATGGCAGAAATATCAGATGGATACGTAATAATGCTGTAATACTAATAACAAGTAAATATCAGATGGACATGTAAAACAAGAGATTATATATTACAGTTTCTGTAGTGTTTTAATTGACTTATTCTTTTAAATGTTTCATTGTGTATGAACTGTTAGTACAATAAAATTAAAAGAAATAGACGGTTCAAAAATATACACATTTATTTTACACAGAAAAGGAATGTCTCTGCATGTTTATAACTGTCGCAGAGTTTACACAGTGGTTAATACTTGAGTGAGAAAATTGCACTTGTTAAATGAACAGATCATTTGACATAAAGAAAACTCATTTAACACAAGTACAGAGGACACAAACATATTCCAGTCATCTTTGTAACACTGCTCTTTCTGCTTAAGACAGACACCCAACAGGCTCATATTTTCAGACGCTACAACAAACTCAAGTTCACACGATGTTGACAGATGTGCAGTATAAAAAAAACATTTGGTTTAATTCCTCTGAGAATCATGAGTTCACCAACAAATTCACAACATCCAAAAGGCAAAAAAACTTTTCCTGTACATCGTTGAAAGGTTGAAATACTGAAGAGTAATGGAAACACTAACAGGTAGATTGGAGCCGAGTAGAGTAAGGCCGAGTTGTGCTGGTGGGTAGTAGTGGTCTAATAAAGTCATTGCAATCACACAGTAGTTGTCAGAATCTTCCTCCTGTGACGCATTGTTAGCCTCATTGCAGCTCTTTCTTTGTTTTGTTAAATTGTGATATCAATAAACACAGATGAGCCCTTATGTTTTGTTATTGCTTTCAAAAAATCATTTCAATATGACTCAAAAAATTATGCAATGAGGCTAACGAACGTAGATTCTAAAACACAGATTACCGATGTAGCTAGAAACATAACTAACTGTGCGTTACGTGTGAATACTTATTTTTGTATCAGTATCATTTCAAATTAAATGAAAGACAGCCAAAACCAGCGACATTTCACCCAACAATCTGGCAACCAAACCTCTGGGACACACTGTCCCTTTAATACACATCAATCAATACTGAGTATGACGCATCAACTTTTTCTCAATAATTGATCATAATAATAATAATATATGACTCCACTCAGCTGAAGCTTGTTGTAAAATGGGGCATGCTAAAAAAAAATTAAGATTTAAAATAATGATTTTTAGATACAAATTTATATTCATAGATGCAATTTTTTTTTTTCATTCAGTAACATCGTTTTTTTATTTTATTCTTGTTTGTTATTATACCATTATTCATTTTGACACATTTTGATTATAACTATTTCAAAATGAAATATCAAATTGTGGTGAATTTTGTAAAAATGCGACGGAGCATTCGATAAAGGCCAAAAGCCAGATTGAACAAAATATATCGTATTGACTATTGAAAGTCCCTTCAAACAATACATTGTATCGGCAGGCTCTGAGAGAAACCAGCCCACATTATAACTTGAAATGTGTTCAAACTAGTGAAATATTCAAGGACACACACACACCGTGAGAATAATGGCCTGAGGTCATAGAAGGAGTGGACAGAGTGCGATGTCATAGATCTATAACCTGGATAGGCCACACCCTCACCTATAGTTGTCATGGCTTTGGAACTAATATTTGCGTAAATTCAACTAAATTATTGAGGTTTTTTATCCGTAGTTCTCCTAGAAAGTAAGTATAGAGAGGGAGAAACCAACAAGACTAGTTCCTTTGACAAATTTTCAAAATAAACTCAAATCAATAAGCCTTTTTACAAATCCAAGTAATTTTCTTCTTTTTTTGTCCTTTTTGATTATACATAACTAAAGTCTTTGTCATTTTCTAATTCTAACCACCAAAATTGCCATTTCAAGTTGATGGTGATTAACGGTGCAGCAGCCCAATATGTCAGTAGAACTGATTTGGGGTTTTCAGTCTCACATGTGCTCTGGGTGGCTCTGCAAACACGAGATCACGTCCTGCACCGGCTTTCCCTCGAAACATATCTGGTACACGGCCACGAACAGCGGGAACCTGCAAAGCATCATGGGAACAGACTTCATTAGCAGCATGTTTAATTAAAAGGTTCAGGTCTGTGGGAGTCCTAATTACATCAGACAATTACCAACAACTCAAGAAGTGACATAAGCTCCACTCACTGCTGAACGAGGCACAAGGACGACAGGATTACTGCGGTTATTGACACAGTGTGAAGAGGAGACCTGGTTCTTAAAGGACTTAAAGCTCTGGTACCCATCGTTCAAACAACAGAACCTAAATCTCTGTAATATAATCATTGTCTTTTGTTCCTGGCTCTAAAGTTTTCTTCCATGACTTGCATGTATGTATTTTTAGCTTCTGTCACATCTTTAGATCAGCTTTTTCAGACAGAAAAGGGAAAAAGAAATGGCCACCCTCACTCAGCCCTAAGAGTCAAATAGTGAAACACACAAACACACAAAATACACAAAAGATAACATGGATTTTAATGAAGTACTACTGCTATAACTGCTACTATTTCCCTACGCCCCCGCTAATCAGTCAGTCAACCTTGGCCTGGCTGCATTTTAACCGTGCAACTTCACTCAGCTTTCAGCTCGTGCTGCAGACCTCATCCTCATCCTCCAATCTTTAATAATTCATCGTTTTTATATAGTGTTTTTTTGGACTCTCAAAGACACTTCACATGTCATTATTCTTTCACTCCATACACAGTGGTGATGCAGTTGATGGTTACAACTGTAGCCACAGCAGCTCTGGGGGACACCGACAGAAGTGAGGCAACCAGTCACAGACACCAAACTCATTCTAAACAATGTGGGAGAAGTGTCTTGCCTGAGGACACAACCACATTTTGGCACTTTACAGCCGCAGTCCTGCGATGGGAGTCCCAGAGGTCTCCCATCACAGAACTAACCATGCCCTACGCTGCTTAGCTTCATAGGTCTGATGGGATTTGGCTTTTACCTGCACATATGGCCACAAACTTTATGTGTCCAGACTATAAAACTGAGCACTTCAAATAATCACTACATCTTCTGGCCTCTGGAAAAGACATGTTCCAGCTTCTTCCCTCTGGCAGAAGATATCATTGGCTGAGATGCAGGACACTTTCTTTCCACAAGTTTTTTTTTCGTTTTGGGGACTGGGGACTTTTGCACATGAATTACAATGTGGTTTTACGGCACATGGCAAATTAACTGAATCCGTCTGATCAGATCTGAATCTGAAAAGCAAGTCCATATATCATACTCAAAAACACACAGAGAACATGAGGCTGAGTTCTCGACATGGAGTGGGGGCTCAGATACTGACTTGTCAACGAGGTTCTTCTGCTGCAGGATGTGGTAGACTTCCGCAGACGTGGCTGGTCCTTGAAGCTTCTGTCCGTTCAGCATCTCCCCCTCCAGCTCCTCTATGCTCTGGGAAGGGAACAGTGAAAATACTAGCAGTAACAGTGGTAGCAGTAATAGCAGTAGTATCCTCCCAGACTTGGTGAAAGTCTCACAGCGGTTATAGCAGTAGTAACAGCAGCAGTAGTAGTAGTATTAGTATCAGTACCTTCCCGGTCTTGGCGAAGGCCTCGGCCACGCGGCGGTTGCGGCCTCCGTAGCAGGTGGTGATGAGGTCGGCGACTCCGCAGCTCTCCAGGAACGTGGCCTCAGAGACGGCGTCTGAGGAGAAGAGTTTGGCGAAGGCAATCATCTCCATGAGGCCGAGGCGGATCACTGCGGCTTTGGTGTTATCCCCACAACGGAGGCCGTCACAGAAGCCTGCTCCCACCGCCACAATGTTCTAGCAACACAAAACACACCACATGATGCAACACACAACACACAGCGAAGACCATCACAGAAGCCTGCTCCCACACCACCATGTTCTAACACCATACAACACACAACTGTAAACGTGTTTCAAAATTGTACAGCGCTTTATGTGACCTTGGTCTATTAAAGGCACTATACAAATCATTCCTTCCCTTCTGTCCATTATTATTGAAGTTATTTAAAAAAAAAAAAAAAGGGACTAAAGAAAAACATCACTTTAAATTGTGAAAATGTATCTTTATTCGAGTTTATTTTAAAGAGTTGTCAATTTAACAGTTCTCTCGGGTCTCTTCCCCCACCCCAGTGTCTGACCTTGAGCGCGCCACACAGCTCCACCGTGTCGGCGTCCTCCACCACGTTGATCCTGAAGTTTGGCGTCTGCAGCAGCTCTTTGAACAGCAGCCCGTTCTCCAGGATCCTGCTGCCTGCAAACACAGAGAGAGTCCAGTGTTAGTGCTGTTCAAGGCACGAGGAGTCTGACACAGTGACGCACAAACAGGGGTCTCTGGTTTATCACGGGGTTTACATTCTAAAAACATCCTGCAATAAGTGAAGTCCTTGAAGTAGCAGATCTATGCTTTAAGCCTGTAAAACCCTCATTCACACTTTATACATGTTTATAGCCACCTGAACACACAACTGCTGATGTGAGAGAGACCAGAGATATCAAACCTATTGTAGGTTTGAGCCAGTGGGGGCGGGTCCCGGCTCAAAAGTGGCCAAAATGACGTGCGCTGACATGCTGCAATACCACCCCGGGCCGTTGGGGGTCGACCCAGAATAAGAATTAGCCAATGCTAACATATAGCATTGGCAGACCTCTTGAAAACGTCTTTACAGGATGGTCCAAAAGTTGGCTCTTGGGCCAAAGCTCCGTTCCACATGTGTGTCAATGCTGAGGGGGGTGGATTTTTTTGGTCAACTAGTTTAGTCGCTGTGAATTTTTGAAGTCTCTCGTTCAAATGAATGGAGCTGCGCCGGCTGACGCAATTTTTCACAATTTTCTTGTGGGCGGGACCACTCGCGGCCATTATGGATAGCTCCAGTAGAGCACATTTTTTGGCCCATTAGTTAGAACGGCGGAGATAGGCGTGAATCTGTCCGTTAATATATACAGTCTATGGTTTGAGCGCTACTGCAGCTGTCAAAAGCCGTGCAAACACTGTAAAATACAGCTGCGAGAGACCGGCAACAGACCGGCGAGAGACCAGAGCGAGACCAGATAGAGACCAGAGCGAGACCAGAGCGAGACCAGAGCGAGACCAGATAGAGACCAGATAGAGACCAGAGCGAGACCAGATAGAGACCAGATAGAGACCAGATAGAGACCAGATAGAGACCAGATAGAGACCAGATAGAGACCAGATAGACACTAGAGAGAAAACAGAGACCAGAGAGGTGAACCGCGTTATAGCGAGGATGTACTGTACACCAAGACATGTTAGTGCCATATGAACCAACTCGGACTCTAAGGAGCACAGGTACTGGCCTCCTGCTGGTGCCCAGACTCAGAACTAAAAATGGGGAGGCAGCATTTCAAATTTATGCAGCTAAAATCTGGAACAGTCTTTCTGAATATGTGAGACTGACTTCTACTTTAATGTTCAAATCCAGATTACAAACTGTTCTGTTACAACTGAGGGATTTCATCTTTACTCTTTTTAATGTACAGTGATTATTTAAGATTTGAATGTATTGTATTGTTTCTTGTTTTGTTAAAAACTTACCTTGTGAATGAACTGTGCTGTACAAATAAACTTGCCTTGCCTATACACAAACGCTGGCCTTTTGGCGCATTATCAGCACCAGGGAAAGCAAACACTGTCGATGTAGCGGCCTTGTGTGTTGTGTTGTCTACCTGTTGTGCTTAGTTGTGTGTTGTGTACCTATAGTCGTCTCGCAGAACTTCTCGGCCGCCACCTCGTTGGCGATGTTGGCTCCCATCAGAACGCTGACGTCGATCTCCATCTTCTGTCGGATGATGTCAGAGATCAGTCGGAGGCCGTCTGGTCCCACGTCGATGCCCTGAACCCATTTATCATTTATGATTCACTATTTGCCTCAAAAGGAAGAAACATCTGCTGATCTCTCTCTTGCTTTGGAGTCATCCTAAAATGCTTACATGGATCATCACTGTCCTTAAACCCTCGACAAGGAATGATAAAAAAAAATAATAACAGTGGGGAAAAAAGTGAGAAACCTCGGGGAGGCCCACTTTGAAGGAGAGAGCCACTTTAGATCCAGGACTGAAGCTAAAGAACGAGGGCCGTAGATCCAGGACTGAGGCTGTAGATCCAGGACTGAGGCTGTAGATCCAGGACTGAGGCTGTAGATCCAGGACTAAGGCCGTAGATCCAGGACTGAGGCCGTAGATCCAGGACTAAGGCCGTAGATCCAGGACTGAGGCCGTAGATCCAGGACTGAGGCCGTAGATCCAGGACTGAGGCCGTAGATCCAGGACTGAGGCCGTAGATCCAGGACTGAGGCCGTAGATCCAGGACTGAGGCCGTAGATCCAGGCCTGAGGCTGTAGATCCAGGACTGAGGCTGTAGATCCAGGACTGAGACTGTAGCTCCAGGACTGAGACTGTAGCTCCAGGACTGAGACTGTAGATCCAGGACTGAGACTGTAGATCCAGGACTGAGGCTGTAGAACCAGGACTGAGGCTGTAGATCCAGGACTGAGGCTGTAGAACCAGGACTGAGGCTGTAGATCCAGGACTGAGGCTGTAGATCCAGGACTGAGGCTGTAGAACCAGGACTGAGGCTGTAGAACCAGGACTGAGGCTGTAGACCCAGGACTGAGGCCGTAGATCCAGGACTGAGGCTGTAGAACCAGGACTGAGGCTGTAGATCCAGGACTGAGGCTGTAGATCCAGGACTGAGGCTGTAGACCCAGGACTGAGGCCGTAGATCCAGGACTGAGGCCGTAGATCCAGGACTGAGGCTGTAGATCCAGGACTGAGGCCGTAGATCCAGGACTGAGGCCGTAGATCCAGGACTGAGGCCGTAGATCCAGGACTGAGGCTGTAGATCCAGGACTGAGGCTGTAGAACCAGGACTGAGGCTGTAGATCCAGGACTGAGGCTGTAGACCCAGGACTGAGGCCGTAGATCCAGGACTGAGGCCGTAGATCCAGGACTGAGGCCGTAGATCCAGAACTGAGGCTGTAGATCCAGGACTGAGGCTGTAGATCCAGGACTGAGACTGTAGATCCAGGACTGAGACTGTAGATCCAGGACTGAGACTGTAGATCCAGGACTGAGACTGTAGATCCAGGACTGAGACTGTAGATCCAGGACTGAGGCTGTAGACCCAGGACTGAGACTGTAGATCCAGGACTGAGACTGTAGATCCAGGACTGAGACTGTAGATCCAGGACTGAGGCTGTAGATCCAGGACTGAGACTGTAGATCCAGGACTGAGGCTGTAGACCCAGGACTGAGGCCGTAGATCCAGGACTGAGGCCGTAGATCCAGGACTGAGGCTGTAGATCCAGGACTGAGGCTGTAGATCCAGGACTGAGGCTGTAGATCCAGGACTGAGGCTGTAGATCCAGGACTGAGGCTGTAGATCCAGGACTGAGGCCGTAGATTCAGGACTGAGGCCGTAGATCCAGAACTGAGACTGTAGACCCAGGACTGAGGCCGTAGATCCAGGACTGAGGCTGTAGATTAAATGACTGAGGCTGTAGACCCGGGACTGAGGCTGTAGATCCAGAACTGAGACTATAGATCCAGGACTGAGACTGTAGATCCAGGACTGAGACTGTAGATCCAGGACTGAGACTGTAGATCCAGGACTGAGGCTGTAGATTCAATGGCTGAGGCTGTGCAGTGCAAGCTCCGAGGCGAGGAAGGAAAGTGCAGCCCATGAGTCCGGACCAGGGGGAGACCAGTCCACAGGTGCAGATGAAAGAGGCCAGATTCAATATAAAACTCAAACTATGAACTGTATTTAGAAAAGGAGTATGGAGGACAATATAGAGGACTGAATAAAGTTATTACTACTCTCATTTGTGGCATTTACTCACAGCTCAAGCACAAGACTCAAAAGTGAAAAGACTTTGTCAGTTATAAAAATATCTACTGGTGTTAAGAGACACCTTCACAGACGCCTGAATCCTCACATCCAGAAACTTCACACTTCTGCTCACATATTTAACAGCTTTATCCTGCACCAGAGCTCAGGAGGCAGCGCAGCCACTGGGTTTGTCCACATGCTCGAGAAATACTCACTTTAGAATCACATGCTTTAGAATGTGAAAAAAGAAGAAAATATATGGATAAATATGCATCTATCTATAGCGCAAGGAGTCTGTGAGCGTTTGCCATAGTCTGTATATAGATGTAACCATGTTAACAAAATGTCTGCCCCTGTCATGGCATGAAGCTAACCAATGAATCTATTATAATAATCCCATTGGAACAAATGGCCATAAGGGAATGGGCTCTAGCTAGCTTATGTTCAAACGCTAAGGCTAACACTGTGGTGACGTTAGCATTCAGTTGGTCCACTCCTAATATACGCTCTATGGCAGGGGTCTCCAACCTTTTTCGATCGGAGAGCTACTTTTATGCAACAGAATAAGCAGAGAGCTACTCCTTTTTGCAGTCGTAATAAAAATACATGTAATAATTACAACAAAACATGAAAAACACATGTAAGATATACCATAATACTGAATAGCCCTATTTATTATTTTAATAGATATGTAATGACTCAAAAGTGATTCAGGATCTAAATCTTTAGGGGAGCTGCCTGAAAGGGGCTGGCAAGCTACTGGCAGCCCCAGGTTGGAGACCCCTGCTCTATGGTGCTTGTGCAGATTGTGCTGAGATCAGTCATAAAGAGTCCGCACACGTGGAGTCAGAGCCCAAAAGACTGAGACTGCGGCAAAAGGAGGTTCCACAAACACACACATTGCTTCTTTAATAAGCAAAAGAGAAAGATTTTTGTTTTATAGAGTTGTGTTATACTTAATAATCACTTATCTTGGCTGTGTGCTCCTCCTTGCTATTGTTCTGTAACTTGTGATCATACAACACTGAAAATTCCCCAGTGTGGGACAAATGAGAGATCCCTGAATCTTTAATCTTAATCAAAGTATTCACTCAGGTCGTATGGAGGCTTGTCCGAGAGCTTGTGGCAAGAGCTCTGGTGTGTGTCTGGTGCACACTGGGGTGGTCTTGCACAGTTTTTCCAATGTGGTTTTACTGCAAATGGCAAATAAATAAATCTGAATCTGATTTTGCAGGTTTTGTGCAAAGAAATGTGCAAAAGTTCAGGTTGTATGAGTATTTAGGCAAGAAACTCGATGTCCCATGAAATGACAGCAAATTTAATCTTAAGGCCGTCAGATATTTTGTGGAAATGTTTGAGCTCTGGAGTGAAAGTGCGTCAGAGTAATCCTCCTCCACATAATCCCGTGTCTCCTGTTTCAGAGCACTTTTAAATAACAGCAGATTTGGGCTGGAAAAGTCGGCCTGCATTTGTAAATAATGTGATCCTTTTGTGGCTGGATAATCGGAGCGGCAGCAGCTGTGGCCTCAATCCTGCAGCGAAGGGCCGGACCTGGACCAAAGTGGCCCACAGACCGAGACTTTGTGCGTATATATTTATGCAAACGTTATTGTTAGGTACTTTATCATTATTTATTATATGGTTTGTGATTGTTTTCCCATTGGGCGTTCATGTTGTGTGAGGATGTGTGTGTGTATTATATTGTTCTAGTGTAAAAAGTTTGGCTGGGACTCAATTAAAACATAATAATAATAATAATAGTAGTAAGTAAGTAAGTAAGGTTTATTTATATACCGCCTTTCACAGACAAGGGTCACAAAGCGGTTTACAATTGTTATTATTTTTTTGGGCATTTGTCCTCTCACCCCACACAGAGATGGGAGCGGGGTCGCCGAACAGGAGGCGCATGCCAGACCTATTGTACATATTTTTAGTGGTAGGGGAAACCGGAGTACCCGGAGGAAACCGGAGTACCCGGAGGAAACCTACGCAGACACGGGGAGAACATGCAAACTCCACTCAGAAAGGCCCTGGTCCAACCGGAATTCGAACCCAGGACCTTCTAATAATAATAATTGGAGGCTTTGTAATTAATTCACCAAAATAATCGTTATTAAATCACATATAAATATTTAAAAATTGAAGTCAAACAGAACAGTGCAACCTGTACAATGTAATTGCCATAAGTGTAGCAATAGCACATTTAGAAATAGAGATGCTGCACATAGACTGTAAATATGATTTCATAAAACTAAAAAAACTGAAATTTAAAATGTTTTATTTCAACAATAAGAAAATGCTTTAAAAATTCAACATTTTAGCAGTTGTTTTAACAGTCAACCATAAGAGCCACTGTCATATTCCTCTCATACAGATGTGATGTTGTAGAGTTGGTTGTTTTTGTGCTCGGTGCTAGCTAAGGTGCTATCCTCCCCGTGGTGGTGAGTTTTCAGATGTTTGATCAAGTTGCTGGTGTTATACGTGATTGTTTTGGACCCAGCCCTTGACAGTTTTGCCTTCTACAACGTACAGTCCGCTTTAGTCTCGTCACTCGTTTGCTTTAAAAAACTGCCATACGGCCGACGTCTGCTTTCTAGCTGCAGAGTTTGGGAGATCACCATGGCAACACACAATTGTCTGCTGTCGTGACGCTAATGTAAATCAAAAATGTGGGTATCGGCTGAGGGTATTGGGTCCTATGGTATGAGTACGAGTACAAGCCTATGGTATTGACCGGTATCCGTACATCCATATTTAGAAATATAATACATTTTGCCTGCCTTTTGTTTCTGCGGCTCACAGTGATCTACGAACGCAATCCAGCGAGACAGGCCATTATTATCAGACGTGGACTTAGTGCCTGGTCCTTAAACCTGTCACCTGGTGGAGTGTGGCTTCTGATCCTCTGAGTCAGGCTAACGTCCATGCTAACAGCTAGCTGCTATATGTATTCAGGCGATTATTTATGGACATTTATCAACACTTATGGACATTGGTCAACTCCCCCAACGGACCATTGCAAATGTGTTCTCTATTCTTTGTGTTTGAACTGTTTGATTCTCTGACATGTGTTCAACAGTTTTGTAAAGTCCTCAGCGATAACTACTGTTGTGATTTAGGACAATATTAAGAAGGTCCTGGGTTCGAATCCAGGTTGGAACCGGGCCTTTCTGAGTGAAGTTAGCATGTTCTCCCCGTGTCTGCGTTGGTTTCCTCCGGTACTCCGGTTTCCCCTACCACTAAAAACATGTACAATAGATCTGGCATGCGCCTCCTGTACTGGCCCCGCTCCCATCTCTGTGTGGAGTGAGAGGATAAATGCCCACAATTGTAAACCCCTTTGTGACTCTGGTCTGTATAAATAAACATTACTTACTTACTTACTATACAAGAATAAATTGAGTTGACTTGAAATAGCTGAGGCTCGATGCGGTGATATGTGAACTTGTTGCATAGAGATTGTGAACACGAGTTGGTGATCCTGTATAATCGGTTCATGAAATTCATCCAGTGAGAAACGTTTTGGAAAGCAAAAATACGTGAAAATAAATGTTAAACATTTGTTAGAGGTTATTTTTTCTTTTTTATGAATTCATCTTAATGAACATGTTAAAGACCCAGCCCTAGTAAGTACAGTGCCTTGCGAAAGTATTCGCCCCCCTTGAACCTTTCAACATTTCGCCCCATTTCAGGCTTCAAACATAAAGATATAACATTTAATTTTTTTGTCATGAATCAACAACAAGTGGGACACAATCGTAAAGTGGAACAAAATTTATTGGATAATTTAAACTTTTTTAACAAATAAAAAACTGAAAAGTGGGGCGTGCAATATTATTGGGCCCCTTTACTTTCAGTGTGAGCAAACTCAGTCCAGAAGTTCAGTGAGGATCTTTGAATGATCCAATGTTGTCCTAAATGACTGATGATGATAAATAGAATGCACCTGTGTGTAATCAAGTCTCCGTATAAATGCACCTGCTCTTTGATAGTCTCAGGGTTCTGTTTAAAGCGCAGAGAGAACCATGAAGACAAAGGAACACACCAGGCAGGTCCGAGATACTGTTGTGGAGAAGTTTAAAGCCGGATTTGGATACAAAAAGATTTCCCAAGCTTTAAACATCTCAAGGAGCACTGTGCAAGCAATTATATTGAAATGGAAGGAGTATCAGACCACTGCAAATCTACCAAGACCCGGCCGTCCCTCCAAACTTTCATCTCAAACAAGGAGAAGACTGATCAGAGATGCAGCCAAGAGGCCCATGATCACTCTGGATGAACTGCAGATCACTACAGCTGAGGTGGGAGAGTCTGTCCATAGGACAACAATCAGTCGTGCACTGCACAAATCTGGCCTTTATGGAAGAGTGGCAAGAAGAAAGCCATTTCTCAAAGATATCCATAAAAAAGTCTGGTTTAAAGTTTGCCACAAGCCACCTGGGAGACACACCAAACATGTGGAAGAAGGTGCTCTGGTCAGATGAAACCAAAATCGAACTTTTTGGCCACAATGCAAAACGATATGTTTGGCGTAAAAGCAACACAGCTCATCACCCTGAACACACCATCCCCACTGTCAAACATGGTGGTGGCAGCATCATGCTTTGGGCCTGCTTTTCTTCAGCAGGGACAGGGAAGATGGCTAAAATTGATGGGAAGATGGATGGGGCCAAATACAGGACCATTCTGGAAGAAAACCTGTTGGAGTCTGCAAAAGACCTGAGACTGGGACGGAGATTTATCTTCCAACAGGACAATGATCCAAAACATAAAGCCAAATCTACAATGGAATGGTTCACAAATAGACGTATCCAGGTGTTAGAATGGCCAAGTCAAAGTCCAGACCTGAATCCAATCGAGAATCTGTGGAAAGAGCTGAAGACTGCTGTTCACAAACGCTCTCCATCCAACCTCACTGAGCTCCAGCTGTTATGCAAGGAAGAATGGGAAAGAATTCCAGTATCTCGATGTGCAAAACTGATAGAGACATACCCCAAGCGACTTGCAGCTGTAATTGCAGCAAAAGGTGGCGCTACAAAGTATTAGCGCAAGGGGGCCGAATAATATTGCACGCCCCACTTTTCAGTTTTTTATTTGTTAAAAAAGTTTAAATTATCCAATACATTTCGTTCCACTTCACGATTGTGTCCCACTTGTTGTTGATTCATGAAAAAAAATTAAATTTTTATATCTTTACGTTTGAAGCCTGAAATGTGGCGAAATGTTGAAAGGTTCAAGGGGGCCGAATACTTTCGCAAGGCACAGTATATGTGCATATAATGACTTTGAGGAGACCCCAAGAAGAATAGCCACTGCACCTTCGCTACTGGGGATCCTAAACTAAACCGCACACACAGATGAAGCGGTGACGGTCAGTACCTTGATGAGGGAGATTCCACGTGCTTTACTGGACACGCAGCCGACCATCTCCTCACACAGTTTCTGGATGAACTGATGCGGCACCACGAACACCAGCAGGTCTGCTCCTTCTGCCGCCTCACTCAGCCGCGGGACGGCCACCTGAGGAGAGAACGGAGGAACATGTTCAGAGGCCTGTGTCGAACATCATCTATACTGAAGATGGGGATTTCAAACAGCCCCCTGTCTCTCCTGTCTCTCCTGTCTCTCTCTCCTTCACTCCTCTCCTCCCTTCTCCTCTCTCACCACTACCTTCTTCTCTCCCCCTCTCACTGCGGCAGCTTGTATCCTGATAGGTACTTGGCTTCTCTCCTCTCTCGTTTCAGAGACTTTGCCAACTTTGCTAACTTTGCTCTGCTATAGTCACTTTTTCCCATAAGAAACTTGATCTCTTTTTTCCAGTCTTTCTGCACGCCCCGAGTGATCTCATTTATGCCAAATGTTACAAGTAAATGTATCCACTGTGAGATCAATTAAGTTTTTATCTTATCCCTCACCTCTCACCACATTGTATGGCAGCTTGTTTCTTTGTAGGTACTCTCTCCTCCTCTCTGTCCCCTTTTCTCTCCTCTCTCTCTCCTCCTCTCACCACGTTCTCAGGCAGCTTGTATCCTGGGAGGTACTTGACGTTCTCGTGCTCGGTGTTGATGATGTCGGTGAGGTTTCTCCCCTGGATGTTCTCCTCGTAGACCCACATGTTCACAGTGGAGCAGAACCTCTGCAGCGAGCGCACGTTCTGACCGATGATGCGAGCGATGGCTGAACCCCTGGACTCACACACACAGGACAGTATTCAGGTGGGTCTAAGGACAGTGGTGATGATCCAGGACACTCAACACTCATTTATGGACATTGGTCATCTCACCCTTATGAACCTATGAGTTTTTATCATTGCATTTCTTGCGTTTCAACCGTTTGATTCTCTGTTCTGTGTTGGCAAATCAACAGTTTTGTGAAGTCCTCCGAGAGAACTACTGTTGTGATTTAGATTTCAATGTATCCTTTACAAGAATACATTGAAATTGAATATTACACCTCTGGTTTGAACTGGTGTGGATGGTAGCCGAGCCCCTGGACAGACAGACATGAGAAGAACATGCAAAAAGGTGTGGATGTGTGTGAATGACAGCAAACCACAGACAGCAGAAGGAGTGGACCAAGTGTGACATCACCCTTAGCGTTCACATCAAGCCCCAACCTGCTGAGGACGAGCTGTTTTAATGAGGTCTATGGGGAAATCTATTTCACAGCCTGTGTGGATTTAAGCTGCAGTACCGCGGGTGGCCTCTAGTCCATGTGGAGATGGGTTGAGCAGCAACTCCATCCACATAGTATCATGCAGTAGTTACGCAGCTAAAGCAGTAAAACCCTCCCCACATATGAACAGATCCATGACAGTGAGTGTGGTCTCTTCCCCTCCTGCTTCACAGTCACATTGACAGCAGCCCTGAATAAATCTTAGATCTTATTTTGAAGCAACAACACAAAAAAACATGTGAATCAGAAACGTGACTGAACAAAAGTGAAGCAAAAACTGCAGTACATAAACTCATACTCAGCCTTTCTGGAGAGAAACGTTTTCTAACCCTTCCACTAAAAACGTCTCGAGTCTCCCGCTCTCTGTAAGTAAGTAATCTTTATGTATTTATCGCACCTTTCACAGACCAGAGGCACAAAGTGCTTTACAATTATGGGCATTTGTCTCTCTCCACAGAGATGGGAGCAGGTCGTCAACAGTAGGCACATACCAGGCCTATAATACATGTTTTTAGTGGTAGGGGAAACCGGAGCACCCGGAAGAAACCTACACAGACACGTAGGTCAAATACAAACTCTACTCAGATCTCTTTCTGACCGGCATTCGAACCCAGGACCTTCTTGCTGAGATGCGAGATTGCTATCTCTCCCTCACCGGTCTGCCTCACTGGTCTGCCTCACTGGTCTGCCTCACTGGTCTGCCTCACTGGTCTGCCTCACTGGTCTGCCTCACTGGTCTGCCTCACTGGTCTGCCTCACTGGTCTGCCTCACTGGTCTGCCTCACTGGTCTGCCTCACTGGTCTGTCTCACTGGTCTGCCTCACTGGTCTGCCTCACTGGTCTGCCTCACTGGTCTGTCTCACTGGTCTGTCTCACCGGTCACCGGTCTCCCTCACCGGTCTCCCTCACTGGTCTCTCTCACTGGTCTGCCTCACTGGTCTGCCTCACTGGTCTGCCTCACTGGTCTGCCTCACTGGTCTGCCTCACTGGTCTGCCTCACTGGTCTGCCTCACTGGTCTGCCTCACTGGTCTGCCTCACTGGTCTGCCTCACTGGTCTGCCCTCACTGGTCTGCCTCACTGGTCTCCCTCACTGGTCTGCCTCACTGGTCTGCTCATCTGCACTGGTCTGCCTCACTGGTCTGCCTCACTGGTCTGCCTCACTGGTCTGCCTCACTGGTCTGCCTCACTGGTCTGCCTCACTGGTCTCCCTCACTGGTCTGCTCACTGGTCTGCTCACTGGTCTGTCCTCACCGGTCTCCCTCACCGGTCTCCCTCACCGGTCCCTCAGGTCTGCCTCACCGGTCTGCCTCACTGGTCTGCCTCACTGGTCTGCCTCACTGGTCTGCCTCACTGGTCTGCCTCACTGGTCTGCCTCACTGGTCTGCCTCACTGGTCTGCCTCACTGGTCTGCCTCACCGGTCTCCCTCACTGGTCTGCCTCACTGGTCTGCCTCACTGGTCTGCCTCACTGGTCTGCCTCACTGGTCTCCCTCACTGGTCTGCCTCACTGGTCTGCCTCACTGGTCTCCCTCACTGGTCTGCCTCACTGGTCTGCCTCACTGGTCTGCCTCACTGGTCTGCCTCACTGGTCTGCCTCACTGGTCTGCCTCACTGGTCTGCCTCACTGGTCTGCCTCACTGGTCTGCCTCACTGGTCTGTCTCACTGGTCTGCCTCACTGGTCTGCCTCACTGGTCTCCCTCACTGGTCTGCCTCACTGGTCTGCCTCACTGGTCTCCCTCACTGGTCTGCCTCACTGGTCTGCCTCACTGGTCTGCCTCACTGGTCTGCCTCACTGGTCTGCCTCACAGGTCTCCCTCACTGGTCTGCCTCACTGGTCTGCCTCACTGGTCTGTCTCACCGGTCTCCCTCACAGGTCTCCCTCACCGGTCTGCCTCACTGGTCTGCCTCACTGGTCTGCCTCACTGGTCTCCCTCACTGGTCTGCCTCACTGGTCTGCCTCACTGGTCTGCCTCACTGGTCTGCCTCACTGGTCTGCCTCACTGGTCTCCCTCACTGGTCTGCCTCACTGGTCTGCCTCACTGGTCTGCCTCACTGGTCTGCCTCACTGGTCTGTCTCACCGGTCTCCCTCACCGGTCTGCCTCACTGGTCTGCCTCACTGGTCTGCCTCACTGGTCTGCCTCACTGGTCTGCCTCACTGGTCTGCCTCACTGGTCTGCCTCACTGGTCTGCCTCACTGGTCTGCCTCACTGGTCTGCCTCACTGGTCTCCCTCACTGGTCTGCCTCACTGGTCTGCCTCACCGGTCTCCCTCACTGGTCTGCCTCACTGGTCTGCCTCACTGGTCTGTCTCACCGGTCTCCCTCACCGGTCTCCCTCACCGGTCTGCCTCACTGGTCTGCCTCACTGGTCTGCCTCACTGGTCTCCCTCACTGGTCTGCCTCACTGGTCTGCCTCACTGGTCTGCCTCACTGGTCTGTCTCACCGGTCTCCCTCACTGGTCTGCCTCACTGGTCTGCCTCACTGGTCTGCCTCACTGGTCTGTCTCACTGGTCTGCCTCACTGGTCTGCCTCACTGGTCTGTCTCACTGGTCTGCCTCACTGGTCTGCCTCACTGGTCTGCCTCACTGGTCTGCCTCACTGGTCTGCCTCACTGGTCTGTCTCACCGGTCTCCCTCACTGGTCTGCCTCACTGGTCTGCCTCACTGGTCTGCCTCACTGGTCTGCCTCACTGGTCTGCCTCACTGGTCTGCCTCACTGGTCTGCCTCACTGGTCTGCCTCACCGGTCTCCCTCACTGGTCTCTCTCACTGGTCTGCCTCACTGGTCTGCCTCACTGGTCTGCCTCACTGGTCTGCCTCACTGGTCTCCCTCACCGGTCTGCCTCACTGGTCTGCCTCACTGGTCTGCCTCACTGGTCTGCCTCACTGGTCTGCCTCACTGGTCTTAACTTTTCTGTCTGAATAAGCTGATCTAAAGCTGTGACAGAGGACAAACATAGATGCCTGGTGTAAAATAATGGTAGAAGCAACTTTTTGGAGCCAGTAACATGGATTTTATTCTAATGTTGTTCTAATGTTGTTCTAATGTTGTTCTATTGTTGTTCTAATGTTGTGGTCTGATAGCTACGTACCCCAGCTTTAAGCCTTTAAGCTTGTAGCCATCAAGGTAAGTTAACGAGACATTAAGTAAATAATTGTTATTAATTAATAGGATATCAATTTTAATCCACCCCGCTGCTTATCTGTCGCACATGCAGTTAGTGTTTGAGAATATTTTCGCTTGTAAACACGTCTTTATATTTATTTATTTAGTTTTCTGACCAGTTCCCGGAGCCCACGATGCAGACTTTGAGTGGAGCGGTCATGGCTGTGCGCGTGTCCGCCTTGGAGGAGCTGAATCCCGGTTGAGGAGAGCGGCAGATTGAGCCCTGTCTACTCTCTGGATCCACTGGAGCGAGAGGAGACGCGCGCGTGATGATGACGACATGAAGCCGCGACAGCACAAATGGCTGATGGGAAATGTAGTCCGAGCTGAAAATATTGTGATAAAATGTCATGGTCCACTGGGTTCAACCAAAGAACCCAGTGGATCAGTTGTATCGGCCTGATGCAGTGAAGAGGGAGCAGTGTCTGTAGTCAGAGCTCTCGATTTACCGCCCAGTCTACGTACCATCCTCAGCTTTGCTCATGACCAAACATTTTGTCATGCTCTTCTCTATCTCCTCTTCCCTAACTCACCTGTTCTCTCTCCCGTCCTCTCTCCCCCTTCTCTCTACTCTCTCTCTCCTCTCATCTCTCTTCTCCACTCTCTCCCCCCTCTCTCTCTCCTCTCCCTTCTCGTATTGATGGCGTAAACTTAAAGTAAATGTTTGTAACAGGCTCTTTGTGCTAATTCTGCTCTGATTGGATGAGACAGACAGATATTCATGAAATTATAAACACAAAGTCGGTTTTAATCAAAAATACTACATTTTCATGTCATTTTTGCTCTGTTTGAGTCCGTGTGAACCAGAAAACAATTAATCGATTACTAAAATAGTTGTCGACTATTTCAATAATCGATTAGTCGTCGATTAATCGATTACTTGTTTCAGCCCTCTCTCTCTTCACTGTCTCCTCTTCCCTAACTCACCTGTCCTCTCTTCTCTCTCATCTCTCTCTCCTCTCCCCTCTCTCTCCTCTCATCTCCTTTCTCCCCCTCTCTCCTCTCTCATTTCTCTTCTCCCCTCTCCTCTCCTAGTTCTCTCCCTCCTCTCATCTCTCTCCCCTCTCATCTCATCTCTCCTCTCCTCACTCCCCTCTCATCTCTCTTCTCTCCTCTCTCCCCCACCCCTTCCCTTTCCCCTCTCCTCTCACCTCCCCTCTCCTCACTCCCCTCTCCCCTCTCCTCTCCCCTCAGAGTGTGGCCTTTATGTGGGGCAGATATAATAAATATTCAAAAACCACGGTCCATATTTAGTCCCTGTTTGATCGCGTCCCCATTTGGCCCGTCACTTCACTCACGCGCAGATGACGTTACGCAACGAGTTCAGTGAGATGTGAATAAATGATGTCATAATAATTCTTCTGTTATTCCCCAACCCATCCCACAACCCCCCACCTCCTGCGGCTCATTTGCATATTCAACCTGATTACCTCTGCGGCGCGCGTGTACGTGTCTCCCCCGCGCGCGCACGTGTCGTAAATAAAACACAACTTTATGAATGGAGAGAGGAGCCCAGCCCGGTGCGCCGCGGTGACGTATTCCCGCGGTTTATGGTTATGTAAGGGACAGATGACCTGCTCGGACTGGAGAGTGAAAAGCGCGACATCTGCGAGTCCTGCTGCACGAGAGGACAGAACAGAAAGAATGATCCAATAAACAGTCATGTGGAGGTAATAATGGAATCCACAATAAAGATATGCAGGTTACAGGAAAATCATGCAGCAACAAAAATCTGTTCGGACCCATTGTTCAGTCCTGGTCCAGTCCTGGTTTAATCCGTGCAGAGCTGTTTCAGACCTGGCTCAGACCATGTTCAGACTTGGTTCAGACCATGTTCAGACCCTGTTCAGACTTGGTTCAGACCATGTTCAGACCTGGCTCAGACCATGTTCAGACCCTGTTCAGACCTGGCTCAGACCATGTTCAGACCATGTTCAGACTTGGCTCAGACCATGTTCAGACCATGTTCAGACCATGTTCAGACCATGTTCAGACCTGGTTTAGTCCATGCAGAGCTGGTTCAGACCTGGTGGTCCAGACCGGGTTCAGACCATGTTCAGACCACTGGCTCAGACCATGTTCAGACCTGGTTCAGACCATGGTCCAGACCTGGTTCAGACCTGGTCGAGATCTTGCTGTTGTTTTTACATAATATGCTGACATGCTGAAAACACCCTGAATCAGCAGGTTTTAGTTGGACTGAACCAAACCTGATCTGGTTCAGTCCTGGTTCAGATGTAGCTCAGACCTGGTTGAATCCTGGTTCAGACCTGGTTGAATCCTGGTTCAGGCCAAGTTCAAATCAAGTTCAATATAAGTTCAGATCTGGTTCAGACCTGGTCCAGTCCAACTTTAGTCCTGCTTTAGTCCTGGCTCATCAGTCCTGTTTCAGTTCTGCTTTAGACTTGCTTTAGACCTTCTTTAGGTCTGCTTTAGTCCTGCTTTAGTCCTGCTTTAGTCCTAGAGTCCTGCTTTAGTCCCAGTTCAGTCTTGCTTCTAAAACCAGGATAATGTGTCCTGCTGCTGCTGCTGCTGCAGTATTGACATTGCACACGGTCATTTATTTATATATTTCCGCTGCCTCTGGGAGTGACCGGAGCGGGATTTCCAAAACAACCAAAAAAAAATAAAGATAAATAAATGTCCACGCACGAACGTCAGTGACGGAGAGAGCGCGCTCGGAGGGGGGGTGAGTAGTGGATGAAGAGGGAGGGAGGGAGGGGGGAGAGCCGCAGTATAAGGGAAAAGCCCCGCTCTGCTCCACACACAGATCCTCCGTGTGCAGCGAGCAGAGCCATGTCCTGTCCCAGCGCCAGAGCAGGACCCGCGGGGAGGATGCCCAGAGCCGCCCGGGACCAGCCCCTGGAGGGGCCTCTGTCCAAGTACACCAACCCACTGCGGGGGTGGAAGAAGCGGTGAGTGAAGTCTGCATGGGACAGCGGTGTGTGTGTGTGTGTGGAGGAGAGTGCGTGAAGAGAGAGGGCTGAGCCAGGACTGAAGCTGAGACTAAAGCAGGGCTAAAAAAGAGACTAAAGCAGAGACTAAAGCAGGACTGAAGCAGAGACTAAAGCAGGTCTAAAACAAGGCTAAAGGAGGACTAAGGCAGGACTGATGGAGAGACTAAAACAAGACTAAAGGCGAGACTATAACATAATTAAAGCAGGACTAAAACCGGTCTAAGACAGGACTAAAGCAGGACTAGCAGGAAGAAAACAGTACTGAAGCAGGACTTACATGTTTTGTTGGAGTTTTTAGTTGTTTTTTTGTTGCATTTTGAGATCCCTTTGTCTCAGATTTGAGAAGGGCAGCCTCACTTCCATCAGTCTGTCCCAGGGCAGCTGTGGTTAGTCATCATAATATCTTTCCCAAAGTTGAAGCAACATTTTTAACCAAATTAATTTTGACCCTGACTTTAACCCTATCCCTCACCTCATGTTTTTTCTTATTTGTTTGAACCAGTATTTATGCTGTATTCTCTTTGCAAGGTGAACAATTCTTACAGTTCATTATCTAAGAACGTATCAAAAATAGGTTAATTGAGCAACAGTTGTGCAAAAAATACTTTCTCGCCTGCAGATTGATTGGCACTGACAGCATGTAGAACTGTAGAACGACAATGATTAACTGAAAGGGGAAATTTAAATAGAGATTACAAAAGTGAGATTCGCCCGGTGTCTCGATGGCGATCTGAGACATGGACCAAAGTCAAAGGTGCTTCATACTTTTATACTGCAGACTGTGAGCTTTGAGCTGTGTTGAAACGGCGTGATCCAGGACAACAATGGGAAAGGAGGGTGTGTTGTTTAAATCTGTGTCGGTTTTTCAGAAAATAATAAAACAAACAAATGAATCCTTCAATATTAGTCTTCCAAACCCAGGACCAGAGAGGGACTGGAGAGAGGCCTGTGAGAGAGATCAGAAAGACCAAAGAGAGAGACCAGAGAGAAACCAGAGAGAGCCCAGAGAGAGAGACCAGAGAGAGAGACCAGAGAGAGACCGGAGAGAGACCAGAGAGACAACAGAGAGAGACCAGAGAGAGAGACCAGAGAGAGACCAGAGAGAGAGACCAGAGAGAGACCGGAGAGAGACTGGCGGCACGGTGGCTGAGTGGATAGCACTCTCGCCTCTCAGCAAGAAGGTCCTGGGTTCGAATCCCGGTTGGACCAGGGCCTTTCTGAGTGGAGTTTGCATGTTCTCCCCGTGTCTGCGTAGGTTTCCTCCAGGTGCTCCGGTTTCCCCTACCACTAAAAATATGTACAATAGTTCTGGCATGTGCCTCCTGTACTGGCGACCCCTGCTCCCAAAAAAAAAATAAAAAATAACAATTGTAAACCGCTTTGAGACTCCGATGTGCAGTGAAAAGGCGGTATATAAATAAAGATTACTTACTACTACTACTACTACTACTGGAGAGAGACCAGAGAGAGAGACCAGAGAGAGACCAGAGAGAGACCAGAGAGGGACCGGAGAAAGAGAGACCAGACAGAGACCAGACCGAGACAGGAGAGAGAGAGACCAGAGAGAGACCGGAGAGAGAGACCAGAGAGAGAGGGAGAGACCAGAGGAACACTCATTTTTAAAAGGTATGGCAAGTTTTTCATTCACATGGAGCAACATATTTTTCACAAAGACAACTTTATAAATGAAAGAGCAGCACATAAGGTCTGGTTAGCACTGTGATGGGAGACCTCTGGGAACACCAGATGCCACAGTGGCGGCTGTGGCAGTAAAGTGCCAAACTGTCATTGTGTCCATTGGCAAGACACTTCACCCACATTAGATTGAGTCTGGTGTGTGCACGAATGGTTGGGGGTGGGAGGGGCCAATGGAAAATACTGGTTGCCTCACTTCTGTCTGTGTGCCACAAGGAAGCTGTAGCTTCAATAGTAATTTATCACCACTGTGTTTGGGGTGAATGAATAATACATGTGAGGCGTTTTTGAGTGTCAAGAAAAGCGCTGAAAGTGAAGCCTTAAAATCCTATTTAGTCTGAGCCTCTGCTTCAGCTGCGTTACAAAAGTTTATATATTGCATAAAAATCTACAGCGATCTCTCTCTATCTCTGTATCTGCTTCCTCTCTCTGTGTGAGGGGGCGGGAGTCCCAAACCAGCTCTGACTCATCAGAGGAAAACCCTGCACTGTCCTCAAACACACACATATACAAATACACATACACATACACATGCACACACACACACCTACACATTAAAACACACCCACACACACACACATACACACACACATATGCACACACACAGTCACACACGCACATGAGCACACGCACACATACACACACACACACACAGGCACACACACACACACACACATGCACACACACACATACACACAGTCACACACGCACATGAGCACCCACACACAGACACTCAGCTCAGATCAATAAGCTTGCGCCGCTGTAATAATCACTGCTCACTTCAGGACTTGGCCGGAGAGAGGATCTTGGAGGCTGGAGGTGACTCTATATTAAAGCTGGGGTACGTAACTTTCAAATCCCAACAATAGAACTCCAATGAAATCCACGTCACTTGTTCCACTTTAGATCAGCTGTTTCAGACAGAAAAGCGTAAAAGTGAGGACCACCATCACTCAGCCAATCAGCTCTCAGCCCAAAGAGTCAAATAGTGACTCACAAGGCTTTATTTCACACAAAATATGTCATTTTTTCTGATAAGATGAAGATAGGATGTATTGTCATTGTCTTCCCCTTTATTAGTCCATTTCTGGGTCGGGGGGGGGGTGGCAATCAGAGCTGCCACTCAAGTCTCACAGCACCAGTCCCTCGCTGATCCTCCTGCTGGTGGTGGGTCCACAGGAAGATGGGAGCAGGTGAAATGGGTCGTGGTGGGCCCGAACCCATGAGCCACTGTCGCCCATGAAGACAGGATGTTGTGGTCTATGTGAAATATTGTTCTATTGTTGTTTGAAAGTTAGGTCCCCAAGCTTTAAACAAACCCAACTTTCAGAAGTGATTTGGCTTTGATTTGATTGAGAGCTCCCTGTGACAGTTGATTAATGAGTTCCAGATTCACGGTGACAGACGTGGCGCTGCTGTCATAATGTTTCAGACTGTGTTTATGAACTCAAGCCCGACAAAGAGACACTTTTGAATTGGGAAACATAGAACCAGCAAAATAGAGGTATAGAAATTGCACTATAGAATCATGTGTCCTGTCACTTACTTCATACTTGCTTATTCATTAGGCTAAAGTTAGAGATTTGAATGTAATCTTTACTGAAGGGACAGTGTACAAAGACATTACAGTAAGCTCATATGCTCTGCACCAGATTTGAAATCGATAGCTAATTTCCATCTGCAGTCTCTTGTATACTTTCATTTCATTTCATTTATTGAGTTGGGACAATGTACATTCATCAACATTTATGCCTTAAGAGTCAGTGTAAATGTGCCGGACTTAGCACGAGAGATGTTATACTTTCTTCTTTACTATTCTAAAGTTAAAGATTTTTTTATTATTATAGTATTATAGAGTTATTATTAATTTATCTTGTGCTGTGTGCTCCTCATTCCTACTGTTCCGTAACTGGTGAGGAACCCTGAAATTTCACCACTGTGGGATGAAAATGGATCTCTTCATTTTAAGAAATTAATCTTCCACAAATTAATGCATTCTTTCACAAAAAAAGCACATCTACAAAATGTGTGGTTTACTTTGTAGTCTGTAGATTCCCATCAATCCAGCGTCGACAGCTAAAGTTCTGACTAGCACCAGCAAATGATCTCACATTACAAGATCTTCTGTAGCCTCATTTGCAGCGTGCACCAAGCTCTCAAAGCAAAGTGTTCTCTAACCCGCTGCTCACATGTGGCTCAGGTGAAGATGGTCCTAAAAATACACACACAAGGGACGGAACTTTCTGTAATGACAGCGTAACGGGCAGTGGAGCTGTGACGGTGAGTGAAGCTCTGACCGTCAGAGTTTGGGCTGTTGCACGTGCTGCTCTTTCCTTTATAAAGTTGTCCTTGTGAAAAATATATTGGAAAGTGTCTATGTTTCTCCACATGGATGAGAATTTTACAATAGTCTGTTATAATGTGAGTTCTTTGACATAGGTGTAATGTGAGGTCTTTAACACAGGTGTAATGTAAGGTCTGTAACACAGGTGTAATGTGAGGTCTGTAACACAGGTGTAATGTGAGGTCTTTTACACTGGTGTAATGTGAGGTCTTTGACACAGGTGTAATGTGAGGTCTGTAACACAGGTGTAATGTGTGGTCTTTAACACAGGTGTAATGTGAGGTCTGTAACACAGGTGTAATGTGAGGTCTTTAACACAGGTGTAATGTGAGGTCTTTAACACAGGTGTAATGTGAGGTCTGTAACACAGGTGTAATGTGTGGTCTTTAACACAGGTGTAATGTGAGGTCTTTAACACAGGTGTAATGTAAGGTCTTTAACACAGGTGTAATGTGTGGTCTTAACACAAATGTAATGTGAGGTCTGTAACACAGGTGTAATGTAAAGTCTTTAACACAGGTGTATTATAAGGTCTTTAACACAGGTGTAATGTGAGGTCTGTAACACAGGTGTAATGTAAAGTCTTTAACACAGGTGTATTATAAGGTCTTTAACACAGGTGTAATGTGTGGTCTTAACACAGGTGTAATGTGAGGTCTGTAACACAGGTGTAATGTAAGGTCGGTAACACAGGTGTAATGTAAGGTCTTTAACACAGGTGCAATGTGAGGTCTTTAACACAGGTGTAATGTAAGGTCTTTAACACAGGTGCAATGTGAGGTCTTTAACACAGGTGTAATGTGAGGTCTTTAACACAGATGTATGTGTGAGGTTGTAAAAAAAATGCATGTACAAGTATTTCAATGTTTGAATCTGGCTCCTTCTAAACAGGGTGAAGTCTCTACCAAAGCCCCACACCGGACCCAGACTGGACCCAGACTGGACACAGACTGAACTAAAACCAGACCCAGTCCCCCCCATTTAAACTCCCTCTGGTTTCAGGTTCTTTGTGCTGGAGCCGGACACGGGGCAGCTGTGGTACTACCTCAGTGCTGCCTCCAGAGGCCAGCAGGCTCCTCGGGGGGCCCTGTCTGTGGTGGGGGCCCGGGTCTGCTCCAGTCCAGACCACCCCTTCATGTTCACCGTACAGTCCAGCAGCGGTGACACCTACAAGCTCAGAGGTAAAGACCCACCGACCAAAAATCTCTCACCTCATCAATTATATCTTTGTCAAAGAGCAGAAGCGTTTTTGTCTCAATCTCAGTGAGTGATTGATTTTATTTTCAAATGTTACACTTGTTCCATTGGCTTTTGAAGCAATTTTGGTTAAACCTAAGCTTGTCATTATCTGAAGGTCAAACTAGCATATAACTATTGCCGCCGTATTTTGTCGTCTGGTATAAAATCACATGCAAGCTGTAAAATCTTTGGTCATGACATTTTTAACAACAATAAAACATGTCTTCAGTCACGCAATCCCAGACCTCCGCATTGTTTGAATTTTCTTTAACAGCCAAAATGGGCTCAAATCAAGATACATTTTGCTCAGTTATAAACTTAATATCTTATTTCAGCCGAAATTGTATGTATTTGAATGCACACTGCCGACCTGACCCCACATGTGCAATAATTTTAAATTATGTCAGAATGTGCAATATAGAACCACATGTGTCCAGTGCTACTTTACTTACTCACTTTGTCCCAGACCCTTATACCCACATGTTCAGATGTATATCTATATATTTCTTCCACTAGAATATACCAAGCCCCGGCGATCCAAGATGGCGCCCTATTCAAATCAATGGCTTGTGCTCAGTAGTGCCTGGGACATACATGAGGGCTGAAAAATTAGCGGAACTCGGCAATATTTGGGCATCGTCGGGTCCTCCCGGTTCTGCGCAGTGGACAATCTCCCATGATGCGTTGCGTGAAAAATGGTTGTGTGGCTCTCATGCAAAGGACAGAGGGGCTCGGCCGCGTTCTGACCAATCAGAGCTGCTGATCAGAGAGGAGCTAAAGTGGAGCTAGAGCCGAGCTGGTAGCATTAAAGTTTGGATTGAAAGAAAACCGAAGGATTTTACAAGAAAAAAGTTCAGGACGACAAGGAACACTAAAATCCCCACAAAATTCTCCTTGATGAAAGCTGTAGGTTCTCTGTCAGCTGAGGTCGAGCTGTTGTATTTTATATTGAGTTCTGTGGGTAAAATTTCTGGGTAGCCCACGTTAATTTAGTCTGGTTTAGTCTCCAGTACCGTGAGAATCCCCCGAGCACATGGATCTTTCAGCTCCAAGCTAGTAATACCCTGTTCAGATATTATAATAGATCCATGGAATATACACAATTTTACACTTGGTTCTTTAGTATGCTAAAGTTAGAGATTTTTTTTTTAGCATAACGTTATTTTCACTTATCTTGTTGTGTTGTGTTCTCCTAATTCCTTCTGTTCTGTAACTGGTGATGCAACGCTGACATTTCCCCACTGTGGGACGAATAAAGGATTTCTTAATCTTTCTTAATCTGTAAATAATCTCTCGACCCCCAGGTAGTGTCATATGACCCCCACTTTAGGAAGCACTGCTCTATACCAGAGGAAATGTGGGATTTTTCTCTTTTGGTTCAATCTCGATTATTTCACTTCTGTTCGGATTCGTCTCTTCTCATCACAGATTTTTAGCGCAAGACTAAAATGTGTTAAGAGGCTGTTTGTGTTTCAGCTCAGGACGCGCAAGAGCAGGAGGTGTGGATGACGCAGCTGCAGCTCTGCTCCAGGAGGCTGTCGGACTCAAGCAAGGCCAGTACCAGGACCAGACCAGGACAAAGAGCCAACACTAAACCATTGACTGTAGAGAGTGGACTGTTTTAGAGCTATCACAGACACCTCCATGGGTAGGGAATTTGGGGCAAAATTTGTGGGTAGCAACGGCCTAGCAACCAAAGAGCCAATAGGGAGCAGCGCTGGTCTCCTTTTGCTCTCGTTACTTGCTAGCTGAAGCCAAATTCAGGAGTAAAAGCCTCCTGATTGGTCAGTTGTGAGGGCTTTGGTGGTCTCTCTCTGGTCCCGAACATTCAAGATTTTCCTTTGTCCCAAAGAAAATTTGTTTTGGACTCACAGGCTGCTCCTTTGACACATGAGAGGTACCGAACACAATAAAGTGACACAGATGTAAACCATCTCCACTCTGCTTGATGGCCTGCATTCTCGATCTGGTCTCTTTCTGGTCTCTCTATGGTTTCTCTCTCTGGCTTTTCTCTAGTCTCTCTCTCTGGTTTCTCTCTGGTCACTCCATTTATCTCTAGTCTCCCTCTGGTCTCTGTCTGGTCTCTCTCTATCTCTCTCTGGTCTTTCTCTTTGGTCCAAAACGTGGTCTTTCTCTGGTTCAGAACCACGTCCTCGGATTTTGAGTTTGTGGAGATTTGTTATGCAGCCGCTTCAGACTGAATTCTGCGGTACCCAGAGCGGACTCCCTCTGGTCCCGGTGGCTCTGCTGGTTTCTGGGTCAAACAGTTTTAAATTGGGGCATGATTGTATAAATAGCCTGTAGCGGGACTCGAGCCTCATCATGGTCTCAATAGGGCCTCATCAGCGTCCCATCAGGGTCTCATCAGGGTCCGGACGCCTTTGCTCTTCTGTCAGTCGTGTCCCGCTGCAGATTATCAGATGCTGTAAATCCTGCTTTCTGCGCTGGTCTCAGTCAGATTTACAGGATTATCATATTTCCGGCTTTCACAGAACAACTCTCACAAACACAGATTATTTTCAAACTTATGATTCACGATATTACTGACCTGCTTTGATTTTTGTGTCAATCTGTAGAAGACATTAGTCAGTTTAAATCTGATGAGTAGAAAACATGTCCCACCCCAACCCCAAAAAACAGACCTGGGGTTGTTTGCTCTGTTTTCAAATGTAATCTACAATGACCACAGACTGTATATTAGGAGTGGACTGATAGCGGGTTGATGTCTCCTTCTGAATGCGGAAGAAGCCGATGCGATAATAAGAAAGCTGGAGCTCAAACCATGGGCACCAAATGATGAATGGAACTTTCCCATATTTGGGCTTTCCTCTGGTCCTCCCGGTTCTGTGCAGTGGAACGAGATCCCAAGATGCTTTGCGCCGTGAGCTAGAGCTGGAGGCAAACAAGCAAATTGTGTGGCACTAAAGTGTGGATTCATAGAAAACAGAAAGATTTAAAGAGATTGTCTGGAGTTTGTCAGAAAAAGAGAGAGAGGTACAGGATTTTTTTAAAACGACGCAAGCTCCTCCCCCTTCCTTTCTGATTGGTCTACGCCTCCGTTTCTGTAACACATTTAAATGTTAATCTGAGAACACATTATACTTATACATTATTAATACACATGCACAGAGGTTTTCAGAATTATTTGTTAACGTTTTCATGACAAAAATAATGTTTTAATGCACGAAAAAAGCGATGGGGGTAAACCCGGAAGTAGATATTAACGTTGATTGAACATCATAGGACACGTCTGCAGAGGATCTGATTATGGATATAGGTTCAGTATATAAATGATTATGGATATAAGTTCAGTATATAAATGATTATGGATATAGGTTCAGTATATAAATGATTATGGATATAGGTTCAGTATATAAATGGGTAACTCAGCACGGATGTTCAGAATTCTTTGTTCAGTTTTCATGTAGTTTCAGAGCCTAATAGAGGCTTGATTCGGAGGCTCCGTAAAAACAAACAACTGAGCATGAGCAGCTACGAGCATCAGTGCCCTTGGCATCACTTGATTGGTTAACGTGGACGGCATTGTGGATTTTGAGCTAAAGCTAAGAGAAGGGAAGGCGGGACTTACCCGTAATATTAGAATTCATACAATTATTTAAAAGACTTATTTCATATCAATATTTAAGGCCAGGAGGTCAATTTAATACAACTCTTAAAATGTGTAATTCATTTAGAGTTCCAGACTATCACTTTAAGAGGGAAAAAAGCTCAGGACGACAAGGGACACTAACATTCCCACAGAGTTCTCTGTCAGCTGAGGTCGAGCTGTTTTCATTTATATTGAGTTCTATGGAGAAAATGTCTGTGTAGCCCACGGGAATTTAGTTTTGTTTAGTCTGCAGTACCTTGAGAATCCCCCGAGCACATGGATCCTTCGGCTCTAAGCTAGTAATACCCTATCCAGAAATTATTATAGATCTACGGGTCTCTCTCTCTCGACTCTTCATGGTCTCTCTGTTCTCTCTCTCATTTCGCTGGTCCTGAGTACTCACAAGCTGTGACTTTAGACGACCTGTTTGAAAGTGAGAAGTGTGCACTGTAACAAATTTCTGTAAAATTACAATGAAATTTCAACATTAAACAAATGCTATTTTGAAAAACAATTCAAACGTGTAAATTTAAGTAGAAATTGGTTAAAAAAAACATCCAGTGGCGTTTTATTACCACAATTATAATGTGATTACAAAAAACGTTATTATTACCGTAATTTAACATAAACTTGTTGTATTTTTGGAATGCTGGAACATTTTTGCTACTGAGCAACCATGAGTGTAAAAGGTACCTCTTACACAAGTAAACTCCTGCTTTAGTTAGAATGATTCTTTTGCATTAAGCATGTTATAGAAGTAAAGATTTCTACTACTTTCTTATATAAACTAAAGACGTTAAAAAATAATTGAAAAGATGTGTTCATGAAAGTAAAACAAATTAAACTGTGTAGTTTTTTGTTCAATGAAACTAATTAGAAACAGAAACAGTCATATGGTGTAATAATACAAAATGAACATGATAAAGCTGTTATTGTTGTATGTGAATGAACAGGAACATACAGTTAAATCCTGAAATCACAAAGGTATAATGTGATTCAGTGAAACAGTCTTTAACCGTTAAAATTAGCAACGGTAATGCCATGTTGAGAAAACGGTAAATTCCTGGAACCATATTTGCCAGCTATTAACCGTTTTTCTACAATTTTTTTACAGTGTGTATTGACACTCTTATTTGGACATGTTTCTGTCTTCCTTGTGGCAAAAAGCCAGTTGGACAGAGCATTTCGACACAAGTAAAAAACTTAGGTGTACAGCACAAAAGTGTTATGTATGTATGTAAACACTTTAGGCACCAGCGTTTTCAGTCTACTTTAATCAATAATGGAAATACATTATTAAAGAAATGATATAAGAAAAATGTAGGGAGACGTCTGTGTGAAGCCAAGTCGCTGTATAGAAAGTGTCTTGGAGCTGAACCCTGGGTCTAAACCAGGACTGAGAGATGAACTATGTAATGATATTATAACAGAAAAGATGAAAAGTGTTGAGGAGGAGAGGCTTTGTGTTCAGACAGGAGCCGATCTGGATGTGTCTTTTAATATCTGCTGCGCATGAGTCACCCTCCCGAGAGACGGAGACATGGCACGACTGCAGAAACACACTGGCAAAAACAATACAACCACTTTAAATCACATTACAAAGTCACACACAGCTGTGGCCAACTCCTCAAGCAACATCCAGGCAGCCTTCCCAGTTTAACAACAGAAAGAGGATACTGTTGTGAACAAACCAGACCACACCCTGCCCTCTTCATCCTATGTTTTTAATCACTATTTCAGCTTTTCTATGTTAAAAAACTGATCTGACATGATGTGAAAACTAGTGATAGAAGCAAGCGGTTTTAAAGCCATGTTACATAATGCAAGAGAGACCAGAGAGAGACAAGAGAGAGACTAGAGAGAGACCAGAGAGACCAGAGAGACCAGAGAGAGACAGAGAGAGACTAGAGAGAGACAAGAGAGAGACCAGAGAGAGACCAGAGAGAGACAAGAGAGAGACTAGAGAGAGACCAGAGAGAGACCAGAGAGAGACCAGAGAGACCAGAGAGAGACAGAGAGAGACTAGAGAGAGACCAGAGAGAGACCAGGGAGAGACCAGAGAGAGACCAGAGAGAGACCAGAGAGACCAGAGAGAGACCAGAGAAAGACCAGAGAGAAACTAGAGAGAGACCAGAGAGAGACCAGAGAGAGAGCAAAGAGAGACCAGAGAGAAACTAGAGAGAGACCAGAGTGAGACCAAAGAGAGACCAGAGAGACCAGAGAGAGAGCAAAGAGATACCAGAGACAGACCATGGAGGCAATCACATTATAATGGACTACGACAAGTTTCTCATCCACATGGAGCCATATGGACACTATCCAACATATTTTTCACAAGGACAACTTCATAAAGTGTAGAGCAGCCCAAACTCTGACAGGAAGAGCTTCACTCACCCAACGACAGCTCCACGGCTCGTTACGCTGTCCTTATGCAAAGTATTGTCCCATGTGTGACTTGTGTGGAGTTTTTTTATTGCTGTATGAATTACACCTACTGTATTTGTTCGAAGTGTTAACACACCATTCTGTGTCTCTCAATATGTGAGTAAGAGGCAGTTTTTGGTCAGTGGGAATGAGGCTTCTCTTTGACCCTTTGGGCTGTGAGCTGATTGGCTGAGCGAGGGTGGTTCTCTTTTTTACTTTTCTGTCAAAAAAAAAGCTGATCCAAAGATATGACAGAGGCCAGAAGGACCAGAGAGAGAGAGATCAGAGAGAGACCAGAGAGAGACCAGAGAAAGAGATCAGAGAGAGACCAGAGAGAGACCAGAGAGAGAGATCAGAGAGAGACCAGAGAGAGACCAGAGAAAGAGATCAGAGAGAGACCAGAGAGAGACCAGATCAGAGAGAGATCAGAGAGAGACCAGAGAGAGACCAGAGAGAGAGATCAGAGAGAGACCAGAGAGAGAGATCAGAGAGAGACCAGAGAGAGACCAAAGAAAGTCTAGAGAGAGAGATCAGAGAGAGACCAGAGAGAGACCAGAGAAAGAGATCAGAGAGAGACCAGAGAGAGACCAGAGAGAGACCAGAGAAAGACCAGAGAGAGACCAGAGAGAAACCAAAGAAAGTCTAGAGAGACCAGAGAGAGACCGAAGAGAGACCAGAGAGAGAGACCAAAGAGAGACCAGAGAGAGAGACCAGAGAGAGACCGGAGAGAGACCATAAAGCAAGAGACCAGAGAGAGACTAGAATTACATACTTGAAGAAAGCTGTTTTGGCTCCAGGAACCAGAGACATGGATTTTATTACAGAATTTTAATGCTGTGGATTGAAAGTTAATGTTTCTTTAAGTGAAGTTGATTTTTTGTGAAGCGGCTCTAAAACAGTGACTTGCTCTTTTGTTCCCGTCATCACAAACCAGTGATGGTAAAAATAGAGCCATGGATCGCTCCGGTAAATGTAAGCGCTGTCATAAGTGCAGACGGCTCCAGACTGAAGACACAGAGACGGATCCAGATGTAATCAGAGCTTCATGTCTCAAAAATACCTCCTTCCTTTCGCTGCGCATTTATTCAGACCTTTTATCAGACCTCAAAGATGTTTTTGAAGCTGGGGTGGGTAACTTTCAACACCACAAAAATGGAACTCTGTAATAAAATCCATGTCACTAGTTCCTGGATCCAAAACAGTTTTCTTGTTTGTGTGTCTCTGTCACATCTTTAAATCTTGCTTTTAGACAGAAAAGTGAAGACGAGAGAACCATGAGACATCAGAGAGAAAGACAAGAAAGAGTGAGCCCAAAGAGAGTGTAGAGACCAGACAAGAGAGAGACTAGAGGTGGAGAAAAGAGCGAGACCAGAGAGAGAGACCAGAGAGAGACCAGAGAGAGAGACCAGAGAGAGAGAGACTAGAGGTGGAGAAAAGAGCGAGACCAGAGAGAGAGACCAGAGAGAGACCAGAGAGAGAGACCAGAGAGAGAGACCACAGAGAGAGACCAGAGAGAGACCAGAGAGAGAGACCACAGAGAGAGACCAGAGAGAGAGACCACAGAGAGAGACCAGAGAGAGAGACCAGAGAGAGAATCCAGAGATTGACCAGAGAGTGACCAGATAGAGAGACCAGAGGTAGGGACAAGAGATAGACCAAAGAGAGACCAGCGTGAGACCAGAGAGAGATCAGGGAGAGAACAGATAGAGACCAGAGAGAGAACAGATAGAGACCAGAGAGAGAATCCAGAAATAGACAAGAGAGTTACCAGATAGAGAGACTAGAGTAGAGACAAGAGACAGACCAAAGAGAGACCAGCTTGAGATCAGGGAGAGAACAGAGAGAAACCAGTGAGAAACCAGAAATAGACCAGAGAGACCAGTGAGAGGTCAGAGAAAGATCAGAGAGAGAGACCTCAGAGAGACCTCAGAGAGACCTCAGAGAGACCTCAGAGAGACCAGAGGGAGACCTCAGAGAGACCAGAGAGAGACCTCAGAGAGACCAGAGAGAGACCTCAGAGAAACCTCAGAGAGACCAGAGAGAGACCTCAGAGAGACCTCAGAGAGCCCTCAGAGAGACCAGAGAGAGACCTCAGAGATACCTCAGAGAGACCAGAGAGATACCTCAGAGAGACCAGAGAGAGACCTCAGAGAGACCAGAGAGAGACCAGAGAGAGACCTCAGAGAGACCTCAGAGAGACCTCAGAGAGACCTCAGAGAGACCTCAGAGAGACCAGAGAGAGACCAGAGAGGGACCAGAGAGCCAGCCAATCAGCTCTCAGCTCAAAGAGTCATCTTTAAGAATAGGTCAAATATTTGCTCAAAGTAAATGATAAACTTTTAATTCCAATGGTGCTCTAACAGTTTTATGTTTATGTGCAGACGCTGAGTCCTGAAGCACAGAGCCCCGCCCACACGTCTCTGGAGCCTCAGCCCAAACGAGGGCCTCTGTCTGGGGACCAGGTGAGAGCTCTGAGGGGCCGCTTTACCATCTTTAAATTAGGTTTAGGGAAATGTCAGTGTTGCATCACCAGTTACAGAATATAAAGGAATGAGGGGCACAAGAGAAATAAACAATAACACTATTCTAAAATATAATAAAATCTCCAACTTTAGCATAATAAAGAAGCTAGTATGTGCTTAACGGTGCAGTGGTGTGCACCTTGTGTTTTTGTCATGTCATCGCCACAAACATAAAGATTTCGTACCCCACTATAGCACAAATTACATTTCGTACTAAGGTCTGGAGGTGCTCCATTGAACTCCGTGAACAGGTGTCAAGGGATAGCTCCTTTTGCAGATTGAAATGATTGGATCTGAGTTTACCGTCACGTATGTAGTGCACCTGAATGAGTCGATAGCATTTAGCCTAGCCAACTCCTTTGCTGCTAACGGAGCCCGTGGGGAGCAGTGCCACAATCTTTGCCAGCGATTACATTTGCTAAACATTCCTCTTGCTCCGGCTTCAATTTCTTGATAGAACCAGACCGGATTACTTTACCATCGCATTCTTCGCCATTGTCAACCTACAACCTGCCTGTTTGACGCAAACTCTTGACGTCACCCACAACTAACTACAACACCCGCCTCCCACGCTCTGATTGGTCGGATGGAATTCAACTGATTGTAATCGCAAACACAGAGACCAGACCCAGACGTTACATGCAGGGAAATGAGTATTGAGCGGAGATGGATAGGGCCAGGCTAAGAGAACGGTGAAGTGAAAGCAAAATGAAACATGACTTTGTTCATCAAGTCAATATTTGAGTAACATATTATAACTCAAAAAGGGTAAAATAATCAGCTAAGAAATGAAAAATGTAGTAAATAAAACAGGGAAATGGAGAGCGAAAGTGTGGTTTTAGGGCCCTCCGGTGGCAGAAACAGAGATAGTTGTTTTTAAACCAGAATATTAATGCCGGGTTTTGTAACTTTCAAACCACAACAACAGAACTAATAAAATCCAAGTCACTAGCCCTGCTCCTGGCTCTAAAACAGTTTGCTTCTTTCACTGGTTTTCACACGCATGTATTATTGTCGAGAGTGATGATCCGGGAGTCCTGGGACATATACTAAATGCATGTTTCTTATTCTGTTATTTCCTGTGTTTGAACTGTTTGATTCTCTGTTGCTGAGGAACCAGTCCATTTGTAAAGTCCTCTGAGACGACTGCTGTTGTGATTTAGGTTTGATTTAATGTAACTGTATTGAACGTAATCAATTATGCTTTGAAACCTCTGCGTTCTCGTCCCTTGGTCACAGATGTTGACATTAGTCTCCAGTTGAACCTGTAACTTCCTCATCATGTGTTGTGTGTTTCAGGACGTCCTGCTCTTCAAAACCCCGTCCTCCCTGAGTTGCCTGAGTCAGTGTCTGAGTCTGTTCCACCAGAACCTGCACCGCGCCTCCCTCCACAACCACATCCAAAGCCCCAGTCCCCAGCCCTGCTCCCCCCCAGGCAGAGCTGCGGTCCTGGGGCAGCCCAAGCCCTGCGCGCCCCTCCAGCACCGTGACCCTGAAGGCGTAAGCTCAGCCAATCACAGCCCAGCACTCAGACAGGGCAGCTTCAGAGCAGGTGAGGAGGGGGGGTACTTTGGGGGGGTTCTTCTGGATGGCGGGGTCTGGGACGTTACATCTGAATAAAAGGAGACAAAAAGATCACTCAGGTTATGTACACATCAAACAGAATCTATTTTTTAAGATAATAGATCATAAAATATTAAATAAGATAATTAACTCTGGAGCTAAAGCACTTGGTTCAAGAATAAGTCTCGTGTGGAGTATGCAGTAGCCTTATCATTTCCCTGCATGTAATTTGTACTATGGTGTGGTACGACCAGGCTAAGTATGCAGCAGTCGTGAGATTTTTACAGATGGTTTGTTTTTGTATTGGAGCAACGGCGAATACAACCAGAATAAATAGTAGTAATAGTTTGTAAAGTAAAGAAAAAAAGTAATAGCACATCGATGTCCCCCAGATAATTCTCTCCAGGTGCCGAGGTCCCAGGTTCAATTCAATTCCGCCAATGCTCTCGATTTGCCAACACAGATCAGAGAATCAAACAGTTCAAACACAGGAAATGCAATGATAACAAACACATAACACAACACAACACTCTGAACATTGCACAACACTTTGGGTGACCTTGATCTGTAAAATGCGCTATATAAATTAAAATGTCTTACTTACTTACTTACATAGAGCCATTGGTCCATGAGGGGCAGATGACAAATGTCCATAAATGTACATAAATATCTATAAATGTCCATAAACTCCAAAAGCTGGGTGTATAGGTTGTTCCTCAGGAGGTAGTGTTGTAGTGAAGAGGGAGCAGCGTCTGCCATCAGAGTTCTAGATTCACCAGTCTACGCGTCCCCTCCCTCACCTATGTCATGATCTTTGGGGAACGACCCAAAAAGAACCAGTCGGAGGACGTAAGTTTAGCCTCAAACCTCTTAAACAAACACATGTCTCTGTCTCTGACTCCTGTCTCAGATCCCGGCCCCGGCTGCTCCACACCGCCATCAGACAAGCACCAGAGAAACAGCACAGCGCCCCCTCTGGCCAACTGCAGAACTACCAGGGAACCAGCCCAGAGCACAGAGGTATGTCACTGTCTGTTTGTCAATACGGCTTTTGGGTTCCCTATAAGACACACAGATATTTTTATTGAATTGACCTAAAACTGAATTCATATTATTATTCCCCTTATATGTTACTGTCTACTGCCGAAAAAAAATCATTGAACTGGATAAACACACATGTTGAGAGTGACCTGCTCTTGTTACGCGCTCTGCTGGTGATAACCAAACAGCTGCACATGTAAAGCCTTATATGGGCGTAAAGTGGGCGTGGCTTATCTCTCAGCTCAAGTTAATCTGCCCAGTCTCCATCAGAGCACCAGAGCCTCACCACTGTCTGTTTGCAAGTGCACGGAAGATTTGCTTCACTTCAGTCCTGCTTTAGACCTTATTTTGACCTGGTTTGGGCCTGCTTTCGTTTCGTTTCTGGTTCGGACTTACTGCAACATTTGCTTCAGTCCTGTTTGAGTTCTCCTTGAGTCCTGCTTCAAACCTTGTTCAGTACTGCTTTAGCCCCGCTTCAGTCTTGCTTTAGTCTCGGCTTCAGTCCTGCTTTAGTCCTGATTCTCATCTGGGTCGGACCAGCATCCCTCCTGGTCCATTCCTGCTTTAGTCCTGTTTTAGTCCTGCTTAAGACCTCATTCTGATCTGGTTCGTCCTGCTTTAGTCCTGCTTTAGTCCTGCTTTAGCCCTGCTTCAGTCTTGCTTCAGTCCTGTTACAGACCTGGTTCGGACTTACACAACATTTGCTTCAGTTCTGTTCTGCTTGAGTCCTACTTCCAACCTTGTTCGTACTGCTTTAGTCCTGCTTCAGTCTTGCTTTAGTCTCGGCTTCAGTCCTGCTTTGGTCCTGATTCTCATCTGGTTCGGACCAGCTTCCATCCTGGTCCATTCCTGCTTTAGTCCTGTTTCAGTCCTGCTTAAGACCTCATTCTGATCTGGTTCGAACATGCTTTAGTCCTGCTTTAGTCCTCATTCAGACCTGGTTCGGACCTACTTCAAACCTTGCTTCAGTTTGCCCTGCTTCTGTCCTGGGATGCATTCTTCTGGGAGTCACTCTATGACGTCTCGAAAGGGCAAATCTGTGAGTGTAAAATATGAGATTTTCTATTTGAATGTGTTTGTGATCTTCTAGAGTCAACATCGTATGAACGTAGACATATCTGCAGTTTTTTGTTTTATATTCTGCTGCTGTAGTTAACATTCATGTGTGAAAGGCAGAGGCTGTGTCCTGTTTGTGGGTCACCGCAGATTAGACATTTCACACATGTTTACTACAAACTCTCAGTAAAAGATACATATGAGGCTCATTCCCACTGAGCAAAAACAGTCCAAATGCAGCGGTAATGTAGACTCAATAAAAGTGGGCCACTGTTTTATGTGGCTCAGGTGAAGAAAGTTCTAAAACATCACACATGTCACACAAGGGACAATACCGTGCGTAATGAATGTTTAACAAGCCGTGTTTGGATGAGTGAAGTTCTTACTCTCTCACTCTGCCTCTAGTCTTTCTCTGGTTTCTGTGTTCCCTCTCTGATCGCTCTCTCTCTCAGTGGTTTCTCTCAGGTCTCTCGGGTATTTTGCTCCAGTTGCTGTGCTGTGACTAGAAGACTTATTTTGAAAGTGAGAAGTTTGTCCCTATGGTCTCTCTCCAGTCTTTCTCTGGTCTTTTTCTAGTCTCACTCTGGTCTCTCTCCAGTCTTTCTCTGGTCTCGCGCTGGTCTCTTTCTGGTCCTTCTCTGGTCTCTCTCCAGTCTTTCTCTGGTCTCGCGCTGGTCTCTTTCTGGTCCTTCTCTGGTCTCTCTCCAGTCTTTCTCTGGTCTCGCGCTGGTCTCTTTCTGGTCCTTCTCTGGTCTCTCTCCAGTCTTTCTCTGGTCTCGCGCTGGTCTCTTTCTGGTCCTTCTCTGGTCTCTCTCCAGTCTTTCTCTGGTCTTGCGCTGGTCTCTTTCTGGTCCTTCTCTGTTCTCTCTCTGGTCTCCCTCTCTCCTTGGTGTCTCTCTCTCTCTCTAGTCTCTCTATGGTCTCTCTCTGCTGTGCTGTGTGTGAGTAGTAGAAGACTTATTTCTAAACTTCTTGTTTTGAGCCATTTGTTTTGACACATTCCTGTGTTTGGTGTAAAGACAACACCAGTTTAAACAACACTCCAACCTTTCCCACAGTTTCCCAGGGCTCACAGTGGGACAAGTCGATAGTTCAACGTTAATTGATTTTCTTGAAGCGCTGTTACTGCCGGATGGTGGTGTCCGTTGATTCCAATGCAGATCATTTAAGTTCATTTTTTAGGCACAGCCCGGCAGTCAATTTAACGTTTTTATGCATGGGTCAGATTAAAAACCCTTCTCCTCTTGTGTCGCAGGGAGCAGAGGAGGAGGTCACGGACACAGAGGAGCACGAGGAGGAGCACCTTGGGGTTTTGGACGAACAGAGAAGTGTGATCATACACCTGCTTTCCCAGCTGAAGCAGGGCATGGATCTAACCAGGGTAAGTCTCCAGGACCTCACCAGGGTAAATCTGTAAGACCTCCCCAGTGTAACAGGGACCTCACCAGCATAAATTTGCAGAATATGGAGAAAAGATTGTGGCCAGCAAAGTCCTAGCAACCAAAGAGCCAATCAGGAGTGGCACTGGTCTGTTCCTCCTCATGCTATTTGTTGCTTAAACAAAAATTCGGGGCTAGAAGACCTCCGATTGGTCAGTTGTTATGGCTCGATTCACACAGGCAACACTAAACCAAAAGCACCAGGATACTAAGTTCATACAGAGCATAAAACCACAACGTTTGGAGGCGGAACGAGATGGCGCAAAAAAAATTCTCTATGAGCACTTCCCTATTGGGCTTTATTGAGCTAGCAAGTTAGCAATGTCCATATGTATAAGGTCTATGAATGGCCCTCAAAAAAGTGCCCTGACCCTGTACTCTCACTCTTTGTCTGCTGTTTCCGTGCTCAAACCGGCTAAATGTCCAAAACAAACATGCAGTTCCATATCTACAGTTCAGTCCCAATTAGTTAATCTATAACCAGGTTTTTCAAGTTATTTTGTTAATAATTTAGACTTTGTCAAATTGTAAGTCCTTTAAGCCCTGAAGAAGGCCTTGTGTTGAAGCGCGTAGGCTATTGTGTGTGACTTGTGCGTGTGTCGTTAGTGAGAGTGCTCCTTCCGTCCTGCAGGTGGTGCTGCCGACCTTCATCCTGGAGAAACGCTCTCTGTTGGAGATGTACGCAGACTTCCTGTGTCACGCGGACATGTTCCTGAGCATCACGTCCGGCCGCAGCCCAGAGGAGCGAATGGTGCGTCAGCCAGGGCTCCAACATTAACTGTTATTATACCGTTATTATTCTGCTATTATACTGTTCCACCACTGACATTACCACTGAACACATCTACAAAGCGCTATTGAAATTGTATCTCTCTCTTTTAGTCCAATTTGATTACCGGCATACAGAACACTGGATTAATAATACTTAAAACACAGATGCACTTCACTTTGGAGAGACCCATAAGGAAAAATGCAGTCAGAGTTATTAGATTTAAGCATGTTTATTAGATTAAGCATGTTTGGCGCCCTAGGGCCGGGAGAGATGCTGTTGAGCGCGACGCTTGCTCGCTCGCATATTCCCCCCCGGGGCCTAGGCACTGGTGGCGGCAGAGGCAGTAGGCAAGCACGCTTCGATGAGAAAAGGAGGAGGTGGGGCGGCGGAGGCTTGCAGACTTCAGAAGGCCGGGAAGTGGCCGTCTCCGGCTTTTAACTTGCTGTCCTGGTGGTTATTGGTGGATTAGATGTGGGCGTTGCTGGTATGATGAGTCGAGGATGAGCAGCCTGTAGATCTGGGCAAGCAGCAGCCGGGTCTACCACAGTGAACTTTCGCGAAAGCTCCATTTGTATCGGCAAATGCAGGTTTTGGCCTTGGTTCTTGGTGGGTTTGAATATTATTTTAAACATTGAAACGGTTACCTTCTACACAAGAAGGTAACCGTTTCAATGTTTAAAATGACTTCTATTCATCACATAAAGTCATGTTTTGTCCCTCAATCGCCCGTCCGCAGGTGCGTGTGCTGGAGTACTACCTCACCTCCTTCCACGAGGGCCGGAAAGGCGCAGTGGCCAAGAAGCCTTACAACCCGGTTCTGGGCGAGACGTTCCACTGCTCCTGGAGGGTCCCAGCCGAGCGAGTGAAGGGCCCTAGACACACAGCCGCTCCGAGGCAGAGCGTGGAGGGGAGTGGTAGCCCGGCCCAAAGCTACAGGGTGCGCTTCGTGGCAGAGCAGGTACAGACAGTGTAGATTGTTCTGTTGTGCTCAGGTTGCGCTTCTGCTTGTCTGAGTGTCTGTTTGTCCGAGTGTGGCATCATCTGTAGACTGCTGTCGTCCGCAGGTGTCGCACCACCCTCCGGTCTCGGGTTTTTACTGCGAGTGTCCAGAGAAGAAGATCTGTGTGAACGCTCACGTCTGGACCAAGAGCAAGTTCATGGGCGTGTCTGTGGGAGTGTCCATGGTGGGAGAGGGTGAGTCTATGTGGGAGACAGGGGGAGAGGGAGAGGGTGAGTCTGTGGGGGAGGAATTGGAGTGGAGGAGTTTCGATGGCCGCAAAAGCAAAACTCATTACGCCAAACCCATTATTATTATAGATCAATGCGCCAAACCCATTTGATTATTTTATGTCCGTAATCGCTCCGGTGTTGTGGTCTTTGAGTTTTTTTATAGTCCTGCTTCAGTTTTTAAAAACTTTTCACGGCTTGTTTTTGGAGTGTGATGAATCCCCAGTGCTTCGAGGTGAAGCTGATATATCTTAATATATATTTTCATTTTGCCGCGATGCCTCAAACCCTGTCTGAATCACCGTGCTGTTGTTAGCTGTTTCCAGTGGTGTCTGCTAGGCGAAGGCTGCTGAATCTGCTAGCGTCGGAGCCTGCTCTAGCTTTAGCCAATCAGCGCCGGGTTAAACCCAAGTCCCACCAGGGCCCAACGGAGTACCTAGCATGGAGGAGGGACTCCGTTGGGCCCCGTAAAGTTCCTGTAAACTTTACGGGCCCTGTGGAGCAAGTTCCTGCAGTGGAGACACGCACCCAAGGGGCTGGCTCTGGAAAATTAGCACGAAGTTCCTGCGGCGGAAACGCAGCTATTTTTCTAAAAGTCACTAACACTAGATAGAAATATAAAGTGGAAAAGCACTTCCGAGCCTTAATGCAGAGCAATAGAAGCCAGAACGAGTTGGAGCAAAACTTTGTCCATGAGCACTTCCCTATTGGGATTGATTGAGCTAGAGCGTTAGCATTAAAGTATTGGTTTTATATTGTGATGTTTTGGACACACAAAGATGCTTCACATGTCATTATTCTTTCATCATTGATTCTCCCATCACAGTACTAACCAGGCCCTGCCCTTCATAGCTTCAGAGGTTGGCTGCAAAGTTTTAACACTTCTAAAACTTCCAGAGTCGTCATTTTGACTGCTCCTATTCAAAGCAACGGGATTCTGAAAAATCGCCCCAGGGAATTTTTTCGATGAGTGAAAAACCTTCCTTTGCCCCCCAGAGAATGTTTAATGTTTCACCAGATTCATAACAAGAAAGTTTTTACCATTTCTCACTTTTAAAACTGGTCAGTATTAGTAAACAGTGTGTCGCTATGGTAGCTAGCACTTGATATTTTCTGGTGGAAAAATAGTTAGAGGTATAAATAAACTGCATAAAAAATACAGTATGAAGACCAAGAATGTACATGAGATGAGTCCTTAGACTTTCAAAAATAAAAGCCGTCAAATTGACTGCTCTTGGGAGTTCTAGTTCAATTCAACCTGTTCTTGTTCTGCCCTAAATCACAACAGTAGTTATCTCCGAGAATCAAACCGTCATTGTTCCATAAGGAGCAGAGACCAATGTCCATAAATGTTGTTGAAAGAGTGTCCTGGATTAATGCGACTTCAATTTCAAACAGTGGGGTATATAAAGGTGTATATTGTGGTGCTGTGTGCGTTCCGTAATAAATCCATATGAGTTTATAGGTCAGTGACTGAGGACAGCTGTTCCCTCCTCCCCCCTTCCTCCCCCCTCCAGGTCTCTGCTGCTGCGGACATTAGCTCTGTGTGAATACGTTTATGAGCTGTTGTTTCATTATAGTTCAGAACATCTGGATCTAAAGCACAAAGGGAAACCTGGATTAGACTCAGATTAACTTCTCATTGTCAGAGCTCCAGAATTGTATAATAGTATTTCAGCAGTTGACAATACAACTTTATGGGAAAGAAGTAAGCCAAGAAAGAAATTTTGAAAAAAAAATCGTTCTATTGTTTTTACAGATCATTATTTCAAAGAGATTTGATTCACAAAGCTGATAGATAATATTTCCTATGTGGGAACAGAGAAGACCAGGGAGAGACCAGAGAGAGACCAGAGAGAGACCAGAGAGATCCGAGAAGGAGAAACCAGAGAGAGACCAGAAAAAGAGACTGGAGAGAGAGCCACCAGAGAGGGACCACATCTTGACCAAGATCAGACTCAAAACCTGACATGACCAAGACCACACACACAAGACTACACCAAGCACCTGCAGGGGTGCTGTAACTGTGCTGTTCCCCTCCTCTCCTGTAGGGGTGCTGTAACTGTGCTGTTCCCCTTCTCTCTTGCAGGGGTGCTGTAACTGTGCTGTTCCCCTCCTCTCCTGTAGGGGTGCTGTAACTGTGCTGTTCCCCTTCTCTCTTGCAGGGGTGCTGTAACTGTGCTGTTCCCCTCCTCTCCTGCAGGGGTGCTGTAACTGTGCTGTTCCCCTCCTCTCCTGCAGGGGTGCTGTATCTCCTGGAGCACGGTGAGCAGTACGTCTTCACGCTGCCGTGTGCGTATGCGCGCTCCATCCTCACCGTGCCCTGGGTCGAGCTCGGCGGCAAAGTCACCATCAGCTGCGCCCAGACCGGGTACCAGGCCGCGGTCACCTTCCACACCAAGCCTTTCTATGGAGGCAAGACACACAGGTAACAATACAGTAGTTCAACAGCTTGACACAAAAAAGACACAGCAACATAAGCCCAGACCAGGCACCAGGCAGTGGCCAACTTCTGATGCTGTCAGATAAACGCGTGAATAAGTGTGTTTACGCAAAGCCATTTTAACAGCGTACAATTTTTTTTTGTGCTAAATTAACGCTATTAACGCTAGTATGTATTATGACTGAATGAACACTGCGCAGGAAAATCAATCGGGCCGTGCGAAACCCCAGCTTGCTTGTGCTTCTACCACGGAAAGCAAACAAAAGAGTAGCCTTTTTAGACAATTCAACTCATTTTTATGTTCAATAGTTCTACACACTGTAAAAAGCAGAAACAAAAGCAGAGATTGAGAAGACTTTATTAGACAAGCCAAATACTGTCTTTTTGGAGGAGATTGGATTAATATAAGCTTTTGCTTTGTCCGGTCCTTTTTCAGACCAAATCAAAAGACATTTGAACAGGGAAATTTTTTAAATCAATTGCAAGTTAACTATTACATCAATGTGATTAATCGCAATAAAATATTTGAATTGTTTGACGTCTCTACACACAAAACAAACAAGCCTTAAACCCAGAGTGAGTGAGATGCACCAGAGGCAGGTCACAGGTTGAATAGCCAGCTCTGAGGTGTTTCTCATGTTGGTGCTGTGTGTTTCAGAGTGTCTGCAGAGGTTCGGCACGGCCACACGGGAGCGGTGGTGTGCCGCGCTCAAGGTGAGTGGAACGGCGTTCTCGAGTTCACGTCCAGCAGCGGGGAAACCAGAGTCCTGGACACGCAAAGACTCCCGGTGAGGAGGAAGAAGATCCGCCCACTGGAGCAGCAGAGTCCTCATGAGTCACGGTGAGATAAAGCTGAGGAACTATCTCTCAAACACAGTGGAACTTTGTAACACAATCCACAGCTCTAGCTCCGGGTTCTTAAACAGTTTTCTTCTATCACTAGTTTTCACATACATCTCCCAGAGCCGACATTTTGACTTCTCCCATTAAAATAATTTAAAATAAATCCCCCAAAAAGTGAGTTTAGTTGTTTTCTCACTTTTAATAGTTCTAAAAGTGTTTAATATAACTTGAAATACTTCAAAGAAAAAGCTTACTGCTGACAGTATATAGTGCGTTGCTATGGTAACTAGGTTCAGCTCAGAATCAGTCCAGAACCAGCAAATTGGAGATTAGTGGCTGCCATAGAATCTTTGTTTGACCAAAAATGGCTCCATTTGAAACTTCCATTGAAATGTATGAAGCAGTTAAACTGACTGCTCTGGGAGTTAAAGTAGAACTATTCATATTTCAAAAATAAATATAATTTTATAAACAAGTACTTACTAAGAATAACGTAGTTGTTGTGTTTTTCAGACAGAAAAGTGTAAAAGAGAGAACTACTCTCACTCAGCCAATCAGCTCTCAGCCCAAAGAGTCAAACAGTGACTCACAGGGATCTTTGTGTCTGTACGTGTTTTGTGAGGCAGGCGTCTGTGGCAGCACGTGACCGAGGCGCTGAAGGCCGGGAACATGGAGCAGGCCACAGAGCACAAGCACCACCTAGAGGAGAGACAGAGGAGTGACGAGAGGCAACGAGCAGCCGCCAAGACTTCCTGGACGCCCAAACACTTCATCAAACAGGTCCAAAAACACATTTGGCACTTTACCATAGGGTTTGTATATTAGGGAAGGACTGACCGAGTGTGACATCACTAAAATGTTACCTTTCATGCAAAAGAAGCCAATTTGAACATTACCTATTGCCATATATGGGCATTTTTTCGGATGGCATTAGCTTCACGCCGTAACAGGGGCAGAATGAAGGCAGCTGATTGGTCTATAGTGAGTGATAGATCATAGTGAGTTGCTAAACCAAAGATTTTTAAGCTCAAAATGGTGAGTGTGAACAAACCGTTACTAAGCTGGAGAAGTGAAATGTTACCAGAGTGAGTTTCATTGAGCTAGCCTCTTGGAGACCAGGGGCAGACATCTTGGAAAAACTGGAGGCAAACATCTTGGAATCTCAGGGCTTCACTACCCACACCTCCAAGACATAAACACATATAAAGATGTGTTATATGTCTATGCATAAAACATTATCATATTGTGGAAGTACGTCAAGTTTTGAGTTTGAGGTCAAGGGTTTATCAGCTGCGTATTTTAACTAAGGTAAAACCTTTTTTAAACCGCTCAGACATGGAGAAAACGATCAACGCTTTTATCGGTTCAAGAATTGATTTCTGTTATGCCCTTTATTTTGGAGTTTCCCAGTCTTGTTTTAATCGTCTTCATTTGGTGCAAAATGCTGCCGCTCGCTTTCTAACAAACACACTCAGACGTCAACACATCACCTCAGTGCTTTATTCCCTACACTGGCTTCCAGTTTTGTTTCAAGTTGATTTTATAATCTTACTCTTTTCTTTTTAAAGCCCTCAATGGTCTCGCCCCTCTGTACTTGTCCAAACTTTTCACTGTTTGTGGCTCGGGCAGATCATTGAGGTCCTCATCTAAACTCCTCCTGGAAGTACCAAGGACTAGGGGACCTTCTCAGTCGCTGGACCCAGACTCTGGAACAAGCTGCCTCCTGACATGCGAGTCCTGACATGCGAGTCCTGACATGCGAGTCCTGACATGCGAGTCCTGACATGCGAGTCCTGACATGCGAGCCCTGACATGCGAGTCCTGACATGCGAGCCCTGACATGCGAGCCCTGACATGTGAGTCCTGACATGCGAGCCCTGACATGCGAGCCCCGACATGCGAGTCCCGACATGCGAGTCCTGACATGCGAGCCCTGACATGCGAGTCCCGACATGCGAGCCCCGACATGCGAGCCCCGACATGCGAGTCCCGACATGCGAGTCCTGACATGCGAGTCCTGACATGCGAGCCCTGACATGCGAGTCCCGACATGCGAGTCCCGACATGCGAGTCCTGACATGCGAGCCCTGACATGCGAGTCCCGACATGCGAGTCCCGACATGCGAGCCCCGACATGCGAGCCCCGACATGCGAGCCCCGACATGCGAGTCCTGACATGCGAGCCCTGACATGCGAGTCCTGACATGCGAGTCCTGACATGCAAGCCCCGACATGCGAGCCCTGACATGCGAGTCCCGACATGCGAGCCCCGACATGCGAGCCCCGACATGCGAGTCCTGACATGCGAGTCCTGACATGCGAGTCCTGACATGCGAGCCCTGACATGCGAGCCCTGACATGCGAGCCCTGACATGCGAGTCCTGACATGCGAGTCCTGACATGCGAGCCCTGACATGCGAGCCCTGACATGCGAGTCCTGACATGCAAGTCCTGACATGCAAGCCCTGACATGCGAGTCCTGACATGCGAGCCCTGACATGCGAGTCCTGACATGCGAGTCCTGACATGCGAGCCCTGACATGCGAGTCCCGACATGCGAGCCCCGACATGCGAGTCCCGACATGCGAGTCCCGACATGCGAGTCCCGACATGCGAGCCCCGACATGCGAGCCCCGACATGCGAGCCCCGACATGCGAGTCCTGACATGCGAGCCCTGACATGCGAGTCCTGACATGCGAGTCCTGACATGCGAGTCCTGACATGCGAGCCCCGACATGCGAGCCCTGACATGCGAGTCCCGACATGCGAGCCCCGACATGCGAGCCCCGACATGCAAGTCCTGACATGCGAGTCCTGACATGCGAGTCCTGACATGCGAGCCCTGACATGCGAGCCCTGACATGCGAGCCCTGACATGCGAGTCCTGACATGCGAGTCCTGACATGCGAGCCCTGACATGCGAGTCCTGACATGCGAGTCCTGACATGCGAGTCCTGACATGCGAGCCCTGACATGCGAGTCTCAACATGCGAGCCCCGACATGCGAGCCCCGACATGCGAGTCCCGACATGCGAGTCCCGACATGCGAGCCCTGACATGCGAGCCCTGACATGCGAGCCCTGACATGCGAGCCCTGACATGCGAGTCCTGACATGCGAGTCCTGACATGCGAGCCCTGACATGCGAGCCCTGACATGCGAGTCCTGACATGCGAGTCCTGACATGCGAGCCCTGACATGCGAGTCCTGACATGCGAGCCCTGACATGCGAGTCCTGACATGCGAGTCCTGACATGCGAGCCCTGACATGCGAGTCCCGACATGCGAGCCCCGACATGCGAGTCCCGACATGCGAGTCCCGACATGCGAGTCCTGACATGCGAGTCCTGACATGCAAGTCCTGACATGCGAGTCCTGACATGTGAGTCCTGACAAGCGAGTCCTGACATGCGAGTCCCGACATGCGAGTCCCGACATGCGAGTCCTGACATGCGAGCCCTGACATGCGAGTCCCGACATGCGAGCCCTGAAATGCGAGTCCTGACATGTGAGCCCTGACATGCGAGTCCTGACATGTGAGTCCTGACAAGCGAGTCCTGACATGCGAGCCCTGACATGCGAGTCCCGACATGCGAGTCCTGACATGCGAGTCCTGACATGCGAGTCCTGACATGCGAGCCCTGACATGCGAGCCCTGACATGCGAGTCCTGACATGCGAGTCCTGACATGCGAGTCCTGACATGCGAGCCCTGACATGCGAGTCCCGACATGCGAGCCCCGACATGCGAGCCCCGACATGCGAGCCGACATGCGAGCCTGACATGCGAGTCCTGACATGAGCCTGACATGAGTCCTGACATGCGAGTCCCGACATGCGTCTGACATGCAGTCCTGACATGCGAGCCCTGACATGCGAGTCCCGACATGCGAGCCCGACATGCCCGACACATGCGAGTCCTGACATGCGAGCCCTGACATGCGAATCCGACATGTGAGTCCTGACAGAGTCCTGACATGCGAGTCCTGACATGCGAGTCCTGACATGCGAGCTGACATGCGAGTCCTACATGAGAGTCCTGACATGCGAGCCCTGACATGCGAGCCCTGACATGCGAGTCCTGACATGCGAGCCCTGACATGTGTCTGCGTAGGTTTCCTCCGGGTACTCCGGTTTCCCCTACCACTAAAAATATGTCCAATAGTTCTGGCATGCGCCTCCTGTACTGGCGACCCCGCTCCCATCTCTGTGTGGAGTGAGAGACAAATGCCCAAAATTAACAATTGTAAACCGCTTTGAGACTCAGATCTGCAGTGAAAAGGCGGTATATAAATAAAAACTTACTTACTTACTTACTTACATGCGAGTCCTGACATGCGAGCCCTGACATGCGAGTCCTGACATGCGAGTCCTCACTGACTTTTGGCCTTTTTAAATCGAGGCTCAAAACGTATTTATTCAGACTGGCTTTTAACACTTTTATCACTCAATAGCACAGTGACACTTGTTTATGCTTTTGAACTGTTTTATTGTTTTAATGCATAAATGTTTTAATGGATTTTATGTAATTTTATTGTGAAGCCCTTTGATCGCCCTGAGTGTTGTAAAGCGCTCCATACAGTAAATAAAACTGATTGATTGAACTGAAGTAGTGAATAAACTCTTGTATTTTCCACAGAGCGATGGCTGGGTGTACAACAGGCCCCTGTGGGAAACTCACTGACCTAAGTCCTGCTCTTAGTTCAACCATTGACCAAAGTCTGGACTGGACCAGAACCAGACCAGAACCAAGTCCAAACTGAACCAGGACTGTGGACAAGCAGCCGGACCGGAGGAAGACCCTGCGAGACCAGGAAGTGCCAAACCCCAGGGGAGAAGTATAGACTCTTTCAAAGCAGGACTGAGGGACATGAGTTTGTATCTGAGGAATGAGCTGTTTTGTAGTTAATAATAAAGCGTCCTGAAACTCCCCCTGCTGGTCGTTTGTTGTATAAACCTGTGTCTCTTTTGAAAAACATGGATGCTTTCACATGTCTCTATGAAAAGAACAACAAATTCTGAAGCTAACTTTTTATGGTATGCCTTTTTTGATGATCTGGAGCATCATCAAAAAGGCTGGGTTGTTAAAACTGATTCCCATTCACACACAATGCCTAATAAGATTCAAGATTCAATAATTTTTTGTCAATGTCACAAAAAACATCAAAATTATATTGTGAACATCATCGTAATAAAAATAAGGTAATTTTGATGTTTATTTGTAATAAAATAACAAAGAATGATTGAATCTGAATCTATTGTGACTTTGGAAGACTCAATTGAAAGTGGGATGTTTGTTTTGTCCTGGTCTTCCCAGTGGTGGAAAGATGACACAGATCCAAACAACACGCCAATCTATCCCACTGTGGTTCCAGCTCGACAACCCATTTGAACACAGGTTATACTAGTATTAGTATTAGATAGCAATATGGCCTACGTGCAGGACTGTACAAGGACTCTACAAGGACTCCATGTTATGACTATGATTTGACTGTCTCTTTGTGACACGTATGTCTTTCGATGTGTGACGTGACAATGACTATATAAACTGTGTACTGCCTTTATTCTGTCTGAGAGGAAGAAACAGAGGAAACCAGTGGAACTTGAGAGAAACTTAAATAAACTTCCAGAGTTTGGCACACCACGATCCGTCTCTGTCTGCTAAATCCTAACAGATTTGGTGGAGAATGCGCGGCTCGGTTTGTGCCATTCTCTGGATTGTTTTGAGGGAGTTTTGCTCTGTTTCTTTTCCTCTGCGTGAGAGATCGGCATGCTGTGTCTGGGAGCGGGGATTCCAGCAGGCTGGAAGAGCTGTTCCTGCATGCTTCTTGTCGCTTCTGTCACTTTTGTTTTTTAAATTGAATATTCCGACGGGGAAAAGAGGTTGGCAGACCTCTCGGACAGTCCTTGGAACCGGTTTGACAAGAATAAGGTAAGCAGACACCTTTTTTAATATGTAAAGTCTGCATAATTGGATATTAGCTAAATTTTGGTCTGTTTTTTGGGGTCTGTCAAACTCTCTAAATTGTATTTTGAAGAAGTCTCGGGGTTAAAGTCCCTTTGAGCCTCGGGGTTAAAGTCCCTTTGAGAAAGTCTCGGGGTTAAAGTCCCTTTGAGCCTCGGGGTTAAAGTCCCTTTGAGAAAGTCTCGGGGGTTAAAGTCCCTTTGAGCCTCGGGGTTAAAGTCCCTTTGAGAAAAGTCTCGGGGTTAAAGTCCCTTTGAGAAAAGTCTCGGGGTTAAAGTCCCTTTGAGAAGAAGCTTCAGGGTTAAAGTCCCTTTGAGAGAAACCATGGTGAATTAAAAGTAATTATAAAAAGGGAAACGTTAAACACTAAAGAGTGCCTTTTGTTACTAGTGTGGAAAGTGATCACTTCTAGATTTGGATGACAAAAGTATAAAGAACAACATCAGTTATATTCGCTTAACAAAGTAATCTTGAAAGTTATTCTTCTGTATCTTTTTGCCTGTGTGTGTGCGTCGCTCTATCTGCTGCCGTTGTCAGGGAAACGGCCCCCTCCTTCGCTGCTCTGGCTCTGAATCTGAAGCAAAGCTACTGCTTTAGGAATTTGGCTTTTCATAGTTGTTATTCCGTTAAATTTGCTAAATTTGCCATTTGAACATTGTGTTAGACACAGTTAAACGTTTTTAAACACCATTAGGGAATAGAAGTTTTGAATTAGTATGTTTTTGAAACCCAAAGATTAGTACAAAAAGCTTTGCTTTTCTTTTTAAATCTGCTGCTTATTTTGTGAGTCCATTATTGTATCTGATATTTCATAGCTGTTAGTGAGAATTTTTTCATGTATTTTCTATTTTAGTTACAAAAGCCGTTTTTCAAACATTTAAATTAGAATCTGTTAAAAGTGATTAATGATTGTAGACTTCGTCTAAAAAAGAAAGAGGGAATTAGGCTGTAAAAGTATTATATTATTAAGTTAAACTACCCAATTCACATGCAAGTGGTGACTTTTGTTTTTGTTTTGACTACACGCCTGACCTTGTTGCTCCTGCTGATGCCACAGCAGAGGAGACTGGTCTAAAATGTGCTCCAATTCATACTGACTTCATTTGAAAAATGCTGCAATTATTTTAAATTAGTAGAATAGATGCTGAGATAAATAAGTGTAAAAGGGAAAGTCCATAAAGTGAAACCCAAGATGTTCAAGATTAAAAACATCACACAGTACAAAAGTACATAATACATATTTTAAAGTTTGAAGGTTTAAGAGATTTGAGTCTTGTTTTTTTATATTGAGAATTTCTGGTTTTAAATGTCATCATTAGTAAGATAATAAGTAATCTTTATTTACATAGCGCTTGGGAAAGCCAAGAGCGCTTCAAAATTGTTTAGACTTCAGAGAGAAAAACAATCTCATTCACAATCTCTGTTGTTTTTAATTTGACTATAAGGTTGTTTTCCAGAACCAAGAGCACACACTGTACAGGGTCACTGGACAGCTGGACACTGGACAGCGCAAAGCCCACCCAGCCACAGGTCACAGATCAAAGAGCAAAGGGAAATGCCACCTCCTTGCCCCTCCCCACGCCACTGCAGAACTGAGTGGGTGTGAGAGAGACCGGGGCCATGAAAGAGAGGTATCTGGAGACGTGATGGGTGGAGCGTCAGGTTGAGACCTGAATGAGAGTTGAGAGTGTGTCCAGTTGGTTTGCATCACCACAGTGTGACCTTTGACACCTGCAGGTGGTTCGAGGAGTCTTGAGACACAACCCCAAAATTCATATACACACACACACATACACACATACACTCACACATTCACATTTACATATAGATACATGAAAAAGTAGAACATGAGAAAAAAGCATTTTAAAAGTTTACTCCAATGTACACATATTTTTAATTGTCTATCACTTGAATCTTTAGTTGAATCAGTATTTTTTGAGACCAGAAATGTTCATTTGAATTCTATATTGTCATGGACTTAATTGACCTCTGTCCTGACACTTTTGATGTTTTGATTTTGTACTGTGTGAAGTAATTACATTGATGAGAATTAGATCTGATAAAAACACAAATTAGAGAAGTAAACTGCGCTTGCTTTTTGTCTAAGGGACATTAGCAACAGCATGAATAGAAATTGTGTTAAAGTAGAATCAAAATGACTTAACCATAGAGAGTAACTATTGCATAACAAGCTGTGTACAGGAACTGAGACACTGCACCATTGACCAGAAGTGCATCGCAAAGAGCAACCCAAGTGACCTGATGTACCTGGAGTGACCAGAATGAATCTGGAGTGACCAGAACCATGGCTTGGACCCTACTGATGTCCAAGATGACATCTCTCGAAATATGACCTGACCTGATGACGACTGAGACTCACCCTCAGGGGACCTGAGGACCTGAGGACCTGAGGACCTTGGAGAGAAAACTGGGGAGTGACGTTTATATTTTTGAAATCATACATTGATGAGTGCTAAATGAGAGAGATACTCATGATTCTTTCTTTTGTTTTTGTTTGTCCCTAGCTTCTGGACATCTGATGATCTATTGTATTGGACACAGCCATTTGCAGAACAAGAACCAGCCAATGAAACGTCTATTGCCGATGCTATTGCTACAACCAGAACCTGTGACAAATGCAATATACATGTTAAGTATTCAGACATCTGACAGACAAAAACTTTGAAAATGATAAAGTATGAGTATTGTAGCGTTTTAGTAGATGTTAAATAGTAGTAAAAAAGTAGAATTGTCCTTTCTTTGTTGTTCATAAACATATTTCCACGTAAGAGTTAAAATAGTACCCTACAATGTTATCCTTTTGATAGATCAGCTAGAATATTAGAATCAGAATTATGTTACAGCCATTAAAAGTGACAGAAGTCACAAATTAGGAATATGCCTTTGCTCAAACTGCAGCCAAACTTTAGAGTCACAATAGTGTAGAAATAGAGATAGATAAATGCATCAACCATAGATTCTTTCAAAAATAGAGATTATTTCTAGCCAGTGCTAATATCAAATGGTAAAGGGACCATTTCACAAGCATTTACTTCAAAAGTAGATAAAGTTAATTACAGTTTATGTACAGTTTTATTAGATACTTGCCAAATTCACTTGTGTTCAAACATGAGTGAATGTTGACTATGCAAAAAGTTTATATGAGTGTAGCCTAGATCAATGAGATAGATTAGAACCAAGAGAGATTCAAAAGCATTTAAAAGCATTTTGATGTATTTGGGTGTAGCACAAAAACACAATAGTAGATACTTAGATATTGAGAAGTTTCCAGCACAAACGCCATTGTAGAATAACTGACCCCAACCCCAAACCTGCTAAAATAGATTAGCTCTTGTAAGGATAATACTAATTTGATTAATGATGTACATTCATCCCAAATGCCTGACAATAATATCTTTAGATAATAAAAAGTAATAAATCACTGACCACTATAGAAGTGTAAATGTTGACCATTTGCCTTACTGTATTCACAGTTTTATTCCTGAGAATGTAGAATAGAGATAGAACAAAATCCCACTGATAATATGATTAGATTAAAATGTATGTTTAAGAATATGGCTCAATAGAAGCAAATATGCAAACATATTTGTAAATAGATTAGAATAGTTTTAAACTATAGTGAATAGTGAAAGTAAAGTACACAGTCTAAGATTGAAAAGTGAAAATAATACAGTGAAATAAGTGTAGTGTAAACAATTAGCATTAGAATAAAAGTATAGAGTAATAAAAGTGAAATTAGCTTCAAATTTGAGACTCAGCTCGTTTTTGTCTGTGTTTTGACTGAATCTGCTGAGTTCTTGTGTGTCCAATAGTTTTTGTTTGTTTTTATTTTTGTTTGTTTTTATTTTTTATTTGTTTTTTGTTTGTTTATTTACTTTATTTTTGTTTTTTATTTTTTCCCAGGATAGAGGATAAAATCCACTGATATTGATTTGATGATTATGAGTTTAATGCATACATTTTCTTTGTTTTTAATAATTTTTTAAAGTTTTTTTTTTGGGAATTTTTTTCTTTTTCCACTTTATTGATTGATCGATTTGAGTGATCACATGTGATTATGTGATCAAAGGGGAGGGTATTAGTATTAGATAGCAATATGGCCTACGTGCAGGACTGTACAAGGACTCTACAAGGACTCCATGTTATGACTATGATGTGACTGTCTCTTTGTGACACGTATGTCTTTCGATGTGTGACGTGACAATGACTATATAAACTGTGTACTGCCTTTATTCTGTCTGAGAGGAAGAAACAGAGGAAACCAGTGGAACTTGAGAGAAACTTAAATAAACTTCCAGAGTTTGGCACACCACGATCCGTCTCTGTCTGCTTAAATCCTTACACTAGGGAGTATAACTCGTGGTCACTCAGACACCCACTCTTCACTCTAGAAGCTCCTGTGTTCAAAACCCAGGGTCTTTCTGCAGGTAGTATGTTCACCCCATGTCTTCGTTGGTTTTCTCCAGGTGCGCCGGTTTCCCTTACCACTAAAAACATGTACAACAAGCAAAATCCAGCTCTGGTCCTGACCAAATCGAGAATTAAATTATGGAGATCGGCCCATGTTAAACAGAACTGTTTTCAACCTGGATATGAAAATTGTCAGAGAAGAGGCCTGTCTCACATTTTCACATTTCAGGAAGACGAGTTCGAGATGTCAGTTGCATAATCTGTAGTGATGTGCTGAGCGGACCGAGTCTTCGAAGCGTGGACCGAGTAATCTGGGGGCGTTTCTTGTGAAGTGTGGGTCGAGGCGTGTATTGGTCACGTGTGTGGTGACGTTCAAAGCCTCGCGTAGCGGCCGCACCACGTGACGGTTCATATAGTGCTTCATATAGTTCGGAGAGTGCATTGCTTTGACAGGTGCTTTGTGATCCGCGGCTGTACCATAGACTGTATTGGCTGTCCCAGTCTGCCTCTGTGTGCGTACGTGTTTGTGTGCGTACGTGTGTGTGCGTACGTGTGTGTGCGTGATGTGGAGCAGTCCTGTACTAAGTATAGAGAAACTACTTCATATGAAATACAATTAAAAACGTTTCACTTCAGTAAAACCTCATATATCAAGGCTTCAAGTTATTAGTAATAATACGCTGGATGATACATTTCACAACAGCTGTGTGGCGCAGTCGGTATATGACGGACTCCGAAGCAGAAGATATAGCGTTCGAATCCTGGTCTACCCATAATAAATTTTGTGTTGCAAAGTAAATGTATTTATTTATTGGGAATAAATGGTTTGTTGTGTTTAATTAATCCACCTCTTGGTAGTTTTTCCTCCATTAATCACTTTCTGTAAAACTGTATTACTTTGGATGTGTTTGTTGTATCAACACAATTGACTGAAAGACTCAAATAGTTCATAGTTCATGAAGCATCATTTCAAACACAACACGTTAGACCATAGATTGTAAATATACATTTTAACATTAGATCTCACCATTCATTGTAAGCACTTAAGAGTGTTATGTATTTCTTTGTCCACATGATGGCGTAGTGGAGCATGATTCACCTCGAGCCTTCGACTCATGGGCCGAGTAATAGGCTGCGATCCCTCAAGGCTTCATGGGGCTTCATATTGCCATCACTAATAATCTGAAACGCTGCCTCCCTATGCTTAGTCCTGTTTCGGGACACCAGCAGGAGGCTATTCCCTGTACTCCTCAGAGCAAGTATGATTCAAATGGCACAAACATGTCACATTGTGACCATCAAACCTGTAACGGCGACTTTTCACCACACGGCGGGGGTGTTTGATCTTGTGTGCGGAACTTCTGCCGGAGATGACGTCGGACCTGGCAACCCGCGCGGATAGAACCAAAACAAGAGAGAAGATGTGAAGTTTCTGTGGATTTCTTCTTTTTGTGAGTGAAAATCTGCGGTTTGTGAATGAAATCTGAACCCGGAGCTTTGAGCACGAGTGTTGGGGAAAGCTGTGTTCGTGAAGCAGAGATAAGCAGCAGTTCTGTCAGAGAAAAGACGAGCTAACGACGTAAACACAGCGCTGCGAGCGGCACTGACAGATTCGACACTTCCAAATCCAGACTGTAAATATTAGAGTAATTATATAGATACTCATATGAAGTTAGTATTATTCAATAATATAAGTTGAATACAGTTAGTTTTACAATTAACTACATGTAGATTTAGTCCGATACATTTCTAAGATAATTAATGTTTAATAGTGAGTGAATCCATAAGTTGTGTTTGTGTGTGTGCATGTGTCTGTTTGTGTATGTGTGTCTAATAGTATATTTTGTATACTATTAGACATACATTGAGTCTATTGAGCGAATGAATATTGTTGTGAAACGTCTGTTTAAAGCAATGCACCAGAATTATCATTATTATTATCAACCAAACTTTTTTTTACAATGATTTCCATATTTGGCAGTTGGATTCTTCACGGCATCATGACACAGAAACTGAGCAAAGAGGAGCTGGACAAACAGTTTGAGCTTTTTCTCAAAGAGGTGATAAACATGTAATACACTAAAACAAATGAGAATGGTGTTACATATACATACATATAATACAAACCACAATTTAAAGAAAATATATCATAATATTTAAAGGATAAACATAATATTTTAAATAAATTTTTAAAAAACGTAGTAAGTTATAATAAGGACTCGTTGGTTGTTTACAGATGCATAATAATAAGTAGTATTTTTTTTTGCAACCGTATAAACATTTGTAAAGTGTCTTCTTCTTTGTCTCTCTCAGTCCGTCTCCGATGATTCTGTTGATTTGGGAATTTTGGAAAACCCATCAGGCGGCAGAAGCAAAAGTCCAAAATTGGCTCCGAAGCCGACGGTGTCCTGGTTGGAAGACGACCTCGATAAAGGTGCAGCCCAAGCAGACGTGTGTGTGTGTGTGCGTGTCTGTGTGTGTGTCTGTGTGTGTATGTGTGTGTGTGTGTCTGTGTCTGTGTTTGTTTGTATGTGTGTGTGTGTCTGTGTCTGTCTGTGTCTGTGTGTGTGTGTCTGTCTGTGTCTGTGTGTGTGTGTGTGTGTGTGTGTGTGTGCGTGTCTGTGTGTGTGTGTGTGTGTGTATGTGTGTGTGTGTGTCTGTGTTTGTTTGTATGTGTGTGTGTGTCTGTGTCTGTCTGTGTCTGTGTGTGTGTGTCTGTCTGTGTCTGTGTGTGTGTGTGTGTGTGTGTGTCTGTGTCTGTGTTTGTATGTGTGTGTGTGTCTGTGTCTGTCTGTGTCTGTGTGTGTGTGTCTGTCTGTGTCTGTGTGTGTGTGTGTGTGTGTGTGTGTGTCTGTGTCTGTGTTTGTATGTGTGTGTGTGTCTGTGTCTGTCTGTGTCTGTGTGTGTGTGTCTGTCTGTGTCTGTGTGTGTGTGTGTGTGTGTGTGTGTGTGTCTGTGTGTGTGTTTGTATGTGTGTGTGTGTCTGTGTCTGTCTGTGTCTGTGTGTGTGTGTCTGTCTGTGTCTGTGTGTGTGTGTGTGTGTGTGTGTGTGTGTGTGTGTGTGTCTGTGTGTGTGTGTGTGTGTGTGTGTCTGTGTGTGTGTAAGGTAAGGGTGCACTTTACTTATCCCCAAACTCTATTTAGAAAGACCCTGTTCCGACAAGGATTCGAACCCAGAACCTTCTTGCTGAGAAGCGAGAGTGCTAACCCACTCTGTGTCTGTGTTTGCGAATCTGAATGTGTGTGTTTCTGTGTGTGTGTGTCCCTTTTCAAACCATGTACATATATTTCATATTTTCTTCTTTTGAATATTTGTTGTTTGTTTGCATGAAATACAATTATTCAAACTCTATTCTATACTCTGCAGCTCTACAGCGCCCTCTGTGGCTCATTATTAAATCTTTCGAACACTGTAAATCTCATATTGATCCCAACACATCTCCACTTGTCATGTGATCTCCGGTATCTTGTCCTTGTCTTCAGGCACCGTTGGGTCTGGAAAGAGTTTTCTCAAATCTCTGCGTAAAACTCCAACCATTCAAGAAGAAGAAAAGGATTCCAGCGACAAAAGCCCAAGTCAGAAAGTCCAGAATGAAGATCGGTCTGAAAGTCGAGGTGAGAGAGTCACAAACAGACTTCCAGCTTTAAGGTCAAAGGAGGGTAAGGTGATCAACTCTCCCTCTGACCCTGATCAGAAGTCTGGTCTCTCTCTTTGGTCTCTCTCTCTGGTCTCTCTCTTGGGTCTCTCTCTCTGGTCTCTCTCTTTGGTCTCTCTCTCTGGTCTCTCTCTTTGGTCTCTCTCTCTGGTCTCTCTCTTGGGTCTCTCTCTCTGGTCTCTCTCTTTGGTCTCTCTCTCTGGTCTCTCTCTTTGGTCTCTCTCTCTGGTCTCTCTCTTTGGTCTCTCTCTCTGGTCTCTCTCTTTGGTCTCTCTCTCTGGTCTCTCTCTTTGGTCTCTCTCTCTGGTCTCTCTCTTGGGTCTCTCTCTCTGGTCTCTCTCTTTGGTCTCTCTCTCTGGTCTCTCTCTTTGGTCTCTCTCTCTGGTCTCTCTCTTTGGTCTCTCTCTCTGGTCTCTCTCTCTGGTCTCTTGGGTCTCTCTCTGGTGTCTCTTCGATCTCTCTCTCTGGTCTCTCTCTTTGGTCTCTCTCTCTGGTCTCTCTCTTTGGACTCTCTCTCTCTGGTCTCTCTCTAATTTCTCAGGTCTCTCTTTTTGGTCTCTCTCTCCCTGGTCTCTCTGGCCTTTCTCTGGCCTCAGTCTCTCTGATATGGAAATCTCCCAGGAACTAGAAAAAGTTTAATTCAGATTCATTGTTGTGGTTTGAAAGTTACATCCCCCTGCTTTATGTTCACCTGTGTGTCTGTGTGTGGTGATGTTTGTGTGTGTGTCTGTGTGTTTGTGTGTCTGTGTGTGAGCAGGCCTGTCCTCGGCTCTGGGTCTGGACACTCTGGAGGAGCAGCTGGAGAAGGAGCAGTTCTTCGCTGACCTCGAGGCCGGAGCGTCGTCCACCATCGACTTTGCCAAACTCAACAGAGAGCTGGGGTCGACCTCCTCCACCTACGAACCAGGACTCGGGTAAAGACTCGGGTCTTAATCTCAGTGGGACTTTAAAGGTTAAATGAAGGTTAAATAAAAGAATAAAAAGCAAACAAAATAAAAGAAAAACGTTTTTTTCTGCCGCTGCTCACATGTGACTCAGAGGAAATCCAAACAACTTAGATTTAAAATCCAGACTTAATTCAGACTCTCTCTGTCTGTCTCTCTGTCTCTCTCTCTCTCTCTGTATCTATCTCTGTCGCTCTCGCTCTCTCTCTCTCTGTCGCTCTCTCTCTCTCTTCTCTCTCTCTCTCTCTCTCTCTCTCTGTATCTATCTCTGTCGCTCTCTCTCTCTGTCTCTCTGTGTCTCGGTTGTGTGTGGGTCTCTCTCTCTCTCTCTCTCTCTGTGTATGTTCCTCTCTCTCTCTCTTTCTGTCACTCTCTCTTTCTTTCTCTCTCTCTGTCTCTCTCTCTCTCTCTGTATCTATCTCTGTCGCTCTCACTCTCTCTCTCTCTGTCTGTGTCTCGGTTGTGTGTGGGTCTCTTTCTCTCTCTGTGTATGTGTGTGTTTGTCTGTGTGTTTCTCTCTCTTTCTGTCTCTCTCTCTCTCTTTCTTTCTCTTTCTCTCTGTCTCCCTCTCACTTTCTCTGTCTCTCTCTGTCGCTCTCTCTCTGTCTCTGTCTGTGTCTCGGTTGTGTGTGTGATTGTGTGTGTGTGTGGGTCTCTTTCTCACACAAGGGACAATACTTTGCGTAATGACAGCGTAGTTGTCTTTGTGACAGTTGTGTTTGAAAGTGTTTCTCTGTGTCTGGAGTTTGGGGACGGTTTCTAAAATCTGCTGAAGTCTCTCCACACTTCCATTTTGTGAGAATGTTATTTGTCCACAGAATATTTGAGGGGACGCTGGACAGAGCAGGCCAGAACAAAGACAGTCCCAGAGGGTCTGCAGGTGAGACGGTCTGAACCATGTCTAAAGCAGGACTAAAGTAGGTCTAAAGCAGGACTAAAGTAGGTCTAAAGCAGGACTAAAGTAGGTTTAAAGCAGGACTAAAGTAGGTCTAAAGCAGGACTAAAGTAGGTCTAAAGCAGGACTAAAGTAGGTCTAAAGCAGTGCATGCAAGTGTATTATACAGAGCGGAGGCATGGAGACCTCCAATCAGCAGCTGCCACGGTGCCATGTAGCTTGGCCTTCAGATAGACAAAACAAGGGAAAAGTACTGGCTTCTGCACATTGACAGAATGATGAGTTTAACTTTAACAAAAGTTGCTTCAAAGTGTTATGAAATCTCACAGTAGGTCTAAAGCAGGACTAAAGTAGGTCTAAAGCAGGACTAAAGTAGGTCTAAAGCAGGACTAAAGTAGGTCTAAAGCAGGACTAAAGTAGGTCTAAAGCAGGACTAAAGTAGGTCTAAAGCAGGACTAAAGTCGGTTTAAAGTAGGTCTAAAGTAGGTCTAAAGCAGGACTAAAGTAGGTTTAAAGCAGGACTAAAGTAGGTCTAAAGCAGGACTAAAGTAGGTCTAAAGCAGGACTAAAGTAGGTCTAAAGCAGGACTAAAGTCGGTTTAAAGTAGGTCTAAAGTAGGTCTAAAGCAGGACTAAAGTAGGTCTAAAGCAGGACTAAAGTAGGTCTAAAGCAGGACTAAAGTAGGTCTAAAGCAGGAGTAAAGTAGGTTTAAAGCAGGACTAAAGTAGGTCTAAAGCAGGACTAAAGTAGGTCTAAAGCAGGTCTAAAGCAGTACTAAAGTAGGTCCAAAGCAGGACTAAAGTAGGTTTAAAGCAGGACTAAAGTAGGTCTAAAGCAGGACTAAAGTAGGTCTAAAGCAGGACTAAAGTCGGTTTAAAGCAGGACTAAAGTAGGTCTAAAGCAGGACTAAAGTAGGTCTAAAGCAGGTCTAAAGTAGGTCTAAAGCAGGACTAAAGTAGGTCTAAAGCAGGACTAAAGTAGGTCTAAAGCAGGACTAAAGTAGGTCTAAAGCAGGACTAAAGTAGGTTTAAAGCAGGACTAAAGTAGGTCTAAAGCAGGACTAAAGTAGGTCTAAAGCAGGACTAAAGTAGGTTTAAAGCAGGACTAAAGTAGGTCTAAAGCAGGACTAAAGTAGGTCTAAAGCAGGACTAAAGTAGGTCTAAAGCAGGACTAAAGAAGGTCTAAAGCAGGACTGAAGTAGGTTTAAAGCAGGACTAAAGTAGGTCTAAAGCAGGACTAAAGTAGGTCTAAAGCAGGACTAAAGTAGGTTTAAAGCAGGACTAAAGTAGGTCTAAAGCAGGACTAAAGTAGGTCTAAAGCAGGACTAAAGTAGGTTTAAAGCAGGACTAAAGTAGGTCTAAAGCAGGACTAAAGTAGGTCTAAAGCAGGACTAAAGTAGGTCTAAAGCAGGACTAAAGAAGGTCTAAAGCAGGACTGAAGTAGGTCTAAAGCAGGACTAAAGTAGGTCTAGGGACTAAAGTAGGTCTAAAGCAGGACTAAAGTAGGTCTAAAGCAGGACTAAAATAGGTCTAAAGCAGGACTAAAGTAGGTTTAAAGCAGGTCTGAACTTTAATATTTACAGTCTATGGTCTGACCCAGACTAAAGCAGGACTGAACCAGGACTACAACAGCGCTAAAGCAGAACTAAAGCAGGTCTAAATCAGGTCTAACCCAGGTCTAAACCATGTCTAAAGCCAGGTCTAAAGTAGGCCTAAAGCCAGGACTAAAGTAGGTCTAAAGGAGGTCTGAACCCGGACTAAAGCAGGACTGAACCAGGACTACAACAGCACCAAAGCAGGACTAAAGCAACTCTAAACCAGGTCTGAACCAGGTCTAAAGCCAGGTCTACTGGCACTCACCAGGTCTAAACCAGGTCTAAAGCAATTATAGACCTAAAGCAGGACTTTGTCAGGACTGAACCAGGTCTAAACCAGGTCTACACCTCTGCCCCAGACTCCCCACACTACAGTGATGACTTTGAAGCAGAAGATGAGAAGGAACAAAAACAGGTGGGCTCTTTTTTACTTATTAATGTTATTAACTTATTGATACTTTTGAAATGAGTTACTTTTAGAATAAGTCAGATTTGTTTTTCCCTGTTTCAGACGCCAAAGATGTCTCCCATCCTCGCCAAAGGTCAGACACTTTTCACTGTTGTTGAAGAAACTGCCACATTCTCTGAAACAAATTCCCGTAATTTATGTTGCTCTAAGCCACTCCTTTTTTCTAGTTTTTTTAACCCATATCCGGTGCTGCGGCTAATATGTAGCGGTCAGAGCAGAGTTTATGGACTTATTATTTGGACTCCTAGTTTTTGTAGAATACCACAGATGAAGATGAATGAGTCATGGAAGCTAACGGTGAATGAGTCATGGAAGCTAACGGTGAATGAGTCATGGAAGCTAACGGTGAATGAGTCATGGAAGCTAACGGTGAATGAGGCATGGAAGCTAACGGTGAATGAGTCATGGAAGCTAACGGTGAATGAGTCATGGAAGCTAACGGTGAATGAGTCATGGAAGCTAACGGTGAATGAGTCATGGAAGCTAACGGTGAATGAGTCATGGAAGCTAACGGTGAATGAGTCATGGAAGCTAACGGTGAATGAGTCATGGAAGCTAACGGTGAATGAGTCATGGAAGCTAACGGTGAATGAGTCATGGAAGCTAACGGTGAATGAGTCATGGAAGCTAACGATGAATGAGTCATGGAAGCTAACGGTGAATGAGTCATGGAAGCTAACGGTGAATGAGTCATGGAAGCTAACGATGAATGAGTCATGGAAGCTAACGGTGAATGAGTCATGGAAGCTAACGGTGAATGAGTCATGGAAGCTAACGGTGAATGAGTCATGGAAGCTAACGGTGAATGAGTCATGGAAGCTAACGGTGAATGAGTCATGGAAGCTAACGGTGAATGAGTCATGGAAGCTAACGGAAGCTAACGGTGAATGAGTCATGGAAGCTAACGGTGAATGAGTCATGGAAGCTAACGGTGAATGAGTCATGGAAGCTAACGGTGAATGAGTCATGGAAGCTAACGATGTGAATGAGTCATGGAAGCTAACGGTGAATGAGTCATGGAAGCTAACGTGAATGAATGAGTCATGGAAGCTAACGGTGAATGAGTCATGGAAGCTAACGGTGAATGAGTCATGGAAGCTAACGGTGAATGAGTCATGGAAGCTAACGGTGAATGAGTCATGGAAGCTAACGGTGAATGAGTCATGGAAGCTAACGATGAATGAGTCATGGAAGCTAACGATGAATGAGTCATGGAAGCTAACGATGAATGAGTCATGGAAGCTAACGATGAATGAGTCATGGAAGCTAACGATGAATGAGTCATGGAAGCTAACGATGAATGAGTCATGGAAGCTAACGATGAATGAGTCATGGAAGCTAACGATGAATGAGTCATGGAAGCTAACGGTGAATGAGTCATGGAAGCTAACGGTGAATGAGTCATGGAAGCTAACGTGAATGAGTCATGGAAGCTAACGATGAATGAGTCATGGAAGCTAACGGTGAATGAGTCATGGAAGCTAACGATGAATGAGTCATGGAAGCTAACGGTGAAATGAGTCATGGAAGCTAACGGTGAATGAGTCATGGAAGCTAACGGTGAATGAGTCATGGAAGCTAACGATGAATGAGTCATGGAAGCTAACGGTGAATGAGTCATGGAAGCTAACGATGAATGAGTCATGGAAGCTAACGGTGAATGAGTCATGGAAGCTAACGGTGAATGAGTCATGGAAGCTAACGGTGAATGAGTCATGGAAGCTAACGGTGAATGAGTCATGGAAGCTAACGGTGAATGAGTCATGGAAGCTAACGATGAATGAGTCATGGAAGCTAACGATGAATGAGTCATGGAAGCTAACGATGAATGAGTCATGGAAGCTAACGATGAATGAGTCATGGAAGCTAACGATGAATGAGTCATGGAAGCTAACGATGAATGAGTCATGGAAGCTAACGATGAATGAGTCATGGAAGCTAACGATGAATGAGTTATGGAAGCTAACGATGAATGAGTCATGGAAGCTAACGGTGAATGAGTCATGGAAGCTAACGATGAATGAGTCATGGAAGCTAACGATGAATGAGTCATGGAAGCTAACGATGAATGAGTCATGGAAGCTAACGATGAATGAGTTATGGAAGCTAACGGTGAATGAGTCATGGAAGCTAACGGTGAATGAGTCATGGAAGCTAACGGTGAATGAGGCATGGAAGCTAACAGTCGTCTCTCTGCTACATTAACATGTAAACCTGCGGCCGATATGTGAACAGATACAGATTTTTGAAACAAGATAAGATAAGATAGACTTTATTGATCTCACACAGGAGAAATGTACATGTTATATCTGGCATGGATAGAAACACTCAAGATTGTGCAAACATGTTAAATGCAGGATACATTATGTACAATAAAAAGTGGCAATCAAGAAACAGTGTCAATAAACAGTGCAGGTTTTTTCAGTCCTAATGCAAGTGACTTAAAGTGACTTATCGTACAGTCTGACAGCGGTGGGGATAAAGGATAAACAACGGTATGTGCATATTCAAATCTCATCTTGTGTTTGTCTTCAGTGTCTCTGTTGGACTCTCTGGACGACACCAGAGAAGAGCCCAAGAAAAGCACAACAGACTCAATGGACAAAGGTAACGGCTGTGGAGGAGACATCTGAGCCAAAATGTCCTGTTCAGTTGAGCCAAAATGTTTCAGCGGCCCTTGAAATGATTTTATTTTTTTTCATACTTTATTGTGTCATCTTCATTAGTTCACACTGTTTTCTTAATACATACAGCTTAACCAGACACATTTTAAGTTCTATTTTTTTTCCCCTTCTTTTTTTTTACCCCACTATGCTCCCCTTGTGTCAAAAGAAAAAAAAAAAACAAAGGATAAAACAAAACAAAGCAAAACAAATACATAGACAAATAAGGAGAAAGTATGTATATATACGCAAAAAAAATATATATATATATATAAAAAAATATAAAAAAAAAAAAATAACAATATTAAAGTAAATAAAATACTCTTAACAATAGATGGTTATTCTTATGGCTATATGTTAAATAGTTTTGATGTTATATTGATAAGTATACAGAATGTGTAGTCAGTCTTGAAATGATTTTAAATGATTAAATTAAGTTGCAGCATTGAGGCTACTATGGCATGTTATATCTATATTTTTTTGTCTTCAGCTCAGAGCGGAGGGTCAGAGCTGGAGGCACTCACCAGACTCCTGCAGATGCACGCACTGCAGGATTCTGAGGGACTCGACCCCATCCTCGGCTCCAGAGACCAGGACCTGGGTGTAGACCGGGACAGAGACCATGACAGAGACCAGAGTCCTGCCCTTCCTGGCTCGGCTCCGCTCCACAGAGCTTCTACCCTGGAGTCCGGTCAGTGGCACCTCCCTTCACACTAGAGCTGTACAATCGTTGACATTTTAGTGGTCGTAATTATCTAATCACAAACACTGCAGTTATTATCTCCTGGTTTCCTCCACGTGTGACGCTTACAATTCAGGCCAAACAGTTCTGCTTTAGTTCCACCGAGGAGGCGTCTTTTCACTCTGATGGTGACGTGCTTCTGGAAGGTTCTCCCTCAGAGCAATGCGGACGCTCTGTCAGAGAGACCTCCCAGACCAAGAACCTTCTCCCTGATGGATCAGTCTGGATGGAGAGTCAGATCCATCCACATTATTAACTCATTGACTGCCAGCCTATTTCAGAACAGGTACTCCCACAGTGCCAGGCGTTTCTGATGAGTTTTACTGATTTTTCAAGACCCACAGAATATTGTGTACTATGACTATCTGAAATCCAAAACCAGATTCTGAAAGAATGGACTGTCTACTTTCATCATTGTTTCTAGCTTGTTTCGTTCCCCTGTAATCCCCAGTTGAGTAGAGGGAAGTTTTACTGAAATCACCAGAAAGCTGAGAAAAAACTGTTTTCAAACCATTCATAGAGAAATGCTGACACCTGCTGGCTAGATAAAATATGGTCTCAAGCCATCCCCAAACATATTAGATACAATAGACATCTGGGAACGTAAAAATAGCGGGACACGCAATTGACATGTTACCACGTCAATGGCAGACAACGTTACTATTTGGCAGTCAATGAGTGGTTCTCACCCCCGCTCCTCGGAGCTTACGTCACTCACATTTCCTGTTCAAATCTTCCTCTAAATGGGCGTAGCCTGGAGGACTAAAGGGGGCGTGAACGAGACTGGGCCATTTAAATAGCTCTGGGCGGGGGGCTGCTGACGTCAGGTCCAACTTCTGTGCCAGTGTTGGCGCCAGATTAAAAATTCAAATGTAGTAATACAGGTCGCCAGCAGATGGCGCCTCACAGACGGTTTTAGGCAGAAAGTTTAACTTTCAACTAATTTGCACCAAAGTGACAAAATTATGACCAGGATATGTAGACAACACGATTGGACACTCATTTATACCGTTTATCAGCGAAAAAAAAGTGGATTTGAGGGTGAGTTGTCCTTTAACAAACACGTAGCTCCGCCCCTTCTGTCTGAAAGCCCTTGTCTCAGTCCTGTCAGAGTATGATGTCATTGTACCACGATCACAGTGTTTTGCCCATGAGCTAGTTTTGGTAATTTCTCATATAAAAGCGTGTTTTTTACAATCAATTTTAAAATTCTACCCCTCCCTCTGGTGGCAGCATAGGGAGTTACAGGCAGAAACCTTTTTCCCTTTGTACTTCTGTCACCAGATATTTTCTACTGAAGATATCAATACACATTCTAAAACAAAGTAAATAGTCTCCTCATCATTATGGGCTAATATAATGTTTAGAAGTGTTCCATCCCGAATGTGAACGTACAGTTGTGTTTATTTTGTGATTTCCAGATTTGCCGACCGCGGAGGAGCTGATGAAGCCGATTCGACCTGAGGATGATTCTCTGACCAGCTTCAGGCTCCACCCGCTCAGGTCAGAACTCCTCTAAAACAGCGGAAAGCAAGTGGATAAATAAGAGATGGAACTGAAAATGTCATGGTTTAGGTTTATTTCCTGTTTTATTTTGTAATTTGGTAAATCCCTGTGTCTTCTTTGGATGTGCTTCCTGTTGTGTGCGTCTTGTATTTCAGCCCCACGTGTTCCTTCACTCCCTGTCTGTTTCAGTTCTGCCCTCGATCCCTGTGTTTTCTCTGGATTTTGATTAGTTTTACTTTTAATTAAATCCATTATTTTGCAGTTCTGCGTTTTTGGGCTCATTTAATTTCACCCCTCTTACAGAAAAAAGCAGCTTTTGAAAGCATTAGATTCTAAACCTACAGGTGCGGTCACATTGAAGTGGAGAAGTTCCCATGATGTCATAGTCTAAGGTTTTGTTATAAGTTAAAAAAGTATTTAGACAGAAAGGATGGAGTTTGTCTGATATGAGAATGGTTTGAAACTAAAAATGCATCTTTAAATCTTTTGTACGTAACTTTCCAACTACAAAATATACAACTATGTAATGAAATCCACGTCTCTTGTTCCTGGCTCTAAAACAGTTTTCTTCTAACACTAGTTTTTGCATACATGTATTTTTGGCCTCTGTCACTTTTCTGTCTTAAAAAGCTGATCTAGAGATGTGACAAAGAGAGGACCACCCTCACTCAGCCAATCAGCTCTCAGCCCAAAAAGTCAAATAGTGACTCATAGGGTTCTGTCTTACACATAAATATACCATGTGTTCTAATCAGATACAGACAGCATGTAGTAGTTTGAGCATTTCCCGTTTACAAAACTCTTTCTCTAAATATGTGTTATTCATTTGGAGAAAAAGTTACGTACACCAGCTTTAAAAAAAAAAAAAAAAAAAAAAAATCTGTAATCTCGGTTTTGGTAACTATGGTAATCTCTGTCTTTCATGTGTCCCCTTGTTACAGCTCTGACACCAAAGATCGGCTGCAGTTGTCTGAGGATGCTCCCCTGAAGAGGCCGGCTCTCTCTGGGTGGACTGTGGACCTGCTCCCAGACCCAGACCTAGACCCTGCTCCGGTCCTGGATATTCCTCTTGCTCCTCCTGTGCTCCCAGATCCTCCTCCTCCTCCTCCTCCTCTGGTCCCAGACCCGGTTCGTCCGGTGGCCCCAGAGCGAGTGTGGAGCGTGGCTGAGGAGCTGGAGCGGCTGATGCAGGACCAGGAGAAACCCGCCCCAGCCTCCCGGACCAGCAGAGCCAAGAAGGTGAGTGTTTACGACGAACTAGTCCCGGTTTTTGGAGGTGGGTTGGCTCATGCAAGAAACCTGATGTCACGTTTTGAAAAGGAGGAAGGACCCAAAATGTAGGACTGCCAAAATATAAGATATAATAAACAAAAACACAATTCAGGATACAGAATTTATAACTCAAACCAGGACGAAACAGGGACAAAAAAACAATGGACCAACAACAAGGGGAGAGGAGCACAGGGTTTAAATACACACGACATTAGGGCGGGACAGGCAATCAACTGAACACACATTAGCAACACTGAAAAGAACCAATATATCAAAATAAAACTAGGAAAAGTCCACATCATAACACCAGAACCAAACCCATAAACAGCATATTTCACTGCATCCGCTCCAATACTCCACACCGATTTTGGCCTTAGTCATTCAGATTCAGATTCAGTTTATTTGCCATCTGCAGTAAAACCACTTTGGAATAAATGTGCAAAAGCCCCCAGTGTACTGTGCACCAGACATATGAAAGACAAACTGAAGAAGCTGTTTGCTAATCGATATGTCCTGCATCTCAGCCAACGATATCTTCTGCCAGAGGGAAGAAGCTGGAACATGGCTTTTCATTTCAATTCAATTCACTTCTATATTGTACAGCCCTAAATCACAACAGAAGTTATCTCAGAGGACTTTGCAAAACTGTTGAAATCACCAATACAGATCAGAGAATCAAACTGTTCAAACACAAGAAATGCAATGATTAAAACACATAGAGACGATGACCAATGTCCATAAATGTTGATAAATGTCCGTCCGAGTGTCTGTCTCTTTTCTAGGGACAGGAAGATAGATAGATAGATACTTTATTGATCCCCGTTGTAGAAATTCAGGAAGAAGAGTCATTGATTTATTTTATTATGTGGTGGAAAGTCGGCCACAAAGCTTTTCATCGGGAGTTTGTTTTTTGTCTCCTAATTCTATGTATTTGTCTTAATGCATTACGTTTATTCACATTTAAACATTGTTTGTGTTAGGTGTCGCTTTCCTCCGGCTCCTCTGTCAACAGAACCTTTCAGGCTCGAACCAGGGACACTAGGACCACAGCGGTGTCCCGGCCCTTGCCCACTGCCCTGGGACCAGCCTCAAGACCAGCTTCAGGGTCAGTCTCAAGACCATCCTCAAGACCAGCCTCAGGACCAGCCTCAGGACCAGCCTCGGGACCAGCTGTGATCCAGATCCAGACCAAGTCCAAGAATGCGAGAGCGCCAGTATCTCAGCCACGCAGCCTCCCCACAGGACCTGAGAGGAGCCAGCCTGGTATGCACTGATACAGCCAATCACACAATCTCTGTTTTACAAGCATTTTATTGGCCATTAAAAGTGATAACTTTAATGATGTGATCAATTTAATTTGTTTCTTCATGTTATACATAGTAAGATAATATCATCAGTAGAAAATATGTGGTAAAACAAGTATGGTGGCAGCCTTTTGATGCTGCCACCAGAGTGAGGAGGAGAATTTGTGTGATGTCATAGTAGTCTCTCTCCCTGGTCTCTCTCTGGGCTCTCTCTGGTCTCTCTCTGGTCGGCCTCTGGTCTCTCTCTGGTCTCTTTCTCTCTCTCTCTCTCTCTCTCTGGTCGGCCTCTGGTCTCTCTCTGGTCTCTTTCTCTCTCTCTCTCTCTCTGGTCAGCCTCTGGTCTCTCTCTGGGTTGTCTCTTGTCTCTCTCTGGTCTCTCTCTCTCTCTCTCTCTCTCTCTCTCTCTCTCTCTCTCTCTCTCTCTCTCTCTCTCTCTCTGGTAGGTCTCTGGTCACTCTCTGGTCGGTCTCTGGTCTCGCTCTGGTCTGTCTCTCTCTCTCTCTGGTATGTCTCTGGTCTCTTTCTGGTCTCTGTGATGTCATAGTGGTACAATGACATCACACCATTTCAGGACTGAGACAGGAGCTCTTAGACAGAACAAGTCTCCTTAAATTATGTTTCCTCACTGTGCAGATGCTGGTGTGGAGAGCCGGGACCTGGTGGCTTCAGTCCAGTCTCTGGTCTCAGTGCTTCAGCAGCAAGTCACCTCCAAACACACAGAACCAGAACCACAGCTCTCTCCCCTCAGACAGGTACTGAAGAAGATGACAAAGTCTGGGATCGCGTCTTTAATTCAGACAGAAGACATGTTTTATTGTCGATGGTAGAGACAGCACGAACAACACGAACAACAGAATGCAAGTGTATTATACAGAGCGGAGGCATGGAGACCTCCAATCAGCAGCTGCCACAGTGCCATGTAGCTTGGCCTTCAGATAGACAAAACAAGGGAAAAGTACTGGCTTCTGCACATTGATAGAATGATGAGTTTAACTTTAACAACATCTTGTCTGTTTTGTAGTTAAAAGGCTCTCCTCCTGTGGGTGTACAGGAGATATATAATATATATATATATATATATATATATATATAGCTCGTAGTGTGAAAAAAATATTTATTTAAGTATCTCACAAAAAAAGTAAAATTAACTGAACTTTGAACTAGTTCAGAATTAAAAATGTGAACTTTGAACGTGAACTGTTCACTTTGAGCATGTATGAACTGAACTTGAACTAGTTCAGAAAAGCTGTGAACTGGCACAACACTGGTGAAATCTCTACAGTACCTAAACCACCAAACGCAGTACAGTAGAATAATGTCAAGTAGGGATTGTGGAAACGGGGCTAAAATGAACCTTCTTCATTTAAAACTTTTTGCATAGAACACAAAAATCATCTGGAAATATTGAGACCATATGTGTTCCTTTTACTGCTTATGTGGTCCCAACCTTTCTGCATGGAGTTTGCATGTTCTCCCTGTGTCTGCATAGATTTTTTTTCCAGGTGCTGTGGTTTGCCCCGACCACTTAAAACGTGTACAATAGGAATGAATGTAATGAGCGAGTGAGTGGATGGCGATGTTGGGGGCTTCTATGCACCACCAGTGTGTTTGGCTTCTGTCAGCACCGTGTGGAGAGAACGGGAATGACTGCTACACCAACATTTTAAAGTGTGATCTTAATAATAAGTAAGAGAGTTGACTTACTTACGGGTTCATTTCACTTCTCGTACTGTGTGTGATCCTTCAGTCGGAGGAGACGTCTGCGTTGGAGGCTCTGAAGTTCCAGCTGCTGCAGAAGGAGAAACTCATTGAGAAACTGAAACTGGACTCAGAGGAAGTGCAGTCTCTCAAACAGCACAATTACTTACTGCAGAGCAAGGTGTGACATCATATTTGTCTATGATTTGTTATTTGAGTGAGACACAGGTGAAGGTGGATGGAGGTTTATGTGGAAACCTATGTAAAAGCTAAATCCCAATGATGCCTTGGACTGGTAACTTACAATTGTGACCCAGGTGCAGACTGGTGTAAGCAAGGCGACCAATCAGAGCCAGCGGCCCCTCCCACCCCCGCTTAATCTCGCTCAGAGTCTGTTACAGGTTGGACATTGTGAGTGAAGGGCGTTATTTTTTGCAAAGCCCTCAATCACAACAGTTATCTCCACAGCGCCCCACGGTCATACAGCATGACCATTTCACCAGTTAGACCAACAATCTGAGTGAATGTGAATATAGTGGACTGTTTCCACATGTGTGTGTGTGTGTGTGTGTAATGTGTGTGTGCAGCTGCGCAGTGCAGAGGAGTCTCTTCAGAAGAACAAACTGACTGACGCCTCAGACTCCAAACATCAGGAGAAACTGCAGACGATCGAGAAGGAGATGAAGGAGCAGGAGACACTAATCCAGGGATATCAACAGGTTTGGACAAACACATACACACTCACTCACACACTTACACTCACACATTCAGACGATTGATAAGGAGTTGAAAGAGCAGAAGACACACTCAGACATACATACTGTTCACACACACACCCCAGCCATCTCCAAGCGTTTATGTCTCTCTGTTATAGGAGAACGAGCGCCTGTACCAGCAGATGAAGGTCCTGCAGGCTCAGAGCAAGGCCAATGAGGAGGTGATGTTTGAGGAGAACCAGAGGCTGCTGAACCAGTTGTCCTCCACCAGGTCTGAGATACACTTCTACATCAGTGCAAAAACTACACACTATTCAAACATGTTGCTTTGGAGCAGGCCCCTGTCACCTTCAGAAACAGGCTCCACAGAGGGACCTGCTCTTTCACACATGTTCAGGGGAGAGACTGGACTCTGTTTTCTCTTATTTGTTGTCATCATGAAATCTGAGGGCTCAAATTCAGAAACCTTTGATCAAATGTGGAGGACTTGCACATTTAAAAGTTGCCAATCCACAAGTGAACCATCAGACCAAGCACACACCATTACAAAAGACCAGTAACTTTTTAATGTTTGGAAGTGACAGTCCGCATTAGGAGTGTGACGATATAACGATATATCGTGATACTTTCTCCGATTCTCTCGATTAACGATATGCATTTGCCAAGTACCAAGTTTTTTCTTTCAAATTAGTATCAATACTTAATATATGACTACATTACGCATCTCCATTCCATTTATCATGAAATAACGTGTATTTTTTCACTTTACATTTATCTTTTTTTATGCCATAAATTAGCATATGGTATATTTCTGGCCAATATATTGCGATATAATTGTTATCGTGATATAAACTTTATCGTGATATAATCGTTATCGTGAGCTTTGTATCACGTATCGTATCGTGAGGTACCCTCAGGTTCCCACCCCTAGTCCGCATGCAGCTCTGTGGAATGACACAGAGGACTTTACGAAATTGTTGGTGAATCAAAAACTTTTAAAAGTCGTCCGAGAAGACGACTTTTGTGATTCAGGGATTTACCAATGAATTGAATTGAATTAAAATGGAATTGAATTGAAAGACCATGGACCAACGGATGTAAGAAAGAAGAGATTTGAAACTTAACTTAAACAGACTTTCAAATATTAAGCAGTGAACTTGATGCAAACATGGAAGAACAGGCCAGTGTCCCTGATGTGGGTGATAATCTGTGATGTGTTTGATGTTGAAGAGAGCAGCTGGAGAAGGCGCAGAGACCCGTGTCGACGCTGTGCTCCATGGACCACAGCCAGAGGATCTCTCAGCTGCTGGCTCAGCTCCACACGCTGCAGGTGACAGCTTCAAACTGTGGCTTGGATAAAGAATCTGGAAGTTGGAAAATGTTTATCATGATTGCACGTCCAGTCACGCCGCTTGTGTCTTCCATCTTGTCCTTTGGGTCTTTCACCAAAGCTCATGATTGTAGGTGTGAATGGGGAGGTAGACTGAGCAGTTAATCCAGAGCTCTGACTGCAGACGCTGCTCCCTCTTCACCACAACAGTCTGATTCTCTGCACTGCTGACATAGTGGAGTTTGAATGTTCTCCTTTTGCCTGTTTAGTTTTCCTGGTACTCCTCATTCTCCTTCCAGTAAAGACCTAGAATTCACCAATCTGGGGCCACAACTCTGCTGAAATAAAGTTTGGCTTGATCTTAACCTCACTGTGCAGTCAATTCCTAGTTAATTAAATGTGTTTTTAATTGTGTTTTTAACAGAAGAGCGATCTGCGGCTGAGAGAGGAGATCCAGAGGCTGAATCAGGAAAAACAGGCTGCAGAGGTGGATCTACAGCTGCTCAGGGACCAGACCAGAGACCTGAGAGACCAGAGGAAGGATCCAGACCAGGCTAAGGACCAGAGCAAGGATCCAGACCAGAATAAGGACCAGAGCAAGGATCTAGACCAGGATAAGGACCAGAGCAAGGATCCAGACCAGGCTAGAGACCAGAGGGCGGTGCTTGTGTTGCAGCAGCAGCATCAGGAGGAGGTCTCGGAGCTGAAGAGGAGGTTAAAATGGTTTGCTGAAAACCAGCAACTGTTGGACCGAGACGCCTCAAGACTACGGGCGGCCACCGCGGAGACTCTGCAGCTCAAAGAACAGGTCTGAGAGAACGCTCTGCTGGGGTTCTAGATTCATGTTCAAATCCAAAACGGTTCACTTTAGCTGTGCATACAACTGAAGGATCGTTTCTCTTTTTAAAGTCCTGTGATCATCTATCTAATGCTTTGTGTGGTTGTTTCTATCTTTGAGTAGCCTTGTGTATGAACTGCGCTATACATATAAACTTGCCTTGTCTTTCATCAATGAGTTTCCTTCAGCTGCTGTGTTTGTGTTTCAGGTGGAGAAGCTGAAGGTAGAGGTGGGAAAACGAGAGCAGCAGAAGAAGAGCAGAGAGCGCTCAGCAGACGGCAGGAAGATCCAGGCTCTGGAGAAGCAGGTACCACACTCTAACCTTAAAGACCTCAGATCTAACATGAGTAAGACTGAAACTTTTTCTGTGTCAGTCTTCAGACGCATATTGTTTGTTACCTTCACAAGAGCAGTCTCAGTACGGTGGTCTAAAGCTAGACTGGAACATATCAAAAGAGTTGTTAATTATTGAGTTGATAGGCAACTTTTTCAAGATTTTTTTCCCATCACATTACACCTCTGTTCAAAGACCTCACATTACACCTGTGTTCAAAGACCTCACATTACACCTCTGTTCAAAGACCTGACATTACACCAGTGTTCAAAGACCTCACATTACACCAGTGTTCAAAGACCTCACATTACACCAGTGTTCAAAGACCTCACATTACACCTGTGTTCAAAGACCTCACATTACACCTGTGTTCAAAGACCTCACATTACACCGATGTGTCCTTCTTAGGTGAAGGAGTTGGAGCAGATCTTGCGCAGCAGGAACCCAAACTCTCTTCCTGCGCTGATCTTTGCTGCAGCCAGTGCCCCGGAGCACCCGGAGGCTCCACCCCAGACCTCCTGCTCCTCCTCAGGGCCCAGCCGAGTCTCTGCTCTGCTGGAGAGACGAGCTGAGAGGCTGGAGGCTGAGTTGGAAGCCCGGGACCACGAGGCAAAACGGAGCATACGCGCCCTGGAGCAGCAGTTCCAGGCCATCAGGGTAAACCACACCTATGCTGAGTTAAAGTTGGGGTACCTAACTTTTAAACCACAACTCTAAAACTATGTAATACAATCCAAGTCACTGGTTCTTGGCTTTAAAACTATTTGCCTCTAACACTAGTTGTTCACATGAATGTATTTTTTCAGATTCAGATTTATATTATGTACCATTTGCAGTAAAACCACATTAGACTACATGCAACATGTGTTATTCATAAATTAAGAAAAGAAAAAGATATGTACCCCAGCTTTAATCTATTATTATTTATATATCTTCGTTGTGATAAGCATTTCTATTCTGTTTTTTCTTTTCATTTTTGTGCATTTAAAACACTTTGGACAAAAAGTGTTATTTGAGTCCTGGATCTACAGCCCGTCTGTGGGTCATCAGAGAGTTGTTCTTCTCTGATGCAGGAGGGTCTAAGGACAGTGCTGATCCAGGACACTCAACATTCAACGACATTTATGAACATTGGTCTCAGCTCCTCAATGGCTCCATGTGTTTTTTATCATTGCATTTATTGTGTTTGAACAGTTTGATTTTCTGATTTATGTTGGCGAATTGACAGTGTTGTTCTGTCCTCTAAGATAACTACTGTGGTGATTTATGGCTGTACAAAAATGAGTCTGTCATCTCCTCACTGTTTGCGTTTGTGTTCAGATGCGTTACGAGCAGCAAATCTCTGAGTTGGAGCAGCAGCTGGAGCAGAGACCTCTGGAACCACCAGGGGCAGATCCAGGTCCAGGTCTGGGTTCAGACTTGGTCCAGCGTTCAGACTTGATCACTGGTCTGAGAGAGGAGCTGAGGAGGGAGAGGGAGGCGCACAGAGAGAAGGAGACAAGTCTTCAGAAGCAGCTGAGTGACCTGCAGCAGCAGCTCAAACGCAAGGTCAGTGTCTCTGTCCTCTTTATTAGGCTAAAGTTAGAGAATTTATACTTGCTTCTTTATTTTGCTTAAGTTGGAGATTTTATTCTAGCTTCTTTAACATGCTAAAGTTAGACATTTTATTTTATTTTAGTATAGAGTTATTGTTCATTTCTCTTGTGCTGTGTGCTCTTCATTCCTACTGTTCTGTGACTGGTGATGCAACACTGACATTTCCCCACGGTGGGACAAAAAGAAGATCTCTTAATCTCAATCTTAATCCTAATGGAGTTTGTGTGCGTTAGCTCTAATGCTATCTTGTCATTTCCCTCCTTAGTCTCACTCTAGTCCCAGTCGGCACGAGCGTCAGGCTGAGGCCGCGTTCGGACTCCGCATCGAGCGTCTGAACCAGGAGCTGACCACAAAGTCCCGGACCATCCAGGACCTGATCCGGACCGTGGAGCGGCTGCAGAGGGAGCAGAGGGGGCTGCTGTCCGTGCCCAGAGGAGAGGGGAGGGAGGGGAGGGAGGGGAGGAGGCAGGCTGCAATGCACAGAACTGCCCCGGAGTCAGACGCGGCCACAGAAGTCTTCCCAGCTCTGAGCGACAAGAGCTACCAGCCCACAGAGTTCACCGGTGAGAGATCTTAGACTCAAGGCTTTCTCTTCTAATCTAATTCAGATTCGGTTTTTGTTGCCTTTTGCAGTAAAACCAAATTGGAATACATGTGCAAGAGTCCCCAGTGTGCACCAGGCACGTACATCAATAAATCAAGCTATAGAGTGCAGGTATAAAACATGCTAAAAAAAAGTATAGGAAACAATTGTCACTGTGAAATCGATCGACAAAAACAGTTTGAATACAAGATCATTAAAGTGCTTTGTGTTTTTGAGGTGCAATGGCGAGGTGTTGGTCTCAGCCAATCAGGAGCCTTTTTTTTGGTATTTCAATCTACAATGCGGCTTGTCCCTCACAGTTAAAGAGCTATTATAGTATATAGTAGTAGTATATAGTAGTATTATAGTCTGTAGGTGAGAACATTTTGCTAATTGTTTTTAGGTCCTTCCATGCTCATGTGTTTGTGTGTGTGTGTTTGTGTGTGTGTGTGTGTGTGTGTGTTGTAGACAGTCATATCACAGAGGTGCAGCAGGAGAACTCTGCTCTGAGGCTGAAGTTGCAGCAGATGCAGACAGACGCAGAGAGAGAGCGAGAGGAGCTGAGGACGGCGCTGACCCAGAGCCAGCAGCAGCTCCACACGTATGTGAAAGTATCCATACCCCAAGAACCCTTCCACATGTGTCGTTATGATCAGACACAAGTGATGGCGCTAAACAGTCACTACAGGTTTTAGAAGCATTTGTTCCACAGATTCTGAAATCAATTCAGGTCTGGGCTTTTATCTTTCTAACACATTAATATTTAGTCGAGGAAAACAGTGTACTCTACGCTGCATGTAACCACAGAAACCAGATCCTATTGAGACAAGCCCAGCAGATGCATTTAAGAGCTGTGAGGGGCAAATCTGCTGATATTAGAGACACAAATAGGCCACTCCCTCCTTTTGATCAATGTGATCAAGGACGCAGTCCCTTTGAACCTCCAACCATCCATCCATTTTCTTCCGCTTTATCCGTTGCTGGTTTGCCAGCAGTGGCAGCAGTCTGAGCAGACACCCCGACTTCTCTATCTACACCCCAGCTCATCTAGGGGAATCCTGAGGTGTTCCTAGCCAGACTAGTCCTGGGTCTTTCCCTGGTCTCGTCCCAGTGGGACATGCTCAGAACACCTTTCCAGGGAGTCGTCCAAGAGGCATCCAGAACAGATGCCCAAGCCACATTAACTGGCTCCTCACTTTTTTTTGCACTGGGTTTTTTGAGTTGTTCCTTCCCGAAGCAGGAGGCTCTAATGACAGTGGTGATGATCAGGACGTTTATGGACATCTATCACTATTTATGGACATTGGTCATCAGCCCCTTATGTGTTTTTATTGTTGCATTTCCTGTGTTTTGATTTTTTGATTTGTGTTGGCGAATCAACAGCTTATTAAAGTCCTTTGACATTACTACTGTTGTGATTTAGGGATATACAAAAATAAGTGTATTTGTATGTGATGGAAATATATTTGTGTTCAGGCTGCAGGAGGCTCACTCTCAGCAGCTGTCCTCGCTGCAGGCTCAGAGCCTCAGGGACCAGGCCCAGCTCCGCTCCAGCTTCGCTCTGGAACATTCTTCATCTGCAGTCGCACAACTGTCCAACCAGCTCAACACACAACAGGTAACCACACGAGTGACAATACTTTGCATGATGACAGCGTAACGAGCAGTGGAGCTGTGTTTGGGTGAGTGAAGCTCAAGTGCTTCTCTTCTCTTTATAAAGAGAAATTTGTTCAGAAATTTGTTGGAAAGAGTCTATATTTCTCCACGTAAATGAGAAACTTGCAGTAGACCAATATAATGTTATTACCTCTTGTCTCTCTTTGGTCTCTGAGAGATTTCAGAGAAAGAGAAAGTGGGAAGTTTGTTTTGACCCTTTTAAATTTACATGTTCCTGTCTTCCCTCTGTGTGTGTGTGTGTGTGTATGTGGACGTGTGTACATGTGTGTGTGTGTTAATGTGCGTGTGTGTGTTTATGTGTGTGTTTACGTGTGTGTGTGTAGGTGATGGTGCAGCAGCTCCAGCAGCAGCTCTCTGAGGCGCAGAGCTGCAGACGAGAGCTGAGCGTGAGTCGAGCCAGAGAGGAGGCTCTGCAGACACAGGTGAGGGACACTACACACCTCCGACCCAACACCCAAACTACTGAAGACAACAACCCAAAAACAACAACACTATACTGACTAATTCAGTCAAATACACTCCACAACTCACAATCACGTTATAAGCTTTTTGGTAACACTTTATATCAGGGGTCTCCAGCCTTTGGCCTGGGAGCTGCCTGGGAGCTTCCTGTAGCTCCCCAAAGCATTCAGAAATTTGGCACATGATTTTTATTACACTTTGAGTCATTGCATATCTACTTCAACTGTACATGTTTTTATTATGGTCACTAATGTAGGGTTTGTACAGTGTAGATTTTACAGTATATAAAATGTCTGATTTTCTGCATTTATTTTAAAGACTAAAGTTTTATTACGATAGCTTAAGCCTAGCGTACATCGACAGAGAAACTGGGGACAACTAGTTGCAAGGCGGCTTTTGGCAACTGAGAGTAGATGATGGAGATGATCAGTTGCTGAAATCGGTCGATGTGCGCGCTCTTACAACTGGAGATGATCAGTCGGTCTCCAGTTTCAGTCAGTTGCCCGTGTTCTACTTTTCGGCAACTAGTTGTCCTCAGTTGCTCCGATGTGCGCGCTCCATGCGCCGCTCCAACAACGTGTGTGTATTGCGTGTATAGCGCGCCCGCAACAGTTTATGTCAGAAAACACACTGTAGTTGAGGCCAGTTGCTGTCGATGTACGCGCTGTTATTCAAGAGACTGGCTTGCGACTCAGAGTTGCCCGTTTTCGCCAGATTGTCGATGTGTGCGGGGCAGCAACTCAGAGGCGACGGATATAATCAGTTGCCAGTCCGATGTACGCTAGGCTTAATAGTAGCCATTTCGGTTGTGTAAAAGTATCTCTCCAATCAAAACATTTTGAAGACCATTGCTTTAGATTAACCCCCACTAAATAACAGCAAAGTGCTAACCTCAGCCCGAAGCTTAACTCTAACCCCAACTCACATGGGAAACAGTGGCGACAGTATCAGTTTGAGCCAGAGGGTCGTGGGTTCGAGCCCGACCTTCACCATCGACTCCCACTGTCTGCTGTCGTTGTGTCCTTGGCAAGACACTTAACCTCGGGAAACCTTAAATTGGAGGTTTGGGGAATAGATGTATTTCTTCACTAATCCTCAAAATTGACAATAGCTGAAAAACTTCAGTAATTGTGTTTCTCCTGGATGTAATTTCTGAATATTCTCTCTTTTATGTGTAAAGGCCGGCAGTTTAGTGTTGTGCGATGACATTTCCTTTCATTCTGCTTAATCACTTTGAACAAAATCTCCAAAAATTTTCATTCTATCTCTATTTAGACGCTAACTTTGACCCGAGTGTAAATCTAAAAGGCGAAATCCAGAAATTACCATATCATTTACTGACGTTGTTTCTTCAAGTGAATACACTGCATCCACAATGCTTGATAATGATGTAAATGTGTCTCTCTGTCCCTGCAGCTCTCCCGCTGTCTCCTGGACCTGAAAGCGGCTCGCGAGGCCCAGACCCCGGAGGGGAAGCTGCTCTGGAGCCTGGAGCAGAAGGTGACGAGTCTGGAGACGAGACAAGAGCAGCGGGACCGCGAGCTGCAGCAGGTCTGAGCACTGAGAGTCACCCGTGTTAGAGCAGGGGGGTCAAACCGGTCCTCAGAGGGCAGGTGTGGCTGCAGGTTTTAGTTCCAGCCCAAGTGGAGCACACCAGACTCCACACATTTCCTCAGATGAGTCCAGTGTTAACCTGAAAATTTAAGGAAATGGGTGGAGTCTGGTGTGCTCCTGCTCCGGTTGGAACTAAAACCTGCATCCACACCTGCCTTTTTTTGGAACCGGTTTGACACCCCTGTGGTCAAATATATGCACAGTGAGAGGATGATTTTGATGGTCTTCTATCAGGCCATGGCTTTGGCTGACGTAAATGGAAACGCCTTTTTCCCGGGCATGAGCTACATACTCGAATGTATAGGGTGGCACCTTCCCCACCTGTAGAAGGAGTACTCTCAAATATAGCCAAGCATACGGAATGACCTCTGTGTATGGAATGCACTATAATAGCAAAACTGACAAAGAAAAAGGCAAATATGAATAAATTATGAAACCAAAACTAAACTCTGATGCAGTTCCTACAGAGGGGAGTGGAGGCTTTTGTTCCAAGCGAGTTGTCGGCCATGAATAGACAAATGAAGCTAAAGCGTAAATTCAGACTGGAAGAACTAAACTCACAGGGCTCCATGTCCTCCCACTGTCGCTAATGGCAACAGCATCTGTCGATCACACTGCCCTCACCTGGCAGCAATCAGTCACTGCCTGCATCAAGCTTCATAACGCAAGGCAGCTCCATCCAAGCAGCAGCTTCATTCACGCCGCAACCCTCCTCCTCCCCATCTCTGCCCCGTTCTAGGCCAGCTCTTTCATCCTTCTCTTAGCTCCCACCACCAGGGTCAAGGCCCCGGAGGATTTCTTCTCATAATCTCTTTTCCCTTTTGTAATCGTGCAGTGCTCTGCCGGGGTCTAAGCGCCAAATCCTAACCACGATTCTGTACAGCAGCAAAATATATAATCCTAAAATATTGTCCTTAGAGTCATATGTGCTAATTTATTTTGTGTCAGATTTCTTGCCAACCAATATACAGTTTAAATAATACCAATGTTCTGTCTGTTCGAGTCTCTCCAGATTAAAATAGACAATAAACAGAATATTGAGGCTAAGTGGATTAAAACATGTAATTATAAAACTTGTTTATAATTTCCATGTGTTTAAAGAAGACACAAGCAGGTTTTGGGCTGGAAAATCTCACTGGCATCTGGCAACACTAATCACGATGTAAAATCTCAGGAGACAAACATTTCTGTGGTCTGCAGCCAGCTTCAGCGACTGGAATGGGAACATCTTGGATATCTGGGGCTTTATCCATACATTTAAATATAAATGAAACAAACGGCGATAAAGCATCACACGTCTTCAGTCCTCAATCTAACGTGGTCTCCCTGCTGCAGGTGATGGCCGCCTCTCTCCCCGTGGGCACAGACCTCCAGTCCGAGCTGCAGCGGTGGAAACGTTTGGCCCAGAACAAAACTGAGGATCTGCAGACGTTCAGACTGGAGCTGGACTCGATCCTGGACATCATAAGACACCTGCAGAGACAAGGGGTCCTCCTCTCCGCTCCGGGTCCACGGCCACAGACCACACAGGCCATCTGAACTCACACCACTACAGGCTGGCTAATCAGAAAACATGTGATCTCTTGTGTGAGAAAGAGCCCGGTGAGTCACTATTGGACTCTTTGGGTTGAGAGCTGATTGGCCGAGTGAGGGTGATTCCTAAAGAAAACTGTTTTAGAGCCAGGAAATAGTGACAGAGCGTTCATTGTTGTGGTCTGAAAGTTGGGTACCCCAGCTTTAAAGACATTATTTATTTATTTAAACTCTTCCTCCGGCTCTGAGGAGAAAGATCATGTTCAAAGTGTTCTGTTGACTTAAACCACCAGGTGTCAGTACAGAGTCAGGTGAGACTTTGCCCCGTTCCAAACACAGACAAAACCTTTTCTCAGGGTCTGAAGAAACTTGTGAATAATTAATTTTATGCCTTTTTGTTTGTTTTGATATTTTTATATAAAATGTCAGTTCAATAAATGTGTCAAAAGTGTGTTTACTTTTTTCATTATTATTATTAGTTTAGACTTTAGACTTATCTGAAAGTTTCCATTTGAAAACCCTTAAAGATTCTTCCATTGTTGAAGATGTAGTTAGTGCATGAATATTGAAAAAAAACTAATCCTTTTTAACTGTGTTCCAGCATCAGACCTGCAGTTGCTTTTAGCTCCTGCCGTGAGGTCAAACAGGTGCTCTCTCAGAACGCTCTGCTGAAGCTGTTTGATCTGTGACGTCATAGACAGCGATGGACTGCTGTGGAGACTAGTGAGGCGTAGGGGGCGCTGTGGAGCTGCACAGACAGAAGTGAAGTCTTTCTGTTGCTGCAAACTGATTTGTGGAGCTGCAGGATTGTGATATTTCTGACCAACATGTGATTGTGATGTCATCGTCAAAGTCGTTTTGCTGAGAGTGAAAAAAAACAGTTCTAAAACGACATAGGAAGCCATTACCTCAGAGACCGGAGAGGGTGAGATAGATCAGAAAGATATATCAGAGAGAGAGAGAGGGAGGTGCATCAAATAAATAAAAATAAAATAACGCTCGCACCCATACACACCTCTGCGCACACACACACACACACACACACACATAGTATCTTGTCTGTCTTATTGTATCTGTATTTGTACATTCGCAGTGGACCGGAGAGAGAGAATATAAGACCAGAGAGAGATACAAGAGAGTGAGAGAGAACAGAGAAAGAGACCAGAGAAAGAGAGAGAGAGGGAACACAGAGACCATAAACAAATCTTCAAAGCATAAACTCAAATCACAAGACATTCTCAAACATTTTAGTGATTTTTTGAGAAATTAAATAATTGCAGTCTGCGATTTACTATCAGCGAACACAAAAATAACGATTCTATTGCCATTAATTGTTTAACCCTAGACTGCAGTAGAGTGGAGTGGGCGGAGTCTGGAGAGTTGTGGGCGGAGTTTAGAGGTGATAGAAAGAGCTTTGATGAGGAGGAGGCACAGTACATGACCTGATGGAGCGCTCCCTGCCCCTGCTGCTCCTGCTGCTCCTGCTGCTGGCACGTGAGTTAAAGCTGCGGTACCCACATTTTGAGTAAGAAAGAGCCCTGTGACTGGCTGTTTGACTCTTTGGGCTGAGAGCTGATTGGCTGAGTGAGATTCGTCCTTTCTTTCTCACTTTTCTGACTGAAAAAACAGAGGCCAAGCATGTGAAAAGTAGTGATAGAAGAAAAATGTTTTTGGGCCAGGAACTAGTGACATGGATTGTGTTTCAGAGTTACATTTTCTGTGGTGTGAAAGTTACGAATACCAGCTTTAACTCTGGCCTGAATGTGTTGAACTTAAAGCTAAGCAAGGAAAAAGTGCTGGTGTTTATTCAGTCATGTCATGTCATCTTTATTTATATACCGCCTTTTCACTGCACATCGGAGTCTCAAAGCGGTTTACAATTGTTATTTTTTTTTGGGAGTGGGGGTCGCCAGTACAGGAAGCGCATGCCAGACCTATTGTACATATTTTTAGTGGTAGGGGAAACCAGAGCACCCGGAGGAAACCTACGCAGACACGGGGAGAACATGCAAACTCCACTCAGAAAGGCCCTGGTCCAACCGGGATTCGAACCCAGGACCTTCTTGCTGAGAGGCGAGAGTGCTATCCACTCAGCCACCGTGCTCCCAAATGTTTCTGAAACATTAATTAATTATTTTTTTATTAATATTCTGTGTAGTAAAATAAATAGATAAATAAATAGGACCTTGACAACAAACAAAGAAAAAAAAAAGAAAAAATATAACAAACTACAGGCATGGCATGTTCTGATTATGATTTATGAAGAAATCATCCATGTAATTCGTTCTAAATATGAAACCCAAAACACACAGTCTGGTCGGTCCAACAATCCTTAATGGTTGTGATAAACTTGATCAGTTGTTTGCATCACAAAAAGGCCTGTTTTAAACAAAGCTATAATGTTGGATTAAAAAAACATTTGGTATAACAAGGTATAACAAAGCTGTTTAATTTAACTCATAATTTTATTCTCTAATAAATAATCAAGCAGAAAATAATTAGTTGACTATAATTAACTATTGTAAAAATCAATTCAAATTGATCAATTACGTTGATCCAGTTTTGGTTCTGTTTTGGTTCATTCCAAATAGAACTCATTTTGAACTCTAATGAATTTAGAACTCTAATTTTGTTCTCAAAAATCTTCCAGAAAATCGTATCCAACTTGTTTAGATAAAAGTATTCCTTTAGTGCATTTAAATATAAATAATAAGAACATCCATCCATCCATTTTCTACCCTTTAATCCATTTCTGGGTCAGGGGGGTGGCAGTCAGAGATGCCACCCAAGTCTCATAGCACCAGCCCCTCACTGACCCTCTGCAGGTGGTGAGTCCACAGGAGGACGGCTGCTCTCTGAGTGTGAGCATAGCCTTGATCTTTCAGTGGGGGCTTTGGGCAAAGTGGGGTTAAGTGTCTTGCCCAAGGACACAACGACAGCAGTCATCAGTGGAGAGAAGGTGCAGAGGTGGGAATTGAACCCGCGACCTTCTGGCCTTAAGGCCAATGCTCTACCAACTGAGCTACTGTCGCCCCAGCCACAGATAATAAGAACAAAGTAAAATAAAAAATAATAAAGTTGAAAATATGAGCTTAAAACTGACTGATTGGCTCAGAGAACAGACCATAAAGCAGCTCTGCTTGTGTCTCTCTATAAACTCTAAATGTACATCTGAGACATGTTAGTGCCATATGAACTCTGAAGAGCACAGGGACTGATCTCCTCCCTAAACATGGGGAGGCAGCTTTTCAGATTTATGCAGCTAAAATCTGGAACAGTCTTCCTGAAAATGTGAGACAGGCTTCCACTCTGACAATGTTCAAATCTAGGTTAAGAACAGTTCTGCATTGACTGCCAGCCATTTTTGATGATTTCACTAATTTTCAAGGCTCACAGAATATTGTGTGCAATGACTGAAAAATATGACACCAGAGTCTGAAAGACAGGACTGTCACTTTCAGCGGCAAAAATAAGTTTGTTCTTAGCTTGTTTCGTTCTCCTGTAATCTCCGGTCGAAAAGAGGTGTTTGTGAAAACTGACGAAAGAAAAAGTGGCCGGTATTCATCCATAGGTGGTGCTATTTCAATAACAGTAAATCAGAGATAAGCAAAATTACAATGATAAACACTATCATTTAAAATAAATCAAAGTGAACAGACAATATACTTATACTATAAGTGAAATAGAATACTGTTGTGTGACTTTTTTGCCGCTGGCTCCTGGTGTGGACTCATTGATAGTTATAGCGATAGTCCACTTTTTATGTAGCTTTTTTGGGGTGCACTGGTGGTCTGCTGCCCTGACCCTCCACATGGTCTGTTGCTCTGACCCTCCACATGGTCTGCTGCCCTGACCCTCCACATGGTCTGTTGCTCTGACCCTCCACATGGTCTGCTGCCCTGACCCTCCACATGGTCTGTTGCTCTGACCCTCCACATGGTCTGTGTCAGCTCTGGAGACACATTTACTGCTCAAACTGCCTACAAATGTAGCCTGACCCTGACTATATTACTCCATGCCTGCTTCACCTCTGTCTCTCCTGCTCAGAGTGCTCAGGCAGTGATCTTTGACCAAGACACCCACAGAGCTCTGCTGCCACCTGCTGGCTTAATAAAAATACTGTCTACAGCCAAACCCCAGACATATATGATACACAGACACAGACGGACAGGAAAAGAATGAAAAACGATGTTGACGTCAATTGACGTCTTATTACATCAATGCGTTCTGCAACAATTGAAGGATTTTATCTTTATTCTTTTTAATGTATTGTGATTATTGTTTCTTGTTTTTCAACACTTCTGCTTGTGTCCAGGTGGTGGCGCTGCAGAGCGGCTGGAGGCTCTGGTTCCTGGAGATATTCTGATTGGAGCCCTGTTCGCTCTTCATGAAGACGTGAGCAGAGACGACAGCTTCTCTCCCCACGTGCCCCAGTGTGTCAGGTACAGTGTGTCAGGTACAGTCAGGTACGGTCGGGTAGAGTGTGTATAGAGTGTGTAAGGTACAGTGTGTCGGGTACAGTGTGTCGGGTACAGTGTGTCGGGTACAGTGTATGTCAGGTACAGTGTGTCGGGTACAGTGTGTGTCAGGTACAGTGTGTGTCAGGTACAGAGTGTCGGGTACATTGTGTCGGGTACAGTGTGTCAGGTACAGTGTGTCGGGTACAGTGTGTCGGGTACAGTGTGTCGGGTACAGTGTGTCGGGTACAATGTGTCAGGTACAGTGTGTCGGGTACAGTGTGTCGGGTACAGTGTGTCGGGTGCAGTGTGTCGGGTACAGTGTGTCGGGTACAGTGTGTCTGGTACAGTGTGTCGGGTACAGTGTGTCGGGTACAGTGTGTCTGGTACAGTGTGTCGGGTACAGTGTATGTCAGGTACAGTGTGTCGGGTACAGTGTGTCGGGTACAGTGTGTGTCAGGTACAGTGTGTGTCAGGTACAGTGTGTCGGGTACAGTGTGTCAGGTACAGTGTGTCGGGTACAGTGTGTCAGGTACAGTGTGTCGGGTACAGTGTGTCGGGTACAGTGTGTCGGGTACAGTGTGTCGGGTACAGTGTGTCAGGTACAGTGTGTCGGGTACAGTGTGTCGGGTACAGTGTGTCGGGTACAGTGTGTCGGGTACAGTGTGTCTGGTACAGTGTGTCGGGTACAGCGTGTTGGGTACAGTGTGTCTGGTACAGTGTGTCGGGTACAGTGTATGTCAGGTACAGTGTGTGATGTCGGGTACAGTGTGTCAGGTACAGTGTGTGTCAGGTACAGTGTGTGTCAGGTACAGTGTGTCAGGTACAGTGTGTCGGGTACAGTGTGTCGGGTACAGTGTGTCGGGTACAGTGTGTCGGGTACAGTGTGTCGGGTACAGTGTGTCGGGTACAGTGTGTCAGGTACAGTGTGTCGGGTACAGTGTGTCGGGTACAGTGTGCCGGGTAAAATGTGCCAGGTACAGTGTGTGTCGGGTACAGTGTGTCGGGTACAGTGTGTCGGGTACAGTGTGTCGGGTACAGTGTGTGTCAGGTACAGTGTGTCGGGTACTGTTTGTCAGGTACAGTGTGTCAGGTACAGTGTGTCAGGTACAGTGTGTCAGGTACAGTGTGTCAAGTACAGTGTGTCAGGTACAGTGTGTGTCAGGTACAGTGTGTCAGGTACAGTGTGTCGGGTACAGTGTGTCGGGTACAGTGTGTCAGGTACAGTGTGTCAGGTACAGTATGTGTTGGGTACAGTGTGTCAGGTACAGTGTGTCAGGCACAGTATGTGTCAGGTACAGTGTGTGTAAGGTACAGTGTGTTGGGTACAGTGTGTCGGGTACAGTGTGTCAGGTACAGTATGTGTCAGGTACAGTGTGTCAGGTACAGTCTGTCGGGTACAGTGTGTCAGGTACAGCGTGTCAGGTACAGTCGGTACAGTCGGGTACAGTGTGTCAGGTACAGTGTGTTGGGTACAGTGTCAGGTACAGTGTGTCGGGTACAGTGTGTCAGGTACAGTGTGTCGGGTATATGTCGGGTACAGTGCGTCAGGTACAGTGTGTCAGGTACAGTGTGTCAGGTACAGTGTGTCGGGTACAGTGTGTCAGGTACAGTATGTGTCAGGTACAGTGTGTCGGGTACAGTATGGGTCAGGTACAGTGTGTCAGGTACAGTATGTGTCAGGTACAGTGTGTGTCGGGTACAGTGTGTGTCGGGTACAGTGTGTCAGGTACAGTGTGTCGGGTACAGTGTGTCGGGTACAGTGTGTCGGGTACAGTGTGTCGGGTAAAATGTGTCAGGTACAGTGTGTGTCGGGTACAGTGTGTCGGGTACAGTGTGTTGGGTACAGTGTGTCAGGTACAGTGTGTCAGGTACAGTGTGTCGGGTACAGTGTGTGTCGGGTACAGTGTGTCGGGTACAGTTTGTCAGGTACAGTGTGTCAGGTACAGTGTGTCAGGTACAGTGTGTGTCAGGTACAGTGTGTCAGGTACAGTGTGTCAGGTACAGTGTGTCGGGTACAGTGTGTCAGGTACAGTGTGTCAGGTACAGTGTGTTGGGTACAGTGTGTCCGGTACAGTGTGTCAGGTACAGTGTGTGTCAGGTACAGTGTGTCTCAGGTACAGTGTGTCTCAGGTACAGTATGTCGGGTACAGTGTGTCAGGTACAGTGTGTCGGGTACAGTGTGTCAGGTACAGTGTGTCGGGTACAGTATGTCGGGTACAGTGTGTCGGGTACAGTGTGTCGGGTACAGTGTGTCAAGTACAGTGTGTCAGGTACAGTGTGTCGGGTACAGTGTGTCCGGTACAGTGTGTCAGGTACAGTGTGTCGGGTACAGTGTGTCAGGTACAGTGTGTCGGGTACAGTGTGTCCGGTACAGTGTGTCAGGTACAGTGTGTCAGGTACAGTGTGTCGGGTACAGTGTGTCAGGTACAGTGTGTCGGGTAGAGTGTGTCAGGTACAGTGTGTCAGGTACAGTGTGTCGGGTAGAGTGTGTCAAGTACAGTGTGTGTCAGGTACAGTGTGTCAGGTACAGTGTGTTGGGTAGAGTGTGTCAGGTACAGTGTGTCAGGTACAGTGTGTCGGGTACAGTGTGTCAGGTACAGTGTGTCGGGTAGAGTGTGTCAGGTACAGTGTGTCAGGTACAGTGTGTCGGGTAGAGTGTGTCAGGTACAGTGTGTGTCAGGTACAGTGTGTCAGGTACAGTGTGTCGGGTAGAGTGTGTCAGGTACAGTGTGTCGATTACAGTGTGGCTCAACTTCAAGGGAAAGCTTTGAGTTTTCCGGCTTTTCACCACAGGGGAGACGCGAAAATAAAAGGGTCAAAACAAACTTTCCACTTTCAAAATTGGTCTTATAAAGTCACAGCACAGTGGGCCCAGGACCAGAGAGAGTAACCAGAGAGAGACCTGAGGGAGGGGCCAGAGAGAGACCTGAGAGAAGGACCAGAGAGAGAGAGACCAGAATGAGAAACCTGAGAAAGACCAGAGAGAGACCAGAGTTGTCTTCAGAACTAATAACCGCTTCTGTCAGTGTGCCCCAGGGCAGCTGTGGCTACAGTAGTAGTTTATCACCACCGTGTATGGAGTGAAAGAATAATGACATGTAAAGCGTCTTTGAGTGTCCAAAAAAGCGCTATATAAAACCGATGCATTATTATTATTATTATTATTAACACGGTGCACAAAGAGACTTGAGTTTTCTTCTGACTTAAAAAAAAAAGAGACTAGCATCTTATGACGTTGTAGATAATGTTGGAGTATATATAGTTTTAGAGCCTTTTTCACCTGAACCACGTGAAAGCAGCAGTCAAGAAAGTACTTGCTTTTCTTCTGTCTGAATTATTCTCTCTCAAACATGGTCCACTATAACAATGAATCCAGACACCAGTACGTCACGTCCAGAGCTGTTTTATCCTTTGAAAAGCTAAGTTGCTAATGGCTCAGGTGAAATTACATTCTTTTCAATCGCGTCCCGCATTCGCAGAAGGTACTGTTTGAACGCACATGTTTATACGTTTCCCACTCCAGAAGTGATTCCACAAACTGTGTGTCACTTGGTCTTCAGCCCAGAGCAGGGCGGCAGGTTGCAGCTTGAAGGCAGAATTTACAACAATGAAAAACTAAAAATACTTGAGACGTCACTGGATCCTGAACTGCACATGTCCCGAGGAGACGCAGCCAGTTTCTGTTTCCAGGGATCAAGACCGGAGTAAAAACAGGATTTAAAGGATCTCCTCACCAACATTGACACTCCACTGTCTCTGCTTCAGTCGTGTGTTCAAGGTTTCTCTTTTTGTGGACACTTGACTGATGCTCTGCTGCTCTTCTAGACTTATTTTAATTTCCTGGTCTAATCATGGATCTATTATAACTTTTGACAGACTTAATCCGTGAGCACCTTGAACCAATCATGGCAGAAGGCACTACCACCAGATGGACGTGTTTCATTTCTGCTCTATTCTTGTTTACCCATTTGTTTTTTTATTCTGCTGATTTTTTTTTCACATTATAAAAATATGCAGAAGTGAAGAGTCTCAATATCTCTCAACAAAATACATACAGAGTCAATTTATTATTGTTTTCTCAGAGGACCTTAGGAAACTTTTAATTCGCCAACACAGATCACTTCAAACACAAGAAATGCAATGATAAAAAGCACATAGAGCCATTGGGCCATAATGGGCAGAGACTAATGTCCATAAATATTATTGAATGTGGAGTGTCCTGGATCATCACCACTGTCCGTAGACCCTCCTGCTTCGATTAGGAACAACTCTAACCCCAGTGGGGGAAAGTGAGAAATCTTGGTGAGGTCCACGTTGAGGGAGGGATCTGCTCCAACGAACGGACGGGCTGTAGATCCAGGACTTAGGCGGTAAAAGGTGGGCCAGGACTACAGGAGCTGGGACCTGGAGTGGATGAGCTGGAATGTTCCAACTCCTCCACTCTGGGAACCCTGCTGGCCTGCATCAAATCAACCCCCACAGTTTAAGTAAGTAAGTAAGTAATGTTTATTTATATAACGCATTTTACAGACCAAGGTCACCCAAAGCACTTTACAATATTCAGGGTTCAGATATTGTTCCAATCATTCCACACACGGTCATGATGGAAGCGAGTCGCCGAACACACTGGACCATCAGTCCCCAATCAACACCATCCATTTACTCTCTCATTTACATTCATACCTATTGTGCATGTTTTTAGTGGTAGGGGAAACAGGAGCACCCAGAGGAAACCTGCGCAGACAGATGTAAACTCCACTCAGAAAGGCCCTGTTCCGACCAGGATTCGAACCCAGGACCTTCTTGCTGAGAGGCGAGAGGTGCTATACACTCAGCCACCGTGCCCTTTAGATCGCTCCAAGGAAAGACAACAAAGAATATCCTCATTTTCAAAGTAAATTCTGTCCATTAAGACCGGAGGGTGTGTTCCAATTATCATGGGCTCACACTCCTCAGTCTCCCCCATGAGGTCTACTCCCGTTATCAGGAGAGGAGACTCCAACCAAAAGTCAAATCTGGAGCAGTGTGGACCAGCTCTATACTCTTCATTGGGTACTCCAGGGATTGTGGGAGTTTGCCTCAGTCCATGTGCTTTGTGGATCTGGAGAAGACGTAAAGGCAAAAAGGTAAAGGTGCACTTTATTTATCCCCGTGGGGCAATTCATCCTTTGCACTTGACCCATCCTGATGCCACTAAGGCTTAAGTCAGGAGCAGTAGTTGCTGTAGTTTGTTGTTGCTTGGCTTGGATTTTACCTAGTGTCCATGTTTTTAGTGGTAGGGGAAACCGGAGCACGCGGAGGAAACCTATGCATGCACAAGGGAACATGCAAACTCCACTCAGAAAGGCCCTGGACTGGACCGACTGGGATTCAAACCCCCAGGACCTTCTTGCTGAGTAGCAGTAGTTCTATCCACTCAGAGCCACCGTGCAACCCAACGTATGACCATGTTCCCAGGGGTGTCCTTCGGAGTGTCTGGGAGTACAGGGTCCGGGGAAATCAGTCAGAGCTAGTGTTGGGTTCACCTCCCATAGGGCTGCCCTTAGTCACCACTTCTGTTCAAGGGGTTCTGGACTTCTCCTTGCTCAAAAGATTCAGTCAATCTAACCAGACCTGTTTCCCGTTGCAGGCCTCTGGAGCGTGGTGTAATGCGGGCCTTGGCGATGGTTGACGCGGTGCAGAGGGTAAATTCTGCTCCTCTCATGACCGAAGCCAACCTCACCCTGGGCCTGTGGATCCAGGACTCCTGCTCTGATGTGGGGACTGCACTGAGAGCCACGGAGCAGTTCACCAGAGTGGAGAGCTGTGGCGAGGACACTGCTGATGCTGATGTGACTACTGCTACTGCTGCTACTACTGTGGAGGATACCACTACTGCTGCTACTAATACCACTGCTGCTACTACTGCCAATGCTGCTACCGCTACAACTGCTGCTACCGCTACTACTACTGCTACTGCTACTACTACTGCTACAGCTACTACTGCGGAGGAGGAGAATACGGCTACTGCTGCGGAAACTTCAACTCAAACAGGTGCTTAGAATTCTCCCAACATACTATTGCAAACATTGCTTCAGAGGTTGTAAATAGAAAGTTTATCAGTGGATTTTCACACAGACTGGTGCTCAGAGCTCTCATGCCTAATGGTCGGTACATATGTCGGTAAATATGTCCTCTGCATTTGACCCATCCTTCGATGCCACTTGGGTCTCTGCCAGATGTTGATGCTCTTGGTCAGGACCGAGGCTGGATGCAAACCTATGTTGAATGTTTGTGTGGTGGGGAAACCGGAGCACATGCAGGAAACGCACCCAGACACAGTGAGAAACATGCAGACCCTACACAGAAACGCTGAGATGAGATCCGACCCAGGACCTACTCGCTGTGAGGCCTGAGTGAGCACTGACTCAGCCATTGTGCCTGATGACGTTGTTCCAGTGGAGAAAATCTAGTACCACTTGTTGTGATGTTGTCCACAGAGGGGCGCCGTCCCATCATGGCGCTGATCGGAGCCACTCACTCAGAACTGTCCATCGCTGTGGCCCGACAGCTCGCGCTCCGGATGATCCCCCAGGTACCAACGCAAACACACTCTGTTTTTGAGTCTCTACACGGGGGTCTCCAACCTGTGACTCGGGGAGCCACCAGTAGCTCGCCACCCCCTTCCAAGTAGCTCTCTAAAGGATTTATAGTGTACGTAAATATTCTGAATATGTAAAAATGTAGGATTCACAAGCACTTAATTAAATGAAAACTAAAAATTTAAGAAATTACAAATAATGACTGTCGATAGTATAGTCCTTAGAACGTAGCTCTCTGAAAGTACCAACAAAAGATACCTCTACTGTTATAAGAACTCATTGCTACCCATATCTGAAATTTCTTTTCATACTAAGGTCTGGATTTGCTCCATTGAGCTCCGTTAACAAGTGGGAGGGGTTAAATCCTTTTGAAGATTCAAACGATTGAATCTGAATTTACCGTGACGTATGTAAAGCCCCAGTGAGTCGCTAGCATTTAGCATTTAGCTTAGCTTTAGCCATCTCCTTTGCCACTAATGGAGCCTGTGGGGAGTAGAGCCACAAAATCTTTGCCAGCAATGACATTTGCTAAACATTCCTCTTACCCATCCTAATCCTGTTAGATCTAAGTGCTGCCTTTGACACTGTCGACCATGAGATCCTCTTACAGAGACTAGAGGACTGGGTTGGTGTCGCTGGCACCGCCCTAAGGTTTAGGTCTTACCTTGAAGACAGGAAGTACTTTGTGGAGATTGGAAACTGTGTCTCAGATCATATGGCCCTGACCTGTGGAGTCCCACAGGGGTCGATCCTGGGACCTCTTCTGTTCAATCTCTACATGCTGCCGTTAGGTCAGTTAATACGCAGAAACGAAGTGTCCTATCATAACTATGCAGACGACACTCAGATCTACGTCTCACTGACTGCAGGAGAACATGGACCAGTGGACTCACTCCTTCACTGTATCCAACAGATCAGTGAGTGGATGCAAAACAACTTCCTTCAGCTAAACGCAGACAAAACTGAAATGATTGTCTTTGGTCATTGTCATCTGTTACCTAGAGTCTCTCTCCCTAAAACCTTAAAATCAGGTCATAAATCCAGAGGTAATACTGGACTAAGACTAAAATGTTAATAGCCACATTAAATCAGTAACATCAGCAGATTTTTACCATCTAAAAACATTGCCAGGATCAAAAACATAGTGTCTAAAGCAGACTTGGAGATTCTTATCCATGCATTTGTCTCCAGTAGGTTAGACTACTGCAATGGCCTGCTCACAGGTCTGTCCAAACAGGCTGTAAAACAGCTGCAGTACATTAAAAATGCAGCAGCTCGAGTCCTGACTAGAACCAGGAAGTACGACCACATTAGTCCAGTCCTCAGGTCTCTGCACTGGCTTCCTGTGGCTCAGAGAATAGACTTTAAAACAGCTCTGCTTGTGTACAAGTCTCTCCATGGCCTCGCACCAAAATATATTAGTGTCATGTTAGTCCCATATGAACCAGCCCGGACTCTGAGGAGCACAGGGACTGGACTCCTGTTAGTGCCCAGAGTCAGAACTAAACATGGGGAGGCTGCTTTTCAGATGCATGCTGCTAAAATCTGGAACAGTCTTCCTGAAGATGTGAGACAGGCCTCCTCTCTGACAATGTTTAAAACCAGGTTAAAGACAGTTCTGTTTAGCTGTGCATACAACTGAGGAATTTTATATTTCTATCTTTATTTTTAATGTACTGTGATTATTTATGATTTTAATGCTTTCTTATTTTGCGCTTTGAGTTGCCTTGTGTATGAATTGTGCTATACAAACAAACTTGGCTTGCCTTGCCTAAGGGATTACTTTACTATCGCATTCTCTGCCATTGCAAAACTACAACCAGCAAATTCAGCCCAAACTCTTCACATCTCTTGACACCTACCACACCCGCCTTCCCCGCTCACTGATTGGTCGGATGTGATAAAACCAAGGTAATTGCAGCCACTAGGATCAGACCCAGACGTACATGTAGGGAAACAATAATTGACAGGAGTTTATGGATGGCTAAGGCCAGGCCGGGAAAAAAAGAGACCAAAGACAGAGAAAGCAGAATGGATGGTTTAGGTCTGTGTTACTGTATTGTGTTCTACGCCTTTTCCATGCAGCAGCCTGTGAGTCCAAGATAAAAAAAATCCCAGGGCATAAGAAATCAATCTTGAATTTGAGGTATTTCATAGCTTCACTCTGTCCAAACCTCCTCTGCTGTCCAGATCAGCTACTCCTCCACTGCGGCCATTCTGAGCGACAAGTCCCGCTTCCCGACCTTCCTGCGGACCATCCCCAGCGATCAGCACCAGACGGGGGCTATGGTGCGGCTGCTGTCTGCGTACGACTGGAGCTGGGTGGGGCTGGTGACCTCGGATGGAGACTACGGGCGCTCGGCGCTGGACCTGCTCCTGTCGCAGAGCTCTGAGCGCAGCATTTGTGTGGCGTTCAGGGCCATGCTGTCGGCCAGTGATCGTAGCGTGAGTGCGCAGATCCGGGACGTGGCGCGCACCATCTACAGCAGCCCTAGAGTGCGGGTCATTGTATCCTTCGCCAGCCCCGCGCTCATGACGCAGTTGTGGGCCGAGCTCAAGGTGCGGCCCCTCACCTTTTTTCTTATACATTGAGCAAAACCTCAAAGCTATCATTCAATCAATTAATAACGTTTTATTCAGCAAGTGCTTTTCATGCAGAAACCCAACAGGCCCATCCCAAACCACATGGAGTATACACATATACACACACACACACATACTGTACTTATAAACACATAAGTACATCAATTATAAACATTTCTAATTAACTACCTATCAATAGTGCATATTGTTAACTCATCCAGGTTTGTTGTACAAAAACGTTCCGTTTGGCAGTGCAGTGATAAAAACCTGTTGCTTCGATTACTCCTCTGAGCGGCCATAGTGTCATGCAGAGGGTGTCTGGAGTTACCCAGGATGCCCTGCATTAGAGCCCTCATCCTTCTCTCCAGCACAGCTCCCACAGAGTCCACACTTTTCCCCATCACAGAAAACACACTTCCTGATCAGCTTGTCGAGCCGGTTACTGTCTCTCGAGGTCAGACTGCGGCCCCAACACGCAACCCCAAAGAACACGGCACTAGCTACCACACCCTGGTAAAAAATGAGCGACATCTCTGACTTCTCACATCAATGGACCTCAGTCTTCTCAGGAAGAAAAGTCTGCTCTGACCTTGGCCTGAGCTGACCAGTCCAGTCTGTGGTCCAGGTGGACTCCTAGGTATTTGTATGGCTGTACCAGATGGGTAAAATGGGTAAAACCTTGTCTTATTGCAGAGTGCCATTCAGTGAGAACACTCTGACCCAAATATAGTGGAAATGTAGATCAAATAAATTAAACCCGTTTTCCAAGCCGTTGCTCAGATGCAGATAATGGAACTACACAAAAGTCACACAAGGGGAAATACATAGTGTAACATTATGCAGGAGTATTAGTGATCAGGTTTGTGATTCTAATCCTGGCGTCTCTCACAGACGCAGGCGTTGGCCGCGGGGGACAGTGTGGACTCCGTGAGGCGAGTGTGGATCGCCAGTGACAGCTGGTCGTTCATGAGCCTGGAGAACGTGGAAGACATGGAGGGCATCGGACACGTCATCGGCTTTCACTTCAGGACCGTGACCTCGAGACTGTCTGGAAGGGAGGGGACCAGGGAGAGAGAGGTGGCTTGGGAGGGGGAAGGCTACAGCAGGCCTGAGCTGAAGGCGTTCTACCGCATGTTAAAAGCAGAACATGGTGAGACTACTTTGAGTGTTTACTATTGTTTACTCTTTGCTGCTAAAGTACAAACCAACCACTTCTAACTCTTGATGCTGCTAACGACAGTGTATACTCAAATGACTTATCCCTGAACCATGTGAAATTATAGCTCCAGAGTTTTCTATTAATAAATGTTCTTAAATAAAATCTTTAAGTCTCTTATCTTCTCCTTTTATTCTGCTGTAATGTGCAACTATGACAAATTTCCCCACTGAAGGATGAAAAAAAGTGTATCTTATCTTCTTAATTCCACTCTAGTGCTAAAGCACTGATGTGTGTTGGTCTTGGTGCAGGTGAAGATGTGGAGAAGCGGCTGAGTCCTGAGCTCCACACTGACACAGTCTTCAGTGTGCAGATGGCGGTTGTCGCCATCGCTCATGCCACGGTGGAAATGTGCAAAGATCACGACTGTAAAACCCCCGGGGCCGTGCAGCCGTGGCAGGTACACTCGTCTGAAGAGAAGGCAATGACCAATGGTCTCTCTGGTCTCAATGAGTACAATTTATATTCTGCACTGTAAAAAGGAAGTTATACATGTAGGTTTACAACAAATTTGTCAAATACTGTGTAATGTGCATAGAAATACATTCAGACTTCAAGACTTATTCATGCTTTAAAAAACATTTATCCCATAATTCCTGTATGTATGTAAGAGCATCTCATATTAAAAATGTATTGGCTTTGCGCAGCTGCTGAGGTCCCTGTGGATGGAGGAGTTTGAGATGGGGGGTGAGCGCTTCACCTTTGACCGAAGAGGAGACATAAACCTGGGCTATGACGTGAGCCTGTGGAGGGTGCAGTCTGGAGTTGTGCTCCGCGAGACCGTGCTGGAGTACCATCCTCAGAACAACAGCTTCACAAACAAACACACAAGAAACCCTCTTCACGCTCTCAGGGTACGGCACAAGGAATATGTCTTTATGATAACCACAAAGGCTTATCTGCACTGGAGGTCAGTCACACCTGGTTCTCCCCAGGGCTGCCCTTTGTCACATCTGTTCACTGTTGTCATGGACAAAATGTGTAGATGCAGCCAAAGGCCGGAGGGGACCTGGTTTGGGGACCACAGGACTTCATCGCTGCCATTTGTGGACGATGTTGTCTCATTGGCTTCAACAAACCAGGACCTCCAACCTGCACTGGGACGGGTTGACCAGGCTGTTATGGAAGTGAAAATCAGCTACTCCAAATCCTTAGCCAGTCTCTCTGGTCTTAATCTCAGTGAGGGAAGGAGGGTGCTTGACATTGACAGGCGGTCGATGCAGCGTCTGCAGCAGTAGTCCTGGGAAAGGACTGTGTCTCTCAGCTGGAACTCGGAGGGGAATAAGATAGCTTTTATTACAGACTCGTAGTCCAAAACACAAAAAATAGACAAAACACAACACACTAAAAACAGACAACATAAAACAATTAAAAGTCCCCAAATCTCTTTAGAGGAGGCATCTATACCAGTGTTTCCACAGTGCAGAGGTATAACGAACATCACTGTACGCTCTACTCGTCAACACTAAAATCATCATATTTACACTATTGTCCAGGCGACACATAAACTTGTACATTAGGTTCCTCAAGTTGGCCTGCAGTGAGTTCACTTGACAGGACACAAAAAGTTCAGAAGCGCTGCTCCATCTGGGCCTTTTTAGCAACAGTCTAAAGGCATCGTTGTAGGCCACTTTCAGTCTCTGTAGGCTGGACTTTTTATAGTTCACCCACAGATGAGCGGTGTAAAGCGGGGTGCAGTATGCCCGAAACAAAGCCACTTTTACTGCATTAGAACAGTGTCCAAATTTACGCAACAAAATATTAGCCTGGGCATACAGCATACGGCGCTGTCGATACATATCCTCGTCGTCTGACAGACGATCTGTCAGGCTATGACCAAGATATTTCACCGTGCTTTCAGTTTTTAGGATGTTTCCAGATAGCTTAAAGTCAGGAAACACCAGGGCTTGGTCCTCTTTGGTTCGACTGGTCATTATGACACTTTTCCTTTCATTATATTTGATATTGTTTTGTTCACCGTACGCCGAACACACATCAAGCAGCTGCTGGAGACCAGCTGAACTCGGACTGAAAATCACCAGGTCATCAGCATACATCAAGTGGTTGACGATGTTATCCCCAGCGACACACCCTGTTCTACACCAGTTTAATTCTTTAGAAAGGTCATTCATATAAAAATTAAATAAAATTGGAGACAGCAAACTCCCTTGTCTCACACCATTGCTGACCTGAAAGGGTGCAGATACACAGTTATCCCATTTGACCACCAGAGTCTGATGGGCATACCAGTAAGACAGGCAACGGACTACATATTTAGGAACATTGGCTTGACATAGTTTGTGAAACAATTTGGCATGGTTAACACGGTCAAACGCCTTGGAGGCATCTAAAAAATACATAAAAACAGTGGATTGTCTACTTTTATATTTACTTAACAATTCTTTTAAAGCATAAATACACATGTCAGTGCCATGATGGGCTTTGAAGCCAAATTGATTGTCCGTGGAGCCAATGTAAACACTGAGCCTGCTCACAAGGATTTGCTCAAATGTTTTTGACAGTATATTTGCCAGGGCGATTGGTCTGTAATTATCAGAGTTGCCCACTTTCCCCGTTTTGTCTTTTATCACAGGAACCAATAACACAGACATCATTGAGTCTGGGATAAAACCATGTACAACAAAGGTAGAGAAGCATATGGCCAGAAGAGGGGCCAGCCTCATACTGGCATATTTACGATGCTCAGCACATATATGATCCATTCCTGTGGATTTATTATTTGATAGCATATTAATAGCTTGTTGTACCTCATGCACTTTAATTGAATCCACAAAGTCAACATTGTTGACAGTGTACGGTTCACTCGAGACACAGTTAAACAGTTTAAAATAATGTTTTCTCCACAGTTCTACAATAGAGTGGGACCCAGTGACTCCATCTACAGTGTGAGGTAGACAGGGTTTGCTATTATTTATACCCTTAACCTGCTTCCAGAAGGCCTTGGTGTCATTATTTAAAAGCTTATTGGCCATGGAGTCAGCCCGTATTGTTTCCTCATTTTTACATAGGAATCGAATGGCGTACTTATATTGTGCATTTGTATGTTTTTTATGCTCAAACAAAGGTCCCTGTCTGGGTTTTCCTGCAGTCGCCCAGGCCTTACAAGCGTCACGGGCTTCAGCATGGGAAGTAGCCACATGAGAGTTCCAACCAGGTCTTATTTGGCCTTTCTTTCTGTATTTACAAAAAGGCGCACTAGATTCAATTAATGCAGAAGAAATGTCGGAGTACAGAACAGAAATAGATGTCCTGTGACCAGCATCTGTACAATTGTAATCAGAGCACATAACTGTTCCTTTTGGCAGCGCAATATTATTTAGCAACATGTCAGTGTGAGCACAATAACAGGCAAGCTCTTCTGAAGAGAGAGCAGACCAGTCCAGGTGTTTACTTTCAATATGTTTAACTTCCTGCATGGTGGGTATTATGCCAAATCTGATGACCATTGATACAGGGATATGATCTGCACTGGACATTTCATACAAGATGCTCATGGCCGACAGAGCAGCATGAGCATCCTCTGTAGTGATGCAGTGGTCCAGCCACGACACAGTGTGCCAGGCTTCACTTATATAGGTGTAGCTTTGTTCCGGCAGGAGCTCCCTACTGGACAGTGTAAGATGATTATCTGCACAGAACATGTTTAAGTGGCTCACAAAAACAGAGTTCTTATCTAAGATATTTGCATTTAAATCACCAATGACATAAACACTGGAGGACTTTTCATTTTGCACAAAGGCACTAATAAAAGCAAGCTTACTTAGGTACTCCTCTTCATTCTGATTACATTCATAAGGAGCATATACATTTAATATCACAATATCCTTGTTGTGCTGTGACAATCGAATTGCGATGCACCAGTCCGCATTGAGCCTGATCACGTTTACAACTGAGTCTAGACTCTTTTTCCACAGAATAGCCACGCCCCCTGCTATTCTTCCTCTTCTGACCCCTAGGCTGAGGTCAGTAGTAGACTCGCCTGTACCAAGGAATCTCTCATTGATGGCGTTAATCCCTTTCAAATCCTGCTTTGCAAGGAACGTTTCTTGTAAGCACAAAATGTCACAATGGTCATCCAACAACTGATCGACAACAAAACGGCGAGCTTTATCATCCGCGCTCTGGCCCAGACGCAGGCCACGACAGTTGTATGATAGGACTTTGATTTCCATGGTGGTTTAATGAGAACTCGGCGCGCACATAGCTCCAGAAATGACAGCAGCAGCCTTGGCACCAGTGGCAACTTTACGCGGCTCATAATAACGCCTAACAAATGATCCCTCGGGCCACAGCTCGGGGTCATACATGTCATCTACTTCTTTGCATTCGGCAGTTACTTTGAACGACGCATATCTGTTGTTTGTGGTAACAATTCTGTTGCACGTCACTTCATGCCCAAGTCTGTCTCTGAGATACGTGCGTAAAGTTTCCGCTTCTAAGTCTGGCGAGAATTTTGAAGCAAAGACACTCACCAACTTAGTATTGATCATTTTGATGTTCCCGGCTGCTCCAGTGCCCACCACGGTCTTCCCACTTTTCCTCTGCCCAGCCCCGGATAGTAGTAGCCTGCTGCGGGACGCAGACTTAGCAGCAGCAGGCTCCCTTTGCTGACGTTGGCCCAGCTTCACAACTGTACTCCATTTCGGAGATCCAAGTGGAACGTGCGTTGTTTCCGCGCTGTTATCCGCTGGTGCTGGTCTTTCCTCGTTAGGCACTGACAGCCTCTCAGCACTGTTGTAATCCGCAGCCTCGATGTTGGAGTTTGTAGCCTCCACTACGCCCGGTTGCTTCGGCACTGAGGGCAGGCCGGCACTCTCACCATGGCCCGCGCGTAATTCCAGGGCGCACACCCGGTTGCTCACATTCAAAGTAATAGCACGGAGGCTTTCACTTGAGTCGGCTTGCAGGTTCAGTGCATGCTGCATGGCAGATATTTCGCCGTGGATGTGCTCCATTTTGCGCAGCAAGCCGCACACATCTATACTATTGAAAGTAATCGGAGGCAGTTCATCCAAGTAATGAGACACAAATCTTGGGATTTCGTCTCCACATTCATTCAACACTTTGAGGCATGCTTTAACGTTGTTCGCATCTTTATGTATTCCTTTATGGGAAACATTACGCTGCGTAGTAGCGCACAGCTCAAACAGTGACCTTTTGGATGTTTCTATCCACTCAGAATCAAATGTGTCGACAGCAAGCAGGACAATTTCATCCTGACTTAACGTCTTGAGCTTAATATAGAGGAAGTGTAGAAATTCATCTTCAACAATGATTTTACCATCAATGGTTCGGTAAATCTCAGGTTTTATTCGAACCTTGGGAGCTCCAGGCGTGTGTGTGAGCGTCCTGTCAGCCATCTTAAGGTTGATTGGAATGATTGGATATAACTGTAATCGTGTTTGTGTGTGTTTCTTCAGAGCGTAGTGTCCAGATGCTCCGACAGATGTGCTCCAGGTCAGTTTAAGAAATCAGCTGAAGGACAACACACCTGCTGCTACGAGTGCATCAACTGTACACAGAACTACTACTCCAACAGCACTGGTGAGAGAGGGGGAGAGAGAGAGCGGGGAGGTGTAACTGTATACAGAACTAAATCTACCCTGGGGCACTCTGACAGAAGTTGAGGAAACCCTCTGACCACCAATCACACATGAGACCCATTCTAATGTGGGTGAAGTGTCTTGCCTAAGGACACGTCAACAGTTTGGCAGTCTACAGCCGCAGCTGCCCCACTGTGGCATCTGGTGTGCACAGAGTTCTCCCGTCACGGTACTAACCAGGCCCTACCCTGCTTAGCTTCAGGGGTCTGACAAGATCTGGCTTTACATTTACTATTAAAAGAAAAAAAAAAATGTATTCATGATTTTAGAAGTTAGGGCTGAAAGATATTCTAAACATAAAGACAGATAATGCATCGTATTTGTTCTTTAAAGGATTCCTCTGTTGTTTCAGACATGGACCAGTGCTTGAGCTGCGACACCGACAGGGAGTGGTCACCAGAGGGCAGCGCAGACTGTGTCCCCAAACGTCCACTCTTCTTCTGCTGGGACAACGGTTTCGCCATCACGCTGGCTTCGCTCTCCGCGCTGGGGATCGTCCTTGCTCTGCTCATGTCCGCCCTCTTCTTCCGCCGCCGCCAAACACCGGTGGTGCGTGCCGCGGGAGGCCCACTGAGCCAGGTCATGCTGCACTCTCTGGTCGTTAGCTTCGTTAGCGTGTTGCTGTTCGTCGGACGCCCCAACAACCTCCAGTGCAAGGCTCGCCAAGTCCTCTTCGGCATCAGCTTCACCGTGTGCGTGGCGTGTGTGCTTGTCAAGACGCTGCAGATCCTGCTGGCGTTCCAATTCAACCCCACGCTGCAGGCCGCGCTGCGCAGACTCTACCGGCCGTACGCAGTGGTGAGCGCCTGCGTGGCCGTGCAAGCCGCCATGTGCATCATCTGGCTGGTCCTGAAGAGCCCGTCTGCGCACGTGCTGAACCAGAACACCACGCTGCTGCATGACTGCCACGAGGGCTCGTACCTGGCATTCGGCGCCATGCTGGGCTACATCGCGCTGCTCGCCCTCGTCTGCTTTGTGTGCGCGTTCAAGTGCCGCAAGTTGCCGCAGCAGTACAACGAGGCGCGCTTCATCACCTTCAGCATGCTGCTCTACCTGATGGCCTGGCTGCTGTTCGTGCCCATCTACGTCACCACCTCCGGAGTCTACCTGCCGGCCGTCGAAATGGTGGTGATCCTTATCTCCAACTACGGAATCCTGAGCTGCCACTTCTTCCCCAAGTGCTACGTGATGCTGTTTCGGAAGGACAAGAACACCCAGAGCGCGTTCCGGAAGACAATCTACGAGTATGCGAGTAAAAGTAAAAGTAAAAGTACTTTGTCCGCCTCGAGTTCAGAGAGTCCGGCGGACGCGGTCAGTTCGAATTCGACAAATGAAGAAGTGAAAGGTTCTCAAGATGTTGTTCTGAGCCAGGACTCGAAACAGAGGAGGTGTCTGCGGCGGAGCTCAAGTGTCTGAAGATAAATCACTTCTCTGGAACTATGGGAATTCGATTGGTTTTGTGCACTAAAAATGTGGTGTAAACAAATAGAACATAACATTAAAATAATATATTGTTTTCATCCTAATTCATGACAAATATATTCCTGTTTCATGCACTGACACTCATATTAGGTCCATTTTTAGTTTTTTTCACCCGCCTTTTTTATTTAGAGTGCTAATTTTGACACAATAAAAGCAAACTGGTTTATAAGCCGCTGTGCAGAGGTGGCTCATGGAAAAAGGTCCTATAATTACACACAAGTCACTCAAGGGACTTTTGTGTAGTGTGCCGTGGAGCTGTGTGTGGGTGAGTGAAGCTTTTACAGTCAGAGTTTAGGCTGTGCGCTTTCCTTTATAAAGTAAAAGTTCAAAAAAAATGTTGGAAATGGTCTATACTGCTCCACAAGGAGGAGAAACTTGCCGATGACTTTGAAATTTCCCCACTGTGGGATGAATACAGGTCTATCTGATCTTATTCTATTTTAATGAGATTCCCTCTGGTCCTGGGTGAACTGTGACTTTATAAAACTTAATTTAAAAGTCTTGTTTGGAACTTTTTATTTTGACACATTCCTGACAAAGAGTGCCTCAGGATTTCAGCGTAACACAAGTTTAAAAACAAAACATTTAGAGAAAAGGGGCGGTGGGATGTTCCTGATATTAGCATGGATGGAGTTGTAACATTTTTAGGTCTGATTTTGATGTGGAACAATGTTAAAATATAAAAATGTGAGTTGGAATAATACTTCTTTTAATTGATGGTTATACTGTATGTAGTGAGACTTTATTTCTTGGGTCCAGTTTGAGTCATAGATGAAAGACATGTTTGTTGCTGAAAGGGAAGTGATCCGTGTTGAAACCAGACTCTGGTTCTTTTGTCTCTGTGGCACAAGTGAAATCTGTGGAATGAAAGATGACGTCTGCTGTCACTGCCAGCTCAGGTTTTTAGTGTTTTGCTTAAGGACACAAGGACAAACCCAGCTGTCAGGGCAGAAACCAAACCCTTCACCCATAATGACAGTTGTAGAGTAGACATAAGGAAATTTGCACTAAATAAAACATTAAAGTATTATAATGGTTTTAATTGTTTTTACTCTCCTGCCTCATTACATTTGGTGTACTGCAAATATTGAATCCAGATAAGACACATTTTTGAAAGCAACCATCAAATAATCTAGACTAAAGACAGACGGTTGTCTTTGTTCTAACACACACAAGTGAGCAAGTAAGAAAAGTTTGTCTGTATAGCGCCTTCCATAGACCAGGACCATAAAGCGCTTCACATTTAAAAACAGATTCAGATTCAGATTCATTTTATTAGCCATGTGCAGTATAAAAACTACATTGGAATACATTTGCCAAAAAAAGGTACTCTGTGTGCGCCGACAGAATAAAAAGCACGATACAATGTAATATAAAATACACATACACTGAATATAAAAGAATAAAAAAACAGCTGACTGATACAGATAAAAATGAGACACTTGAAACTGTTCTTGGCTTCATCTCCACTAATATCAAACGGAAAATCAAAATTGAATTCTGCATACTTTTCATCAGTCTCAGACCTGGAGTTGTACCAAAAACATGTAGCTCCACCTTTTTTCTCTAAAAGATCCTGTCTCAGTTTTGTAGTATGATATCACTATGACATCACACCTTGTTTTTGCAAGTAATATCCCATTATTTACATAATATGTCTGTTTGCAGCTTGTAGTTTTCAAATTTGGAAAACAATAAATTACCCTTTGCCCTCTGGTGGCAGCGTAGGGAGTTACAGGCGCAAAGCATATTTTACCCTTTATACCGGATTTCTACAAAAGATATCATTTAAAATTCGAAAACGCGCTATGGTCAAAAACAATGCATGATATTTTTTAACACATTTTCTGGGGAAAACTGGCGCTTCCAAATGAAAGACCTAGAAACATAGAAACCTACAAAACCTAGATGTTTTTTGTACATATCTTTTTACATATCATCCATTTCTTTAAGTACTCAAAACAATAGAAAAATTGGACTTAGTAATTGTATCTCAAAAGCCCCAGGTCAGATAAAAAAGCACTCAAACTGTTCAAACCCAATTAATAAAAGCAAAAAGAACATCCAAAACCAACTTCTTAGTGCGTTTATAAGTTTGATGAATGTTTTTCCGTTTACTCACTCATTAAAGTTCCTTGTATGATTCAGCAGCATTTCTCAGGAATTTTTGCACCCATGGAAAAATGACTGTTCCTTGAGTTGCACCTGTAAAAACAATCGATTAAAGAATGTCACTTGCGCCTAAAACTGGAGAAGGTAATGTTGTGAAATATGGGCTTTTGTCTGAACAATAGAGTGTCTGTTATAGCGCAGAAATCCCCCAAACCCGTCCGACTGGATGCTCAGACTCTGAATGAAGACGGAAACAGCTTTATGCTCATCATCTCTTATTATAAAATATTGAAAGCATGTAAGGCAAGGCAAGGCAAGGCAAGTTTATTTGTATAGCACAATTCATACACAAGGCAACTCAAAGTGCTGAACAAGATAGAAATTAAAATCATAAATAATCACAGAACATTAAAAAGAAAGATAAAAATATAAAATCCCTCAGTTGTATGCACAGCTAAACAGCACCATTTTGAACCTGGTTTTAAACATTGTCAGAGAGGAGGCCTGTCTCACATCTTCAGGAAGATTGTTCCAGATTTTAGCAGCATGAATCTGAAAAGCAGCCTCCCCATGTTTAGTTCTGACTCTGGGCACTAACAGGAGTCCAGTCCCTGTGCTCCTCAGAGTCCGGGCTGGTTCATATGGGACTAACATGTCACTAATATATTTTGGTGCGAGGCCATGGAGAGACTTGTAACAAGCAGAGCTGTTTTAAAGTCTATTCTCTGAGCCACAGGAAGCCAGTGCAGAGACCTGAGAACTGGACTAATGTGGTCGTACTTCCTGGTTCTAGTCAGGACTAATGTGGTCGTACTTCCTGGTTCTAGTCAGGACTAATGTGGTCGTACTTCCTGGTTCTAGTCAGGACTCGAGCTGCTGCATTTTTAATGTACTGCAGCTGTTTTACAGCCTGTTTGGACAGACCTGTGAGCAGGCCATTGCAGTAGTCTAACCTACTGGAGACAAATGCATGGATAAGAATCTCCAGGTCTGCTTTAGACACTATGTTTTTGATCCTGGCAATGTTTTTTAGATGGTAAAAAGCTGCTGATGTTACTGATTTGATGTGGCTATTAAAATTTAAGTCTGAGTCCATTATTACCCCTAGATTTCTGACCTTGTTTGAAGGTTTTAGGGAGAGAGACTGTAGGTGACAGATGACGCTCTCTCTTTGTCTCTGGGGACCAAAGACAATAATTTCAGTTTTGTCTGCGTTTAGCTGAAGGAAGTTGTTTTGCATCCACTCACTGATCTGTTGGATACAGTGAAGGAGTGAGTCCACTGGTCCATGTTCTCCTGCAGTCAGTGAGACATAGATCTGAGTGTCGTCTGCATAGTTATGATAGGACACTTTGTTTCTGCGTATTAACTGACCTAACGGCAGCATGTAGAGATTGAACAGAAGAGGTCCCAGGATCGACCCCTGTGGGACTCCACAGGTCAGGGCCATATGATCTGAGACACAGTTTCCAATCTCCACAAAGTACTTCCTGTCTTCAAGGTAAGACCCAAACCAACTTAGGGCGGTGCCAGCGACTCCAACCCAGTCCTCTAATCTCTGTAAGAGGATCTCATGGTCGACGGTGTCAAAGGCAGCACTCAGATCTAACAAGATTAAGATTGAGACTTTGCCTGCGTCAGTGTTCAGCCGGATATCATTTGTAACCTTGACGAGAGCAGTCTCAGTGCTGTGGTGGGGTCTAAAGCCGGACTGAAACATATCAAATGAGTTGTTGATTATAAGAAATCTATTTAGCTGTTGGTAGACAACTTTTTCAAGGACTTTCTCCATAAATGGCAGATTTGAGCTGGGACGATAGTTATTAAGTACCGTAGCATCCAGACTGCTCTTTTTTAGCAGGGGCCTGATGTACAGGGGCCTGATGTACAGGGGCCTGATGTACAGTGGCTTTCAAACGTGCTGTAAAAGTGCAGAGTCATCCTGGGGCGTGTAGCTGCATTTCGGATCAGTGCTCTCTCCTTGTCCGGCCTGTTTAGATGGACGGCCATGTCTTGGTAGATTTACTCTTTCCATTGGGAAGAAAAAATATAGGCTCAGACCTCTCCTGTCTCAGTATAAAACGGACCACTCTTGTCTCAGTACATGCAGACCTACAGTATATTGTCTCATGCAGACCTCTCTTGTCTCAGTATGCAAGCCCACCTGTGCTTGTATGGGACCTGAATCTTTTGGTCCATCATCAAGCCCCGGCGATTCAAGATGGCGCCCTATTCAAATGAATGGTTGTGCTCAGTGGCGCTTTGTGACGGCATGGGGGCTGAAAAGATTAGCGGAAGTCGCCTGAAACTCGCAAAGATCTATGGGAAACTCGCAAAGATCTATGGGAAACTCGCAAAGATCTATGGGAAACTCGCCTGTATTTGGGCATCGTCTGGTCCTCCCGGTTCTGTGCAGTGGATGATCTCCCATAATGCGTTGCGTCAAACACGCGTGTGTGGGTCTCACACCGGGTCTCACGCACGTGCACAGAGGGGCTCGGCCGCGCTCTGACCAATCAGAGCAGTTCATCAGAGCGGGAGTTAGAGCGAGAGCCAGACGAGCAGAGTTTGTGGCACTAAAGTGTGGATTTAAACAAAACCGAAGGATTTAAGAAGAAAAAAAGTTCAGGATGACGAGGGACATTAAAATCCCCACAAAATACTATCTTTATTAAAACTGCAGGTTCTCTGTCAGCTGAGGTCGAGCTGTTTTAATATGCATTGAGTTCTATGGGGAAAATTTTTGGGTAGCCCACGTGAATTAAGTCTGGTTCAGTCTGCAGTACCGCGAGAATCCCCCGAGCACATGAGTTATTCAGCTACAAGCTAGTAATACCCTATCCAGTTAATATAATAGATCCATGTCCATCATTAAAGTGGTTCTCACCCCCGCTCCTCGGAGCTTACGTCACTCACATTTCCTGTTCAAATCTTCCTCTAAATGGGCGTAGCCTGGAGGACTGAAGGGGGCGTGAACGAGACTGGGCCGTTTACATTGCTCTGGGCGGGGGGCTGCTGACGTCAGGTCCAACTTGCTGACGTCAGGTCTTGCTGCCGCGCCAGTGTTGGCGCCAGATTCAAAATTCAAATGTAGTAATACAGGTTGCCAGCAGATGGCGCCTCACAGACGGTTTTAGGCAGAAAGTCTAACTTTCAACTAATTTGCACCAAAGTGACAAGTTTATGACCAGGATAGGTAGACAACACTATTGGACACTCATTTATACCGTTTATCAGAAAAAAAAGTGGATTTGAGGGTGAGTTGTCCTTTAATAACAGTGTTCAACCATCTTGGTTTGGCCTCCATTTGAAGAGCAGGCGGGTGGCGCCCTCTGCTGGAACCCACTGCACACCACGCTGTAAGAAAAGCGACTGAAGTTGAAAGAGAAAGTAAAGAAGACGAGTTCAGGACGACACTGATGCAATAAATATGTTTGTATTCATGTTAAATAAAGGTCAATTGAAAATACATTTAATATGTTTCTCATATGTTTTTGTCAAAATAGTTGTGGCCACTAATCTTTATGAGCTGTTTGTACTACTTTGGCATGACGCTGGTTTGAAGTATTGATGTTAAGCACTGATTACTAAACCAGGTAAAATGACTCAGAGGGGCGGGGTCTATTTTCCACATTTGGCCTAATCAAAAATACAAATCATTTGTTGTTTGTGGCTGTGCGAGTTCCTCTGACCTGAGACTGTGAGAGTGAATACTTACTGTCCTATTACGTTACCATTTTATTTTGCACAATTTTGAAATGAAGAAGAATTGTAATGAGAGAGAGAAGAAGGGGGGTAAAATACTTAAAAGTAATCACTATATACTTCATTTTTCATTATTTTATTTAATTTTTTTATATTATTGAGTTTATAGCTTTAAGTATTTATTTTGTAAGCCTGGTGGTCCATTAATGACAAAACAAATATATTGTGTTGATTAAAAACAAATGTATGTGGCGAAGCAGTGACGCTACCCAGAATGCATTGCAGAGAAAAACAAACTTCTGAAAAATTCTACATTTGAGCATTAATTTTGAGAGTGAATATGAAGGAAGTCCTGAAGCAAAATACTTGAGCAACATTTTGAATAAACTAATTTGACCAATTAAATCATTGTATTTGTTTTTACCAACCATAATCGACAGGGCCAAGCCAAAGTACCCGTATACTGCCTGAGTCATCTGTAGGGAGTGTTCAGATATATGCCAAAAGTCAGTTTAATTCCATACAGTTTATGATTGACACCCGAGTTGAGATGAAATCATTATTCTTTCTAAATCTGAGAGTTCTTGAATTGAGGACCTTAACACTAATATATGATTATACATGTGATATATCTGATGTTTAAATTTAATCCTTAGAAGTGTTTTTTATGGTGATGGCAATGTGAAGCCCCATGATGCATTGAAGGTTTGCAGCCTACTCGGCCCAGGTCACCAGGGGGCCGCGGACCCCACTTTGGGAGACACTAATATACGGAATCGGGACGGAAGTGGCCCATGGTTCGAAGGCTCGAGGTGATTCATGCTCCACTACGCCATCATGTGGACAAAAAAATACATAACACTCTCAAGTGCTTACAATGTATGGTGGGTCTAATATCAAAATGTATATTTAAAATCTATGTTCTAACATGTTGTGTTTGAAATGATGCTTCATGAACTATGAACTATTCGAGTCTTTCAGTCAATTTTGTTGATACAACAAACACATCCAAAGCAATACAGTTCTACAGAAAGTGATTAATTGAGGAAAAACTACCAAGAGGTGGATTAAACACAACAAACCATTTATTCCTAAAAAATAAATATATTTACTTTACAAACACAAAAGTAATTGTGAGTAGCACGGGATTTGACCCATGTATCTTCTACATCGAGGTCCAGCACATATCGACAGCGCCAGGCAACAGTTATAAGACGCGAACCAGCGTATTATTACTACTAACTTAAACTAAAGTAAACCATCGTGACATTAAGGCAAGCCTGGATATATGAGGTTTTACTAAAGTGAAAAGTTTTTAATTGTATTTCATATGAAGTAGTTTCTCTATACTTAGTACAGGACTGCTCCACATCACGCACACACACACGTACGCACACACACACACGTACGCACACGGGACAGCCAATACAGTCTATGGTACAGCCGCGGATCACAAAGCACCTGTCAAAGCAATGCACTCTCCGAACGATATGAAACACTATATGAACCGTCACGTGGTGCGGCCGCTACGCAAGGCTTCGAACGTCACCAACACACGCCTCGAACCACGCTTCAAAAAACCACCCCTTTTTTACTCGGTACACGCTTCGAAGACCCGGCCCGCTCAGCACATCACTAGTTTTTTAGGCCCGAGCCCCGAACGGGGAAAGGGCCTTTTGTTTTTGCTCGAGAAATGTCAAATTCTGCACTTTGAGCCTTAATTTCACCCCCTGAACATGCATGAAAAGTTGAAAATTTTTCCCAAACATCTACTACCTGGTGAAAAATTTGACATTTTGGTGTTTATTTTTATGGGACTCAAAAAATGCCAGAACAGCGCCACCTACAACAGCCAATGGGAGTTTCCGAGGTCAAGTTTGTTGTAGAGCCATGAAATTCGGTACACATGTTCCTCGCCTTCCTGGGGAGGTGTTCCGGGCACGTCCCACCGGGAGGAGGCCCCGGGGAAGACCCAGGACATGCTGGAGGGACTATGTCTCTCAGCTGGCCTGGGAACGCCTTGGGGTCCCCCCGGACGAGCTGGAGGAGGTGTGTGTGGATAGGGAAGTCTGGGCGTCTCTGCTTAGACTGCTGCCCCCGCGACCCGGCAACGGATAAAGCGGAGGAAAATGGATGGATGGATGGATGGATGTTCCTCAAGTCAAGATACGACCGAAATGTTATCATGGCTCCGCCCTCTGACAAACAGGAGGCCCATAAATTTCACTGCAAAATGGAAAAATGATCCGCAATCATTTTCATACATGTCGGTTGGAAAGCGACTCCTCCTCGGCCGTTTCACCGATTTGCCTCAAAATTGCTCCACATCATCTCTCAACACATGTACCTTCAAAATTACCAAAGGGATTTTTGATCAGTGAAAAGTTGTTTGAGCAGTGGAGCGGGAAAATGTGAGTGTTTTTGGGCCGTTTTTGACAACATAAATTTTGCTCCCGTTTGCACAAACAAAGTCTGATTTGCACAAAACTTGAATCCAATGTTCAACTCCAGGGTTTAGGTCAGGTGAAAGTGAAATAATTGAAATTGGCCCATTAGCGCCCCCTACAGATTGAGGCAAAGTTTTACAAGGGGTGCCAAACAGCTCTAATCATCGTATTTGTAACGACTGTGATCCTGTGTCGCTGGAGAACGAGGGGAACGGGTCCTGTACCTTTATGACGCGCTGCTAATGTGGATGAAGAACGCTACTCGTAACTGCGTTTTTAAGTGGCATTTAATTATCAGCTTTGAAGATTTAACACATAACACATTGGCCATACGTGTACGTGTACCAAAACTTAACAAAAACAAACGGTCAACAAAGAAATACGGTTACCCAGATCCCTACGACTTCTCACCTGAACGCCGGCATATCCCCAGAGCTCATGTGACTCGTGCACCTCCCCTGACGTTACCATAGCAACCCCACACATTATGGCATTACAATTTGACTAACGTTCTTCTATGGCTACAGCAACAAATCATCACACGGCGGCCGCTCCTTTGCGCGGTGCTGCGTGGTACGGTGTGGTGCGGTGCAGTGAGGGGCGTTGTGGCTTGATGCGGGGCGGTATGGTGCAGATCCGCTTGGTGCGGAGCGGCGTGTTGTGGGACGGCTTGGTGCGGAGCGGCTTGGTGCGGCGTGGCGCACGCAGTGCGGGGTGTTGCTCGCGGTGCGGCGAGGGCCGATCGACGCCGCTTGCGGCTTTAATTATTCTTTATTTTTTATTATCTCTTTCTGACTGTTGCACCGAGCCAAAGCAATTTCCAAGTCTGTGACTTCCTGTTACTTACGTGGCAATAAAAATGATTCTGATTCTGATGATTGTTGAATGAGCTGGTATTGTTATGTTCATGGTATTTATAAAACTAAAGCAGATTAGTACAAACAACAACAGTTAAGACAAAAGAGAGCAAAACAAACAGAATCATGACATTAACAGCTGAGCAGAAAGTAGCATGATCTTGCTACTTTGTTAGGAGTCGACCATCAATCAAAAACCATGAAATATCGGCCCAATCTCGAGACTGGATCAGGAAAATCCCTACACTGTGTATGGAGTGAATGAATAATGCTGTGGAACGTCTGATTGTCAAAACAAAAAAACGAGGACAAACAGGACTATATGGTCTATCCATCCATCCATCCATTTTCTACCCTTTAATCCATTTCTGGGTCAGGGGGGTGGCAGTCAGAGATGCCACCCAAGTCTCATAGCACCAGCCCCTCACTGACCCTCTGCAGGTGGTGAGTCCACAGGAGGACGGCTGCTCTCTGAGTGAGAGCATAGCCTTGATCTTTCAGCGGGGGCTTTGGGCAAAGTGGGGTTAAGTGTCTTGCCCAAGGACACAACGACAGCAGTCATCAGTGGGAGTCGGTGGAGAAGGTGCAGAGGTGGGAATTGAACCCACAACCTTCTGGCCATAAGGCCAATGCTCTACCAACTGAGCTACTGTCGCCCATATGGTCTAAATAAGTTTTAATTCCTGCTATTTGCCAAATAGCAGAATGAGCCACTGTTTTCTTTACCAATAATTTAGGTATAAATGAGCCGGAAATGATCAGTGGATAATTTGTTTCATTTATTTTGATAACAGTAACTGCTAATTTACACATGACGCGTTACAGCACGTACGTGTACGCGCAGCAGACGCGCGTAACTTTTTTCCATGTTAACCAATGGGGATATTTACACTACTAGTGTTATACGCTCGTGCGACGGACGTAATGACGCGAAGCTGCGCCTAATTTAGGATTTATTTCTAATTTTGTGCGCGCAGCAACGCATCTTCCATTGAAAACAAATGTAAAACATGATTTTTATTGTGACCCTTGGATTTAGATCGCATCTACACACACACAGCACTTGTATCTAAACAATAGGAGGAGGACTGGCAGGTTTTACAGTGATTCTGGACATCGTTTTTTTTTCATTCATGAAGCCTCACGTCTGGCCAGACCAGCCCACAGAGACCATGAAGACAAACTCATGCATGTGATTTGTGTTGCTCTATATCAGTCCTCTGGCCCGTACTGTCCTCTACACTGCTCCATAGACTACACAGGGAAAGCAGAAGCCACCTGCGCGCACGGCCTGTGTAGATACACCCAAATAATGTTACGCGCACATGCGCGCAGTCAATGCGTATTGCGTACGTACGCTTTCAGACCGGAAAGCGAATGTGGACAACAAGTGGCGTTTAAAACGGCATGTGGACAATAAATCGTGTGTAAAACGGCATGTGGGCCACAAATACAGTTGAAAGCAGCCTGTACAAAAGACAACAAGCAGCAGTATTAGAGATAGTGGTCTAGTGGCTCAGATGGAAAAGCACAGGTCTGCGGTTCTGATGGTTGCTAGTTCAAATCCCCTGTGACTACCAATGACATTTGCTGATGTTGGGTCCTTGGGCATAACACTTCATGGAGAATGTCAGAAGTGCCATAAGTTGTTTGAAAAATGTTGCCACAAAAGGAGCCTGCCCTTTCTCCAACTATGACTGTTTCTGGTTAGACCGGTTACACGATTGCAGTCAGGAGAAGAGATCAGTCTACAGCAGTGAGTATTCCTGATGATTAACAAATATAACAATGTTTTGTCCTCCGTCTGAATGTTTAAAGTGTGTCTGAAGTGCATTTTAAACACACGTTAAACATGTATTTAAGAAAACAGAGCTGTGTCTTAGATTGTATCATCCACAGGGCTTAAACTTTAGCTCTTGATGTCGTTGGAGTGACTGTTGAATCTGTTCTAACAGGAAGAGAACACGTATAACAACCTTCACAAACTTGATCAAACTTGTATTAGACTTAAATCTATTGTAATCTAATGAACGCAAGTCTTTAGTTTGTTCCTCTGCTACAGAAGTGCAGAGGTTTAGACTCGGAGCGATTGACTTTTAAATCCTGCGATAATGCTGCAGGTTTTCTTTTCTCCAATGAACAGCATTTTGGATGTTTGTTCCGTAAAAGGATTCACCATTGTCACTGAGACCAATGACGGTGGAGAAAAGCTCCTTCCCTCTGGCAGAAGATATCGTTCACAAACACTTTAAGGATCTTGCACTTGGATCTAAACTGTTTTTGTAGGGTCCAAACAGTGAAGCCGTGTAGTTGACGCTCTCAAACCATAATCCATAGTGAATAAATCCATGGAACAGTAAAATGCAATTAAAAACTCTTTACCGAGTACTCACACAAAAACACATTCTGGACAAACAGAAAAGGACTTTAAAGACGAGGAGAGAGTAGGGACAGGTCTGTGTGACTCCACTCCACCCGCCACGCATTCCCTGGCACACCTGCGCCTATAGCCTGGGGCCAGGACTGAGAAAAAATACAAAATATATATTAAATCAAAATGAATCCATGATTAACTTTAGCAATAATGACTAACAAAATATGTAACTAAATTGGTTGCAAAAATATACCAAATTAAATCAATTGCCAATAATCATAATTCTTATCTAAATCACAAAAATAATGTATTTCAATCAAATAATAATACAAACAAAATAGAAATGTATCAAAATAAAATCAAAACAACTAAACCTCTATTAATGCTCCAACAGTTTTAGTTGATCAATTTCACAGTGACAATTGTTTCCTGCACTTTTTTAAAGTCAGTTTTATTTCTGTGCTTTTGACCTCATTTATTTATGTATTGTCTTGTGCACACTGTGGACATTTGCAAATGTATTCCAATGTGGTTTTACTGCAACTGGTAAATAAAATGATACTGAATCTAAATACAGAAATAACATCTGAAATATTGATTTTGACGTTTTTAAATCTACTTACACATGGCATCCCTCAAACCAACAGACATGAGTTAGCTAACCGGTTTACCTGAGACAAGACAATTAGAAGCAGAGCTATAATTAGATTAGATTAGATTCAACTTAGGTGAATCGCTCAGTGGGGCGACAGTAGCTCAGTTGGTAGAGCATTGGCCTTTGGGCCTGAAGGTCGTGGGTTCGAGCCCACCGTAAGATCTACTTCACGACTCCCACTGATGACTGCTGTCGTCGTGTCCTTGGGCAAGACACTTAACCCCACTTTGCCTGAAGCCCCCACTGAAAGATCTCAGATCCTGTGGACTCACCACCTGCAGGAGGATCAGTGAGGGGCTGGTGCTCTGTGTACTGGGTGCAGCTCTGACTGCCACCCCCCGACCCAGAAATGGATTAAGGGGAAGAAAATGGATGGATGGATGGATAGATTCAACTTAATCGTCATTACAAAGTCAGAACAATGCAACGAAATGCGGTTTAGCGTCTAACCAGAAGTGCAAGTATAGGATAATATTTACAACACAGATAAATATATTTGCACATAAGAGAGACTGTACAAGCAGCTATTGCTAGTATATACATTAATTATAGTACATTACATTAATGTGTATTTAATGGGCTTTAATTTAATTTAATTTGATGGGCTTTTCTATTTGATTTCAGTAGAAGTTCTTCCTCAATCTGTTAACTCCAACCAGTACAAAAACAGGAAGCTTTACAGAGGTAAGCTTGTTGTTGATACATTTCTACTTCTTATGATATGACTGTAAAAATATCCTCGATTGCCAAAGATTCATGTGTGACTAGTGAGTCATGCATTCCCACACTCCTCATTTAAGAAAAGAATCTTCATCTGTTCAACAACGAGGAAATGACACATTATGCAACAGAACACAAGTGTGATGTCAAATCAAATCAAAAACCTGTTGAATCAAAGTGTGTTCAAATGGACTCTTGTTCTGATTCTAGCCTCTACAACATGGAGCCACGAGGATCTCGCCCCGGGTCAAAACCCAGACCTGAACCCGCCCCCAGGTCTCTGTCTCTGAAAAGTGACCGCTCCAAAGGTCTTCCTATAAACTTTAGAGACGGTCCTCCTGAAGACCAGAGGTGAGACCTGATCATCTATCATTACATTGTATGTGTTTGAACAGTTTAATTCTCTGATCTGTGTTGGTGGAAAGATACTGTACATGTTAGCAGCAGTATGTTTACATCTGTACATTAGCAGCAGTATGTTTACATCTGTACATTAGCAGCAGTATGTTTACATCTGTACATTAGCAGCAGTATGTTTACATCTGTACATTAGCAGCAGTATGTTTACATCTGTACATTAGAAGCAATATGTTTACACCTGTACATTAGCAGCAATATGTTTACATCTGTACATTAGCAGCAGTATGTTTACATCTGTACATTAGCAGCAGTATGTTTACACCTGTACATTAGCAGCAGTATGTTTACATCTGTACATTAGCAGCAGTGTGTTTACACCTGTACATTAGCAGCAGTATGTTTACATCTGTACATTAGCAGCAGTATGTTTACACCTGTACATTAGCAGCAGTATGTTTACATCTGTACATTAGAAGCAATATGTTTACACCTGTACATTAGCAGCAGTATGTTTACATCTGTACATTAGCAGCAGTATGTTTACACCTGTACATTAGCAGCAGTATGTTTACATCTGTACATTAGAAGCAATATGTTTACATCTGTACATTAGCAGCAGTATGTTTACATCTGTACATTAGCAGCAGTATGTTTACATCTGTACATGTTAGCAGCAGTATGTTTACATCTGTACATTAGCAGCAGTATGTTTACACCTGTACATTAGCAGCAGTATGTTTACACCTGTACATTAGCAGCAGTATGTTTACATCTGTACATTAGCAGCAGTATGTTTACACCTGTACATTAGCAGCAGTATGTTTACACCTGTACATTAGCAGCAGTATGTTTACACCTGTACATTAGCAGCAGTATGTTTACATCTGTACATTAGCAGCAGTATGTTTACATCTGTACATGTTAGCAGCAGTATGTTTACATCTGTACATTAGCAGCAGTATGTTTACACCTGTACATTAGCAGCAGTATGTTTACACCTGTACATTAGCAGCAGTATGTTTACACCTGTACATTAGCAGCAGTATGTTTACACCTGTACATTAGCAGCAGTATGTTTACACCTGTACATTAGCAGCAGTATGTTTACATCTGTACATTAGCAGCAGTATGTTTACATCTGTACATGTTAGCAGCCGTATGTTTACATCTGTACATTAGCAGCAATATGTTTACATCTGTACATTAGCAGCAATATGTTTACACCTGTACATTAGCAGCAGTATGTTTACACCTGTACATTAGCAGCAGTATGTTTACATCTGTACATTAGCAGCAATATGTTTACATCTGTACATTAGCAGCAATATGTTTACATCTGTACATTAGCAGCAGTATGTTTACATCTGTACATTAGCAGCAGTGTGTTTACATCTGTACATTAGCAGCAGTATGTTTACACCTGTACATTAGCAGCAGTATGTTTACATCTGTACATTAGCAGCAGTATTTTTAAAATTAATAGTTACCTAATGTAACTTAAGTTCTACGAATAGGTGCGTAGTCCCTTAGGACTTCGCTAGTGGGATATCACTCGTGACCCCCAGGTCACACGCCAGAGAGATCAAAATAATTTGCTCCAATCACCAGCGACCCTCCTCTATAAAGGCCCCTGCACAAGGCCGCACCCCCTCTTGAACTCTGCCAAGCCGGGCTGGCCTGATGGGCTCGTAGCTAAGGGACTACCACCATCCATCCATTTTCTACCCTTTAATCCATTTCTGGGTTAGGGGACATTCTGCTTTATTCCCTACGCAGCGGAACATTCCGTGACCATAGCGACCATAGCGACCATAGCGATCAGTTCTGTCACTCAAGAATTCTCTGGCAGATTCCTGTTGGTTTCTGTTAGGTGTTAGGTCTCTGTCGTAGTTTGGGAAATGACACATGACAAACCATTGTAAGATTGTCATGTGTTTTTGCCTAAGCGCGGGTTGTTCTTGAATACAAGCATGATGTCCAATCAAACTCAATACAAGAACATGTTGTGTTCAAATGTACTCTATCTGATTCCAGCCTTTACAACATGAAGCCACAGGGATCTGGGTCGGGATCTAAACCCAGACCTGCTCCCAGCTCTCTGTCTCTGAGAAGTGACCGCTCCAAAGCCCTTCCTATGAACTTTAGAGACGATCCTCCTGAAATCCAGAGGTGAGTCTTGTACAAACACATGTTTTTAATTCTTTGTTTTATTACGGCATGGCATAACGCTCTCGCGTCTCAGCAAGAAGGTCCTGGGTTTCAGTCCTGGTCGGAACAGGGCCTTTCTGAGTGGAGTTTGCATGTTCTATGATCAATCTCTACTTTAGAATTGAGTTTGTACTGCCTGAAAAGAAATATGTCACACACAAAGCATCTTCATCTTTGTGTGACCGTTCAAGGTCTAAACGAATCTTCTTCTCTTGTTCCAGAGAACTCTCCAGCTGGTATGGAGCAAAGTTAACATTTTTAACTTCACAGGCTTACAGAAAAGAAGGGAGACCATTATTACAATTTTAGCATTTGCGCAGTGCCTTTTAGTTCATGAGCTCCTTTTAGTTCATGAGCTCCTTTTAGTTCATGAGCTCCAGAAGAACAAATGTGGAACCAGGATCAGCCCATTGTGTCCGCGCCGCAGCCGTGTAAGAGCCAGTAGAAACACATTGGAAAAGTTTAGTCACTTGTATGTACAGTACTTTGGTAAGCTTTCACGTGTGGAGGGACACATCAAGCTTTCACGTGTGGAGGGACACTTCAGTGGATGAGGAAGTAGCTGAAAGTTGCGGCACTGTGGCTAGGCTAACTAGCTTCAGGCTTCTTTTTGTTTATTTTTGTTTTGGATCCTTGCTGTTATCATCATGGGGCCGAAGAAAAACCCAGCCGTGGAGGAGACGGAGGACATTAAGAAAGCGCTGGAATTTCTCTCACAGGATATGAACGATATTAAGATTAAGCAGGACAAGATTCTTAAACTTGTGGATGAAGTTACGGAGCTACGTTTGCGTATTGAAGAGAGAGATAAGAAGATGTAGGATCTGGAGAAAAAAGTGGAGAATCTCGAGCAATACTCAAGGCTGAATGATGTGATCGTAACAGGGCTGAGGATTAAACCCCGATCATATGCACATGCAGCGGCAACTGGTAAAGTGAACGTAGCCGACGAGCTGGAGGGCAGCCCAGTGGAGCAGCAGGTTGTGGCTTTTCTCGCGTCTAAAGACATACATCTGGACGTGGATGACATCGAAGCCTGTCATCCTCTCCCCATGAAGAGGGACAACATGCCTGCTGTGAATCTGAGGTTTGCAAATCGTAAAAAAAAGATAGCTCTCATGAAACAAGGTAAAAAACTGAAAGGTACCAACGTCTACTTAAATGATCATTTGACTAAGAGGAATGCAGACATAGCAAAAAAAGCCAGATTCTTGCGTAAACAAAATAAAATAATGAACACTTGGGTTATGAATTGCAAAATATTTATTAAACTTAACGGATCACCTGAAGAAGCTCGAGTGTTGATTATTAAAGATATTCAGGAACTGAACAAATATGAGTGAGTTAATGAGTGGGAAAATAATAATGATAATAATAACATAGGGTATCTGTTACTCAAAGAATGACAACTAATCCGCTTTCATTTATTACAGATAGTAATATAGTCTCTCAACAAAAGATTCTGGACTCTGAGCTCTTGCAGCTAAAAACATCTGAATATACTGATCATGATACGCTAGACTTTGAAGACCAATTAGACCCGGACAACCAATTTCTATCAGCTGACTCAATCAATTGCAAATATTACCCTGAAAATGAATTTAACAATACCATCAAATCAGAAGGGACATTCTCAATCATACATTTCAACAGCAGGAGCATGTATGCCAATTTCAGTTCAATTAAAAATTACCTACTACAGTTTGTAAACCCATTTAGCATTATAGCAATTTCTGAAACATGGTTTAATGATATAAAAGGCACAGATTTTGAGTTAAACAATTATAACTTAAACTATGTAAGCAGAACTAACAAAGCAGGAGGAGGAGTTGCTATATACGTCCATACGAAATACAAATTCAGAGTAATCGAGAATATGACAACATCAATAGATGACCTACTTGAGTGTTTAACAATAGAAATCGTCAGTGTAAAGAAGAAAAACATTATTGTCAGTTGTCTATACAAGTCACCAGGCTCAAGTCTGGAACTATTCACAGATTGGTCTGAAAAAACATTTTCAACAGTAAGTAATAAATCAATATTTATCTGTGGAGATTATAACATTGATCTGATAAATCCAAATAACCATAAAGCCACCGATGATTATATTAACAGAATGTACAGTATGAGTTTATACCCAACTATTACAAGACCTAGCCGACATATTACATCGCATAGTGCTACTCTCATTGATAAAATTTTTACAAATAATATGGAGTTTACAAATGTCAGTGGACTCTTGGTCTGTGATATAACCGATCACCTGCCTGTTTTCACTGTGTTTGATAACAATAATTGTATTAATGAGGAACCACCTCCAAAGAATATTTACAAACGAGTAAGAACCAAAGACTCAATTAATTTACTCTATCAGGATTTAATAAAACAGGACTGGACTACTGTATACAACAAAAATGATGTGGACAGTGCTTTTGAATATTTTTTGGAAACGTTTGGATTAATATATAATAAACAATGTCCAGTTCAGGAATTTAGTACTAACAATAAAACTATTAAATGTCCATGGGTAACCAATGGTTTAAGTAATGCTTGTAAGAAAAAAAATACTTTATATAGACAGTTCATTCGATTAAGAACCAATGAATCTGAGCATCGATATAAAACTTCTAAAAACAAACTAACTAATATATTAAGAGCTAGTAAGAAATTATACTATACTCATCTATTATATAAAAACAAAAACAACACTAAAGGGATTTGGGGAGTCCTTAATACTATAATCAAAGGTAATACAAAACATAATTCATACCCAGAATATTTCATTGATAAGGACATCAATCATTATAATATGAATGAAATTGTGGAAAGCTTTAATAGCTTTTTTGTAAATGTTGGACCAGACCTGGCAGCAAATATTCCTGAGTTTCGTAACAATGAAATGGAGTCTTTGATAGAAATGAATCCAAAAACAATGTTTCTATTTGGAGTAACTGAAGTGGAAATAATAGATGTGGTCAACAACTGTAAAAATAAATCATCTACTGATTGCTTTGATATTGACATGGGACTGGTTAAACAAATTATACATGGAATCGTCAAACCGTTAACTTATATATGTAACCTATCTTTTCAAACAGGGCAATTTCCTAATAAAATGAAACTGGCAAAAATTATACCAATATTCAAAAATGGGAACAAACACCTTTTCACTAATTATAGACCGATCGCCTTGCTCCCTCAATTTTCAAAAATCCTCGAGAAAATTTTTAACAGTAGATTAGAGAAATTTATAAATAAACATAATTTAATTGATGAAAGTCAATATGGTTTTAGGGCAGCAAGATCAACATCCATGGCCATAATCGAAGCAGTAGAAGAAATAACCAACAGTGTAGACAGAAAGGAACATGCAGCTGGAATTTTCATTGATTTAAAAAAAGCGTTTGAGACTATTAATCATGAGATATTACTAAAAAAATTATACAGATATGGTATCAGGGGCGTGGCTTTAAGTTGGATCCAAAGCTATTTAACAAGCAGAAAACAGTTTGTGAAAATGGGTATGTTTACTTCTGGGTACTTGGACATTGGCTGCGGGGTACCACAGGGATCAGTTTTGGGTCCAAAATTATTCAATTTATACATCAATGATATATTTAGTGTCTCCAAGTTATTGAAACTAGTTATATTTGCAGATGACACCAATGTTTTTTACTCAAATGACAGTCATATTAATTTAGTGTCTATCATTAACATGGAATTAGCCAAACTAAAGACATGGATGGACTTTAACAAATTATCCATAAACTTAAACAAAACAAAGGTTATGTTTTTCAGTAAATACAAAAGCAACCTAGGCCCGGTTATACATATAGATGGGATGGCTTTAGATACCGTAACAGAGATTAAATTTTTAGGAGTTACTATTGACAACACATTAAGCTGGAAACAACATATAAAACACATACAAAGCAAAGTCTCCAAAAACATCTCGATCATTAATAAATCAAAATTCTTCCTAAATCATAAAGCATTACATTTATTATATTGTTCACTAGTTTTGCCATATTTAACATACTGTGTAGAGGTTTGGGGAAATAACTACAAATGCTCAATTCATCCCCTGGTTGTACTTCAGAAACGCGCCATAAGCACAATTCATAAGGCAGGATATCTAGATCACACTCATACTTTATTTCTGCAGTCTAAAATAATCAAACTCACTGATCTAGTTGATTTTTATACAGCTCAACTTTTATTTAAAGCCAACATAATGGTTTTGCCTTCAAATATCCAGAAACACTTTACTCACAAAGAAGGGTGTTATAATATAAGGGGGTGCGGGAACTTCAAAATACATGCTGTGAGAACCACCAGGAAAAGTGTGTGTGTGTCTGTGTGTGTGTGTCTGTGTGTGGAGTGAAACTTTGGAACAAATTGTGTGTCAAACTCAAGCAATGTCCAACTATCCATCTGTTCAAATCAGCATATAAAAAAATGGTATTTTCATCATACAGGAATGTGAGAATGGGGGTTTAAATTGTTATAATTCTAAACTATTTGAAAGGGAAAATTGATCTCATCAACCAAATCATATATTATATGTACTATTACCATTATTACTATACTGCTCTATTATAATTATTATATAACTATATATTATATGTGCTATTATTACTATACTGTCCTATAGTGTTACTATACTCTTCTATTATAATTATTATTGTATAATACAGTCTGACAACGGGGCGACAGTAGCTCAGTTGGTAGAGCATTGGCCTTAAGGCCAGAAGGTTGTGGGTTCAATTCCCACCTTCTCCACCGACTCCCACTGATGACTGCTGTTGTTGTGTCCTTGGGCAAGACATTTAACCCCACTTTGCCCAAAGCCCCCACTGAAAGATCAAGGCTATGCTCACACTCAGAGAGCAGCCGTCCTCCTGTGGACTCACCACCTGCAGAGGGTCAGTGAGGGGCTGGTGCTATGAGACTTGGGTGGCATCTCTGACTGCCACCCCCCTGACCCAGAAATGGATTAAAGGGTAGAAAATGGATGGATGGACGGTCTAACAACAATAACAATAATATGATGTGTCTATATTAGGGCATTTATTGGGGTTATTAAGGTATTTTTTATTTTTATTTTTGATTGTCACTATTTTTTTATTATTATAGAAATTATTATTTTTGTTATGGGCGTCATTACATCAACATATCAATCCATCATCTATTGTTGGAAAAGAAATAAATGAATCCTGGTTGAAGCTTTGCTGCTGACGGTAGCCAGAGATTACAATTTGAGCATGTTCACAGAACTCACAGAACTCAAAGTACAGGGTAGGCAGGGGGGCTCTGCTGCTGGAGGAACCCTCTGGCAGAGGACCCCCACATACTGTCTCTTTTAATGCACAGATTAGGACAGTAACAAAGCTCTGCAGCTCACAGGCTGCTCCCTCTAGAGGCCGATCCGTGGACGCAGAGACTCCCTTTATAAATAAAACACCAGCTAAATACAAGCTTGCTCCCATCAGCACCAATGATCAAATTTAACTCACGTATAACACTAGTGATCAGTAATAATTTATTAAATAGTAAATATACAATATTCTATAATCCTATTTAATTGATACAATATACATGATAATGAAAATTATAAACATGAAAATTATATGGATATGTGGTGATGATGATGTTATGACACCTAAATTCATTCCAAAATATTAAGGTAACAAGAATATAAACTTATTATACATATACTGTATAAATCAAGGGCATATTAACTTGAATATCACTGTTGCATAACTGCACCACTGACTAAGCTAAGCTATAGCAACCATAATTTAAGTTAATTCAATTAGAATAATTAATAGGGGGTGGGAGTTTAAAAGTCTTAACTTCTTCCCACTCCTTTTCGAGCTGACTTTTTGTTATTTATTTATTGTTTATTTGTTTTGTTTTTCTATTCAGTTGTATTGCTGTTATTCCTTGTTCTTGTCTGACATGGCTCAAAATAAAAGTATTCATTCATTCATCTGTTCAACAACGAGGAAATGACACATTATGCAACAGAACACAAGTGTGATGTCAAATCAAATCAAAAACCTGTTGAATCAAAGTGTGTTCAAATGGACTCTTGTTCTGATTCTAGCCTCTACAACATGGAGCCACGAGGATCTCGCCCCGGGTCAAAACCCAGACCTGAACCCGCCCCCAGGTCTCTGTCTCTGAAAAGTGACCGCTCCAAAGCTCTTCCTATAAACTTTAGAGACGGTCCTCCTGAAGACCAGAGGTGAGACCTGATCATCTATCATTACATTGTATGTGTTTGAACAGTTTAATTCTCTGATCTGTGTTGGTGGAAAGATACTGTATATGTTAGCATCTGTACATGTTAGCAGCAGTATGTTTACACCTGTACATTAGCAGCAGTATGTTTACAACTGTACATTAGCAGCAGTATGTTTACATCTGTACATTAGCAGCGGTATGTTTACAACTGTACATTAGCAGCAGTATGTTTACATCTGTACATTAGCAGCAGTATGTTTACATCTGTACATTAGCAGCAGTATGTTTACATCTGTACATTAGAAGCAGTATGTTTACACCTGTACATTAGCAGCAGTATGTTTACATCTGTACATTAGCAGCAGTATGTTTACACCTGTACATTAGCAGCAGTATGTTTACATCTGTACATTAGCAGCAGTATGTTTACACCTGTACATTAGCAGCGGTATGTTTACATCTGTACATTAGCAGCAGTATGTTTACATCTGTACATTAGAAGCAGTATGTTTACACCTGTACATTAGCAGCAGTATGTTTACATCTGTACATTAGCAGCAGTATGTTTACATCTGTACATTAGCAGCAGTATGTTTACATCTGTACATGTTAGCAGCAGTGTGTTAGCATCTGTACATTAGCAGCAGTATGTTTACATCTGTACATTAGCAGCAGTATGTTTACACCTGTACATTAGCAGCAGTGTGTTTACATCTGTACATGTTAGCAGCAGTGTGTTTACATCTGTACATTAGCAGCAGTATGTTTACATCTGTACATTAGCAGCAGTATGTTTACATCTGTACATTAGCAGCAGTATGTTTACATCTGTAGATTAGCAGCAGTATGTTTACATCTGTACATTAGCAGCGGTATGTTTACATCTGTACATTAGCAGCAGTATGTTTACATCTGTACATTAGCAGCAGTATGTTTACATCTGTACATTAGCAGCAGTATGTTTACACCTGTACATTAGCAGCAGTATGTTTACATCTGTACATTAGCAGCAGTATGTTTACATCTGTACATTAGCAGCAGTATGTTTACACCTGTACATTAGCAGCAGTATGTTTACACCTGTACATTAGCAGCAGTATGTTTACATCTGTACATTAGAAGCAATATGTTTACACCTGTACATTAGCAGCAGTATGTTTACATCTGTACATTAGCAGCAGTATGTTTACACCTGTACATTAGCAGCAGTATGTTTACATCTGTACATTAGAAGCAATATGTTTACATCTGTACATTAGCAGCAGTATGTTTACATCTGTACATTAGCAGCAGTATGTTTACATCTGTACATGTTAGCAGCAGTATGTTTACATCTGTACATTAGCAGCAGTATGTTTACACCTGTACATTAGCAGCAGTATGTTTACACCTGTACATTAGCAGCAGTATGTTTACATCTGTACATTAGCAGCAGTATGTTTACACCTGTACATTAGCAGCAGTATGTTTACACCTGTACATTAGCAGCAGTATGTTTACACCTGTACATTAGCAGCAGTATGTTTACATCTGTACATTAGCAGCAGTATGTTTACATCTGTACATGTTAGCAGCAGTATGTTTACATCTGTACATTAGCAGCAGTATGTTTACACCTGTACATTAGCAGCAGTATGTTTACACCTGTACATTAGCAGCAGTATGTTTACACCTGTACATTAGCAGCAGTATGTTTACACCTGTACATTAGCAGCAGTATGTTTACACCTGTACATTAGCAGCAGTATGTTTACATCTGTACATTAGCAGCAGTATGTTTACATCTGTACATGTTAGCAGCCGTATGTTTACATCTGTACATTAGCAGCAATATGTTTACATCTGTACATTAGCAGCAATATGTTTACACCTGTACATTAGCAGCAGTATGTTTACACCTGTACATTAGCAGCAGTATGTTTACATCTGTACATTAGCGCATATGTTTACACTGTACATTAGCAGCATATGTTTACATCTGTACATTAGCAGCAGTATGTTTACATCTGTACATTAGCAGCTATGTTTACATCTGTACATTAGCAGCAATATGTTTACATCTGTACATTAGCAGCAATATGTTTACACCTGTACATTAGCAGCAGTATGTTTACACCTGTACATTAGCAGCAGTATGTTTACATCTGTACATTAGCAGCAATATGTTTACATCTGTACATTAGCAGCAATATGTTTACATCTGTACATTAGCAGCAGTATGTTTACATCTGTACATTAGCAGCAGTGTGTTTACATCTGTACATTAGCAGCAGTATGTTTACACCTGTACATTAGCAGCAGTATGTTTACATCTGTACATTAGCAGCAGTATGTTTACATCTGTACATTAGCAGCAGTATTTTTAAAATTAATAGTTACCTAATGTAACTTAAGTTCTACGAATAGGTGCGTAGTCCCTTAGGACTTCGCTAGTGGGATATCACTCGTGACCCCCAGGTCACACGCCAGAGAGATCAAAATAATTTGCTCCAATCACCAGCGACCCTCCTCTATAAAGGCCCCTGCACAAGGCCGCACCCCCTCTTGAACTCTGCCAAGCCGGGCTGGCCTGATGGGCTCGTAGCTAAGGGACTACCACCATCCATCCATTTTCTACCCTTTAATCCATTTCTGGGTTAGGGGACATTCTGCTTTATTCCCTACGCAGCGGAACATTCCGTGACCATAGCGACCATAGCGACCATAGCGATCAGTTCTGTCACTCAAGAATTCTCTGGCAGATTCCTGTTGGTTTCTGTTAGGTGTTAGGTCTCTGTCGTAGTTTGGGAAATGACACATGACAAACCATTGTAAGATTGTCATGTGTTTTTGCCTAAGCGCGGGTTGTTCTTGAATACAAGCATGATGTCCAATCAAACTCAATACAAGAACATGTTGTGTTCAAATGTACTCTATCTGATTCCAGCCTTTACAACATGAAGCCACAGGGATCTGGGTCGGGATCTAAACCCAGACCTGCTCCCAGCTCTCTGTCTCTGAGAAGTGACCGCTCCAAAGCCCTTCCTATGAACTTTAGAGACGATCCTCCTGAAATCCAGAGGTGAGTCTTGTACAAACACATGTTTTTAATTCTTTGTTTTATTACGGCATGGCATAACGCTCTCGCGTCTCAGCAAGAAGGTCCTGGGTTTCAGTCCTGGTCGGAACAGGGCCTTTCTGAGTGGAGTTTGCATGTTCTATGATCAATCTCTACTTTAGAATTGAGTTTGTACTGCCTGAAAAGAAATATGTCACACACAATTTTAACAAAATGATCTTCTGAACTCTCTGGTGCTGCTCTTTCCTGTTCCATTTCTCTGTTTAATAGTTCTCTTCTTTCTTCTTTCTTATAGTGTTATTTTATGCCCAGAGTGTAGAATAAATAAATGATGAATGTGATTCACAGGGACCTGGGTCCAAAGGGGCCGCTGGACGCCATCTTGAGGGTGAGTGTGTGCTTCACTGGTGCTCCGTCTGTAAATGAAATTCCTCACAGATGAATAAAGTTTTTTTCAGTGTGTGGCCTTCTCTGGCTGCTCCTCGTCTTTTTGTGAACGCTTCTTCCATTGTTCTGTTCCAGCGTCTGGAGGAGGACGTCCTGACTTTTGTCAAAGAGCAGCTGCAGAGGCTCAACAGGTTTCTGGCCTCAGATTACCCAGAATTCTCTGAGAGTGAGGAGCAGAGCAGAGAGGTTCTGAACATCGCCCTGGACTTCCTGAAGAGGATGAAGCAGGAGGAGCTGGTCCAGCGCCTGCAGAACAGTAAGAACTCTGTGTCTGTAGCAACATATTCAAGTGTTTATCTGAGAAACTGCCAGCAGCTCATTTAGTCTCATCACGGGTTTAATGTGTAGATAGAGAAATGAAGATGTGGGCCACAGGACGAACTTGTCAAGATAACCGAGTGTTGCTTGTTTTATACTGTATATCAATCAATCAATCAACTTTATTTGTATGGCGCCTTTCCAACACAAGGCCACTCAAAGCGCCTCACAACCCACATAATATCACACAAATCAGAGACATCAATAAATACATTAAAAACAGAATAAAATCACAAGTAATGGAAAAAAAAAACATAAAACACTTATAATATTAAAAGCACACACGGGATTAAAATAATAAATAACCACAATGCATTAAAAAAAGGAGTATGTATCAATAAAATCCTTCAGCCGTATGCACAGCTAAAAAGAACCGTTTTTAGCCCTGATTTAAAAATTGCCAGAGTAGATGCTAGCCTCACATCTTCAGGAAGATTGTTCCAGATTTTAGCTCCATAAATCTCAAACGCTGCCTCCCCATGTTTAGTTCTGACTCTTGGAATCAGTAAGAGGCTACCTCCTGTGCTCCTCAGAGTCCGGGCCGGTTCATATGGGACTAACAAGTCGCTTAAGTACTTTGGTGCGAGGCCATGGAGAGACTTGTACACAAGCAGTGCTGCTTTGAAGTCTATTCTCTGAGCCACAGGAAGCCAGTGCAGAGACCTGAGAACTGGACTAATGTGGTCATATTTCCTGGTCCTGGTCAGGACTCGAGCTGCTGCATTTTGAATGTACTGCAGTTGTTTTACAGCCTGTTTGGACAGACCTGTGAGCAGGCCATTGCAGTAGTCTAACCTACTGGAGACAAATGCATGGATGAGAATCTCCAGGTCTGCTTTAGACACTATGTTTCTAATTTTGGCAATGTTTTTCAGATGGTAAAATGCTGCTGATGTTACTGATTTGATATGACTGTTAAAATTTAAGTCTGAGTCCATTATAACTCCTAGGTTTCTGACCTTGCCTACAGGTTCCAGGGAGAGAGACTGGAGGTGACGAATAACGCTCTCTCTTTGTTTCTGAGGACCAAAGACAATCAATTCTGTTTTGTCTGCGTTTAGCTGAAGGAAGTTATTTTGCATCCAATCACTAATCTGTTGAGTACAGTGAAGGAGTGATTCCACTGGTCCATGTTCTCCTGCAGTAAGTGAGACATAAATTTGAGTGTCATCAGCGTAATTGTGGTAGGATACATTGTTGGAGCGTATTAACTGACCTAACGGCAGCATGTAAATATTGAACAGAAGAGGCCCCAGAATTGATCCCTGTGGCACTCCGCAGGTCAGAGCCATATGATCTGAGACACAGTTTCCTATCTGAACCAAGTATTTCCTGTCTTCTAGGTAAGACCTAAACCAACTTAGGGCAGTCCCAGTGACACCCACCCAGTGCTCTAGTCTCTGCATGAGGATCTCGTGGTCGACTGTGTCGAACGCAGCACTCAGAGATCCAACATTACTAAAACTGTGACTTTTCCTGTGTCGGTGTTAAGTCGGATGTCATTTATAACCTTCACTAGTGCAGTCTCAGTGCTGTGATTGGCTCTAAAGCCGGACTGGAGCGCATCAAACGAACTATTAGTTACTAAGAATTCTGTAAGTTGTTGGTAAGCAACTTTTTCCAGAATTTTTCCCATAAACGGCAGATTTGAAATGGGGCGATAATTCTTAAGAACTGTGGCATCTAGACTCCTCTTTTTTAGGAGGGGTCTGATGACTGCCGTTTTCAGGGCCATTGGAAATGTTCCAGATGAGAAAGACATGTTCACTATTTGTGTGAGCAAAGGTAAAAGACTGCTCAAAACAGACTTAAAAAATTTAGTGGGTAGTACATCCAGGCTACATGTGGAGGAACTAAGGCTAGAGACAACATTTGGACCGTTTCATTATCTGTTGGTGCAAAGTGCGATAGCTCAAACAGCCTCACCGGCTGTTGTAATGTTATTTCTGCCTTAGAGGTGATGGCGTTTTTGATGCTCTGAACCTTGTCATTGAAAAATTGTGCAAACTCATTACATTTAGATTCTGAAGCAAATTCGAATGGCAGCTGAACAGGGGGGTTTGTTAATCTGTTAACTGTTGAAAACATAAGTCGTAGATTATTATTGCAGCCATCAATGGTTTTAGAAAAATAAATTTCTCTTGTTCTACGTAGCACCCTGTTAAACTTGCACAACTCATTTTTGAAGATATCATGATCAACCTGGAGATTGGATTTTCGCCACTTCCGCTCGGCCCTACGGCACTCTCTCTTCTGTACCATGACTGAGTCCATTTTAGTCCAGGGGGCCTTTGGCTTATTTGTAATCATTTTAACCTTCACAGGAGCGATGATGTCCAGAACATTTATAACATTGGCGGTGACAGAGTTAAACAATTCGTCAACAGTAGAACACAATGTGTTCTCAAAGTTTATCATTTCCATGAATAGTTCGGTTGTGTTTTCATTTATGTGTCTGTGTCTGACAATTGCAGATTCAGATATATATGGTTGTTTACTATCAAAACACATGTCAAAAAATACACAGAAGTGATCTGACAGAGCCACGTCAACCACATTTACATTTAAAATATTAACCCCCTTTGTAACCAGCAGGTCTAGAGTGTGCCCTTTGCTGTGGGTGGGGCCACAGCAAAGGGCAAAAACAGAAGTGCAGAATGATTATGACATTTTAAAAAAATAGTTAAGTTTAGGATGTGGCATGTTATATAGCACTTGTAATATAAAAGAACATTTCATTCTAAAAGAAAGACCAGTGAAGCCAGGGGAAGGGTGCCCCAATAATCAAATTAAGCGCACATGTTTGTAAATCCAGGTACGTTATCAGAGATTTATTATATTAGGTTATATATTTGTGGTAACCTTTGTTTGTTACTTACGTGGCAATAAAAAATGATTCTGATTCTGATATTTAAGTTCTTGTTTCAAGTTTTAACATTAAGTTAACAATTACACATTTTTTATTTAGTCACCAATGCAAAAGAGTGCCATTTTACGATTCAGAGGCACAGGTGAATAAACACAGGGAGAAAGCCGGTGTTCTGTTGAGTTGTCCTGCTCGGTCTAGTTGCGCTGCATACATCATTTTACTGACTATGGGGATGTTCGCCTGCTGTGGCTGGGGCTAACTCAACAGCTGCTCTCTTACAGCTGGTAAGCTGGTTGATAGCATGATTCCAACAGGTTGAAATTGTCACAGGGTGAGCTGAGTGAGGACTCAAATGCAGGAATGCCAAAATAAAGCTTTTAATAAAACAAAGTCCAAGGCAAAAAACAACTCAAAAAATCCAAAGTAACCAGGACAGAACTAGACAAGAGAATGAAGCAGCAACAAGGATGAAAAGCACAGGGTACATGTAGACACACACAGACACAGGTGAAACACATCAGGGCGGGGCAGACAATCAAGACAGGGGAAACAGGACAAGAAGTCAAACTAAAACTAAACCACAGAGAACTAAATTCAAAATAAACAAAAGTACACAACTAAAAATCCACACTATGACAGAAATGGGATTTCTAATGAACGGATTTTAATATTTCCATGCCAAATTACAAGATTCTACTCTATTTATTCCATGTGGTAAAGTAACTTTTCTTTACGAAGCGATTGCGTTCCTGTTTATTTATCTATCTAGGCTTTCCATGTGTTTTAAGTGCAGGAACATCACATGTTCCATATTTACAGCATCAAAGGTCAGTATTATTGTTCGTAGCGTTACACAGTATTCAGTCTGTATCAAAGCGTTTCTTTCCCCGTATTTTTTCGTTTAGAAACGTCCCTATACTTAATATTTACAGTCTGTGGTTCCTATTGAAGTTCAGTAACACTTTCACTGAAAGAACATTAAACTAATATGAATATCTCAATAACAGAGAGACAGTATTCTTCGTAACGAGGGACATAGCCACAAGACATTCCATCTTCAGCGAAGAGAAACAGATTTGACAAACGCGTGCGCAAAAACCCAACAGAATAAAAAAAATTTAAAAACACAATCGAATAAAATATTTTGTTTGAACACACTATTGTTGATCGGCTTGGATGCAGAACACCTCCGCCCAGGCTGGGATTTAAAGTAAAGTTTGTTGTATACATGTACCCCGATCACGGGATCAATAGTAAATAGAAATACCAGGATTCCGCTGGAGTTCAGTGACGAGCAGAAGTTCCGTGAAATTGTCAGATACATCCAGTCCCCCCATCATGTATTATATAGCGCTTAAAAAAAAAAAAATTCTGGATACTGGCGGCTTTCTATATCATTAGGCGGTCCAGACAATAAAATAGGGCTGCTTCAAAACGTCTAAGACATCTTTGGTAGTCAGTGTTACTATATAATAGATCGTCTGTAAACGTCTTTGGCAGCCACTGGGTTAAAGTGTGTACTGTGCACTCCAGTATTGAAAAACACTGTAACATAACCACTGGGCCGCCACCCTATGCTATGTATGGTTGGCCCCTGACCGCTTCAAAAATGGTTAGCCCCTACGCAGCCCTCTCTTAAATATTTTCCGGCGGAAACCCAGAATATGTATTTTATACGTCCAGCAGAAGTTCAGTACAGTATTAAGGACACACAACAAAAACAGAAACACAGACTTAGGCCTGGTTTAGTAATCGTTTGGCCTATTGAAACTCCTCATTCTCTCAACATTGGCTTGATGTTCACCCAACCTGTAGTTTTTGGCATCTTATCACGATTGAGATATCTGGCATAAATATCAAGATATGGAATTTTGTCCAAATGATTGAGCCCTACTTCAAAGGGTTAAAGGCTTGCTTTACTTCTAAGAGCACAAAGACTTTAGTGTGTGACACTCCACTGGGTTCACTGCTGTTTGTCTTTATTCAGGAAGCACTGTTGGAGTTTGTAGAGATGAACTGAAGAAGCATCTGCAGCAGAGGTTCAGCCGTGTCTTTGAGGGCGTGGCTAAAGCAGGAGACTCCGCCTCCCTGACCCAGATCTACACAGAGCTCTACATCACAGAGGGCGGGGTCTCAGAGGTCAACCAGGAACATGAAGTCAGACTGATGGAGAGTGTTTCCAGGAGACCAGCCGCTCCAGAGATCACCATCACCTGTGAAGACATGTTTAAGCCCCGCCCACACTCACCACAGCCAATCAGAGCACTGCTGACGAAGGGCGTGGCCGGCGTGGGGAAGACTGTGCTGACTCAGAAGTTTAGTCTGGACTGGGCTGAAGGCAGAGCTCATCAGGACCTCCAGCTGCTGTTCCCCTTCTCCTTCAGAGAGCTCAATGTTCTGAAGGACAGAAGCTTCAGCCTCGTAGGACTCATCAAGCACTTCTTCAGACCAACCAAAGACCTCTGCAGCTTTGAAGACCTCCAGGTGCTCCTCATCTTTGACGGTCTGGACGAGTGCAGACTTCCTCTGGCCTTCAGCAGCTCTCGTGTCCTCTCAGACCCCACAGAGTCCGTCTCTCTGGACCTGCTGCTGGTGAACCTCATCAGGGGGAATCTGCTTCCCTCCGCTCGCCTCTGGATCACCACACGCCCAGCGGCGGCCAATCAGATCCCTGCAGAGTGTGTTTCCATGGTGACAGAGATCCGAGGCTTCACTGACCTGCAGAAGGAGCAGTACTTCAGGAAGAGGTTCAGAGACGAGCGACAGGCCACAGCGATCATCTCCCACATCAAGAGCGTCCGCAGCCTCCACATCATGTGCCACATCCCAGTCTTCTGCTGGATCCTCTCCACAGTTCTACAGAAGCTTCTGGAACAAACAGAGGAACCAGAACTTCCCCGTACCCTCACACAAATGTACAGCCACTTCCTGGTGGTGCAGGCCAAAGTCCAGAACATCAAGTATCAGCAAGGATCAGGGGCAGAGCTTCACTGGACTCCAGACACCAGGGAGATGGTGACGTCTCTGGGAAAACTGGCCTTTGAGCAGCTGCAGAGAGGAAACCTGATCTTCTACGACTGTGACCTGAGCGAGTGTGGGCTGGACACTGCAGCCGCCTCAGTGTACTCTGGAGTCTTCACACAGGTCTTCAGAGAGGAGCCAGGCCTGTACCAGGACAAGGTCTACTGCTTCATCCATCTGAGTGTGCAGGAGTTTCTGGCTGCTCTTCACGTCCATCAGACATTCGCAGAATTGAATGTCAATATGCTGAAAGTTAAACAAACCTCCTTAAAACAGTTGTTTAAAAAGATGGAACTGAGTGTTCTTCACCGCTGTGCTGTGGATCAGGCCTTACAGAGTCCGAACGGACACCTGGACCTGTTCCTGCGCTTCCTCCTAGGGCTGTCATTGCCGTCCAATCAGAGGCTGCTGTCAGGTCTGCTGACTCAGGCAGAAAGTGGCTCAGGGACCAATTGGGAGGCAGTAGAGTACATCAAAGAGAAGCTAAATGAACAGGGTCTGTCTGCCGAGAGAAGCATAAACCTGGTCCACTGTCTGATGGAGCTGAATGACCTCAGTTTGGTGCAGGGAATACAGGAGTACCTAAGTATAGGACGACTCCCCTTCTTAAGTTCCCCTGCTGAGTGGTTAGCTCTGTCCTTCATCTTACTGTCCTCAGACTCAGACCTGCAGGAATTTGACCTGAGAAAATACCAGGCCTCAGAGAAAGCTCTCCTGGGTCTGCTGCCAGTGGTGAAAGCCTCCACCAAAGCCCTGTAAGTCCAGACTGTGTAGAAGGTTTTCTGTGGAGGTTGTAGTCTTTAATGTGGTTCTGTCCTCAGGTTGTCCTTCTGTGGACTGTCCCCTCACAGCTGTGGTCCTCTGGCCTCAGTCCTTATCTCCTCCAGTCTCACACACCTTGATCTCAGTAACAACGACCTCCAGGACTCAGGAGTGGAGCTGCTGTGTTCTGGGCTGAAGAGTGTCCCCTGTGGACTGCACACTCTCAGGTGAGAATCCCATGGTGCCCCTGTGTCCTCTGTGTCCACATGAGTGTAACACACTCTGTCTTTAGGCTGTCTGGATGTCTGATCTCAGAGAGGGGCGGGGCTGCTCTGGCCTCAGCACTAAGCCCTGCCTCCTCACATCTATACCCCGCCCCCTCCCACCTGAGAGAGTTAGACCTGAGCTACAACCATCCAGGAGGTTCAGCAGCGCTGCTGATGACTCTACAAGAAGATCCATACTGCCCCCTGCAGGCTCTCAGGTCTGACTCTGCCCCTGCTCTGGTCTCTGGTCAAGACTTGGTCCAGGTCTTGGTCTCTAGTCAACAGTTGGTCCAGGTTTTTGTCTCTGGTCCAGGTCTTGGTCGCTGGTCTAAATTGGAATTGTGTGTTGCAGATTGGAACCTGCTGGAGAAATGTGGATGGTTCCAGGTCTGAGAAAGTGTGAGTGTTTCTCAGACGTTTGATATAATCTACAATGTAATTTGTAAGGGGTTTAATGGGTTTAGGCCCTGTTTACACAGAGACGCAGCAAAGTATTTTGCAAAAACAACCCTGCTCTCCGGATGCGAAGTGCAAAGCGTCTACACTGCAAGTCTTGCTTCCATCTGCGTGATTGAAAATGATCTAACACCTGGCCAATAGTGGGCAGTGGAATTTTACAAAGCGACCTCCACGGTATAATACTAATAATAATAATAATAATGCATCGGTTTTATACAGCGCTTTTTTGGACACTCAAAGATGCTTTGCATGTGATTATTCTTTCACTCCATACACGGTGGTGATAAACTACTACTGTAGCCACAGCTGCCCTGGGGCACACTGACAGAAGCGAGGCAACCAGTATGTGCCATCGGCCCCTCCGACCACCACCAACCATTCACACACACACCAGACTCATTCAAGGCAATGTGGGTGAAGTGTCTTGCCTAAGGACACAACGGCAGTTTGGCACTTTACAGCCGCAGCCGCCCCACTGTGGCAGGTGTTCCCAGAGGTTAAGTGTCTGGCCAAGGACACAACAACAGCAGGCAGTGGGAGTCGATGGTTAAAGTCGGGCTCGAAAGGCCAATGCTCTACCAACTGAGCTACTGTCGCCCACTTCCTCAACAACATCCTCCTCAGCCCACTGCAAAGAAGGGAAAGAATACACCAACATCTTTTTGCATTTAAAAGCAGCAGCAAAAATGGAAAGTGAAATTACAGCTTCACATGGTTTTGTTTGAATGGAGAATTGAGTAGAATGGCTCCTCAGTGTTACGCACGGAGCACATAGCACAAATTGATTCTACGCCATATTTGTTTATGTTTGTTCTCGGCAACTGAGCATGTCCAAATGTTTCAGGCGAAGTGGTGAGGTCATCGCAGCCTGAGTTTTCACCTTTTTGATCACACTGCTGCGATACGGCCCCCTGTCAAATCCTGGAGGCCGTTTTACAAATCTTGCGTTTATACCCGCCATATGAACAAAAGGTCAATTTGTTAGTCAATTCTATCGTCTTACTGTTACAGTGTCTCTGTATAAACAGGGCCTGAGTCTACGTCGTTAGACGCTTTAATAATGGCGTTAATGCAGACCTATTTTAACTGTCAATTATTTATTGCGCAATTTACGCTCCTGTGTAGTGCATGTACAGGCCAGAGGACTGATGTCCAGCAGCAGCACTCACATGCATGAGTTTCTCCTCGTAGTCAGCCACAAGACTAAAAAATGAATTTTGGCTGAAAGCCGCGTAATTCCACGGCCTGTGTGTGTGTGTGTGTGTGTGTGTGTGTGTGTGTGTGTGTGTGTGTGTGTGTGTGTGTGTGTGTGTGTGTGTGTGTGTGTGTGTGTGTGTGTGTGTGTGTGTGTGTGTGTGTGTCCAAGCCAGTTGTACCGGAAGAGCCCACGAGCGTGTACTTGGTAATAGTGACGAGGTGTGAGCCTGACACATAATGACAATAAAGTTATAAGTGACATTTATAATATGAGCCACACTACACAATGATACATTTGGTGGTAGATATTTGTGTACTTTGTACCATCTACAATACTTCTAAACCGATCAATTAAGTATTTCTTTCTTTCCTGCCAATGAAATGTGAATAAAGACACCATGGTCATTACTTGATCATGATCAAAATGTTATATTCTCAATCCTAACATTCCCACATGAATCCATGGTCAACAACAAAAGAGATTGAGAAGCCAATATAAGACAATCCAAATACTTATACTTAAATATATGCAATGAATTAACAGTGACATTAAAGTGATAGTCTGGTCGGAAGGATTTGTGAAAAAAAAACGAGCTTCCTCCACCTTCCTTTCTGGTTGGTCTTGAAGTTGCGCCTTCTGTTCCATACACGTGACAGGTCAATGGGCCAAGACGTGTGGAGGAGAGAGAGAAAACAACCAGTGTCAACAATAAGTTATCGGAGGTAGGAGGGACATGTGAAATGGGTATATTCTGCTCTTGAGCTGAGTGTTGATCCATGGCTGTGGTCGGGACCTAATGGTGGAGGCTTGATTCGGAGGCTCTGTGAAAACAAACAACTGAGCATGCGCGCAGTTACGACATAGAGTGTATATATCTCCGCCGTTCTAACTAATGGGCCAAAAATTGGGCTTTCACGGAGTGATTCAAAATGGCCGCGGGGGCTGGAAAATGTGAAAAAACACATCTGTGCATGCGTCAGCCGGCGCGAGCCCCATTCATTTAAACGAGTGCCTTCAAAAATTCACAGCGAGTAAACTAGAGTGGTCCAAAAAAATTCACCCCCCTCAGCATTGACACACATGTGGAACATAGCGTTGGGCCAAGAGCCAACTTTTGGACCATCCTGTAAAGACTTTTTCAAGAGTTGAGAAGATGCTATAAGAAGCATTGGCTAATTCTTATTCCGGGTCCACCGCCGTCGGCCCGGGTTTGTATTGCAAGCATGATTGACAGCCTTTGGCACTTGATTGGTTCAGGTGGATTTTGAGCCATAGCTGAGATAAAAGAAGGCGGTACTTTAATGCAATTAGGACAGAAATTGACTTTACGTGTTTATGTTCTCAGATTTGTGTGAGTTTTCTCTGGATCCAAACACAGCTCACAGAAGCCTCCGACTGTCTGAGGACAAGCGGACGGTGACCAGAGGGAGACAGGAGCAGCAGTATCCAGATCATGAGGACAGATTTACAAACTGGTGTCAGGTCCTGAGCAGCACTGGCCTGAGGGGGCGCTGTTACTGGGAGGTGGACTGGAGCGGGTGGGTTGATGTCGCAATGAGTCACAGAGGAATCGGACGCAGAGGGACGAGAGAAGACTGTGAGCTTGGAGGCAATGACCAGTCCTGGAGTCTGAAGGTCATTGAGGGACATTACTCTTTCTATCACAACAACAGCGAGACAGTCCTCCGAGCCCTCTTCTCCTCGTCGTCTTTGCAACCCTCAGGCAGAGTGTCTGTGCTCCTGGATTCAGAGGCTGGATCTCTGTCCTTCTTTCACGTCAAACCTGATGGAGAACTGTCCCACCTCCACACCTGCACCTCCTCCTTCACTGAGCCTGTGTTCCCTGGGTTTGGACTGTGGTGTGACGGTTCCTCTGTGTCTGTGTCTGTGACGGATCATAGGAGAGCGCCCTCTGCTGGACTTAAGTGATTTTTCCTTCTCTAAATCAGTGGGGCACAAAGTAGCATTATTAGTGGCCTCCCAATTGTTGGTAAGAGGTATTCTAAAGTATTATCTAAATAAATGTGTAGGTGTTAAATAAAATAAAGAAGAGCAGTCTAAAATAAAGAGAAAACCACAATGACTAATTTTGGATGAGTTGTGAACCCTGGACTGTTGTACGCATCTAGTATCAATGTATATAAAGTAGCAAATACCGTACATTCTCGACCATTATAGGCCGCACTGGGATATGAGCCGCAGGTTTTCATGTTGTAATGTAACAGATAGACAACCGTTTTCTCTGTTCTACCCTTGGGTCAAAAAGACTCGCCTCAGATGAAAAGTACAGGAGAAAAACCTTTCTACCCGAGGCTTGGTTCTCCTCATGACCACAACTGTTTTACCCCCATGCTGCAGGCAGTAAGGTCAGCTGATAGATGGGGAGACACGTTTCAACAATTTTCTACAATATTTGTGTGTGAAGAACACTATGTCCAGGACAGAGCAGATTGTTTTATACTTCAGAGTTGTAGCAACCTTATGAAGCGTCTAAAAGTGTCTAAATTACAGACATGAGTTAGGAAAAATCATCATAAAAAAATAGGAAATTTGTGGAAGGTCCATTTGACACGACATGGTTCAATGATGAAGTGTTTAATAGCTTCACAGCCAGCTTCCACAACTCATTCACTTTCATCTTTTTTGACAATAATCCATTGTTCTACAGCTACTAAAACTTGATGGAGTCAAAAACAAATAACTCTGCTCTGATAACTCTACCACAATAAAAACCCACATATTAGCCTTGATAAGCCACAGGGTTAAAATAACAAGAACAAGTAGCAGATTATAGTCCGGAAATGTTGGTACTTTTTGCTTGTTGTATTTAGTGAGAGAAACGATCAAAACTCTGTCTAGAGTAGATGTGTTTTTGTTTATTCTTATCTAATTCTGATTCAGGGCAGACTGTTTCAGAGCGCTGCAGGTGGTATGGGTGGCGTGGTTCCTTTTTAATTGTTCATGTGCACATTCACTAATGAATAAACTCTCACTTTGATTGTATTCCAACTGGTTGTTTACATTGTTGAAGCTCTCGGCCTGTGCAGAATTTCCACAACAACATATTTATATTTAAATGACTAGTTACTGGGATAAAACTATTTTACAGTCAACAAATAAAATATTGTTTTTGTATGACAATGTTTTAAAAATGCTTTAAAATGTAACTTAATGACTTCTATAACAGACATGACGCTTCTATAGAACTCTCGATGATCTGCTCTCACGTGATCTCAGTTTTGGATGAGTTTGTTTGTTACCCCGCATAGCTCACTGCAACCAGGGGTTCCCGTTTCCCTGTTGGCTAGAATCTACAGGGGCAGCAGAGTTTGAGGGATTCCTCTGAGGGCATTGTTTAGCAACATGACCTGCTGTTTAACACTTAAAACACATGGGTTAGGCGTCAGGAGTACATTTAGGAGCGGTTTTAGGACTAAATGATTGTTTGTCCTCTTGCTCTGAGTAGTCAACTCTTGCACGGCTTTGGTTAGTTCAGTTATGGCCTTTCTCTGTTCAGACAGGATTTTTATTACATCAGAAGAAACGGGCCTTTCGTTAGATTCAGACATGACTCCCCGGTTCTGCGCCTCAACATAACTTGACTGCAGGTTTGTCCATCCATCCCTTTTTTCCCCTTAATGCATTTCTGGGTGGCAGTCAGAGCTGTACCCAATTAACATAGCACCAGCCCCTCACTGATCCTCCTGCAGGTGGTGAGTCCGCAGGTGGTGAGTCCGCAGGTGGTGAGTCCGCTGGAGCCACTGAAGGTTTGTACTTTTGATTTTACTACAATGGCACCTTGGACTGGATCTTCAGAGAACCACAGATAAGCTTCCTCCTGAACTTCTATCAGAGTAGATCATGGATAATTGGATAATTGACGGATCACTTACTCCACCTGCAAACAGATCCATCCTTGTTGTCGTCATCCTCCTCTTTTGTTGCCGCTCAAGTTTAGATGTGTCAGGCTGGGAAGTTTTTCTGCTAAAACATTGAGACTACTGCTGATTCTGTTATTGCTCAACTCAGAGTTTTGTTAGCTTTGGTAGGTTGGCAATAGAAATAATTCACTAGTAACTTTGTCACTAGTCACTTTACCTGTTATCAGTACTACTACAGTATTACATATCTGATATTTACTGTTATCAGTACTACTGTATTATTTCATATCTGATAATTCTGCCTTCCACCGTCACTTTACCTGTTGATATCTTACTGTATTATTCATATCCATCTGATAATTCTCCCATTCAAGTCACCTTACCTGTTGATATTATTTCTGATGTTTATTCTCATATTCTCATATTCTCCGCTGCTAATGTATAATATAGACATCTGTAAATACTCCGAACCAAGTGCAATTGTTGCCTAGATTTTCTTATTTTATTTTATTTTATCTTAAATTTATTGCCTATTATCTTAAATAATAGACTTTAATGTGTGCAATCTGAGTGCTCTTATTTCCTTTCTCTGCTGTAATGTGCAACGATGACACTGAAATTTCTCCACTGTAAGACTAATAAAGGTTTATCTTATCTTATCTTATAAGACCAACATTTATCAAACTGAGGAATTCCAGGTTTACAAACTCGTATGTGAGGCCTTCAGTTTTCCCATCTGGTGACCGGCAATTATCAAGAACAAGTTTTTGTCGCATATGTTCTGGGGTTGCTCCAAGCTATACACTTTTTTTTGTCAAATATTTTTTCAATATTATTAAAAGCTATTCACAAAACTATGGGAACTTGAACTATAGGTTACAAACATAAATACAGTTGGTACGGTGGCTGAGTGGATAGCACAACAAGACGGTTTTGGTTTCAAATCCCAGTTGGAACAGGCAGTGGTGTTCCAAGGATACTCCGGAGCCCCAGCCAACACAGTCCTTGGGGGCCTCGATACTGACCACAAATCTAGATTTTGTAATCCTACAAAATCTAATCTTTCATTTGGCCCTCGGTGTTTATAGTCTATATTGTTGACTATATGTTTACATTATGATTATGTGTGAGAAAGTGAACTTTTAACAAGGGTTTTTAACTGCTTTTATTTTGACACTTCCCCTAATTACCCACACCTGCTTTTAACCAAGACTGTCTTAAATTGGGGGCGGGCACTGCAGGAGGAGGACAGAGATACACGGGGGGGACTGAGGCCAGCAGGAGGGGACTGAGGCCAGCAGGGGGGGACTGAGGCCAGCAGGGGGGGACTGAGGCCAGCAGGGGGGGACTGAGGCCAGCAGGGGGGGACTGAGGCCAGCAGGGGGGGACTGAGGCCAGCAGGGGGGAGCGGCACCGGTGAGGGGGCGCGCATTGACAGCGCATGAAGGCGCGTGCGCGCCCGGGCTAGGCCCACTTGCGTCCGGGATTTGCTGGCTCCCCCCCTCGGGTGCCCGGTGGCGACCCGTGGTCGGCGAGTGGCTGGCGGGACTGCGGGACTGCGGCCCAGTCCCGGGAGAGAGAAGAGCGGAGGCCAGTGGGGACGGACGAGCGACTCTGGGCTTTTATCATCTTTTTAATGGACCTCTTGCAAATATTTTATTACATTTTTATCCTCTTGCTATTTATTGATCACACCCCTCAACAGACTCTTTTAAACCTGTGACATATGTTTATATAGTCTATACAAACACCAAAAGATTGGGCTCTTAGCTTTTATCTGCAAAAACGGCTTGTTTTTACCTTTTACCGTTCTTGAGCAATCTGTCATAGAATATAATACTGTATATAGATAATCCAAAACATAGCTCTATCTCAGAATCGAGCTCGGGTTCAAACTCATGGCCCCAGCGCTGAAACTTATCCACTAGACCACTGACATACTACACTCCTTTGTCTCCAGACCGGGATTTCACTGTTAATGAAGAACGTAGCGAGTTTTGCATCGGACGAGAACTTTCCGCCAACTCATCACTGCAGGTAGCTGTTGTCGTCTGTACAAGTCGACCGCATGTGTCAAATCAGTCGGCCCTCAGGGGCCCCCTGCCAGTTTGGGGGCCCCAGGGAGCTGCCTGCCTTGCATAATTGCAAGGGACGCCTCTGGGAACAGGGCCTTTCTGAGTAAAGTTTACATGTCCTCCCCATGTCTGCGTAGGTTTCCGGGTGCTCCAGTTTCCCCTACCACTAAACAACATGCACAATAGTTATGCATATAAATGAGAATGGATGGTTTTTTTGGTCAGAGGCTTTGAAGCGCCAGTGTGTTCGGTGTCTCGCTTCCGTCATCACTGTGTATGGAATGATTGGAACAATATCTGAACTCGGAACATTGTAAAGAGCTTTGGGTGACCTTGGTCTGTAAACATGTGCTATATAAATAAACATTACTTACAATTAAAAAATCCACTTAAATTAAAAAATCCACTAAAACTGCATGGTTTCTCATAGTCTGTGTGTAAGAGCTACCAAATTGTTGAGGAAACCCTTAAAAAGGGATCAAAGGAACAGAAACAAGTTTAAAAGTGACTAAAATTTGACAGCAAAATAAAGGTTAGGGTTACTGAACTACTTAAGTAAAAGTACTCAGTTACTTGCCACATCTGGCCTCTCAAACACATCAGTGAGTTTCTCATGGCTAGTTCAGTCTAAAACAAAACCACAGGGAGAGACCAGTTTAATTTGATTTAAGATATTTTTAAGATATTTTTATTAATATCAATCAAAGAAACTACAGATGGAGTTATTGTGATCCGGGTAAACACACAATAAACATTGCACAGTTTTGACAAAAGCCTTTGTTTGGATCTGTGTGAATTTCTCTGGTTTGTAAACGATACAAAGATCCACGACCGGTTATTGCTGCATCAGTCGAACACAAGTCTGGACTCTGATTTAAGAGTTTAAACTTAGAGCACACATAGAGGACAGGAGAAACAGCTACAGCAGCAGCTCCAGGTTTGGATTTTAAGACAATTTAAAGCTGGGGTACCTAACTTTGTGGTCTGATCCATTCACATTTTACTCTGACAAACATGTGCTCATTATCTGATTAGAACACATGTTATCTTTTGTTTGAGTAAGTGCCCTGTCAATCATTATTTGACTCTTTGGGCTGAGACAACTTTAAAAACGGTTTAGTACATAATTCATTTTTGTGGTTTCAAAAGTATGTAACCCAGCTTTAAACCTGTGTTCCACCAAATAAAGTCAAAATCAATAATAATAAATCCAGTTACCTGAACTTAAATACGTTTGCGATCGCTAAACTCAGACCAAAATGCTTCCCAATTACATTCACAATGATTATGCAAATCTTGTGTGTTTGAATTTGCCATTAAATAACAAAATCCATCGATTATCCTGCATTTCTGTTCATTCATCACTGCAGCTGTGTGGCGCCCCCTCCTGGACAGAGCTGGACCATGTGGAGTCTCAAAAACGGAAATTCGGAAAAAAGGTGCAAGAAAAAAAAAAAAAAAAAAAAGATAAAAACTAAAGCAATAAATAGAGTTTCCTCCAGAGAAGCAATGGGCCCAACGCTGAGTCCAGACCTGGTTCAGACGTGGATTAGTCACGGATGTAGACCTGGTTTAGACGTTAGACTGTGTTTAGTCCTGCTATGGAACTAAAAACATCGATTGGTTTGCGTTTTTGCAGAAATATTTTGACACTGCTTCAGTCCTGATTCAGTCCCTGCTTCAGTCCTTTTTTTAGTCTCTGCTTTAGACCCGGTTCAGGGTGCATTCCAGTCGTCCTCAGAGGTCACAGGCTCAATAGCAGATAAGTTTGTGTGGATAAATCAAAGCAAATTCCAGTTCGCAAATGCACAAACATGACACAACTGCAACTGGATCCAGTCGTGATGGCGCTTAAAAACATTTGACTCAATCGCTCCATTAATTCGTTACAATGGAGGAATTTAGAGAAACCAAACATGGCGGCTGTTGTGTTTTGCGAATATATTACTCACTAAAACGTCTTCATGACCAACGTACTAACTTTTAACCAGAGTGTCTTGTGATGTTTAGCCGTTACCCAAGACCAATCCGTTCTGTAGTTACATGCAGGATATTGGACCCGTTTTGCAATCGGTTTTCATCCGTCTCAAAATCTCCTTTGCGATCAAATGTGTTGCTAACCGATACTTAAAGCCAAAAGAATCCCCAACCAAACAGCAGGACTGGTGCCGCTTTACTCGTGACGCAACAAAAACAACTCTTCAGAAATATAGAGGCGGAATAGACACACATAAAGCTTTACTGTACAAATACGGTATTAAACTACGGCATTATAGTGGTCAAATCCTTGGGTGAGTATTCCACAATCTGAAAGTCAACCTCTGAGGACAAGTGGAAGGCTGTTTTGCACATTGTTCCAGCTTCCCTGCGGAGTTCCTGTCTTCTAAACCGGTTTCCATCGTAGAGAGAATGTCTGAGAGAGTCTGAAGTCATTTCCTGGGACGATCTTCAGCTTCTTGTGTGGAAGTAAATGTTCTCAGTTAGAGCCAATCTTTGCCCTAAACTCACAGACTTCCTAAGCTTCAGAACTGGCAGCGGGAAAAGGCCATGTTTTCTCCTAGTTCACTCATCTGCCGTTTGGACGATTTGAAGGAGATAGAGGAGGTAGATTCACATTCAAGAGGCGGACGTCGAGACGGAGGAATCAGAAAAATCCACGACTTCTGGAGAAATATTATACAACGATTCCAGGAAATATTCTCTGGCTGGTTTCGGTCTCCCAAAAACTGTCTTTCACTTCTGAATAGTCTGCGTTGTGGCGTAGAGCAAGTGAATTTGGAGAGATTTGGCCAAAAGAAACCACTCCCGCTTGGAATTTTGAGAGAACTGGCCAAACAAAACTGCTCCCACTTGGATTTGGGAGATTATTAGCCAAAGAGAACCACTCCGGCATGGTTTTGGTGGATTGAAGAGTTGGTGTAGCCTCGGGTTAGAGCTGGAATCCCTCGCTGGGGCCGTCCCCCTGCTGGAACAGGAACTGAGCCTGGTTCTGGTCGACTTGTGGAGCCAGGTTCGAGTCCTCCTCCTCCACGCCAAAGTATCGCTCGATCAGGTCGAAGGCTTTCTGGTAAATCTCCTGGTTCTCGTGGCTCTGCAGGAACTCGATCTTGTCCAGGCCTGAAGAGAAGAGGGGAAGGCAAAGAGATTATTTGCAATTCAACAGGCTTAACGACAGCTGAGACAGGTCTGTAAACATAGACAGAAATTAGTCTTTGGTTTACATCACACCCAGCATGACAACTCGCCCTTCTCCGGGCCTCTCCGGGCCTCTCCGCCCTCGGGCCTCGCCCCCCTCTGGCCTCTCTAGTGTCCCTTCTTGTCCCCAGTCTTACCGTAGGCCTCCTCGATGAGTGCGCAGTACGGGTTGATGCCGGAGCCGTTCTTCTTGGCTTCTTTCTCTCCGAGTCTCAGGATGTTTTCTAAGCCGCTCAGCGACACCTGGACGATCTTAGAGTCCATGACGGTCAGCAGGTCACACAGGGGTTTGATGACGTTCAGAGATACCAGGTATCTGCAACAGGAGACTGAGGTTAGAGACTTTTAAACAGCATAAATAAGCGTAATATGACACTATCAAACCAAGATCTAAATTTACAGCCCCTTTAGAGGTGATATATACTCTAGTTTTAAGGGGCTGTGACGATGCATTGCAATTCACCAACCAGAACAGACAGACACCAAAATTGCAAAGAGTTTTGTCCGACCTCAGTCTATGAACACTCAAACACGCTTAGCTTCGTGACAGACTTTAGATCACAAGGACATTTTCTTTGGCATTTCTTGTGGAACATGGAGAGACTGGAGTTTCTCTCAGACCTGATCTGCACCGCGGTGCCTCCTGACGTGGCGTTGGTTATGGCCCAAGCCGCCTCCTTCCTGGTCCTGAACTCTGCTTTCTGAAGGATCTCAATCAGCACCGGGAAGATGTTTGCATCAATCACATTCTGAAAAAACAGAGTATTATGGAAAAAAATCTGATGAGAGCGGAAAGAGAACGCGAAGCATACAACGCCAGAGATGCAAGGAAATATGAAACACAAATGGACAAAGAACTGGGATGGGTAATTTTTCCTTCAGACCAAATTCTTTCCAGGGGATGAGTGAGATCAGAAAGTTACTGAAATTTTCATAGATTTGTAGCGGTTTTAGCTTTTCTATTTTATTGGAATGATATGATATAGATATAGAAAACATGATATGTGTTGTGTAAAAGAGAAAGAAGCTGTGAGACACTATTTGACTCTTTGGGCTGAAAGCTGATTGGCCGAGTGGGGTGGTCCTCTCTTTTTCACTTTTCTGTCAAAAATAAGTGCTGATCCAAAGAAAAAAACACTACTGGAGCAAACTCTTTTAGAGCCAGTAACTAGTGACAATACATCGTTCCATTTGTGGTGTCAAAGTTTCGTCCCCCAGCTTTAAACGCTGTACCTGTATCTGCGCCTTGTTGCCAGCGGTGATGTTCGACACGGTCCAACACGCCTCCTTCTTGATGGACTCTTTGGGGGAGCTGAGGAGGTGCAGGAGGCAGGGCAGCGCGGAGCAGTTCAGGATCACCTTCAAAACACAGCAGACGATCAAATGTGGGTGAATGGGTGGTGGTGGTTGGAGGGGCCAATGGAAAAGACCGGTTGCCTCGCTTCTGTCAGCGTGCCCCAGGGCAGCTCTGGCTACAGTAGGAGTTTATCACCACAATGTATGGAGTGAAAGAAGCGTCTTTGAATGCCCAAAAAAGTGCTATATAAAACCAATGCATTATTATTATTATTATTATTATTCAAAACTCTGCTTACTGCCTGCTCACCCATCACCCCCATCCTAAAACTAATCCACTGGCTCCCTGTCCCATTTCACATACAAATAGGATCCAGCGTTCTACATTATGGAACTCACTCACACGACTGAACCTACCTGATAGAAACTGCTTATACTTAATTGTCTAAAAAAGTGCTCTATAAGTATCAACACATAAGTATGATGTATAATTATTGTCATTATTACCTGTGTCTGGATGTCGTCTCCCGTCACAATGTTCCCCACAGCACGAAGAGCAGGAGACACCACTTTGTAGTCACTGTGCCTGAAACACAAAACGTCACATTTACTACTTTAGTCAAAAGGAGATCAGCCACATCGTTACAACCAATGAGGCATAAGCTTTGTTTGGGGTCTAGTCTTACATGAGCAGCTCCACGAGGCGGCGGCAGACCCCAGAGTCAATGACGGTCTGGATCTTCTCGTTGGGTCCATCAGAGAGATAAGACAGAGCCCAGCAGGCATCAGCCAGGACATCAGGGTCACTGCTGAAGAGGAGGCGGGACAGGAGGCTGAGGCACGGAGACACCTGCAGCAACACAGCACAAACAAATACTTTAAAATCACAACATCCGTCCACGGTGTTTATAGAAGAGCATATTCTGCAGATATCAGTCTCCATGTTCAAACTTTGTCCCTCATCAGTCATTGGATCTAGAGTTGTTTTTAGATCCTTCAACGCTAACATAAGGAACATATGGCACAAACATTGAACTCTGCCCGTTTTGTCTAAAAGCTCCTGTCTCAGTCCTGTAATAGTATAAGTCATTGTTTAACTGCCTTTTAAAACAAAAGACAGTTTTGGTGATATCTCATGTGAAATTACATCATTTAAATATGTTCAAGTTTAAGAAAAAAAAAGACAATTCCACAGCTCCCTCTGGTGGTGGCATAAGGAGTTACAGGCATAAAGCATATATTTTTTTTCTGAAGTTATTATTTGACACTTAAAAATGCTCTCTGAGTGTGAGCATAGCCTTGATCTTTCAGGGGGGGCTTTTGGCAAAGTGGGGTTAAGTGTCTTGCCCAATGACAGCAGTCATCAGTGGGAGTCGGTGGAGAAGGTGTCGAGGTGGGAATAGAACCCACGACCTTCAGGCCTGAAGGCCAATGCTCTACCAACTGAGCTACTGTCGGCCCCCACACAATTACTTTCCATGTTAGTAATAATATTACTACATCTTAGCGGCATAGTTTAAGTATCGAGATCTCTAAAGCCCATGAGGGTCAGACCTTGGTGAAGTCCGGAGGCGGGTTCTTCCCTCGGCACAAATTGGACAGAGCCCACACTGCGTTTCTCGTTGTGGTCAAACGGGTCGACTTGTCCAAAAGCCTGAAGCAAAGAACGAGTTAAAAATCCACACAGTGCATTTGAACACATCCTCATCATCCTCATCATCATCATGGTTCTTGTTGTTGCGAGATTGTTATTAATCTGTCCCTAATAAAACACAGCTTCTACTCTTTTATAAATATTTTTGGACTGAGTAATCTTTGAAGGCCAATTCAATTCCAAAACCTTTTCAGGGCGTGCCAAGTGGTTTTCCATTATCAATGACTCTTCCAGGTTTTCTATGTCTGTATTAAAGCCTTTTATCATCTTTCTCACTTCCTATTGAAGTCTTGAAAGGGAGAAAAACTCTTGCATAATGGATCACTCAAAAAATGTCAGTGTCAGGCCATAACATGACATTAAGATAAGAGTATTTTTATATTTACATATTAATTATACACATGCAGTAAATACATGAAGCCTTGAAATCGACTAAAGACCAAGTGGAAGGAAACGCATTATCCGTTTTGTCCAATTTAAAGCTTGTTGAATTGAGTTTGGCTTGATCACTTGAGGCTGCACTGATGGTAGATTTGGCTAGACTTTTTGCTCTAAAAGTAGGAGTGACTCACTGCTGCAGCGAGGGCAGGATCCCGCAGTCCAGGACGTAGTCTCTGCACTCTGCATTGTCTCCGGCGATGTTCCCCAAAGCCCACACCGCCTGAACACATGAAGGAGAGACTCAGGAACCGAACGCATCCACAGACAGACTATAGTTTACAAAGCATAAGAATGTGGAGTGACCTCTTTGAACAGACGTAGCCTTGTGCTGCTTTCAGAGACGTTTCGTAACTTTGCCCTCAGAACTCACACTTTGTAACAGTAATTGTAAATAAAATGTCTCATATAAACAGAACCATCACAGTTTGGGCATATGTAATCACACAACACAATACTTTGAGCGATTGATTTTCACACAGGCTTAACTGCAGCAGCAAAGTCTTCTCATTTCCGCAGCACAATTAACAGCATCATGTTTCCTGCTTGAACCTCATGTCACAAAATCAGAGAGAGACCCGAGAAAGACCAGAAACCAAAACTAAAATAAAAGAAACACTCACTGTGCATTGAAAGCAAATGTCTGAGAACCTCTTTACATAAGCTAAGACTTTTGGGGATATTTTAATACCAAGGTAAACACTAGTGATGGCAATATGAAGCCCCATGAAGCCTTGAGGGATCGCAGCCTATTACTCGGCCCATGAGTCGAAGGCTCGAGGTGAATCATGCTCCACTACGCCATCATGTGGACAAAAAAATACATAACACTCTTAAGTGCTTACAATGAATGGTGAGATCTAATGTTAAAATGTATATTTACAATCTATGGTCTAACGTGTTGTGTTTGAAATGATGCTTCATGAACTATGAACTATTTGAGTCTTTCAGTCAATTGTGTTGATACAACAAACACATCCAAAGTAATACAGTTTTACAGAAAGTGATTAATGGAGGAAAAACTACCAAGAGGTGGATTAATTAAACACAACAAACCATTTATTCCCAATAAATAAATACATTTACTTTGCAACACAAAATTTATTATGGGTAGACCAGGATTCGAACGCTATATCTTCTGCTTCGGAGTCCGTCATATACCGACTGCGCCACACAGCTGTTGTGAAATGTATTATCCAGCGTATTATTACTAATAACTTGAAGCCTTGATATATGAGGTTTTACTGAAGTGAAACGTTTTTAATTGTATTTCATATGAAGTAGTTTCTCTATACTTAGTACAGGACTGCTCCACATCACGCACACACACGTACGCACACACACGTACGCACACACACACGTACGCACACAGAGGCAGACGGGGACAGCCAATACAGTCTATGGTACAGCCGCAGATCACAAAGCACCTGTCAAAGCAATGCACTCTCCGAACTATATGAAGCACTATATGAACCGTCACGTGGTGCGGCCGCTACGCGAGGCTTCGAACGTCACCACACACGTGACCAATACACGCCTCGACCCACACTTCACAAGAAACGCCCCCAGATTACTCGGTCCACGCTTCGAAGACTCGGTCCGCTCAGCACATCACTAGTAAACACTCATTTGAGATGTGATAATATTTCAGAAAAAAAAAAACACATTTACAATAGATTTGTAAAGATTTCAGTAATAGATAATAAAGAATAGCAGTCCGAGTCCTGCCCTGGGTTGTCCTCACCTGCTCCTGCACGTCCTCGTACTCAGAGTTGAGCAGTTTGATGAAGATGGGAACAGCTCCGGTCTCGATCACCACTTTAGTGTGAAGGAACGTCCCTGAGGCGATGTTGGTGAGAGCCCAGGCCGCTTCAAACTGGAGACACAACACACCGGGTTAAAGAACCAAATACTATGCATTATCTTTTGACTTCAGCAATCCTAATGAGGCCAGTTACTTTGTCAGTTCATTGAATAGTCTCTACTTGAATCTGGGTTAAAATAGCACAAAATACTAATCTTTTCAGAGTTTGCAGCCTCTCGTTACTTGTCCTCGTCGACTGGTCCCCACAAGTACACAGTGTGTTATGGTACAAACCTGCAGAGTGCAGTTGTCTGTTCTCTGGAGGAAGTCCACGAAGCGGCTCACGACTCCTGGAGTAGAAATGACCTCGTCTATGGGCGGATTCGGCTCTGGAACAGAACATGAGGTTTTAGACCAAACTAAAGACGGCAGAAAGGAGTGGACAGAGAGTGTGACAGGTCATGAAAGCATCATGGAACCTGAACAGTGGCAGCAGCAGAAGTACCAGATTTATTTGGAACGGATGTATCTGAAAAATAGTGGTCTCTCCTTTATCACAGGGTTAGGTTCTAGAATTGACCCACATTAAGTGAAAACCTTGAAGTAGCAGCTGTAAAATTCAAGGCTGTAAAGACTAGAGATATAAAACCTGTTGGATGTCGGTCTGAGCGCTGCTGCAGCTGTCAAAAGCCGTGCATGCTCTTTTGGATACAGCTGCAGAGGACACTGAGGATCAAGAGCGGGAGGGACCAGCGAGAGGGACCAGCGAGAAAAGACCAGAGCGAGAGACCAGGGACCAGTGCAAAATACAGCTGCAGAGGACACTGAGGGCAGGAGCAGAGTGGGGGTTAGGGGGAGACAGTGATAGTCCTCTGAACTAAACACAGCGACGCACACAAGCCAAACGTTTTCTTCTGACTTGAAATTAAGGTAACTGTCATGTTATTCCATCAAAGGCCTTCAAAGCTGCTTAGTGTGAAAAAGCTGCTCTGTGGGCTGAAGATTTATTTATTGTAATTTCAAAGCATCATAAAAACAGCTCAGTGCAGCTTCATGATCCAACAGTCTCAGAACTGTAGTGACAGTGGAACAGCAGGAACAGCCTCAGAGAGAGACAGTGGTTTGCTAAAGTCCCCAGACCTGAATATCATTGAGAGTTTGTATGTGTGATTTAAAACAGGCTGTCCATGCTCAGAACCCATCAAATCTAACTGAACTAGAGATAAATCTGCAAAGAAGAATGATCCAAAATACCTTTCACCAAAATCCAGATTCTAATTGTAAGTTATGGGAAGCATAACTTACTGTTTTCTTCTGCAAACATTATTTTTTCTTTGGTGGTGCTTAAATTTACGTGCATACCTAATTTGGGTTAAATAATTCTACTGTACTATACTTTGTGTAAATTATATAAACTTTATTTCACTTCTCAATTATCACCGTTTGTCTCTGATATGATATATTTAACTGGAATTCATTATCAAAACAATCAATAATTTATGAAGGAAAATCATAAAAAAATCATTGAGGTTTAAAAGTGGTATTCAGATTCACTTTAGATGATTTCAAGTTATAGTTTGTCCCTGGGTTCAGTCACATTCAGTTCGACTGTTGTTGCATTTCACCTTTGGACAGAAGCTTCCGGAACTTCTGTGTGGCGAGCAGCTGCTGGTCCGGATCCTCCGAGAGAATCATCTGGATCATGTCCGGAGAGATCACTGCGTCCTGAAACAAAACATAACTCGATTATTAAACATATAAAAACATGTGCAATGGGATGTCAGCGCCCCCTGGTGGAGCTGTACTGCTCTCACCCCGGCCATGGGCACTGTGGTGCTGATGTCCGGATCCTGGATGGGACACTCCGACATGGACTCATCGTTTGGCAGAGACACGTTCCTCCTTTTGAACAACTGCAGAGAAGAAACACTCAACGTGACTCCAGACGCTTTATCTGTGTTCATTTAGAAACGTTTCAACTGCAATCATTTACATTTAGCTTAGGATGTGAACTCTTTATGTACTCTTTTTAAAGTTAAAAAAAGTCCTCCAGTGGTGGATGTGGGATATTACATTAAATTCAATTTAAAGCACAACAGCAGTTCTCTCGGAGGACTTTACAAAGCTGTCGAATCGCAAACACAGATCAGAGAATCAAACCGTTCAGATTCTTTCACAAAACGGCGTCGAAAGCCCAGGTTCCGTCGCCAAGTTTCTACTCGACAGGTAAAGCTTGGATTCTATATTGTCTGACATAGAGGGCATTTAGTGGATGTTCTCTGGAGAGGGCGGCTCTTTCCTACATTCCAGGAAAGTTCTCCTAGATACCTCTAATAGCAATGCCACTTCTGCAAAAAGGTAAATGAATAATGGTAAAGAAATATACCAGTGTTTTTCAGTACTTTAGTGTTTGTTGCAACTTTGCAAAATGATCCAATCTCTGCGATTTGGTCACATTATTTTCCCTAAAATCATTTTGAGGAGAGAAAGACTTTGTGCTTGTTTGATTTTCTACACAATACACTTTAATGAGACGGACTTTGCATTGCTAATAAATGCTGCAGTTTCATGTTTGCATCAGTTTCAGCTGGCTGTGTGTCATGTGACCGTTTTCAATGGAAAAGGTATGTCACGGCTCAGAAAGGTTGGGAAAACTGAACTGGACCGTGGTGATACCGGAAACAGTGATAATCTTACACAATAACCATCTGCTCAAATGTTCTTGTCTTATCTCGAGACTGGATTATGGTATTTTGACCAATACATTCCTTTTGTTTAATTTGAGTGGAGTTTTTCTGAACAACATGAGGTCATGATTGAACTGAACCAAAACTGGACCAAACATTATAAAAGTCTTATTAGTGCAGACTCACACAACTACTGTGTTTCTTGTTTTGTTTTGTTTTGAGTTGCCTTGTACATGAGCTGTGTTAAAACTTGCCTATTGTCAACTATTATTGCATATGGATCCAATATTCATAGTAAATGCTAAAGTTGTTGTATTGAGATAATTCCCCTAAAATGATGTATAACATGTCAAAACACTCCCATATCCTTCGGCTTGTTGTCATTATAAACCACTAATGGACTCCCCTCAGAGCAGTGGTGAGTCTGAGGCTACTGAGGCTGTTACCTGCTCCTCCCTCTTCTGTTTGCGCAGCTGCACCCCCTCCTCCTCCCTGCGTCTCCTCATCTCCTGTGGGTTCAGAGCGTTGTTCTTGTAGCTCTTCAGCCGGAAGCACTCTTTCCCTGGACTCGCCATTTTCTCTGGAAGTCACAGAAAAGCAACAAGACTGAATGAAACCTGCAGCAGCACATGTCACAGCCACAATTCAAGTCGGACAGGAAACAGTTTATCACGTTTTTCCAGATCCACAAACTGTCATCCACTGCCCCCTGTGCCTTAAAGACGGGTACACAACTTTCAAACCACACCAATGGACATCTGTAATACAATCCAAGTCACTAGTTCCTAGCTCTAAAACAGTTATCACTAGTTTCCACATGTATTTTTGGCCTATGCCACATCTTTAGATCAGCTTTTTCAGACAGAAAAGTGGTTGTCCTCACTCAGCCAATCAGCTCTCAGCCCAAAAAGTGACTCAAAGGGCTCTTTCTCATACAAAAGTGAACATGATTTCTAATGAGATGAAGACAGCATGTTGGAGTGATTTGTTCACATTTCACTTTTTGTGCGTTATTTAAGAAACACATTTCAAATACCCCAGCTTTAAACAGACATCCATTCTGTTTAGAATTTTACACCTTAGTAGTATAAGTGTAAAATAGTATAAACCTATATTCTCTAGTGCAAAGATAAATATCTTTGCACTAGAGAATAGTGTGCTCCTCATTCCAACTGTTCTGTAACCTGTGATGCAACACTTACATGTGTCAGACGAACACAAAATCTATACAATATTCATCCCAAAAGGAAAAGTTCAAATGCACTTTAAAATGCTAATTTAAACCAGTTAGCACTTGTTTATTATATGTACACGGTATGCACCCTGTGGCAGTCATAATCTCACTTTTATCTTACGGATTTAGTGCAGTTTTGTAATTCACATGAACATTGGTGAGAGCTGCTCTGTGCTGCTCTTTGTGTAACGTAAGACGATAGATAATAAAGTGATTAGATTAGCTGAAGGCAGCTAACATAACTCGTGACAGCTGAGAACTTCAGTCAAATCCTAAACTATCATTTACAAATGTATCCCAGACACTCCTACAGAGAATGTTTGGAGTGTAATGTGTATGAAATCACCTATAATTCAATTGATTGTAGGCTAGAGGTCGGTTAGCATTAGCTTTAGCATATGAGCTAACAGTGCGTTGTGACATATTTCTGTGGAAAACACACGTCAAATGTTTAGTTTTTCTTTGTGTTGAACATAATTCAAACCACTGTGATTGTACTGATAAATAACAGACCTTACCTGGTGTGAAATGAGCTGTTTGTGGTAAAACAACCTTTCCACTCGTCCTCGTTTCGGGAACAAAATGGCGACAGGCTAAAAGTTCCAGGCGTCAACAGAAGCGTGCACTTCCGCCAGCTGCAGCCGAGAGGAGGGGGCCCGAGAGCGGCTGCTGCTGGAGCGGAGCGGCCCTGGAGCTCACACTAAAGTGTACAAAACACACATTAATCACAATTTTACTGTTCGCAACCTGAGCAAAGCAAAAACTGCTATTATTTAGAAGTCAATAAAAACTAAAAGTCTGGGGAAAAAAGTTAATTAAAAATGGGTTCAAATGTACGTTAATTTGGTAAAAGACTAATAAATAGTCAAATAAAAGTACATTAGTAAAGAATATGATAAAAATGAACATTATGATAATTGTTATTATTATATCCACATATTATATTTTCCACATTGGCAAATATCTATTATGATACCTCTACCAATTCTTATGTAAGAATTATGTAACATAATCAAACATAATCAAACATCTTTTTTTTGCTTAATTTTTTTTTATAATTTATGATATTAGTCTGCATTAATTTATTCCGTAACTAATACGTTTTTCAACAATTTTCTCCTACATTTTTCTAAATGTCTTTCTATATTATTTTCTAAAATTTTGAATAATCTCTCTTTGTTCAAATCCAGGTTAAAACAGTTCTGTTAAGTGTATCTTCACTCTTTATAACACAGTGAATAATTTCTTATTTTAATGCTTTGTGTCCTAACCCTTGTGATTTTAATGTTTCTTTTCTTGTTTTCTTAAATACTATGAGCTGCCTGAACTGTGCTATACAAATAAATCCGCCTTGCCTTTCCTGTGATCGTAATAACTATTATGGAAGTCCCAGAACCCTCTCCGACCATCCCCCTCCCCTTTCTAGCTTCATGCTGAGGAAAAGACTCTCTTTCTTACATAAACTTCTTCAGTATTTCTCTTTATCATTGACTTCTACGCGTCTGATTTACAGTCTATGTTTCTTACCCGCTCTGGCCGCTGGGGGCAGTAGTCTGTGGTGACGATGCATTTTGGGAAGTGTAGTTTGTGGAGCGGAAGTCCTTTGTGGCTGGAAGAACAGGCGCACGGTGCTGTTCGCTTGCTAGAAACATCGACATATTGTCTCTGCGTCGCACTCAGACGGTTCTAGACACCGGTTAAACATGTCTACGGGTCAAACACTCCGAACGATGGTGACTGCGCGTCTCACTGCGGTGGCGGAGGACATCATTGCGCTGTTTGAAGGGACCGTAGCGGAGTACGAGGAGGAGCTGTGTGTGTGCAAGCAAGAGATCCTCAGAAACCGAGAGGAGAACAAAAAGAGCCAGCAGGAGAACCTGAAACTGAACCGAATGAACCAGAGAAACCGGGAGGAGATAATCGCGCTCAAAGAGGAGATCCAGCGGAACCAGGCGCTGCTGCAGTCGAAGATCAACCCCAAAATCGCGCTGCCCAGGCCGGGTAGTCAGGACCCACCCTCGAGCCCTGGATCAGAAGCGAAACAGGGACCAAAGCAGGGACTAAACCCGGGATTGGCTCAAGAATCAGACCAGAATTCGGACCAAGAGGACAATCCACACCCGCTGATCAAAGAGGAGCCAGAGGAGATAGACGATCCAGATGAGCCGAACACAATCCAGGTGATGAACCACAATCATTTATGTCATACTAAAAATAACATTACACTAAGCTGTGCATATGATAATGAAGTGGAGAATGTTAATAGATCGATTAATAATGTTTTAACCGTATATAGATTTAAACAGAGAACGCTATGACTGCAGAAATATGTGGAAAATGTGTTCACAAAGTATTTTTCATCAAACAAACCAATGTGTATGAAGTCAACTCTATGAAGATGTTCTCCAGGGGCATCATTTGAGCTGCGGTTTGGCATCTGTAGATCAAGGACTGAGGCTTTAGATCTAGGACTGAGGCTGTAGATCAAAGACTGAGGCCGTATATTCAGGACTGAGGCCGTATATTCAGGACTGAGGCCGTATATTCAGGACTGAGGCTGTAGATCAAAGACTGAGGGAGAAGATTCAAGACTGGGGCTGTAGATGAAGGACTGATGCCGTAGATTCAGGACTGAGGCCCAAGATTCAGGACTGGGGCTGTAGATTCAGGACTGGGGCTGTAGATTCAGGACTGAGGCTGTAGATTCAGGACTGGGGACCAAGATTCAGGACTGGGGCTGTAGATTCAGGACTGAGGCTGTAGATTCAGGACTGAGGACCAAGTTCAGGACTGGGGCTGTAGATCAAAGACTGAGGCTGTAGATCCAGGACTGAGGTTGTAGATCAAGGATGCTGTAGTTAAAGCTATTTAACTTCTCACTCGGAAAAATATGATTGAATTCTGCTTGGATCGGAAATTCGACTCGGAAACTTGTACTGAAGTAGTAGGCTTTGAATCCCCAGTTCACGTCAAACAGGCAATTAGCGGAATCTCAATGTAAACACCCTGCAGTTTCTCAAACGCATGCATCTTGTCTCTTCTTCTGGAACGCTCCGATTTAGGAAATTCTGAGCAGTTCCTGAGGTCACATGATCCAGAATCCAGCAGGTCTGTCAAGTCCACATGAAGAGATCCCACAGTTCAAAGATGGAAAATAACAAGGCCAACAATTTTTGACACTTTGGACTTTTGGGGTCACTCACTTTTGTTGTAGCAGTTCACTCACTGATGAGATGACATTAAAGCTGTGGTACCTAACTCTCAACCCACAAACACTGGAACTATGCATTTCAATTCTGCTCATTTCCTTCTCTCAAAACAGTTTTTTTTTTAAAACAGTTTGGTTTTATTACTAGTTTTCACATGTATGTATGTTTGGCCTCTGTCACATCTTTACATCAGCTTTTTCAGAGAGAAAAGTGAATAAGAGAGGATCGTCCTCACTCAGCCAATCAGCTCTCAGTCAGGGATGACCTGAGCACAGATATGATGTGAGAGGCCCTGTGCTTCCAGAATGTACTGGAGCTGTTTCCAGAGACAGCGGCTTGGTCTAACCTACTGCATGGAGGGGAGAAGGATAGTCTGGTTAAATGATTAAAGGGGACATAACCTGGTTCAGGTCTCAAAATTATGTCTATCTAAGACCCCATGGCTCTTTATTAAATATATAGTTCATATATATCCGGTTGAGAAATGTCAGTGTCATTGCGCACATTACAGGAGATATAAGAGTCTTTTATGTAAGATAATAAACAGTTAATAAACTATTGAGGTGTAATTACACTTAACAACAAGTACACGGGTGGAGTAAACTCTGTAGTTAACAGAATTGCTCAAACTGAACTGTAACAGTGTTATAGTAGAAATGAGCTGCTCCTTCAGTCCCACATCACATCAAATGCTCCTCCTCAGATAAAGTTGCAATTAAGGTTTTTTCTCTGAGTAAAAATGGTAGTGTGAGGCGAGTGAATCCTCCACTTATCACAGAGTCAGAAAATGCTGGGGGAGGGGCTGAGAGCCAGCAGTCAGAGGACTGAGGGGAGATCAAAGCGGGGCACATATGTGAGGATGTGAGTAGCTCAAACATGCATGCATGGCACTAAAATCCTCTTAGTGACGAGGGAAAACAATCATATTTTGGACTTTTTGGTTATGTCCCCTTTAGAGAAATCCTGGAAGGTAAAAATAATTATTTCTGTCCGTATTCCCCACCCCCAGCTCCCAGCGGCCAGTGTCCCGGAGTCCAGAGCTGAGTTTGTGAAGAGAGAGGAGCCGTCTCTGCTTCAACGCAGCCCCGCGGAGTCCAGGGACGTCTACAGCGCAGACAGGAGTGACTATGAAGACTGGACCGCTCCGTTCGGCTGCGGAGAGGCAGAGATGGAGACTGGAGCAGGGAGTGGGTCTGACCAAAGGGACGAGCACCGCTGTCCCATGTGCTACAAGATGTTCAGCAATTTACCCAATCTACGAAACCACATGAGGATTCACACCGGAGAGAAACCCTTCAGCTGTTTGACGTGTGGGAAGTCCTTCACTCAAAAGGCCACCATGAGGAAACACATGAAGATCCACACCGGGGAGAAGCCCTTCATGTGTTGGATCTGCAGCAAAACGTTTGGACAAAAGGCTCACCTCATCACACACGCAAAAACTCACACCGGGGAGAAACCTTTCAGCTGTCCGTCGTGCGGGAAGAAGTTCTCCAGGAAGGGCGGTCTGGATAACCACGTGAAAACACACACCGGCGAAAAACCTTACATCTGCGCCCTCTGTAATAAAGCGTTTAGACAAAACTATAATCTGAAAGTGCACATGAAAACTCACCAAACAGAAAGTGATTGACCGTGTGTCGATGGTGTGAGAGCTGTATAAAGTCTGTTTTAATCTGTTGTCTTATAAATAAACACAATGTTGAACCCATTTTCTCTGTTTTGTCTATGATTCATGTGTGTCCTGTAATTGGAGCTGCGTGTTTTAAAAGCATGATTAATGTAAGCTGAAATATGTTTTTACCAAGCATGTTTTTGACCGATTGTAACCTCCATCATGTCCGAAGCGTAGACTGAGCGGTAAATTCCAGAGCTTTGACTGCAGACGCTGCTCCTTCTTCATCATCACAACAGTCCAATACAGAAAAACGGCATCCCTGCAGCCGTCTGTCCATCTCACACTCTCATCTTTTCCTCTCTGAGAACAAAACCAGAGAGATTCCTTCTGGGGAACCAACTCTGCAGAATGGGAGAACCAGGACCTCTGCACCAGAAGAGGGCTGAGACCAGGACCTGGACCTCAGTGACCTTTGCCTTGGACTTTGAGGTGCCAATTTTCACCCCAGCCGCTTCACACAATTCTCAAACTGTCCCAGTGTAGGTTGGAGGTCCTGTTTTGATGAAGCCAACAGAACAATTTAATCGAAAAACAGCATAGATTCAATCCTGTGTTCCCCAAACCGGAATCCCTAAGGACCGTGAGCGGAAGTTGCCCTCACCATGCCCTGGGAACAGCTCTGACTGACTGACCCCTGAGCTGGGAACCCTGTCAAACGCCTTCTCCAGCTCCATCAGAGCACGTGTGGACTGAAGCAGACTCCCATGACCCTCAGCGCCCGATACAAGGGCAAACCAATTCAAGGAAAGCTGACAATCCACCAGAAGTGTTGTTTTGTGTTAACTCGGTACCACACACTCTGGTTCACTGAATAACTTTTGTGAACAGCTATAGTAAACCTAATAGATACTCATTTCTGTCCCCATTTCCCGCCCCCAGCTCCCAGAGGTCGTCCCGAAGCGAGTGAAGACTGAAGAATCATCGCTGCCTCAACAATCAGAGCTCAGAGAAGACCTGAGCACAGACAAACATGACTTTGACGACTGGAGCGCTCCCTTCAGCTGTTCAGAGGCTCAAATGGAGACGGAGGCGGATGGAGACCACTACCACCGAGTCATGGCTGCACAGGACTCTGGTCCCGACTCGTTTGTGGGGGATGGAGACCTGTTTGTGGGGGATGGGGACTCGTACGCGGGGGATGGAGCAGAGGCCGGGGCCCCTGTTTACAACGAGGACATGTCAGGAACAGCTGAAGGCGAGAAGAAACATCAGTGCCCTCTGTGTCTGAAGCAGTTCACCAGAAAGCAGACGTTACAGATCCACTTCAGAGTTCACACGGGAGAGAAACCTTACAGCTGCTCCATCTGCGAGAAAACCTTTGCCAAGAAGTTCACCCTGGACGGACACATGCGCACGCACACGGGCGAGCGACCATACAGCTGTTTCTACTGCACCAGATCCTTCACACAAAGCTCCAGTTTGAAAACTCACATGAAAAAAACTCACAATCGCAAATGGAACGTTTGATGCGGCTTCAGTTTGTTTGTGTTTTGATTCACTTTCCTGTTCTCTTTATGGTTGATTTTTTTACTTTTGAAATGTCCCAAAAATTTCCACTTCCCTCCCTTAATGCAGAGCAATGCGCAGGATTTACAAAAACTGAAGCACAATTCTTTTAATCCAGTTTATTTACATATGAGGTTACCACCGATGTATCACTTCTGTTTGTGTGTTCCTCTTTGCTGTTCTGAAACCTGTGATGCAGCACTAACATTTCCCCTCTCCCCATGAATAAAGACATTATAACTTTGTAACTGAGACTACTGTGATGCTTCATTAAGCCATTAAAGGGGAAATATCCTGAATATCAACAGCACACTGGTCTCGTCCAGGCATGTCCAAACTCTGGCCCGAGGGCTAATCGCGGCCCGTGGTGTCACGCTTTGAGGTGAAAGAAAAGAGAAACTGAGAGGGATATGTTTTTTTATCATATTGATGGGTTTTAATTCAAAATATACACATATATATTATATAAGGATCAATTTAAAATGATAGTTAATTTATGGGAAAAAAGCGTTACATATTTAATCACTTTTATTGTAAGGAATAACATACATTATCTTCTATTCTCACATTACAGCGGTGAAAGTGTCTGTGCCTTTCTCATCAACAAGCAAAGAATCCGTGAGACTTCTGCACATATTTGTATTGTTGCTGCTGCATGGTGTTTGCATTTGTGTCTATGCGTGTGTGTGTTTCTGTACTTATACGTCATATCTCAACGATTGCTCATAACTCCATTATGCGACCATGCATCACTTTGACCAATAGTTATGAAAGGGGGAGGGGCCTCACAAGCTATTTTTGCTTCTGCCTCTTCTTTTTGAACTATTCGTGGCAGTGCATTGTTGTCTATTGTCTTGGTTCTATTTTTATTGAAGGAATAACTTGTTGCAAAACTTAAATCCTGACATCCTCTTAAACAAAAAACATGTACCACTACCACTGATCCTGAGGGCAGTGTTATAATATGAACTAAGGAAACATCATCAGTAACGGTCACTCGCTGATTGTAAATAATGACAAAACTTATTTCCGGAGAAAAAGTATAGCATGCTGATTGTCATCCTCGCTCTGCTCCAACCGTCCCAGAGCAGGTCGGAGGTCCTGGTTTGTTGAAACAGGAGAACGTCTCAAACAGCAGAGATCCTGTAGTCCCAGAACCAGAATTTTATAAACAGTGAACAGAAGCGGAGACAAAGGGCAGCCCTGGGGGACACCCACATACACTGGGAACAACTCTGACTGACTTCCTCTGATGCGAACACAGCCCTGGCTCTGGTCATGCAGGAACTGGACAGCCCTCGGTATAACGGGCCCTGCAACACTGTTGAACGAGAGGACATGTGGACTGAAGCAAACTCCCAGGATCCTCAGTGCCCAATGGAAAGAGGGAAAGCTGAAGACCAGAAATGTTGTTTTTGTTAACTCAAGATTTGGTCAAATCTCAGAACCACACACTCTCAATGAATGAAAACCTTTTGCAAACAGCAGTGTTGGGAAAGTTACCAAACACGTAATACAAAAAAAGTAATGTATTAAACCACAATATTACTGGTGTTTTCCTTTGCCAATCTCGCGGTGGCAAACACTCTTTCACGTCGCACGTCACTGACCTTTTGCAGCAAAACCCAAAATAATACAGTAATTACACTATTTCTGTAACGCATTACTGCCAACACTGTTGGTGAACGGCTATAGTGAACCTAATAGATACTCATTTCTGTCCTCATTTCCCGCCCCCAGCTCCCAGCGGTCATCCCGAAGTGTGTGAAGACTGAAGAATCATTGCTGCCTCAACAATCAGAGCTCAGAGAAGACCTGAGCACAGACAAACATGACTTTGACGACTGGAGCGCTCCCTTCAGCTGTTCAGAGGCTCAGATGGAGACGGAGGCAGATGGAGACCACTACCACCGAGTCATGGCTGCACAGGACCCTGGTCCTGACTCGTTTGTGGAGGATGGAGACTTGTATGTGGGGGATGGGGACTCGTACGCGGGGGATGGAGCAGTTTACAACGAGGACATGTCAGGAACAGCTGAAGGCGAGAAGAAACATCAGTGCCCTCTGTGTCTGAAGCAGTTCACCAGAAAGCAGACGTTACAGATCCACTTCAGAGTTCATACAGGAGAGAAACCTTACAGCTGCTCCATCTGCAAAAAAATCTTTGCCAAGAAGTTCACCCTGGATAGACACATGCGCACGCACACGGGCGAGCGACCTTACAGCTGTTTGTACTGCACCAGATCCTTCACAAAGAACTCCAGTCTGAAATCACACATGAAAAAAACTCACAATTACAACTTTTGATGCGGCTTCACTTTGTTTGAGTTTTGATCCACGTTTCTGTTCTGTTCATTTTGATCCACTCTAGAAATGTCCCATGCAAAGTAGTGGTGGAAAATTGATTCTGTTCAGTATCGCAATAGTTTGAGCAAGAATTAATATCGATACAGCAGAGCAAAGTATTGCAATATTGAATTCAATAATTATCTCTTTCACTTCTGTTTTCTCTGAGTTTTATTTTGTAATTCCTATTTGAGGTTTATTGGACTCTACTATGTCTGCTTGTTGTGACTCTCGTCTGTTGAATTTGAATAAAGTAAGTGATGCTGGGAGCTAACTGGTCATGTGAGAGTCGTCTATTCAGAGAATCATGATGTCTTGTCTGTAACAAGGTTCTGAGTCCGACATAGTGCTTGCTTCTGCTTCAGCTTCAGCTTCAGCCGTCTTCTACCAGAAAGAAAAAACCCTTCTAGGTGGCTACTGTTGGTGCAGATTATGTCTTCTCTGCTGATCTTGTGGCATAATATAAAAACAAAACACTATTTAATTTCAGGATAAAATGCAATGAAACGCTACAAATATTACCCAGCTTTTTCAGGAATACTGCTGTATTGCGTTCCTCCCAGAACTGGTGAACAGCCACGGTAAAGTTAATAGATACTTATTTCTGTCCTCATTTGCCGCCCCCAGCTCCCGGCGGTCGTCCTGAAGTGTGTGAAGACAGAAGAATCATCGCTGCCTCAACAATCAGAGCTCAAAGAAGACCTGAGCACAGACAAACATGACTTTGACGACTGGAACGCTCCCTTCAGCTGTTCAGAGGCTCAGATGGAGACGGAGGCGGTTGGAGACCACTACCACCGAGTCATGGCTGCACAAAACTCTGCTCCAGGCTCACAAAACTCTGCTCCAGGCTCATATGTGGAGAGCAGAGCCAGGAACATGTGGGGAACAGATGAAGAGCGGAGGAAACACCAGTGTCCTCTGTGTCTGAAGAGATTCACCTCCAAACAGTCGCTGCAGAACCACTCCAGAGTCCACACAGGAGAGAAACCTTACAGCTGCTCCGTTTGCGAGAAGGCTTTTGCCAAGAAGTTCACTCTGGACGCTCATATGAGGATCCACACTGGGGAGCGACCCTACAGCTGCTTCATCTGCATGAGAGGCTTTGCACAGCGCTCCAACTGGAATGCTCACATGAAAACTCACAATCGCAATGGGAACGTTTGAAGCTGGCACCAGGTGAATGGACGACTTTGAATAATTTGGCCGGACATGAGACAATGAGACACAAGAAGCGTTGGTCTTTGTTCTATGAAGCTTTTTATTGACTGCTTTGGGTCTGAGCAAGGTCTGTCAGGTCCAAGACAGCTCCGGCAGAAGTCTGGTTATCAGATCGTATGACTTGTTATCGCATTTTATATACACCTTCAACACTGATGGAAACACAGAATGAACACATGTCGGACTCCAATGTACAAAATCACGTAGACATAAGATGGCATAACTGTGAGCTAACATATGGTGTTGTCATTGACCAAACTCTGATGTAAATAAGATTATTTCTGTGAACTGAACATAGATGCCCATAAGTATTTTTTGCGTACAGCTCTCTATGCATTTTTATAGACTTAGAAAGTTTTCTATATTGATTAGGAAGCAAAAATGAATAAATATTTTACAAGAACCCAAAATGCTGGACTGAAAACACAGTGTCATTTCATTGAAACCAAATTCAGAGTAACAAAAACTAACAAAATTCCAGACCTGAAAACAAGCCAGGAACAAAGGTGGTAGAGACAATGGGCAGACGACAAGAGGGGAAAGCACATGGTATAAATACACAAAGGTGTGACACAATAGGGAGGGGCAGCCAATCAACTAGCTCAAAGAACCAATATCAAAATAATCCAGGTAAAAGACAGAAGTGATTTACAGCCTGTGATATCAACTGCTTCGTTCAAAATAAATGATTAATTAAAAGAAATATTTCATCATATACATCGTGACCTTTTTTGATTGTAAAACTGTTAAGTGAAAGTTAGCCATTTCGGGCCAAGTCCACTGGTCTCGCCGCGTTTCATATGGATCCAAATCTCTGATCATTCTCAATTTCTCTAAGGATCTTGCCTCACAGATTACTCCAGTGAATCAACAGACTTAACACGGTCAGTGTCGGCTGATTTCGTGGCTTTAGATGACATGGGGACAAATGATCCGTTACAAATTATCACGGCAAATGATACGTGCTATATAAGCTTGACTCGCAACATGGCGTTCGCGCAAAGCATCATGGGTAAGAAGCACGTGATGGAAAACCATGCATTTGTTCCCACATGTCTGTCCTCTTCTGGGTCATTGTCATTTAGAACCACCCTAGAATCTAAAGTATTTGGTAGATTTGTACTATGAGGCTATCACTACAAAGGTCTTAAGGTCTTCTAAGAGAAAGGGTAAAGAAGCTAGAACTGTTTAACTCATTGACTATGGGGTGCCGTTTGTAAAAATTCTGTTAAAATTTTTTAGCTGAACATTTTTCTACATTTAGCTCACTTTCCTCACATTTAGCACATTTTCCTCACATTTAAGACATATCTATATCTAAATATTATATCTATATCTAAATGTTAAATGTTATATCTAAATATTATATCTATATCTAAATGTTATATCTATATCTAAATGTTAAATCTAAATGTTAAATCTAAATGTTAAATCTAAATGTTAAATCTAAATGTTATATCTATATCTAAATGTTATATCTATATCTAAATGTTATATCTATATCTAAATATTATATCTATATCTAAATGTTAAATGTTATATCTAAATATTATATCTATATCTAAATGTTAAATCTATATCTAAATGTTAAATCTAAATGTTAAATCTAAATGTTAAATCTAAATGTTAAATCTAAATGTTAAATCTAAATGTGTCGCCAAGTGTAAAGCTAAATATATAGAAACCACGCCCACTGCAGTGGCTTCAAATCCAGTGGGCCCGCCTTCCGTGCCGTGTGGTGAGAACCCTACAGGATTACACAGGAATCTCACGGGACTCCACGTGGCTTAGTTTACAGTGAATACACTCTGGCTCCAGCAAATAAGCAAGAATCTTCACAAAAATGCTAATTTTGTGCCGTGGCCAAGGACGATGGCGCCGGAGACCCAACATGCCTTGAGCCGTGACGTCGGTCCACGTGTATTCCTATGTTCAAAACACGCGGCACCGCCCCCACTCACCACACGGCACGGAAGGTGGGCCCACTGGATTTGAAGCCACTGCAGTGGGCGTGGTTTCTATATATTTAGCTTTACACTTGGCGACACATTTAGATTTAACATTTAGATTTAACATTTAGATTTAACATTTAGATTTAACATTTAGATTTAACATTTAGATATAGATTTAACATTTAGATATAGATATAACATTTAGATATAGATATAATATTTAGATATAACATTTAACATTTAGATATAGATATAATATTTAGATATAGATATAACATTTAAATATAGATATAACATTTAGATATAGATATAACATTTAGATTTAACATTTAGATTTAACATTTAGATTTAACATTTAGATTTAACATTTAGATTTAACATTTAGATATAGATATAACATTTAGATATAGATATAATATTTAGATATAACATTTAACATTTAGATATAGATATAATATTTAGATATAGATATGTCTTAAATGTGAGGAAAATGTGCTAAATGTGAGGAAAGTGAGCTAAATGTAGAAAAATGTTCAGCTAAAAAATTTTAACAGAATTTTTACAAACGGCACCCCATAATTGACTGCCATTGACGTATTTGTCTGAGATCGGTGATTTCTGTCAAGCTTCCCTCTTTTCGACTGGGGATTTCAGCAGAACAAAACCAGCTAAAAACAAACTTATTTTCCTCTGATGAAATTAGACAATCCACTCATAGCACATAATATTCTGTGGGTCTTGAGAATCAGTGAAATCATCAGAAAACGGCTGGCAGTCAATGAGTTAATGACTACTTACTAGTTACCTTAAGCCCCATTTCCACTCTTGTCTACTCTACTCTACTACTTAGCATATGGTACCTTCCCCTTATGGCAACATACCCACAACAAACCAGTATCTGGGGAAATTCCTTGGTAACCACGGCTTCCAACTGCACTCTAGCCAATCACTGTCAATTAGAAAACTTTAGTAGCAGCTTGGATAGAACCAGGGCCACGCAGGTACTAAAAGGTTAAGCAGGCCTGAAACTCTCCCAAACGGAGTAGGGTAGAGTGGAGTAGGGCTGGTGGAAACAGGGCCTTAATCACCACTTTGTCTTATTTGAAGAAAACTTTAAGCCTAAACATAATGATTGTTCTAAACATCTATAAAAGAGTTGTTTGACATGTTTCCCAAAAGATAAACGTTTTTGACAGCCCATCGTTTTTTACTCATTCTTGTATAGCTCCAAATCACAACAGCAGTTATCTCAGAGGACTTTTCTGTGATCTTGGGAACTCTAAAATTCCGGCTTCCCACTCAGAAAAATGGGGCTGAATGCTGCTCAATTCAAAAATTTAACTTGGAAACTCGAGCTGAAACTGGGACTGAAACCCCATGGCTCAATGGTCCCAGAGTTCCCGTGTTTGTGTCTCAGTAACAAGTGTCGGATTGTGATGGGATGAAAAACTGAGAGGGGTGTGTTTTATATCACACCGATGGTTTTACTGCAAAATAAACATAAGTAAGCTCAAATTCTACTGAAAATGAAAATGAGTGAATTGATGGCCACAAAAGGATTGAAGGTTTCTGTGCCTTTCTTATAAATTAGCAAAAAGAATCAGTAACATTTATGCACATTTTTGTTGTGTCGGTGTGTGTGTGTGTGTGTGTGTGTGTGTGTGTGTGTGTGTCAGTCATCGGCTCCTCATTAATGCTCTAATTTTGGGAAGTTGGAAGGATCAGAGAGAGCAAAGAGAGAACAATAAACCACACAGTTATAAATCCCCAATTGGTGGCTGAGTGGATAGCACTCTAGGTTTCCTCCGGGTACTCCGGTTTCTCCTACCACTAAAAAACATGTACAAATGGTCTAGTATGTGCCTCCTGTACTGGCCCCGCTCCCATCTCTGTGTGGAGTGAGAGGACATATGCCCACAATTGTAAACTGCTTTGTGACTCTGGTCTGTGAAAGGCGGTATATAAATAAACATTACTACTTACATACTTACAAATTGTAATTGTGACACAAACAGTTAGGTAAATGTAAAGGTGCACTTTATTAAACCCCGTGGGGCAATTAGTCCTCTGCATTTGACCCATCCTGATGCCGCTAAGGCTTACGTCAGGAGCAGTGGTTGCCGAAGGATAGCGCTCGGGAACCCATCTCCAGATGTTGATGCTCGGCTTGGTCCGGACTGCCAGAGCTGGAGGATTTACCTAGTGTGCATGATTTTAGTGGTAGGGGAAACCGGAGCACCCAGAAGAAGCCTACGCAGGCACGGGGAGAACATGCCAACTCCACTCAGAAAGACCCTGTTCCGACCGGGATTCAAACCCAGGACCTTCTTGCTGAGAAGGGAGAGTGCGATCCCCTCATCCAGTCACTGAGCTAGAGGAGTCTATGTCAATCGGAGCCAGGGCAAGTTGGAGCAAAACGTTGAGCACTTCCCTATTGGGATTAATTTAACGAGTGAGTTAGCGTTGTCCATCTTTGGAACGGCCGTGTCCTCGGGGTCAGATAATTGTACAAAATTATCACCACTTTTTTATCGCCAAATCTAATTCTGTTTCAATCTACAACAGTTCCTGTGTTTTTGTGAATAAATACAGGTCTGTGTTTTATCAGTGGACTTTACAGATCAGAGAATCAAACCGTTCCAACACAAGGAATATTGTAACAACAAACACAGGGGCTCCCACTGCTGTCTGCTGTTGTTGTGTCCCTGGGCAAGGCACTTAACCCTGCTTTGCCTGAAGCCCCGGCTGAAAGACTAAGGCCATATCTTTGATGAGGGAGCAGCCATCTTCCCGTGGACCCTCCACCTGCAGGAGGTGGATCAGAGGGACTGGTGCCATGAGACTTGGGTGGCAGCTCTGATTGCCACCCCCCCCTCTGTCCAAATGTCTCAGATATTACCGACTTTTAAAAAAAGGGAAACAATGAAGAGACTGTCAGTCTATGGTTCACCCTCACTCAGTCACTCTGAGCCTAAAGGGTCAAATAGTGACTCA